TTACAGTTATACATTACAATAGAGGTCTTAAGCGGAGAGTTGTCAGCTTTATCTAAATTAAACATATTTTGCTGCACAATTACACAGATTTTTAATAACATCTACTGTGTTTGGTACACGCAAGTTTGTCTGAAGTAATTTGAACAATTTGTAAGCATAGATTACATGATATGTAAGGTTTATAATACTTTTTAAAGTATAATTTATGTATTTTTATGTAATATTTCTATGGATTATGACTGGATAAGATTTACGTTCCTAATATGCACAGACTGTAAATGGGGTAGATTTAACACAAGGTTTCGTGTCCAAGCTCACCTAAATATCATGATTTACCGCCAAATTTACCCCAAATATCATGACAATTATAGTCCTAATGCAATAGGCATTTTATCTGAAAACTTGTTTAGTTTAACAAATCTCACAAGTGTCAAGATAGTGACTGCCATGCAGCACTAAATACCGTTTATAGCTTTGTTCAACTGGTACCAGTTGAAACCAGTATATTCAACTGGTTTTTAATATGGAATTGAACCACCGCCAACTGGCACCAGTTGAAAACACAGTTGATAACTGAGACCAGTTGATATTACCAGTTGAGAGGCAGTACATGATTACCAGTTGATTTACCAGTTGAAAAACCAGTTCAATTCAACTTATCGTGATTAATTTGCATGTTTCCACATAAAATACAATCATCGTGATCATGATCTGTCAAGCAAATGTGACAATGCACATCTATTTTGTGATTGATATTTTCCTAGTTAGTTATTGATAAATATATTATATATGTCAGATCATGTTGTTATAGTGATATATGCAATAAATAACCAGGAAACAACTTGTATAATTTTGTATATATCTATGTACGAGCGCCAAACGTCTTACTTAAGATGAAACTAAACTGTGATCCACTTCAAATGATCTTTTTGATGGGGTATTAATTGCAATCGAGAGTCTCTATAATATGCTGGTAGCAGAGGCGGCAATTTGTTTTCATGACAGGGGGGGGGGGAGACAACAAATAGCGAGGGGAAATATGTATAACGTTGGTGGCATGGCTATAACAACGGGTTACAGATTGTTTTAATATTAAATTTACTTGTAAACTTTCAAGGATATTATGCGAGGGAGCGTAGCGACCGAGCGAGAAGATTGTTGCATTTTGATTAGTCTAAACGCTGCACTCTTGGGCCTGCAAGAGCCTTAAGCAGGGCTCCCACTTAGCCGAGTTGGAGCCTCGAGTTGTGGCGAGCTGGCACGATCTTATGGCAAGCCGCTTTATCTGTAACACATATTTCTTGATATCAAGAAATCAATTCTTGATATAAAAAAAATAATTTGACGTTGTAAAGCAATTTTTATTCTTGATATCAAGAATTCGATTTCGAGATATCAAAAATTCGATTTCGTGATATCAAGAATTCGATATCGTGATATCAAGAAATATGTTTTAATGATAAAACTGCTTGCCATAAGATCGAGCCAGCTCGCCACAACTCGTGGCTCCAACTTGGCTAAGTGGGAGTCCTGCTTAAAAGTGTGTTTCAGTCTTTAGTCAGTCTTTGCTGCGGGACTTAATAGAAAGAAAGGTTGAAAAGAAAAACATCAGGGAGAGAGAGGGGCATAAGGAGTGGAGGGAAAAAAAGGTCAAAACAGAGAGAAACAGAAAGATACAAGCGGACAGGAAAGGGAAAAGAGAAAACGATGATAAAGAGAATATAAAGAGAAGTTTGTGAGAAATGTGGAAAGATAATAGAGAGAAGGGAGAAGGCAAGAGAAAGAGGTAGAAGGGTAATAGATGAGAACAAGAAAGAAGAAAAAAGAGGGGGAAATCGAGCGGAACACAGAGGACGGGCAGTAAGTGATAGCAAGAGAGTGTGTATGAAAACAGAGAAAACAAAACAATCTAAATCATTTCAATTCAAGGTTTATCAAAAACATGTGTCGCAGCCCAATGGCTGAATTGGTCATATGTACAATAAAAAATCACTGCATATTTCAAACATAAAATGCAGTTACGATTGATTTGTCAAGATTGAAATATATGATAAGATTGCTTGGGCAGCAAACTAAGAAAACATAATATAACATGAAGTCAGAAAACGGAGAGGAAAAACATGAAGAAAAGAAGTAAAAGAGGAAGTTGTAAAAGTGCATGTACATCAACAAATATAAATTGCATACATGTACTAAGCAATATCATATTTATGTTGGATGGGAATCTCATTTTCTTTCTTTTTCTTACAAAAATTGGTTTCTAAAGAAAGAGGAAGTACTTGGACTCGATTTTTTAGGATGGACTGTGGTCGAAAAATAATTAAAGTTATCAAATTACTGTAACTGAGAGTGTAGATACACAAATATAGCAGGAGATAAAAGGCGGGAATAAAAAATGATGATATTCATGGTCACAAACATGGTTTAGTAAAAGTCTTTGTGCACATTTTATCATCCTTGATTAATGATACACAAAAATCCTTAATATCAATCACAAGCTTGATTTTAAAAAAATAGGATTTTTTTAAATTTTTTTTTATTGTTTGGTATAAAATGATCGACCAGCATCACAAGGCTGAAAGGGTCAATTTACAAAGGTACAGTGATGTATATATATATATACATGAACAATAGTATTACAAAAACATAGTAAATAAATCAGTAACATAATGACAATACAGCAGAATTATATTGCCTTCTTTTATGTACATTAAGTGAAATGATGTACAAGATGGAGATATACAAGAGCAGGGGAGGGCAGGCGCGTACGCAGGGGGAAACCCCCTTAAGTATATTGTATGTGTTTATTATGTGTATTTTTGAGCAACCCCCCTCCTTTTGTGTATTTAAAAAAAAAAAGATTATGCCAATGGATGACCTAAAAAAAGTGACCTTACCCCCTCCCCTTAAGGAGCAAAATGTCAAATGTTCAAATTTCGAGACCCCCCCCCCAAAAAAAAAAGTGTCCTCTTGCCCCCCCCCCCCCCCCCCCCCCCCCCGCTTATTTAGCGGCGGGCTGATTCGTTGCGAAATTTTTGGCCCGATTTCAAAATGTTAAACCCCCCCCCCCTTGAAAAAATCCTGCGTACGCCACTGAGGGAAGGTATATGGCTCATGAAAGTGAGAGTGAAAGAGCGAATGGAGAGAGAGAGAGAGAGAAAGAGAGGATGGGAGAAAAGGGGAGGTACAAAGAGAGAAAGGAAGAGAGAGGGAGAGAGAGAGAGAGAGAGAGAGAGAGAGCAGGGACTGGAATGAACATAAGTAAATAAACATATTATTCCTAATTACCTGTAATACACTTATGAAAATTAAGAGAAGTCAAATTTCGGCGAGACAACAATAATCCTCATACAAGTACATGCTAGAAGAGAGAAAAGGGAAGGTTAAAATAAGAATGAGAGAACTTTGAAGAGAGAGGAAGAGAGAGAGAGAGAGAGAGAGAGAGTGGAAAGAGAGGGAGGGAGAGAGAAGGGAACAACTGCAAGTAAATATAACAATAACTGAAATACAGAGAAAACCATATATGCCTACATACATAGGATCAAGGCATGCAGGCTGAAATAGTGACAGCAATATATTCTTCTTTATATATTATGATTTCATTGAATTAGTATTGAACTTCTACGAGAGCTCATTTTGGAGTTTTCCCGATTTAAAACACTCACTCTTAAATTCCTTTTCCCCCTTGATAATCGTAGCATCCAAAAAGCAAGAATTTACCGACGATTCTATAAAGATTTAGTTTAAACTATTAATATGAGTTACTCGGTGATTAATGAGTAATGTGTAATTTGAAGTTCGTTCAATTGATTTATAATTGATGTTAAATACTCTGTAACCATGTGGAAAAAGAATTTCTATTTATTTTGACAATAAAACAAATCAAATTATCAAGTTAAGAGAATACCCAGGTTAGTGTATCCATTTACTACAGAGTAAGACAAATGTTTTGATTTCATATAATAATAACAACAATATAAATATTAATGATAATAGTTATGATAGTAATGATAGTAATGATGATGATTATAATAATCATAATAAAAAAAATCAATATGATAATAACAATAATGATAATAATGATACTGTAATAATAATAATAAAATGACAATAACAATAATGATAATAATAATGATAGTAATAATAATAATAATGATAATAGTCATATAATAATAGCAATAATGATAATGACAATATTGTAATAACATTAATAACAATGGTGATTCAACCTTATTAAAGGTAATACAAAGTTTTGGGAAATTTTGAAAATTGGGTAAATAGTGATTCTTTACCATTTTTATATATTTGGATGCCCCTGTGGATGTATTATAAGCACTAGAAAAATTAGCCCCTGAAACACTTCTGCTTTCGAGAAAAATTGAATATAAATATTTACCGGTGCTCCCGGTAAATTTTGATAAATTTCAAATAGCGCCTATACGGCCGTACAATGTTAGCTGCGACCATGACAATCTCAGAATATGTAGTTGTGATATATAATTTCCAAACGGGAATAGCTAATCGGTCGATTTTAGTCAAGAAACATTGTTTTATTGCTTAATTAATATGTTGACCTTGAGAGGGAGCTATACAACATAAAGAGTTTATTACTTATAATTTCAAAACTTTAGACTCTTTTTCAACCGCGACAATGATCAGTTAATATTGTAGGATCGCATTTGCTTCCATTGTGTTCATTTGAACCAAATTCATGACCCAATACTAAAATTTTGTATTACCTTTAAGGTTTGTTCAATACGTCTTTTCACCCAGTCTGGAATGTTGTGGATACATAAGATATAGTTTATATCATGATAACATTCAACGGGTTTGTAAAGCAACTTTTAGTGATCAAATTGCTATACAGTAGTTACTTTTTTTGACGTGCTTTTTGTCATCAACCTTGTAACACCATGTAGTTTAAACAGGAGTCCCACAACAGCGCCGTTGTAGTGTATTTCATCACGGAGAATTCTCTTGCGTTTTTTTTTATTGTCCAGTTCCGAGACTCTAAACTTGGAGGAAAGTTTTGACATTTTTTTCGGAGGCACATCATTTGAACAACAACTGGAGGTATGTCTTTGAAGGAGAAAGCACTCACAATTCATCGAGCTTTATTCAGAAACATCAGCCGTGGCACAACAGAAGAGGATCTTAACGAAATCAAAAGTAAGATATTTCTCTTAAAAGTAAAAATGTAGGCTACAGGGCTGTTCAAACCTCACCTAAAATTAAACGATTGCAAGATTTGTTTAAATAGGTATGTTGTGTGTATATCTGAGTATGGTCGTGAATATAAAACCTCTGGCTATACACGGACAGATGATTCTTGTATTAAGCCTATGGGAATAAGAAAATTCAGTAATCAATCGGTTAAGTAGGGCAACTGCAGGGTGTAACTTCAATTAAAAATCTTGGTATCATTATCGTTTATATTGGTTAGGTCTGACAGCCCTTTAATACAGCATAGTGTTATCCCCTAGTCAGCTACTCTCTGCTCCCAGGGCAACTATCCCATCCTTCACAAACACGCACACTATAGTACCCTAGAAAAACTCCCCCAATTTTTAATAAATTAACCCAGGACAGATAGCCTCCCAACTCCACAACTAACCCCACTATTAATTGGGGGTGTGGTATTGTTTAAGTAATACAGGCAGTGTTCCAGGGGATAGTTGGCAGAGGGTGGGCGGTTGTGCAGAGATTATTGTCCTTTAGATATTTGTAAAGGGGTAGTGTCTGTTGTTTAGGGGATAGTTAATGATAGTTAAGTTCTATTTTATTTTTGTGTGTAAGATGCTTAGAAAGTAGAAAGCAAGGCTAGTATCTGGATAAATGTTGGTTGCTAAGAAAGCATGTGTTTGCTTACACGTAAGTAACCAGTGGAACAACGAATTGAAGTCCTCACAGAGGGATTTGATAACACCTCCCTGCTATAAGCTTGTATAGGGTTTGTATGCACTGTAATCATTGGGTTTGGGCAGTCACTCCATGATTGTTTGCCCTGCATTAGCTCCTCAACGAGTCGTGTATGTTGGTAAATATTTTGTAATGTGGTCTTCTTGGAAGAGTACATTTTCAATCTGATTCAGATTATGGACCTACATTTTGAGGTTAATTGTCCTGTTTGTTTTGTATGATCTCTCCTTCTATAGAGGAACTAAAACACCCGGATTTTGGCGGATTTGGAGCAGGAGAGATTCAACGGTATCTTAAAACAACTGAAGATGTTTTACAAAAATTAGAGAATAAAGGCAAGATTAAAGTAAGTATAATATAACTTGTTTTTTAATTTTACGTCCCACTTACACCTTCTTCTTTCTATTGCACTATTCAAAGCTTATTAAAGCTTTCGTTTGTCTGAGGTCAAAATTTGTTCAGTAGACCCGTTGATCAACGTATTATTTGTTTCACTCATCAGACATTGTTCAGTTTAGGCTTTTACATGGAGCCATATACATATATATATGTATTTTGTATGTTTTATGTATTCTATTTTTTATTTGTATATTTTGCTTTTGTATGTATATATGGTTAATCAATTCAATTTAATTAAAGTCATACTACTGCCACCACTATTACTACTACTACTACTACTACTACTACTACTACTACTACTACTACTTCTACGACTACTACCACCTCTACTACTACTACTACTACTACTACTACTACTACAGTTCTAGGACAATTATCCCCTGGACAATCCTCCCCCCCCCCCCCCCCGTCAATTACCAGCGGGACAATTAGCCCCTAAGGACACTACTATACAACTACTACTATGACTAATAATTATGATAATGATAATAATGATAATGATAATAATAACAATAATAATCAATAATCATAATAATAATAATAATAATAATAATAATAATAGTAATAATAATAATAATAATAATAATAATATGTTTTGTTTACCTAGGGCAGCATCATCAGTATTCATATTGTTCTCCCTGAGTGCTCTGCAATCCTATCATTACCCCCCGGCTTTAGCTGAGCTACCATGCTAAGGCATTCAATGAATCTTCCTACTAGGTACCTAACTACTAGGCCTATAGCTGGTTGGAGAGTGGCAAATGTAGAAATATGTGTTGCTAAAGAACGTTTGTGCCGCAAGTGAATCTGACCGTGGACCATGTGATTCACAGTCCAGTGCCATGACCACGACACCTCTATCATATTTTCCCTCATTGCTAGAATTCGAGAATATTGAAATGCTTTTGCTTTTGTATAAACTTTATTTGTACTTAATTCAGCTAATTACAGACAATTAGGCATAATATGTATGAACTTATTCTCTAAGCAATATTAGTAAACTTAACATAAACATCCCCTTCCCAGAAAAAGAAGAGAAAAAAAAACAATTTACTTCAATATTATAGTTATGCAGAATGACGTTATTCTTCTCATTCTTATTCCATTAATATGTCTTTAATTTGCATCATATAGATTGGTGATTATAAAAAATTGCGGAAGCTTGCTGAAACCCTTGGATTACAGCCGATTCTGAATTTTGTAGCTCAAGCCGAGGATTCCTTAGATGCAATAGGTAAGTTGAACCGTTTAATACAGTCCGTTTCTTTTAAAGACAAAGTCTATCCTGATATATACAATGTAAGTTGGTTATGCTACGGTCACAAATGTTCGTACGAACGATTCATTCGTACGAATCTCCCTGTTTCTACGAATTTCAGAGTTCGTAGAGATTCGTAGATGGGGCATAGTTTCTTACGTCTATCTTACGGAGTTCGTACGAACGCTGTTTAATTCGCAAGAACAACTTAAGACCTCCTTGAGAAACGAAGTGATTTTCGGTTAAACAATGGCCCTAAAGTTCGTACGTTTTTCGTAAGAACGCCTTGAGTTTTTCTTACGTCAGACTTACGGCAATCTTATACGAGTTTTTGTTCTCGCAGGGTGGTCGTACGTGTAACTCACGGCATTCACAAGTCATTCGTAAGAAGATCCTACATTTTTTTTTAAATATTTGGTCGCGCTGCCGTATACTGTCGAAAATTCTATGACTGTTGAAAGTTTGATATTTCACGATGACAGTATTGCCAAGAAGGCTGCAACTGCAACTGCACCTCCATCAAGTGATTCTTGAACTTGCTGTTAGCATATCTGTTACTTCCTTTATTATAAAAACAATCATGTCAACCGAAGAAGTCAACAATTTCTTGCTCTGTGGTAGCATTAAAGTCATAATTCTCATTTCTTAGTTTCCCCGTTACCTCATCTTCATCGCTATCAATCTGCCGTCTTGATGGTTCTCCCTCCTCCTCGTCGTCGTCATCTTCCACCGCCTCCTCCCGGTCGCTTCCAATGGCCATCATTTCTTGATATCAGGCGCGCCGGAAGCAGTTTGGGATTGGGGTGGCAAACATTCGAGGGGGCTCACCTTCCCAGGCACGTAGCCAGAGTTTGATGTTTGGGGCGGGGGGGGGCACATACATTTAATCGATCGAGGTCAAAAAAGGGGTCAAAAGTTCAACCGATCCTGGGATTTTTTGGCAAGTGCCCCCCCCCCCCCCGTGCCCCCCCCCCCAACCGTGGCTAGGGCAGAAGGAAAATTTGCATCACCACCACTCTTACATTTTACATGCAGTACCCACGGAACATTTTTCAAAGTGGAGTATTAACGATCAGGTTAGAGTGTAGCGAGTGAAGCGAAAGTAGCGTAAATTGGCGTGGGGCCCAGGGGCTTTGGACCAGCGGAGGTCAAGGGACTAAGCCCCCGGAAGCTCATGGTTTTAGGCATTCAATTACGGTCAGATAAGCATATTTAGATACCTTATTTGTGTCCCTGGCGGGTCACTAATTGTCGGGGGGTCCAGGGGGCAGAGCCCCCGGAAGCTCAGGGGTTTTAGGTATTGAATTACGGTCATATGAGCATCCTGGGTCCCGCCTTAGGGCCTTTGGTGGGGTCCAGGGGGCAGAGCACCCGGAAGCTTAGTGGTTTTAGGTATTCAATTACGGTCAGATGAGCATTCAGGGGGTGGAGCCCCCGTAAACTCAGGGTTTTTCGGCATTCAATTACGGTCAGATACCTCATTTGTGACATTGGTAGGTCACACATTTTTTTCTCTTTTTCAAAAAAGTGAGCGGGGCTCGATTCCAGAGCTTTTCTGCAGACCCTGACATGAAGGATTTTAAATAAGCATATTTGTATGCCAAGCTGTTAATTTGGGAATTAGTAATTTTCCAACAAACGCATAAAAAGGTATGATTTACAAACAAATTGAGAAAAAATACCGGAAAATCATGTCATTTCAGCAACGTTTGTAAATCACTGGTATCGAATTAGAAATACCCTCCCCCGCCAATTAGTACGCCAGCGTTCAGGGGCTCAAGTGTTCTCACCACTATAATGAAAAAAAAAACACACTTTCCCATCCTCTTACAATATTTCCACGATATGCGTGAGACGCATATATTATAAAAACCTCCATTGAAAAATGTAGGGGCAAGCGGAATGTATACCAAATTTAATTCCTGTTAACTTTCCTTTTCTTTGAATGGAATATAATTTATATGTGATTCAATTCAGGTTTTGTTCTTTTTGTATGTTCCTTTGGTTGGGGCGAGTGCCCCCCTCCCCCACACACACACATCCGGCGCCTCTGCTTGATATTGTTGTTGCTGCTCTCCTCCTCTTTTTTCTTCCTCCTCATCTCTTTCCTTACGTTTGTTTCCCTTCCCTCTCTTCCCTCTAACAGATTTCCCCTTTGGTCCAATATTTCTTCGACAGGAGATGCACCCTCGACGAACACTATGAACAGAGTGAGGATTTGAACTTCGCGCGGTAATAACCGTTAAAACCCAAAATTTGCATAAATTGTGTACGTAGAAATTACGAGCACCTTACAAACGCCTTACGAGCGCCAGGATTCGTTCGTACGAAGACCATAAGAATCTCCGCTCGTAAGGCGTTCTTACGAACGCCGTAAGAGCCCTCTATGAACAACTTGAGGCGTTCTTACGGTCATCGTAATAATTTGAAGCTTCAAGAATTGTCCCTCGACCCTACGAAATGTACGAAGATCTTGCGTGGTTCTTACGATGTAATTACGGCGTTCGTACGACAGCCTTACGAAGAAAGAGTTTCGTACGATGTTAAAAAAAATCTTGGACAAGACCATCGACCAATTTGTGATCTTAGGAACGGTCTACGAACGGTCTACGAACGTTTGTTTCGTACGACCTTCTTAAGAAGATCTTACGAAATGGTCTGAAATTTGTTCGTACGGCGTTCGTAACAGCCCGTAAGGGTATTTGTGACCAAGGCATAAGGAGCAGAAATATTAGAGACACAGATCAGTGAAAGATTGAGCAAAATCCAATTTAAATGTAAGAGTTGGGAATATTTCAAGGTGCAATAGCACCGACATAAACTGGCGGCATTGTGACATATCTTGCAAAGTCCTCTCCCATTTGCTATGTCCAAAAAAAAACTTATTTTCCATTTTCTCTATTTAAAAAAGAGATTTTAATCATACATGCATCCTAAATGTAATCATTGTGACATACCTGTTAAACAATCCCTGTTTTTTTTCTTCATGAAACAAGTTCCTTTCTTTTTCATTTACTAAAAAGAAAAAATCAGTATAGAGCATTATGGGAGAGGACCTCCATAGAAACATCACAGGATTGCCATTTTGTGTTCTATGGATTAAAATTCCAAACAAATCTTTCTTTCATTTTCCTCATTATTTATAACCCCCTCTGCATTAGGGTCAACTTCCCCTGCTGCATGGCTTCATGAGGTAAACTATTGGTTAGTTATGATTTCGTATATCAACCATAGCTATTTAATACTGACAAGTGTGTAAATATTGACGCGGGTTGTAAATATCAGTGAGGGGACATGGAGGTACTGCTACATGACGTTCATTCAGAACATGCTGAATTTGACCACTAGGTCAAAGGTCAGAGTCTTTGAGACTCCAGAAGTTCATGCGTGCTGCAAAGCAGCCTGCGCCTGATCGTAAGTGGTTCAGCTAAACACAAGGATTCTAGGGAAGATTCTTGCTGGAACCAAGCTTTAAGATACAGTTTGAGCCTGATTCTATAGCACCAGCTACCTACAAATAATGCTTCAAGAAAGGCAACATTTTCCTTTTGCTAATTCTTTACGAAATTGTTCTTAAAGTTATATTTTACAAACTGGATCCAAAAACAGTAGTAAATAAAACATCCTGAAGATTTGTTTTCTTCTCCTTCTTCTTCTTCCATTTTCAGTTCTAAAAAATGCTAATTTACAATTTGCAGGACATTTAAAAAATATGCATCATGTTCTATTAGAAAAGAGTTCCATATATAATTATCCGTCCAACTGTGACAAAATGAATTTATATTTGAATAAGGTTAAATAAAAATCAGAAAAAAAGAAAAACTTTTAAAAAAAGCAGGGGCCTTGTCAAGTAAGTCCTCATTAACAACTAAATACCCTTCTTGCAGCCTAAGGATATGTCACTGACTTAAATTCAGTTATATATATATATATATATATATATATATATATATATATATATATATATATATATGTAGAAAAGGTGTAAGAAAGAAAAATAATTAAACAATGTAACATGTGAGACAGGGGAGAGTAGGTACATATTCAAACATGTGGGAGTTTTAAACATTTGACATTTCTAAATATTTGGATAAGAGGTTGTTTATAGTGCTCTCTTAAATGGCAACCAGATATGATCATTCGGTGCTGAACAATTCTCCTTTCCTATGTCTTTCAGACTGGCCTGTAAACCTTCCGCAGGTTGATGCCCCTCGAGGTGACTCAAGGCCTGGACCTATGGACAACCGTGGTGGGTACCCCCTACAGTAACATTACTCTAGCTACCAAGACAGTCTGAAGAGACCGCCCATTCAGCCTATGCCTCGTACTTCACCTGGCCCTCGAACCAATATCGTTTTTTAAAACATTTTTATGAGGTCCATGCGCTCTTTTAATGAGGTCCATGTTAAAGGTAATACAAAGTTTTAGTATTGGGTCGTGAATTTGGTTCAAATAAACATATTGGAAGCATATGCGATCCTACAATATTTACTGGTCGTTGTCGCGGTCGAAATCGACTCTAAAGTTATGAAATTGTAAATAATAAACACTTTATGTTGTATAGCTCCCTCTCAAGGTCAAGATATTGATTAAGCTGTAAAACAATGTTTCTTGACTAAAATCGACCGATTAGCTATTCCCGTTCGGAAATTATATACCACAACTACATATTCTGAGATTTTCATGGTCGCAGCTAGCATTGTACGGCCGTAGGAGCTATTTGAAATTTTTCAAATTTACCGGGAGCACCGGTAAATCTTTATATTCAATTTTTCTCGAAAGCAGAAGTGTTTTAGGGGCTAAAATTTCTAGTGCTTTTAATACATCCACAGGGGCATCCAAATATATCAAGATTATAAAGAATTACTATCCACCCATTTTTAAGAATTTCCCAAAACTTTGTAATACCTTTAAGCAGGATTAAGCCTTAAGGTGTTCTAGTAGACTCAAAATTGTCTTTCAAACATCAACTGTCCCAAACTGCCTTGAAAGCTTATTGAGATTTTTGTGTAGGTAGAAGGACATTTGTCAATTTTGATGCAAATACAATGCTGTTTTTGTTTAAGGGTCTTATTGGACCCATTTTAGAATATGGTCAGGCAGTAGGGACAGATCTATCTTTTTGCTAAGGGGGTTGACCCAATGACGATGCAGGGCATCGTCCACGAGCCGCGAAGCGGCGAGGCAATTTTATTTGTTTGTTTATTTATTTCTTATTTATTTTTTATTTCTTATTTTTTTATTTTTATTTTTATTTATTTATTTATTTTTATTTATTTATTTATTTATTTATTTATTTATTTATTTTTTTTTTTTTTTTTTTTTTGGGGGGGGGCTATTTTGAACTCCGTAAGTGGTGTTTTCCTGGCATCTACAAACACAATGGAGACCATAAAAAGCAGTGCATGATAACGTCTTTTTAAATCAATTCACAGATTAATACACATTTTTATCCGGAGTTATCATTGCACAGTAGGCCTACTGTAGGCCTACATGAAAAAGTGTTTCACTGATGTTTGCTTTCTCTTTTTGAAGTCACTTTCCATGGTTATTTTCTGATGTAAGCCTACAAACAGCTAGATAAGACAACACGTGTGGCCTGGTTAGTATCTGCAGGGGCGGATCTAGCTTTTTGCAAGGGTGGGGGCGGGTTGACGCAATGACGATGCGGATAATGTGTGGGTCTGGACACATGATGGCGTTTTTCTATGCACATAACATTTTCAATTGGCAGCCCAAGGGTGTGGGGGGGGGGGTAAACCCCTTCCCCTCCCCTCCCATCCCCTGCCCCCCTTTCCTTGGAAAAAACAGGTAAAAGCACGATAATTCGACACTTTTTTTAGAGACGGGCCCCCTCCCCTAGTGCCCAAGAGGGAGGGGGGCGCGTGCCAAGTTTAATTTTCGAGGGCTAAAAAAAAAGTGGTCAATACCCCCTCCCCCTCTCCCCCTCCCACTGAGCGAATTATCGGCCGGCACGATTTTCAAATTTTTCGAGGGCCCCCCAAAAAAGTGGCCAATACCCGGTTGGATACGCCCCTGAGTTTAATTAAACTAAAACGGAGAGCATGACTTCATAGATTAAAAATATAACATTAAGAAGCAACTATTATATTGTTTTCGATTGGGTAGATGTTAAACCCCCTCCCCTCCCCTTGGAAAAAAAACAGGTAAAAACACGTTAGTTTGACCTTTATTTGGAGACGGGCGACCTCCCCTGGAGCCCTAGAGGGAGGGGGGGGGGGTGCGATTTTCAAATTTTCGAGGGCTCATACCCATGCACACATTAATTAGCCTATGAGAGATAAAAGTGTCAATATTCGGTGAATGGGCTACAGTCACCTTCCTGTCTACACCAATAAATGTTGCACATATTTCGCGTTCAGATATCTAATAATGCCATTAGATTTTACTCTCGTATAACTAATTTCTAGGTCCCTTCCTCTAGCCCGATTACTTCTAAACTTCTAGAGCGTAATCTCCAGCATTCAATCTAGATCACCTTACTCTACGTTTTCCGAAATCACGCATTGGTGACCGTCCAGGCTTCATTTTGTCCGTTTCTAGTCCGTTTTAAGGGCTTCCTTTCTTCCTTCCTTCGCTTCTCCACTATCCTAGATCCTACAAACTTCTTACAAATTCCTATAGATAGTGTAAGAGATGGTCTTCCATCTGCGATGCATAACGGGGCCTTCAAAACGCCATCTTTAATTATACTCGAAATTCAAATACGAAATCGACTCTGTCAAAAGTTGCTGAAACTTTTTAAAAAACTATCTTTAAAAATCGAAAATTGCCATAACTTTTTCATGCCGATTCCATTTTGTTTCAAAACATTTAAAGTATCTTAATCTCATCATTGCGAACATCCCAGTCGAATTTCACGCTCCAAATGTCAGGCATGATATAATAGCGCCCTCTTAATTTTTGAAAATGGCATTCTTTATGTAGCCGTAGCTCCATCGTGCCAGGACAAACCCCAATTTTTTTTGTATTTATTTAGATACTTCAAGATATGCCTTTTCCAGCCATATACAAAAAAATACAACTTATCACTGACCGGCTTACCCCAAACTCGCAGTTTTCAAGAAATTGCGGAATACCTTCAATTTGCTCTATAATAGAGATGTTGTTTTATCTGCGACGTAAATTGACTACCATATACATTTTGCTTGTTGGAGCAATGTGTGTTTCAAAATACCTCGTCTGTTTGTCACATATAAATAAGCGTGTTACGTGTTCACGGATGGCGACAGCGAATTTTGACCTCACAGGCCGAGGGGTCATTGCAGATCAAAACGCCGATTTAGCGTGCCGTCGATTGAGAGAACGGTCGTATCCGCCCGCTAGCCGCGCTGAACATGTACAAAACGAATGTAAATTCGTGCGTGTCGACTGGCCTGTTTAAATTCGCGTTGCAACTTCTTTAGTTTCCGATATAGATTACCTCCGGCTTCTTACAAAATATTAGCGTTATTTCTGTAAGGATGGATGATCAGCCTGACATATCCATAGATGACACACGGCTTTGGACAGTTTAGTGCCCTGAAAGATCTCCTTCGTAGCAAAAACCTGAAAGTTTCAAGTTCGAAAATAGGAGTTAGTTGCCCTTGTGTATGCGGCTAAGATTATGCCAGCCTTCGCAACACCGGCCACCAGCTCAGCCGGAAGGAACAAAATAACTATTCCCCCTCCCCCCCCCCCCGGATTAAAAAAGAAATGAGTTGCTCCTTATGTGCCTAGCGCATTGGGAGTTACCAAGGTCTCTGAAAAATTGTAACTCGTCAGGAATTGTTAGGACTTATGCCCCAGGCAAATCTTGCACCGACATTATGGTGTACCCCGTGTATTTGATTATTTCTCAAATATGTATCTCTATTTTATATGTTAACATTCCTCCTCAGCTTCAAGACCATCCACAATGGCAAAGAGGCAGAAAACTGGAGAGACAACTGAAACCCCGAGGGATGACACTCAAAGTACAAGGTAAAGACAAGTTTAGCATTACACGGGCATAACTCCATACTACGATACTTGTATAACTGTTGAATTAGTAATGGTCTCAAAATTCAAATAACTGAGTAAAATCATCAATCTTTTTTAAGAGTAGTTGAGGTTATTATTTTCTTTTCAATTTCATGCGAATTTACTATTGGTAGTAATAATAAACGACGTTCGACACATAATGTAAAACAAGAATTTGCGTTAGTGGAAATTAAAATATGACGTTATTGGTTATTCATTTCATAGGGAAATAAATGAAATGCCAAACATCAAACCTCCAACATAAAAAAAACATGTCATTACACTCAAACAGATGAAATTAAAAATAGGCCCTACAATTTACAATTGCAAAATAGTAAAATGCTAAAACAACGACCTCCTTTCAAATTAATCGAATCTCTATATTGCAAAAACCTGCAAGTACTCATGGTAATGAAGAGCCAACTCGGCCTGAAGCTGAACCGTGGAATAAACAGGATAGATAACAAATATAAATGAAATAGAATAAGTAGAAGAGATAAAAATCGATAGCGGAAGAAAAAAGGAGGAGAAGCAGCAAGTGTGAAAATGGTACGTATATTTTAGTTTAGTGACGTGTGTAAAGATAAATTAGTTAAAGGAAATTGTTGTCGATCAAAATAAAGACAACAACTTAAAAACCGACAATAATGCATACAATACCCAAACTTGAAATCAGCACACAACAAACAAATTATGGATGCCTTGCATGCATTACCCAAAATACCATGGAATCTTTTCTAGAGCCCTTCTTTGTGTTTGGCTGGTCTACTGTAGCGATGTTTTAATCAGGTACCCACCACTAATGTGTTCTAATGAAACATATGAAAGCCCTTAAAAGTGATCATATTATATATCCTAAGAGAACGACATTACATGTGAAAAAGTAGAATCCTTCACCGTAGAGGTGTTGTGGTCCAGTGGTTAATTCTCCGTACTGTGAACCACAAGGTACGGGTTTGGAACATCTCTGCCATAGCGCTAAAGTCTGTTGGCAAGACGTTAATTTACATTTGATACACTTCACCCAGGTGAGGTCCTGGTAGGATTATGCCTTGAAATACACTGTGCGCTGATAACGGCTGCCGAAGCTAAAGCTAGGGTAATAATTTCCAACGCTCTTTGGAAGCGCATAGGAACGTTATAATGCGTTATACGATGACGAAGCGGATCGTAATCAAATGATTGGTTGAGAGCGTACACGTGACCACGTTTTTATTTTGCCTAACACGTAATTTTAATAATGATCGGTCATTAGTAGATGCTAATGCCCGGTCATTAGTAAATTCATGTTATAAAACATCATTATATATAACAAATAAAACATCATCTTATAAAACAAATGATACACATCATTTTGGTCGGGCATTAGTAAAATTACCCACCCTCAGTAAAACTTCGAAACAGTCCAAACACCCTCGGCTATCGCCTCGGGCGCTCCAAAGGTACCTCGTGTTTTTTTTGTTTTTTTACCAATTCCCTCGCTAATGTGTATCATTTTGGAATAGTATAGTGTCATTAGTATAAACGTAAAAGAATGGTTTTGTCCAAATATTTCATATATCTATTTCATTGCATGAAAACACCACTCACATGACTAAGTATATCTGAAGTATTGATATAGTCAATAAATCTAAGAATATTACTATCTCACTTACTGGTGTATTATGGAAATTAACAATTGTGCCTTTAATATATTTTTTGCTAATTCTGTAAAATAATGAATTCACATACCGGTAACATGAAAGATAAAGCAGGAAGGAATTGAAAATTGACCAGGACGTTTCGTTACATTATTCACTTTGTGATTTATAATTCATGATTTCCAATTGATATATTAAAGCTTGAGTAGGTATGTTTTATAACCTTAAGTATACAATACATTAATTTCATAATTTTTTAATAATATTTCAGTGGTCAAACATCGAATCTTACTCTCGAATTGAGTAAAGTCATCACCAAAGTAGCAGACGCCATATCAAACGATGATGATTTAATGCGTCTTGGTCTTGAGCTTGGAGTCGAACAGCAACATATCGACCGGGCATTAGCGACGAATTGGAATGGAGGTGAAAAGACCAGTCATGGTAATTTGGTGATGCTCCAGAACTGGGCAAAGAAGGTCAAACAATCCGAGCAACTTCCAACTCTTAGAGCTGCTCTAAGGAAAACGAAGTTGATAGGAGTAGAGGAGAGCTGCCTGCCGATAGAAGGTGAATTCCATTTTTTCAGAAACTTTTAATATCCGCATCGATACGGTTTAATATCGGTTTATCAAAATTAAACTCATTATTTGCCGAACGAAAATTGGCCGCATGGTGAATACTTTTTGGTAAAAAGTAATCATAATTGGAGATTTATAATGTTTGAAAGTAGGGTGATGCATACACATTTGAAATACGATACATGCTCTGGCAATGATTGCTCTGCGATCAATATTTTTTACTATGGGTTCTTAACTGATCAAAAATTTATCTGAAATCACTTTGGAAATGTATACCAATGCCACATTTAAAGTTAATGAAATATTTTTCATAATACTCCTGCGTAATTCATTATCATGAATTTTATTACTTATTTTTCGGGAGGTGTATTTAATCATCTTTTTTTCTTCAAATCAAATGTGGTTAAAAGAAAGTCTTGGAAATTTTCTTTCGTCTTCAAAATGCCGTCTTCATACTCTCAATCGAGATCCGAAATCGGCTCCGCCTAAAATCTCTAAAATTCTGTAAAAGTTGACCCCTAAACACCGTAAATTGCCATAACTTTCTCATATCCATTTTGTTTTGTCTCAAATTTTCACAGTATCTTTATCTCATTATTGCACGTAAGGTTGATTTTCACGCACCAGTGGTTACGCATAACATAAACAGCACCCTCTAGAGCATCGATGAGTAGGTTTTGTTACCAAACCAGTTTCCCTGACCCTGTTCTCGAGTCCTGTAAAAAGGCAGCAGCCAGCTTCAATATATAACTCACATCATTCGATCCTCCCTATGAATTCGACAATGTCTGCCTTAAGTGCAAGTAGCGGGGGCATTATGTTTTCGGGTTGTCTGTCCGTATACGCACGTCCCGTTATCGTGATCGCGTTATCTCAGGAACCGATTGATGGATTCCCGCTGTATCTTGCAGAGCCAATAAACTTATTAGATTTGGGGTGACGTGATCAAAGGTCAAAGGTCAAAGGGCTCATTTTGTATGCAAAAACGGCTCGTGATCACATTTTTATTAGAACCGATGGACGGATTACCATCAAACTTAAGACATGTATATATCTTGCAGAGCCAATGAATTGATTCGATTTTGGGGTCATGGGGTCAAAGATCAAAGAGTCATACATGTAAATGAAAAATAGCTTGTAATCACGATATTCTGAGAACTTGGTAATGGATTACAATCAAACATGATATTGCTATATCTCAGTTTATATTTGTTGCGTCTCTCTATCTCTCTCAGCAATATTGAATTCAATTGGATAGATGTTTACCGAGATAAATAGTACAATAGAAGGCTATGGTAGAATGTATTTTCACGTCTAGACATGTGAAAATGTTTCATGACAATGCAGCAAGTCCATTTATAACGATTGAAATAAATGGCAATTCAAAAGTCACACACAAGTGACACAACAACAAAAACAGTTTTAGCCACTGCTTCTAACAACATCCTAATCAGATCTATTGTTTCCCCTATGATATTGCTGATGTGCAATCAAAAGCAGGCTCAATTACATCTGGCCAATACGAAGACAGCGTCCTGGTCCCAGCTAACATCCCGTTTGATTTTCCCACTGAATACGAGCCCGGGCGTGGCTATGTGCTCTTTATCAACAACTTTTTCACTGGAAAAAAAGGTCAACGGAAGGGTAAGATGTTACTTTGAGTTGCATATATGAATGATAATGAAAGTAGAATTCCCTGTTGCAATGCAATGCAGTTTTGCCTAAATTTTCACTTTTGACTTGGCCCAATATCCAGGTGTACATTTCTTTCAAACGGGGCAACATGGCTTTTTAATGATACCAAAATCAAGTATAGTAAGGAGAGAGGAATCGATGCTCAAATTTGAATTCCAAAACTTTAAAAAAGGAGTTTAGTTCAGTGGCGGATCCAGGAAAGGGGGCCGGAGGGCCCACCCCCTCCCCCCCCCCCCCTGGGAAAAAAAATGTGGATTTTTACATTTGTTAACGTTAATTTGACCTTTTTTCGGAGAAGGCCTCCCCCCTGACGCTCAAGGGGGGGGGGGGGTGCAAATTTTCAATTTTTCGAGGGCCCCCCAAAAAACAAATTAGTGCTCACTACCCCCCCCCCCCCCCCCCCCCCCCCCCCCACTGAGCGAATTTTCGACCGGCGAGATTTTCAATTTTTTTTGGAGCAAAAACAAAAATTAGTGCTCACTACCCCCCCCCCCCCCCTCCCCCCCTATGATGGATCACATGCTTTTCATAATCTTTTTTCTTCCTTTTAGTTTCTGTTATATACCTTGTAAGTTGGCATTCAAACTTAAAAACTTATTTGCCTCTCGTTGAATGCTTTTGTTCACAATGTAATTATTCTTAGTTCCTTCAAATGGAAACTATCAAGAAATGTGATTTTCAAGTTCTACTGAGTTGCCCTTCTGTAGATACTGTGATATATGATTACATTTGTGGTCATTGTTTTCTTACAAGTATTGCTTTTTCCGTTTACCGTTTCTGTTTAAAGGGGAAAACCCTTAAGCTCTTTTTTTGTTTCTAATGAAATTGATTTCAGAAAAAATCCCCTTCTTGAGGCTTGTTCTGATATGGCACAGTAAACTGCAGCAAAAAAGCCACTAAATTAATGGCACAGCGCGCGCAAGAAAGGACTTGCACATATTCACCAAGCTCTGTGTTATAACATACAGAGCTGTGTATCTACATGAGTAATTATACATAAACCAACGCGGTTTTGTCGTTTCATATCTGAACAAGCCTTTGCGTGTGAAGTTTGACAGGTGATAAACAGAAAGATGAACTTTTTAAATTTAGCCATCATTTATTTTTGACTTAGAATAACGCATCTGTGTATGAAATTATGATATTGAACAATTTCGTTTTTTTTAAGGTGATGGAGAATGACGCATCTGTGTTTAAAATGACAATATTGAATGATTTGGGATATTGAAAAGGTGACAGAGAATGTTTGTTTTGCCCCTCTCCAGGTGCTGAGTTTGATGAGAAAAACATCAATAATCTGTTTAAAAATGTCCTCAAGGACTATCACCTTGAGTACAAGAAAGATGTATCTCTGAAAGAGCTTGAGGATTACCTGAAAGATGTAAAGGATACACTTTTGAAGGGTATCTACAAGAGCTTCATTTTTATGCTGGGCACACATGGAGCACCAAAGACGGTTGGACCTGACGGGCGTATGAAGGTAACCCATGGAATTTCATAGTTTCATTATTAAGGTTTCAATGATGTAGCTCTTCCTTTTCGAATTGGCACCACTCATTCTTCCAAATAATGTTTGAATTAAAACAAATTATTGAATAACTAATGTGAATGCTTATCACTAAATTAAACTGACAATAGCCAATTTGTATACAAAAATATTGCCAATTTAGATAGTTTAATGGTTGTTTACATTATAAATATTTCTTATTCATGAAGAAAACAACAACAGCACAATGTACTGCATTACAAGTGGACTAACAACTTTCAGAGATATTTGCTTTTTCTGGTCATGTATGTGTGTTATAGTAATAATAAAAGAGAATATTTATTTAGTGCATAATAAATTGAATATTTCTCTATGCACTTTACAATCATGACAAATTTGAATATATAAACAACATAATAAATAGCAAAGTGTAGTGTTGCCATAACACAAATACAACTACACCCCTCTCATCTACACTCCAAAATTTTAGAAGAAATCACGAATCATGAAAATTAGTTTAGATATGTCAGGCCTTCCTCATTAAAAATTCCTTTTAGTAACATGAATGATGAATTTAAAAACAATTGATGTGCTATTGTAAACTTTTCAGGCTTACAGAAATTCTCTGTTTTCTCGCTAATATGATGTCACATTTGGTCAATGTGATCTGTAATGAAACATGTCTAATTTCCAGAAAACCTTGCTCTCAAAAGATGCAATAAACCTGACAGAAAAGAAGTTAAAATATGGTTTAAAGCTGTAACTTTCACATTTGTATATAATGTACATATATACAGTGCGTCCCAGAAAAAAAACGAAACCGAGGATTATCGACATTTTATCATAACTTAGTCACATTTATAATTGGTAAATGACACATATTTGGAAGGCTAATCTCCTCTTCTTTCATTTGATGCAACTTACATGATGCATATTTCATGCATGAATGATCAAAGTGAATTTGAAGATGTCTCCAATGCTGGCTTGATTGTTTGATACAGCTCTGCCGGTACTGCCAACGAGGTTTAACAACATCTTAACCTTATTTGATTATTTATTGTTGAAAAAATAGTAACAAATACAAACCTACTAAAGCTTTTCATTTACATGCACCCATCAGAGTGCATGTAAATGACAAGAATGAAGCATAGTAAGTCTTTATTCGTGGCTATTCTTTGATCTTGTATGATTGGGGGGGGGGGGGCGTCCGGATACTTACTAAACATAACGACTTTTCTTTTGCCTTTGGATATAACAGAAAAGGTTCATCAGATATCACTAAATTTCATGAATATTTTTCCTTTATATTATTGTCCAACATTAGTCTTAGTGATTTATGAAATATTGCTTGTAAACTTCTTCTACTGTTGTTTTAAATCAACTGTCCAAATACAATACATGTCCGACATACAACGTCTGGGTATACTAATCATTTCTTTGTTAATTGTTTCGTAGGATGGAGTACAGATGGCTGATGGTGAATGGATGTCGGTTGAGAAAATCGTCAGCAATTTCCATGGTGACCAGATACCAGCAATGAAAGGTAATTGATTTCGAAAAGATGCATTCTTTCTAGTCTCTACTGACAAAGACCCCTTTCAAATATGACACGGCAAAACTGTTGCGTTCTTTTTTTTTCGATGACGTAAATTAAGTGTCATATAATGCTTTTTATTTTTGTTTTTTTAAACACAGAGCTCAGTAAATTCGCGCATTGCCAAGGACTTTGTTGTGCACAGTTGCTATTCATTTATACAGAAGACAAAAACCGTGGTGACTGTTTTGCTACGGTTTACTTTGCCATATCTGAACAAGCCTTATCATGATGGATGTGAAAATACAAATATACAAAATTGAAAAAAGATTAATCGATAATCCAAAGCTACTCACTGAAGTAGTAACTATACTGTATTGATTCCACTCCGTAACATGACAAAGATGTTGCCTGGTCAGGCAAGGCACTCATCCTAAGGGGTCCTTCAGATATGAAGAGGTAAACAAGAGGTAAACTTCGCACAACAAAGATCCTACGTGTATTCACCGAGCTTTGTGTCATATGATACAGAAATGTGAAGTGTAGTACACTGACGTCATAATAAAAAGAGTCAGCGGTTTACAGCATCATCGATGTATCTGAACTAGGCGTACGATCTCTCCAGAATCAATGTAACATTTTATTATAAACAAGGCAATGAGATTAAATGTATGTGAGAAAACAAAAATGAAAGCGTAGAGATTAAAGCCCATTTTGTTGATCAACAAATGATAGGTGAATTAATGTTGACATTATTAAATCACTATAGTTGGCTAATCAATTTGAAGCATTATCCTCATAAAACACATTATCATATGACAAGGGAGGAAATTGTCCTGTTCAATGATGTATGATACATTATCTAGTTATGTTGACTTGTAAATGATGACGTATTGCTGGGGTTTCCCTTTTCTCAAAACACCATTTGCTTTTTTGTTGTTCTTCTTCTTTTGATGTATGTGCTTGTAAATCGTTTGCAGTGTTTTAAAGGTCAGTTGAAATCCCATTCATGTTGATGTGCAGGGCTGCATACAAATAATATTTTGTTTAATGTTCTCAAACCTGCTAAGTTCCACCCTAAAAGATGCTTCAGATCTCATTCCCTAAATGACATCATCTGTCAATCATTAGTGAGCTAACAAAAGACAGTGGTATGTAGCTTCACCAGAGCTGACAACCTAATTACAATGACCATATAATACTAATATAGGAGTTGCTATGTCAGACGCGCTGTAGCATTACCAGGAAAAGAAAGGTAATGTGGAGGTATTGTATGAGCCTGCAATTCTTTTGTGAGCATATGCTGGTTTATAATGTGCATAATATACCCCCCCCCCCCTAAAAAAAGACGGAATTTATTATAATAAATGAGATATTTCAAACAAAAATAGTGTTTATGAGTGGTACTCTATATAGGGTGTGTCAGACAAAGGCTGATTATCTAGAAAATGGCTATTTAGATATTAGCTAAGCTATTTAGATAATATTCCATTACCAAGACATTTCACAGGATTTCTTGAGGGAAATTTCTGTCCGTCACCTACGTAAGTGAATTATCTAGGTAATTCAAGATCGGGAAAATTGTGTCTGACACCGTCTTATGTGTGTGTGTGTACCATTTGTCCATTCGATATATCAGACAATACAGAAATCACTCGATATGACCTTATATATAAGTTGCATTCTGGCATTACTATACAGTATACATTATCACAGAGAATACACAAGTTGCTAGACTCCAAATAATATGTCAAAATTTCAATTTTTCTATTAAGAGATCATCCCTCTCTTTATGTCTACCTACCAGACAAGCCAAAGGTCTTCATTATCCAATCATGTCGTGGGGATAAGATGCAGCCCTCTGTACAATCGTCTGATAACGCAGAAACAGTGTCGAATGAGAAGACGAAGAACGACCCCCAGCCAGACTTCCAGCCAGCCTACCGCCCCGTCAACTCGGACATTCTAATTGCATATGCAACCTCAGAAGGTATGATTCGTTATTTGTCTGCATGTTCAGAGCTAACTCCAGGGACACCTAGCTGCATTACTATCCTGGCTGTGTATTAAAAGTTGTTGTATTGATTCTCAACATTTCAAACACCACTGTAAAAAACTCAACTGATTTTACTAAAAATCGGTACTTTATATTTAATGACACCTGATAGCAGTAAACTACTTTTTTTTCAACTTACTGATGTTAAAAAGAATAATTTAAAAATTCAAGTTGTAAGTCTGCTGTCAAATTTGCCGATCAACCACATCGGTTCTATTACAACAGTGTGTGGTGTGTGTGTATTTGTGTATTACACCTGCCTCTCAATAAATATGCAGTGATTGAGGTCAATACGCATTTATAGCATTGACTCTATGCTTCGATATTCTGGACACGTCTGGCTTTTGAGGCGGGTTAAACCACATGCGGTCGTTTATACATGTACATACTACAGGAATACATAATACAGGAAAAATCCTTAAAAAATTGAAATAAAAAGCATTCAATACAACAAAAAACATTTATTCACCATGCATTCGTGTGCATACTCATCTAATCGGTGTTGGAAATCGGGGTCATAGTGACACACATGGTTTAATTAACACGACCCCGTCTGGTCTGAATGCGCTGACAAAATTTAAAGGGACTCAGTAACATTGTTTAGATGAGAGAAAATGGTGCTAATTGAAGTAGTGACTTCAATGCTAAATGTACAAGTAAAGATAATCTGAAAGTTTGAGTGAAAACTTATTAACGATAAAAATTGGGAAAAACTGATCTGATAAATTCCCTAATTCTCCCAACTATATTACGATTTAATTATATTTTAGGTGACGTAAATCGTCACAAAGCAATGAATTGGCTCTATATACCATTCCAGACATTTAAGTGTTGACAGATTTTTTATAGCCTGTTTTATGACTTTTTTTCAAGGATAAACGGTTGGGAAAATTCAAAAATGGTTGGGAGAATTTACTGTCAATCACTGTTAGAAGGTGTTGACCAGTGACACCTTCATAAAAAAGATATATAAATATCTTTGTGGTTTCAGGATTTTCTCAGGATTTTTTGCCTGTAAGAGGGTAAGTACAGTATAAGGACTATAATAAGTAACATTTCATACAAAAATTACACAAATTTTTCGTCAACCTTCAACAATGTTACCGAGTCATTCAAAGAAAATCACAAATATGTCAACTAATGCATCACTACAAACTGGCAAGCTAACAGATGGCCATCGTACAAGTTTTAGGTCAACTACATATCGGGTAATTTATTAAAATACAAACACAACTACCTCCATAGCAGCTGGGAAATGCGAGAGATTCGCCAGAAAAATAACGATGTTTTAATGACGTCACCATATGGACCAATACTAACCTAGCAGACGACGTCCCATAAAGAATGAACATAATAGCAAAGCTATTATTTGTCAAATTATAATGAGTTAAGTGTTTATAAATGTAATGGCATGTCAAACCATTCAGGGGGATATGACCCGATTCTTGTAACTAAAATCTTCTGCTTGTAAATACACAGGATAGGGGTTAATTAACAATCAAAGAAACCAGACTTTCAAATTAAAAACAAAAAACGGAATGATATTAAGGACGGCATTTGTTTCCTCTTGAAACGCCGAACATACCGCGGTGTGTGCAGCTGAATATACAATGGCGTCTTTATATTTTGTTTACAAGCGACAGATCCCTTTATTTTTGTATCGCTGCATTTGTCATTAAAATAAAACCATGCGCGGGGTTTCTGTTTTTGTTTCTGTTTCGGTTGCGTCGGTAGATTCAGGTTTAACTGTACTTCACCAACGTTTTGATTTGTATGGTCGTGGTTGTGCTACGGAAGGAGAGGTGTTTCACATTTGAAGTTTCTGCTTGAAGACTGCACTGGAGGTAGACATAACTGTTTCCTCCTTGAGTAGGTTCCATTCTGCTACTGTCCTGTTGAAGAATGAGTATTTATGCACGTCCTTCTTAATCAGTACCCTCTGGATTCTTTTGCTGTTCCCTCTAGTTGTTCTTCCCCCCCTCTGATGTTGGTTTGAATGTATATGTGTCGGCCTTGATTCCCACTTCTCCGTTTATGATCTTGTACAGGAGTTGAAGTCTGGCAATCCTCCTTCGATTCTCCAGTGAATCCCACTCTAACTCCTTGATCCTTTGGGAAACACTGCTCTGTTGCTTGTAGTCATTCATGCAGAATCTAGCTGCCTTCCGTTGATTAATCGATTCGATGAGAAGAATGTCCCCTTTGCGGTACGGGTCCCATGAACTACTGGCGTACTCCAGGATAGGTCTGACCAGCGTTTTGTATGCAGACTCTTTGATGGCCTTGGTACAAAACCAGAGGTTTCTTCTTAGGAAACCAAGCACCTTGTTGGCTTTGGAGGTGAGCTTCGTGAAGTGAGTGTCCCATCTCAGCTTGTTGTCGATTTCCACACCGAGGTAGGGAAAAGAAGACACTTCTTGCAGTGGTTGACCACAGAAGGTGTAATTCCTATTCGGTGGGTCCCGATTGTTGGAGATCTTCATGACCGTACATTTGGCTGGGTTGAAAGACATGGCCCATTTGCTCTGCCAAGCTTCGAGTTGGTGGAGATCCTCTTGGAGGGTATCCAATTCTTCTCTGGACTTGCCGTTTGTATAGATGATACAGTCGTCGGCGAAAAGTCTGGCATTGCTGCGAAGATTGTCTGGCAAGTCATTGATGAACAGCAAGAACATCAGTGGGCCGAGTACCGTTCCTTGCGGTACGCCTGACAAGACTTTCTTAGGTTTTGATGAAGTGCCATTGCAGATTACCTTCTGTGTCCTTGCTGTGAGGAAATGTCTCAGCCACTGAAGTAGTGGACCTCTAATTTCATGACAGTCTAATTTCCCAATCAATCTTTCGTGGGTCACCTTATCAAACACCTTGGCAAAGTCAAGGATTGCCATGTGGGTTGTTTCTCCATTCTCCACATTTTTAGTCAAGTCATGGGTAGTAAGGATCAACTGTGTCACTGTAGAGTGTTTTGCCCTGAAACCATGTTGGTTATCCGCCAAGATGCCATGGGCCTCTAGATGTTTCATTATGTGAGAGTGGATGACATGTTCCAATATCTTGCTGATCACACTTGTTAGAGAAACTCCCCGGTAGTTGGCAGGTTCTTCCTTGGGCCCTTTTTTGTAGATGGCACAGACATTGGCATCTCTCCACTGAGATGGGAGAACTCCTTCGTCCGTAGATTGCTGAAAGATGTCTGTCAACACCGGAGTGATTTCTTCTGCACACAAATGTAGCATCCATGGTGAAATACCATCTGGTCCAGGGGCTTTATTGGGCTTGACCTTTTTAAAATGCTTCAGAACACCCTCGTTCGTTATGGTCAAGGTTGGTATGTCAGGAACACCGCTCCTTCCCAGGGTTGGAACGTCTAATGTATCTTCGATGTTGAATACACTAGCAAATTGGTTGCTGAGAGCCTCTGCTTTTTCCAAGTCATCGCTGATGATTTTGTTAGAAACCTTGAGATCAGCAACACCAGACTCTTCCTGTCTCATTTTCTTGACAAAATGACCAGAAGGCCTTCGGGTTCTCGACCGTACAGTGGGACAGGTTATCTGAGACGTAGTTCCGTTTAGCACTGTTAAGTTCTCTTCTGAGAGAGTGACTGAAGGTCCTGTAGATCTCCCAGTCTTTATTATCCTCAGATTTTTTGGCTTTGTTGTACAGCTTCTGTTTTTTCCTACAGAGCCGTCTAGCTGTGCTTCCTTTCAAACCATGGGAGGTTTCTTCTGTTACTGGAGGACTTTGATGGAACATGCTCGTTCACGACTAGTTTGATCTTATTCTCAAGCAAGTCCCATTTCTCTTGGACAGATAAGAATGAGTTTAGAATGAGGCAATAGATTATACATTTAGCCTGATGGTAGCGAAGTAACAGAAAGAACTCAAGAGAAGATGGAAACACAGGCACTGAAAATGTGTGAGATGTCTGCATGGGACATCGTCTGCTTGTGCCCATCATGTCCATACTGTGATCTTACACACCTCAGCAGCGTTCGGAGAGCTCTTCAGGTGCTATGCCGGGGCTGTATTTAAGCGTTTTGTAATTTATAATAATCATTACTTCGATTGCTTCCAGGCATTGCATTTTGATAACCTTGTCGAATCAAAGTTTCAACTTTGCAATAATGAAAATAAAGTTAGTTTTTAAATCAATGAATATCTACTTTAAGGCAGGTCGACGGAGGGTTAACTGGCCCTCTGTAAATGTGTTTACGGCCAGACTGTGGCAGTTTAGCCTCAATCTCGCACAGAATTGATTTGGGTTTGATCTGGATTGATTGTAAGTCCTCCAGTCAAATTAAAAACTTACCAACCCTATCTCTTTACTACAGAGTTGCAATCAATACTCAGGTCACGATCAATTTGAATCAATCTCCACTCTTTAAAAAATGGAATTCCAGTCTATAAGGTATCTATTCTTAATAGTAGAATTGTGTTTTTTTTAAACAACATTATTATCTTGTCAGGTACTTTGGCGTGGCGCAATGAGGAAGAAGGATCCTGGTTCGTAACAGACCTATGTGAAGTCATCACGGAGTGTTACGACAAAGAAAACATGGTAAATATCCTTATTCGAGTCAACGGCCGTATGGTGTGTCGAGAAGAAAAGACTAAAAAACAAGAACGTATTAAACAGATGCCGTGCTTTTTGTGTACATTCACCCGGCAGTTCATGCTAGCATATCCTATAAAGTAAGGATGGATACAAAAAAGGTAAATCCGAGGTACCTTGAGGTAATTTGATCCACTTGCATACAATTCGGTACCAACACCCATTGGTCCTAATGTCCAACGGTACCATATCCATTGGTCCTAATGCCTATCGGGTCAGGCAGTCCATTGGTACCGTTTTCCATTTATTCAGACCGTCTATTTGTACAAATCCGATTTATCTAATTTAAGCCTGTATTGTACAGACTTAAAAATCACTGAAATAATGCTTGCATAGCTTGCCTGGCATACATTGTAGCGACGGTTATTGTATCTATGTTTGTTTTTGTGGTGATTTAAAAAAAAATCCTATGAACCTATTACTTGTAAAGCAAGTGCATGTAATTATCTCAAGATGCATTTTAATACTCATGTTCTAAGAAAGTTTTTGTATGTTAAGGTTATTGTTTGTATTCCATGATTTATATTTGATTTCAGAATGGAAATTAATATTTCATATATGTGAAAGTCATTGAGCTTAATGTAAAATTATATTTCTTCTAAACATCATGCTGCATTCTGACCATTCATGAAAGGCAACAGCCTGCATTCTTGCAAAGCATCTACATATAAGCCAGGTTTAAATCTCACATAAGTGCAAAGATTTAGCGCACTAATTTAACATTTGTTTAGCTAGCAAATAAGACAACATAGTTTTCAGAATAAAGCCCGATAATTTTGTAACTATATGTAAAAAAAAAAAATTATAAAAAATTCTTAATGAAATTTGCTTCTTAAGATTCATTTCAAGCCTGACTAGTTTGTTATATGTTAGAGTAGTTTGTAGAGAATAGTTTGTATGGGACGGAAAGGGATGCACTTGAACCGTCGTAAATTAGTTGACTTATATAAGCCGGGTTTATATCTTATCGACATTCAAGAATTGGGCCGAGTCGGTTTCTTTAGAATACTGAAATATCTTTTGAATTAAAATTCTTCTTCGAATCATTATTTTATTGGGGTGATGCGTACTTTATTTGTTTTTGTTTTAGAGTACATGGATTAGCTAAGGGTTGTTAAATGTGATATGGTTTAGTAACCAGGATTGCAGTTTTGTTCTTTTTTTCCCCCTCTCTCTTCAGTTTGTGGTGATTTAGTGTCTTGAATTATTCTACAAATAATATTTTGCTACATTCCCGGTTGTAAGCTCTTGATTAAGCCAAAAACTGTTTGCATTGTAAATATTCACTTTGCCCCCTCCCCTTGCTTTTCATTACTACGTGCTTAATCGAGTACAATTTTGAATATACATGTTCATGTATGCCTAGATATTTTAGATTTCAAGTAAATACAGTTAAGAAAATTGGTGTATTTGACGCTTTGCAGCTCAATTGCCTTGCATTCAATTCAATATTATGACTAGTATGTAACCTGAAACGAAAGAGAACACAAATACATGCAATGTAGGTCTTGACTGTTCAACGATATTGTCACTAAACCAAGTTTTTTTTAATAAAGTTGACTGTGTTTGTCACATTTTATCGCTCATGTTATGAGTTTCATGCCTTAGTAAATATATTGCATACAAATGGATTTCTACATCATTATTCTATATATTGGGATCGTAAGGAAACAATATGAATTGACTTACCTCTTTAAGAACTCTTTTTATGTTTTTTTTTAATCAAATATGATCACAAAGACGTAGAAAATCATCCTAACAGATTTGTCGAAGTTAGTTGCAATCATGTTTTATGCAATTTATCATTACAAAAGGTGATGTTTAAATGAAAAAGGCGTAAGTTGACATTTTAAAATTCAATGTGTTTGCGATTTATATGATAAGAATTGAAAAGCATGGTGTAATTGTATCGAAATGTATGAATTTAAAGTGCTTCCATTGGGCCAATCACTAATATGCTGAATAAAATTATGACGATGTTTTTTAGGTACCCGTGTTCCGACCTCGAATTATGAAATCAATAATCTAAAGTAAATAGGGAGTTGATAACAATCTTGCAACATAATTAATTAAATTGTATATATTTACTTATGAACGGTATAAAAGTATGAAATAGACAAGGTAAACGTCTTTTCACTCTATAAAGAAAATGAAACAATATCAACGTAAATTCTTTAGATATGATATCTTATAGATATTATTTTGTGAAATTCAATTTAGCTAAAATACAATAGTTGGATTTGTAGTACATGTATATTTCCAGTGAGCTTACTTTTTGTAGATACAGAGCAGTACTAAGATCATGGCATAATAAATTGTCCTTTCATCTATAATGATCAAACAGTGTTGTTAAATGTGTGTGATTTTACATAAATCAGTCTCTCACACCTCCGCTATCCTTATCCTTTCTATTCTTTTATTCCATCCCTCCCCTTTACAAATCCACCAATCTTCCTAAATTCCAAATTTATCACTCTTTATCTTTCTTTTTTCATGATCTCTCTATATTTCTCATTTTCCCGTCATGACCTCTCTCTCTCTATCATCATTCTATGTCTATCATTACTTCCTTATATGCAGCCTTTCCCTCTCTTCCCCTCCTACGCTTCTTCTTCTCTCTCTCTCTCTCTCTCTTTCTCCTCTCTCTCTCTCTCTTTCTCTCTCTCTCTTTGTTCTTCTTCTTTGTATTGTTATTCTGTAACTTCTTTTTTTGTTTTCCTTTTTCTTCATCTTTTACGTCTACTTCTTCTAATTCTTCTGCATGACGTTTTCAAGGCACAGTCTATTTCTGTCATTCAGTTCAATTCGTATTTCATTTCCTACAGAAAGATCAACAAAGGCATTACATATGTTATTACAGAAAATATGACCAAAATGTATGTACATTTTCATTTCTTTATCTTGATAAGTATAAAAATACACTGTACAGTGTACACAAAATAAAATTATTACAAGATATTCTTAATTTCTGAAGAAATAGGAAGATCTACTTAAAACAGTGCTTGCAGTTTGTGGTTTCCCCAGAAGAACAAAAAAATCGTTTCAAATAGTGCCTACAAAGAATTGGAAAACACAAAACGAGAGCACTTTTTTTTTGCCCCGGAAATTGGCAAATTACGCCGTCAGATATTTCGTTCAGTGGCTTAGTGGGGGTGGGAGGTATACTCTTCTTATTTTTGCCTCCTTTAGCTCCTTTAGCACCAAAACAAAAATTAGGGGGGTTTAACCCTAAAACCAAAAATGATGAGAAATGCGGACAGATAATAGAGAGATGGGGAGAAGAGAAGAAAGAGCGGGAAGGGGTAAAGAACGTGAGAGAAGGAAACAAGGGGGTCGATCGGAACACAGAGGATGGGTAGCAAGTGATGCAAGAGAGTGTGTATAAAACAGAGGGGGAGAAAGAGAGAGAGATAAGGGTGGGGATGAGACAGAAAAAGTTTTAAGCTTCCGCATTTTCTAATTTAGCACATACTCATGCTCACGTCATTTAGCCTACAAGAAACAAATTTTGAATTGTCAATATTCGAATGGGCTACACGAATGAATATTGCACATGAGAATGATCGCGTTGCAAAAACAAGGAAATGCAATCAGATATCCAATAATGCAGTTATAGATTTCTCTTTCGTATAACCACAAAATGAAAGTTATGCCAAGTATCCAGTTTCGGTGTCATTTCAAAGTAAGGTTGGGATTTCCCAATTTGGAACCGAAATCAGTGGTGGAGTTTTGATATCATTTCATGGTAATGTTGGGATTCCCCATTTCAGAACCGTATTCAGTAGTGGATCTGCGCCCCTCCCGTTGGCGGTCCCCAAAAATTGGAAAAAGGGAAGAAGATGGACGAAGGAAAGGAGACACGAAAGAATGTAAATCAGACCTCTGCGATTTTGTAAATTAGGGGAACTACAATTAAGATTAGTAAAATTTTAGCAACATTCTGACATAGCTTATTATGTATAGGGGAGGACTGGGTGGTGAGACACGAAGCATTATGTTAGACAATTTTTTTAAAACTTTGGAACTTGGTAAATATTTATTGTAGCCTCTCCATTTTACATCGTATGTGTAATGCTAGACCGAAAACTTCAGTCTCTCTAATCGTCGGTTGTTCCACTGAGACTACGTCTGGCTCCACTAGACCTTGTATTGGGGAATGTCAACAAATGTCAGTTTTATTAAAGAAATGACTCAAATCAGACGGTTATTTCTGTCTAGTATAATGCTTATGCTAAGCTACATAGTGGCATATTCAGTGTAATGGACTCTCCCTACCATTTTAGTTGTTATGCAATTAATAATTAGAATAGATGTCTTAAACGGGGAGAAGTGGGTCACCCTCCGGTTGACCTGGGACAGAGCTAGGGTGAAGTGGGACAAAACTCACTAAAACATTAAAATCACAATTTAAACAGGTGATTGTCCCTAAGTAAGTGCTGGAGATACTAAATTAATAAAGAACTCTAAAATAGGAAAGTTTTACAATCGGCTTGAAAACCGACCTAACGGTATATACCCATTGTAAATATATTGCATAAATTGACGAACATTTTTTTGGTCAGTTATATCTAAAATCTTAAAATCGTATCCGCCACTAATTTATTGCACTAACTTTTCTTCTTTTCCTTCTTCTTCTTCTTCTTCTTCTTCTTCTTCTTCTCCTTCTTCTTCTTCTTTTTCTCTTCTTCTTCTTCTTCTTCTTCTTCTTCTTCTTCTTCTTCTTCTTCTTCTTCTTCTTCTTCTTCTTCAGAAGCGGATCTAGAGGGGGGGGTTGGGGGGGTTGCAACCCCCCCCAAAAAAAAAATCCGGGGACCATTTTTTTAAATCTTATCTTTTTTTTAAAACTTGTAATTTTATTTTATTCTATTTTTAAGTATTTATTTCATTTATTATTATTATTATTATTATTATTATTATTATTATTATTATTATTTCTTTTTTTTTTTTTTTGGGGGGGGGGGGGGGGGGGGGGGGGGTTGGGCGAACAAATGTCACAGAGTCCCTTGCCCCCCCCCCCCATCAGCTTTTTTGAGGACACGGGCCACCGCCGAAGTGACAAGCTAGGCCAGCGTTGCCGATTCTCATCCCCAAAATCCCCACATTAAAAAAAAAAAAAAATTGGGGGATTGTTGAAGTCTTTGGGGATGAAAAATAAATATTTGGGAATGAAAATAATATTGAGTTTTATGAAAAACGAATTTGGGGATTTTCTGTCAAAATTTGGCAACTTTGGGGATATTTTAAGTGTCGTTTGGGTGGGGATTTTGTGAAGATTTAACCTGGCAACGCACGCTGAGCTGGGCTGCTCATTTCCTGGATTACTTGTTCAAGTTGCTCACTTTTTTATCAGTCTGGTCTGAGTGTAGTGACAAGCAATATGGAAGCAAACAGGGCAAAGAAGTTGCGGCAATCCAGTCTCGCATCTTTTTTTACTGGAAGGTATGTTTGAATCATGCAAAAAAGTTGGCATACAGGGTAAATTACCATACATGGGGGTGTAATACGGACGTGTTCATGCACTGCTTTTTATGGTCTCCATTGTGTTAATAGATGCCAGGAAAACATCACTTACGGGGTTCAAATAAACACCCCAAAAAAAATCGGCTCGCCGCTTCGCGGCTCGTGGACGATGCTCCGCATCGTCATTATTGGTCAACCCCCCCCCCTTAGCAAAAAGCTAGATCCGCCCCTGTTCTTCTTCTTCTCCTTTTCCTTCTTCCTTTTTTCTTCTTCTTCGCCTTCTGATATTCAGTTTTCCCATTTTTTCATATACATGTATCACTGATAAAAGTTTATCCAAACTTATAGTTCACAAATGCAATAATATACGCTTATATTAATCTTAATGACTTTCAATATACACTATTATATACAAAAAGAGACAACTTCTACGGACATAAACCTCAAACCACATTCTGCTTCCTTCTATATGCACCGAGCATATCTTGTCCTGTACTATAATTCATCGTTTGATGAAATCCATGACATCGACCAAGCAGGGAGGTGGGAAACCAAGGAAGCGCGCGCCCGCCCACGAACCGTATATACTCGGGGAATCCCCGTGATTTTCGCTGATCCCATGTACCATCTGCTTTTATGTTCGACATATTGCATTGGTAGGTGGACTCAGCGTACAACCCGGAACTCAACCCATGGAAGCTGAAGCGTCACTCATTAGTCATAGCGCTAGATAGAGCATGAAACTTTGTGACTTGCATATCAATCAGCACTTGTAAATTACCAATGCGTGCACACCAATCAATGCGGCCTGGATACCGGTTTCGTAATTCTACATGGCAGCAGGTACTCGTGGGCGAAAGATACCACGGCGTGTGACTGGTGTTCTAATCTGACTGCGATCGGCGCGGCGGGAAGTCCAGTGGAATTCAAGGTACGTAGATCTAGATCTCTTCTAATTTCTAGTGTCAGATCACTGCCAACCATTTGCATGTCATTAAATTTATGACAACTGTCTTAAAGTTTAGTAGAGGTTCATTGAATTTGAAAATGATTTAGTTTGTATTATATAAATGAAGGTTAGATCGAACAAGTTAATACAAATTCCCTTTTTTGGAAATATTGGAAATATCATTCAAATTCAAAAGGGTCTTCAATGGTCTTCGTACGTTAGTCTTTTTGTATTGTGTGATTGATTTGATCTGTATAAAATTGATGTAAATTTGTTGTTATTTTGTTTTTTGTAACTCAGGAAGGAAAGGAAGACTTGCTGAATTAGGGGATTTGTTGAATAAAATTTAATATGTAAGCTTTAAAGATAAAGACCAGTTATGGTCATGCGATTGCATTGTGAAAGAAACGTGGAATCGATCAGAAAAGGTTGATCATCCAACATATGTACTGCAAGGTTCTGGAATCAGGCGCGTAGCCAGGGGGGGCGGTGGGGGCAGTCGCCCCCCCCCAAAAAAAACGTCGGCCAAAAAAAAAAAAAAAGAGAGAAAAAAAGAAGAAAGGAAGAGGACGTAGGAAGAAAAAGGATTAAGAGTCGAGAACGGTACAACGAATCGTCTCCTTTCTCTAATAATTTAATGAGACGTCTAAGCTTCCATGCTTCGCGCGGGAGGGGAGGGAGGAACTGAATTCAGATAAGGATTAAGAGTCGAGAACGGTACAACAAATCGTCTTCTTTCTCTAATAATTTATGAAACGTCAAAGCTTCCGCGGGAGGGGAGGGGGAAACTGAATTTAGATAAGGATTAAGAGTCGAGAATGGTACAACGAATCGTCTTCTTTCTTTAATAATCTAATAAAACTTCAGAGCTTCCGCGCTACGCACGGAGGCAGGGGAACTTGATTCAAACAAAAATTAAGAGTCGGGGACCGTGACGGTACAGCGAATCGTCTTCTTTCTCAAATGAAACGTCAACAGAAACTGAATTTAGATAAGGATTAAGAGTTGAGAATGGTCCAACGAATCGTCTTCATTCTCTTATAATTTGATGAAACCTCAAAGCTTTCGCGCTTCGCGCGGAAACTCCCCCTCCCTGCACCCTCCCCCCTAGGGAGCGCGCTACGCGCGCACTGTAAGTGATTCGCACGCTTTGCGTGCTCACTACCGCCCCCCTAAAATGAAATCCTGGCTACGCGCTTGTCTGGAATCATCAAAATGATAAGAAATTTGGCCCAGTCTTCGTAAAGTTACAAGCACTGTACACAGAAAGATATATATGGGACTACGCACACGTGTGCAACACGTGCGTTTATCTCTCACATACCAATAGATAAACCAATTTACCAAATATATCAATTAGTAGGCGGTTAAGCGGTTTGCCGGCAAAATTGTTATCATCATGTACTAGTCAAAACATATTCTTTCACCTGATTGGTTATAATGAGCTTCCATTTCATTTTTTGAAATTGGGGCGTTTCCAAAACTGGTCTTTACCTGTACCTTTAATATGTGACACTAATCAGGACAAATTGTTACTACAGTAATTTGTATTTACATACTTTAAACAATTATAAAACTTGGTAAGGGTGTGAATAATTGAGTATGTTAACTGTATGTTGTGTGGATCACCGCTGCAATTCTCAATCAAAATAGTCAATAACATGTTTATGAAGGATGGGACCTTTTCCTTTCCTTTTCTCACAAAAATTGGTTTCTATAAAGATAGAGGAAGTACTTGGATCAAATTTTTAGGATGGACTGTGGTCGACAAAGAATTCAAGTTATCAAATTACTGTAACTGAGAGTGTAGATAACAGGAAGAGGTTAAAAGCTGGAATAAATAATGATGATATTCATGTACACAAACATGGTTTAGTAAAAGTGTTTGTGCACATTTGATCATCTTTGATTTATCATACACAAGAGTCCTTAAAATCAATCACAACCTTGATTTATAAAAATTAAAAAAAATCAGCAGTATATACTCTTCCTTAATTGTCAATATGATGATTTCATTGAATTGTTTTTGTACTTTTATGAGAGCTCATTATGAAGCTTTCCAAAGTTAAATCACTCACTGTTTAGTTCATTTTTCTATTAATAATTGTAGCATCCAATAATTATGATAATAATTAATTATGATAATGATGATAATGATAATGATGATAATAGGACTGATAATAATAATAATAATGATAATGATAATAATAAATAATATGCTATAAAAAAACAATAATGATAATGATAATATTGTAATAATGATAATGATAATAATAATATTGATACAAATAGTGATACAATGATGATATGCAATATTTATAAGATGTGTCTTCAAGCTACATGTATATTAACCATATTAAAGGTAAATACCAGTTTTGGATACGCCCGGCCCCCTCTCAAAAAATGAAACGGAAGCTCTTATTACCAATCATGTGAAGAATATGTTTTGACTAATACGTGATCATATACGTGATCATACAAATTTTGCAGAGAAACCGCCTACAAATTGATATATTAGGTAAATTATATCTATTTAGACCTGATAGATATAGGTAATGCACGTGTTGCATAGTCCCATATACATCTTTCTGTGTACAGTGCTTGTAACTTTACGAAGACTTGGCCAAATTTCTTATCATTTTGATGATTCCAGAACCTTGCAGTACACACCAATACTTATATGCTAGATGATCAACCTTTTCTGATCGATTCCACAATGTGTCTTTCACAATGCAATCGCATGACCATAACTGGTCTAATTGTTAAACTTTGTTCAATAAGTCTGTTCACCCAGTCTGGAATGTTCTTGATACATAGGAACTTGTATACACTGTATATCATACAAGCAACTTTTACTGATCAAATTAAGGGCTGCCTTTATTTTTACAAGCCTTTTGTCAACAATCTTGTTGACAAAATTTAATTTAAACAGGAATCCCACAACAGCTCAATTGTATTGTATTTATCACAGAGAATTCTCTTGTGTTTTCTTTCTTCCTTTCTTCAGTTTCAAGATTCTGAACTTGGAAGAAAGTTTTGACATTTATTTCGGAGGCATATCATTTGAAGAACAACTGGAGGTATGTCCGGGGAGGAGAAAGCAGAAAAGATTCACCGAGAATTATTCAAAGACATCAGCGCTGAAATAACAGATGGGGAACTTGGCCAAATCAAACGTAAGATCTTTCTCTTGAGAGAAAAATATATACAGGGCCAGTCAGACCTCACCGAAATCAATAACGATTACAAGATTTTAAAAATAGGTATACCCTACTATGTTGCGTGTACTTCTGAGTAAGGTCGTGAATGTAAAACCACTGGCTGTGGGAACCAGATGCTCACTGTATTAAGCCTATGGGAATAAGATAATTCAGTAGTCGACATATTAAGTAGGGCAACTGCAGGGTACATCTTCAATTCAAAATCTTGTTATCATTATCGTTATTGGTAAGGTCTGACAGCCCTTAAGTGTTTGTATAAGGACAACAAACTGTTATCGCCTGGATAACTACTCTCTGCTACATCAAGGACGACACCCCCCCCCCATCATACACACACTCTAGTACCCCCTGTCACATTTAGCTCCATGCTCTACCACTGAGCTATCGCCCCTCCATGCTCTACCACTGAGCCATTGTGCCTCCATGCTACCACTGAGCCATTGCGCTCCATGCTCTACTACTGAACCATCGCGTCTCCATGCTCTACCACTAGCCATTGTGCCTCCATGCTCTACCACTGAGCCATTGCGCTCCATGCTCTACTACTGAACCATCGCGTCTCCATGCTCTACCACTAGCCATTGTGCCTCCATGCTCTACCACTGAGCCATTAAGCCCCATGCTCTAGCTACTACTGAACCATCGCACCTCCATGCTCTACCACTGACCCATATTGTGCCTCCATGCTCTACCACTGAGCCAGCGCGACTCAATGCTCTACCACTGATCCATATTGTGCCTCCATGCTCTACTACTGAGCCATCGCGCCTCCATGCTCTACCACTTAGCCAGCGCGACTCAATGCTCTACCACTTTGCCAGCGCGCCTCAATGCTCTACCACTGAGCCATCGCGCCTCCATGCTCTACCACTTAGCTAGCGCGACTCAATGCTCTACCACTTCGCCAGCGCGCCTCAATGCTCTACCAGTGAGCCATCGCGCCTCCTTGGTCTTCCACTGAACCATTTTGCCTCCATGCTCTACCACTGAGCCATCGCGCCTCCATACTCTACCACTGAGCTATCGTGCCTCCATGCTCTACCACTTACCCATATTGCACCTCTATACTCTAGCTACCACTGACCCATATTGCACCTCCATGCTCAACCACTGGCCCATAATTGCGCCTCCATGCTCTACCACTGACCCATATTCACTATGAACATCACTGACAAAGAAAGCGGACAAAATATACAGTTCCTCAAGTAGACAAAGGAACATCCCTTCACTGCTATTATGTAAAAATGTGTAGAACAGGTGTCACATGTATATTCACCTTTTTACATAATAGCAGTGAAGGGATGTTCATTTGTCTACTTGAGGAACTGTATATTTTGTCCGCTTTCTTTGTCAGTGATGTTCATAGTGATTGCGCCTCCATGCTCTACCACTGACCCATAATTGTGCCTCCATGCTCTACCACTGACCCATATTGCGCCTCCATGCTCTACCACTGACCCATATTGTGCCTCCATGCTCTACCACTGAGCCATCGCGCCTCCATGCTCTACCACTTCGCAAGCGCGACTCAATGCTCTACCACTTTGCCAGCGCGCCTCAATGCTCTACCAGTGAGCCATCGCGCCTCCATGCTCTACCACTGAGCCATCATGATTCCATGCTCTACCACTGAGCCATCGCGCCTCCATGCTCTACCACTGAGCCATCATGATTCCATGCTCTACCACTGAGCCGTCCCGCCTCCATGCGATACCACTGAGCCATAGTAGCGCCTCCATGCTCTACCACTTAGCCATCGTTCCTCCATGCTCTACCACTTAGCCAGCGCGACTCAATGCTCTACCACTTAGCCAGCACGCGCCTCAAGCCCTCAATGCTCTACCACTGAGCCATTGCGCCTCCATGCTCTACCACTGAGCCATCATGATTCCATGCTCTATCACTGAGCCATTGACCCTCCATGCTCTACCACGTACTGAGCCATCCCGCCTCCATTCTCTACCACTGAGCCATCGCGCCTCCATGCTCTACCACTGACCCATATTGCGCCTCCATGCTCTACCACTGACCCATAATTGTGCCTCCATGCTCTATACCACTGAGCAATCGCACCTCCATGCTCTACTTGTGAGCCAATATCGCCTCCATGCTCTACCACTGAGCCATCATGATTTCATGCTCTACCACTGAGCCATTGCACCTCCATGCTCTACCACTTAGCCATTGTGCCTCCTTGCCCTATACCACTGACCCATATTGCGCCTCCCTCCCACTGAGCCAACCTGCCTCCAAGCGCTACCAAATTGAGCTTATGTGCCTCCATATCACCTTTGCTCTGGATTTTACAGAGCCCTGCTTGATAAATTTTTGCCCAAGCTCTGCACTACACCTATTTTGTTTACACACTCTGTAAAAAAAAAAGTGTAGTGCAGAGCTTCCCAAAACATGTTTTAGTCCTGTCCATAGGTTTGTATTGGGTTTGGGCAGTCACTCCATCATGAGTTTATGTTTGCCCTGCATTAGCACGTAACAGAGTCATGTGGACAAATAAATACTTTGTCACAGGGTCTTCTTGGAAGAATCAATTTTGACTCTGATTCAGATTATAGACCTATACATTTTGAGATTAATTTTCCTGTTTGCTTTCCATAATTTCTTCTCTTATAGAGGAACTGAAACAGAAGGCTTTCGGTGGATTCAAAGCAGGAGAGATTCAAAGGGAGTTTAAAACAACTGATGACGTTTTAGAAAAATTAAAGAGAAAAGGCCTGATTAAAGTAAGTATAGTATAACTTGTTTGTTTATTATTCTTTTCATTTACACCTTCTTTTTTGCTATTGCAGTATTCAAATTAAGCTTAGTAAAGTTTTGGTTTGTCTATAGGGTCAAATTTGTTCAGTAGACCTGTTTTTTAATGTATCTCAGTTTGTATAGCATGTTTTTTCTTCCAAACCATTAGTTACCAACTATTTGATTCACCTCCTATGCATAGTGGCGTCTCTATGGTTGAAAATCACTTTGCCGATCAATATTCTGGCAAGCTTTCAAGTCATCAACAGAAACTAGTTCAAAACGTACGCACCAATTTAGTACAGTAAGCAGGTCTATTGAAAAAATTTACAAGCATATTTGGAGGTGTTTTTATGGGAGATGTCCTTCTCTCCTGTGATGCAGTGACTTCCAGGGGTCATAGTCAATGCACTTTCATTTCATTATTCACTTCATTATTGTAGTTGTGCAATATGACATTCTTTTTCTCATTCTTATTTATTTAAATTGTCTCATTTACATCATATAGATCGGTGACTATGAAATATTGTGGAAACTCGCTGAGGCCATTGGTTCCGAGCCGATTCGGAAATATGTAGCTCAAGCCGAGAATTCTTTAACTGCAATACGTAAGTTGAACCAGTTAAATACAGTCAGTATCTGTGAAAGCCAAATTCTATCCTGATGCATCATGTAAGTTGGGAAGTTGGGTATCTTAAAGTGACTCAGTAACATTGCCTCAGATTCTGAAACAAAATCCTGGATTTCGCTGATGCTGCAATCATAATTATAAACCTTTAGGTAAGTCACGAATCCCATGACTGTTACAAGCAGATTGCCTGTCTGATTATCAAGATATTGATGATTGGAAAATCAAAATCAAATTTTCAGATTTCCTAACAGTTTTTATAACACTGCAGCTTGAGGAAAATGAGTACGGTATGGTAAATCCATTCACTCAAGGATTTTTACTTTTTTGAGGCACTTCATGATCATTTTGAAGCGCAATTTTTGTGGGGCTTCAATATCACACCATATCACAGACACTGATTAATTACGACCACCTAAGCATTAGGGTCAACTTCCCCTGCTGACTTATATTTTACAAACTGGATCCAAGAACAGTAGTGAATAAAGACATCCTGAAGCTTTTCATTTATTTATTTATTTCCATTTTCAGATTTAAAAAAAACTAATTTGCAGTACATTAAAAATATAGGCATCATGTTCTTACAAGAAAGAGTTGTATATTATTTAACCAACTGTGACATAATGACTTTAAAACTGATTTAAGTAATATAAAAAATTATATAAAAAAGAAACTTTTAAAAAGCCACAGACCGGGGCCTTGTCAAGTAACACCTCTTTTGCAAGTAAATACCCTTCGTGCAGCCTAAAAATAAGTCATTGACTTAAATTCATGTATTATATTTAATGTAGAAAATGTGTAAGATAGGGAAATAACTAAACAATGTAATATGTGAGAGAGGGGAGAGTAGGTACATATTGAAAAATAAGGGAGGTCTTAACTATTGAGTTACATTTCTAAATATCTGGATAGGAAGTTTTTTGGTAGTGTTCTCTTGAATGGTCACCAGGATTGATTATTCTGTGTTAAACATTTCTCCTTCGTCTTTTAGACTGGCCCGTAAAGCGTCCGCAGCTTGATGCCCCTCGAGGTGGCCCAAGGCCTATACCCATGGACACCTATGGCGGGTACCCCCAACAACATCCTACCCAGGTGCACATGGCCCATCCACCCCAGTACCAATATGACCCTCATAGCTATAATTCGATGGGACCCCCTCAACATCCTGTACGTAATTCTGCACCCCACCAACCGTACTCTAGCTTCCAAGACAGTCTGATCATGAGACCGCCCTCTCAGCCTGTGCCTCGTACCTCATCCAGCCACCCGAACTCCTATCAACAGGGCGGTATAGCTACCTCTCAAATGGTCCAAGCTCCAAACCCTCAGGGCTCATTCCAAGGTGGTCGGATGGGAGCTACATGTACTCAGCAGCCAGCCTCAGTAGGTCAGTAGTATCCGTTTTACGATGTATGCTACGATGGCAATTGCTGAGCGATCAATATTCTACAAAAACCAAGATTCAAACCTAGACCATAAAGTATACCTAACTCTAAGCTTATCATTTTGCACTTTTATTCTAAACCTATATCCTTAAAAAATTAAAGCTTAGAGCAGTTGTCGGACATTTGTGAATGTTGATGCAGATACAATGCTGTTTTTCTTTAAGGGTCTTATTAGACCCATTTTAGAATATGGTCAGGCAGCATGGTTGCCATGTAAACTAGGTGAGCAGAGGAAGTTGGAGAGTGTGCACATCGAGGCTAGGCAACAAAATGATTTCAGGATTTAGAAATATGTCTTATCGGAATGCTTCACTAACCTTAAATTACCAACTGTTGCTCATCGGCAAAGGAGAGGAGATATGATTTATGTTTTTTAAGTATTTGACATAAGTATATGATACACAACACAATCTTTTTTATTTGGAACAGAGGAGGCCGTCAAGAGGTCACAAATTCAAACTAGACAAAGTGCTGTCGGCTTGATATGAGGAAGCGTTTCTTTAACAGCTTACTTGTGGATTTGGGGAAAAGTCTTCCTGAATATTTGTCTAATCTATTCTGAGATAAATATTCAGGAAGACTTTCTTGTCTATGAGCCTGTATAAATTGTATCAACTGATATTGCAAGTTTGTACACATATTTCCCTTTCCCACTTATTTAATTTGAATTAAAAAAATTATTATTATTTGTTCTTCTATTATATAGCTGAAGAATACGAAGATGAAGTATTCTCGGATGACAAGGATGACACTGAATACGAGCAAGGGCGTGGCTATGTGCTCTTCATCAACAACTTTTTCACTGGAAAACCGGAACATCGGAGGGGTAAGATGTTACTTTGAGTCTTGGGATGTTTACTAGAGGCAACAGATACTTGGCCATGCCCCCTAAAAACAAACAACAACAACACCCACTACAACAACAAAGAACAAAAAACATTAGGTTCTTAGATTATTGCTTTTCAAGGGGTGAATAAATGGTCATACATGTATTAACTCCTCATTATAATTTCTTTGTAATTCAAGTATGAGTATTGAAATCTCTTGTTGTAATGTACTATCGTATTTTAATCTGATAGCATTACAAAGCCTGATTATTCCCCCTTACAATGTATTATCCTATTTCTAATGATAATGTAATCAAAGAATGTTCCGTATACATCTGATTTTGTGGCCGAGTCAGAAGTGAAATATGGGAATATGAATCGTTCATGTCAAAAGTGAATTCTTCATATGTTTCATTGGTAGATTTACTTTTAATAATACTTGAGTTAGTCATTCATGAATTCAAAAGTAATTTTTTTTTTTGTTCTCCGTAAAAGTAACAGCATCCAACCTCAACATAATTCAGGGCACATTTCACCTTTCAAACTAAAGAAGAAAACATCTTTGCATCAATTCATGAATGACAAGGAGAAGGAGAATTCATCATTGCCAATAGCAATGCAGTTTTGCCAAATTTTCCAATTTTGACTTGGGCCCCGCATTCAGGTGTACATTCTTTACAAATAAGGCAGCATTGTAGAGAGGGGTCAGGCTTTTTAATGATACCAATTTCAAGTTTACTAAGGAGAGAGGACTGCCAATTTTTTCAATTTTGACTTGGCCCCACATTCATGTGTACATTCTTTACAAATAAGGCAGCATTGTAAGGGGGGTCAGGCTTTTTAATGATACTTTTCAAGTTTATTAAGAAGAGAGCTAGGACTCGATGCTCAAATTCAAAAACTTTTTAAAGGAGTTTAGTTTAAAAACAAGCAGTATTATGGTCATCAATCAATCATACTTTGCTCTCTGTAATTATCAGATGAGGGAACACATGACATGTTATCATACTGTTAGCTTTTCATGATTATTTTTCTTCTTATTAGTTTCTGCTCATGACGATATTGAATGATGCAAGATTTAAAAAGTGAAGAAAAATGACCTGTCTGTGTATGAAATCATGATATTGGACAATTTCTGTTTTTTTAAGGTGACAGAGAATGATGCCTTTGGTTTAGAATGACAATATTGAATGATTTGGGATATTGAAAATGTGACAAAGAATGTTTGTTTGCCCCTCTCCAGGTGCTGAGGTTGATGAGAAAAACATCAATAATCTGTTTAAAGATGTCCTCAACCGCTATTACCTTCAGTACGAGAAAGATGTAACCCGGAGCCAGCTTCAGAATTACCTGACAGGTCTGAAGAAAACACTTTCGACGGGTGCCTACACAAACTTCATTTTTATTCTGGGTACTCATGGAGAGCCACAGAGCAATGGAGCTGATAGGCCTTTGAAGGTATATAAACCCATAGGCCCGTATTCTGAAGTCGTGTCTAACTTTATAGCCACGTCTAAAGTTAAACAACTGTTTAGTTAGACACGACTTAAACATGAGGTCGTGTCTAAGTCCTGTTTAACTTAATTTGGTATTCTGAAGTCGTGTCTAAGTCTCGTCTAACTAAACAACTGTTTAAGTCCTGTCTAAGTGGTGTTTAAGTTCTGCGCAGGTCGTGTTAAACTTTTAGTCACGACTTCTGCGCATGCCCAGAAGGCGTTAATCCTGACGAAAGACACAATGCGCATGCGTGCGCGCACCGGATAAATAAATTAACGCGCACAGCTAGCTGTGCGCGTGCTGGTACCATGGTGATGTGGTCGTGACGTAATGACTAGACTGCATGTACTGTGTGTACGTACGTACGTGCACACGTACATGTACTGTACACTGAGATTGTGAAACACACTACTTATCAGTGACTCAGTGCTCGGAAGAACCAGAAAAGAAACTCCTCCAACAGAACGGTTAGTTTATTATAGATTATGGAATTTCCAAGATGTAACCAGTAGATAAGAATAGTTAATATTATCTAGAAAAAAAATTAGGCTACACAAGAAAAAATCCTGCAAAACGTATTTGAAATTTTAGCGAATGCACGTACCATCGTTCTCCCCCCCAAGTTCGGGGTCAGCAAGTAGAGTGTACCGTCGACGTTGAAAAGCAGCAGAATCGCACCCTTAAACAGGACTTAAACAACCCCTCGCAGTTGTCTAAAGTTAAACAGGACTTAGACAGGACTTCCTGTTTAACTTTATTTAAGCACGACTTCAGAATACGAAAAAAGTTAGACACGACTTCGTGTCTAAAGTTAGACGGGACTTAGACAGGACTTAGACAACTGTTTAGTTAAACAGGAGTTATAGACACGACTTCAGAATACGGGCCATAGCATTTCAGTGTTACTCCTCTAAAGTGTTGGGAGCCCCAACTATTTGATGGCAAAATGTCACTTAAATTGTATCAAAATTGTGACAAAGGATGCCATTTAATTTTGAGCCATATACTGTATTTCTGCAAGGATTTTCAAAATAAATGTGTTTGAAGTCGAGTATTGATGAAACAATACAAAATTTAGGTTGTCTGCGTACAACAGAAGACCCAAATTATGTTTTCTTTTATCAATATCTGTCTTAAAAAACATTTTTTGGGGGAAAATCTTTGCAGAAGTGTGTCTTAAATTACATCCTCTTTCACATTGTGATACAATTTACTGCTAATTAATTGAAATTTTTCCATCAAATTTTTAGCTAATTTGTGGCTCCAAACACTTAAGAGGGGCTGGTTTTAATGAATAAGCTTTTCCTTCTCGAATCGGAACCAGGTATTCTTCGATAGTCTTTGTTAGATTAACTAATGTAAATGATTATTTTTAAATTGAACCATGTGCACAGTCCGGTGACAAATCCACTCGCCCACGACACCTCTACAATATGTATATATGGATATTTGTCCCTTACGATATATTGTCCAAGGAAAGTCTTAAGAGATTGATAAAATTTCGCGTGTAAACTTCTGCCGTTTGAAATCAACTGTCCGGATACACAACTTGTCCGACATACACCGTCTGGGTATATTTATCATTTCTTTGTTTATTGTTTCGCAGGATGCAGTACTCATGGCTGATAATAAATGGATGTTGGTTGAGGATATCATCAGCAATTTCCATGGAGACCAGATATCAAAAATGCAAGGTAATTTAATTTAAAAAAAAACAAAAAACAATAAAACAATTACCTGGAGAGATGCATCCTTTCTACTGACCAAGGCCTCGTTCAGATATTTTATGACGTAAAGAGTAATAAGCTTCACATTTGTATGCCTCCGTTACGAAGTAGCCAGAGGCATTATGTTTCGGATTGTCTGTCGACTCCAAAAATCATGTCAAAATGTCAATATTTCTATTTGATAAGAGATCATCCCTCTCTTTCTGTCCACCTGCCAGACAAGCCAAAGGTCTTCATTATCCAATCCTGTCGTGGGAAAGAGAAGCAGAGAGGTGTATCTTCATCTGATGGCCCTGCAACAGAGTTAAATCCAGAGACAATGGACTATCCCGAGCCAGCCGTCACGACCCGCCCCGTCAACTCGGACATTCTAATTGCATATGCAACATCACAAAGTATGTTTCGTTATTTGTCTGTTATGAGCCAGGAGGGCATGTCTGAGGTCATGACCTTCTGACTCGAAAAAAATACCAGTGGGTATTACCATACTGCCAACCAGTATGATTTAGTGGTATTTAGTACGATTTTTAGAAGCAAATACGACAGTACGATTTTCCTCATTAAAATATGATTTTAAAAAAGGCCCATTCTGTCCTATAAAGCATCTCACATCGGCAATTTGGGGATGTTCATTGGTTCATCGAACACACCAGTCATGGCGAAATCATGCATATTCAACCAATGATCCATAAACAAATTTCTACCTGTATGTAGGAACTGTAAGAGGCATTGATCCACGTAATAGTCCATTTTTATTTTTAAGAATACAACTTTTTGTCAGTAAAATACAACTTTTGGGATTAAAGAATACATTTTTTTGAACTCCAGAGGTTGGCAGGTCTGGGTGTACATATAAGTCTTCCCGATTTCAAAATTGCCCCCCCCCCCTCTCTTTTGCAGAGAACGAGTAGATTTTTTTTTTTTGTATTTATCACTTCTTTCTTCGCCTCTGCACAGGGGCTTAATTGTTTGCCACACATGCTATTTTGCACAATCTCTTACAAAATTTGAAATCCGGTATCAATGCAGTACAAGTGTTCTGCTTGTACAACTTGATTTGGGATTGATCTGGATTTAAGTTTTAAATTCAAGATAATTTTATTTCCACATGTGGTTCATAAAAAAAACAAATATACATACATGCATGTCCAGACAAGCCCAAAATGCAAAGTAACACAAAATTAACAAACAATATTCAATAATATTAAGAGAAAAAACAGTGAACAAATTTTAATACACAAACACAAAACAACTAAATAGATATCAAAAACTTGTTGGGGGACCAGCAAAGGCCAGGGGCTTGTGGAGGTTTATCCCCAGTACAATAACATGCATTTTGGATATATAAAACACACACACACACACACACACGCACATACACAAACAAACAACAATACAACATAAAAATTAAAAAAAAAAACAACAACATGACAATCACAAAAGTGACTTACAGTAAATAACAAAACATATCAAGTTGGCAAATATAACAGGCAAAATATTTAAATGTATCATTAAGAAATTATGAATAGTTTTCATGTAAATATAAAGTTTAAATTCACGTTTTAATTTAGAAAGTGTGGGACTGTGCTTTAATCTCTAGTGGTATTACATTCCAGCATTGATTGTAATACCTCTAGTCATATTGAAAACTTACAACCAATCACGTTGTGATTGATTTGAATCAATCTCCACTCTTATTAAGACGAAATTCCAGTCTATAATGAGTCTATTCTTGAAAGAAGAATTGTAAAATAATATTGTTATTATTATTCTCTTGTCAGGTAAAAAGGCGTTTCGCAATCAGGATAATGGGTCCTGGTTCGTAGAAGATCTATGTAATGTCATCAGGAAATATTACGACAAAGAACACATTCTAGATATCCTTGTTCGTGTCAACAGCCGTATGGTGAAGCGAGAAGCAACTCAAAACCATGGAAAACAGATGCCGTGCTTTGTATGTACATTCACCCGGCGGTTCATGCTTGCATATCCTAATAAGTAAGGTGATACTGCTATGGATAAAAGAAGGTTTAAATCTGAGGTGAAGGAGCAATTCTGAGGTACCTTGAGGTAATTTGATCCACTTGCATAAAAGCTGTACCATCTCCAATTAGTCTGACAGTATATTGGTGACATTTCCTATTGGTCCTAATCAGGGCTTAAATTAATCCAAGGCCACCAAGGCCATGGCTGTGGATGCCCCTTTGAGTGGCCTCAATGCCCCTCTCATTGGCCTTGGAGATTTTGTTTGCCCTTTCCAATTCTTCCTATTTGTGCTGTAATATAGGAATGTGCCCTTCAGAAAAGCGGCCTTGCCCTAAAAATATTGAAATGTAAGGCCTGCTCCTAATGTAACCAGACGCCATGTTCGAGTCTGGTTCGGGTCGGCAGAGTTCGGCAGTTTTTACCCGAACTTGGTTCGTTGATCTAGCAAGCAGTGTTGTATAGCTACGGTGGTCAGCACTGGGTGGGATGGGCGGGTCCGACCAGCACGAATTTCACATTAAAAAACTGCTCTCGACGTAACTATTTGTGAAAAAAAGTACTACTTACATTCATATTTCCGTCTTGAATCGTGTTTTATTTGCAATTTTAAAAGAATAAGGTTTTCAATTTGACAATAAATGATACCTTTTAAAGGGTTGTCTAATGTTACGAGTCATGAAAGTTGCCATCTTGAATGGCAGCCCAGGTTCTGTCTATTACTGTTTTTAATAACTGTTATTTTCTTTAGGGTAATTAATGAATAAATAAATAACATATTATAATATATATTTATTTCATTATTAATGTTGTAAAATTCGTCCGATATTATTACAATTAAAATATTAGTTTTTTTATTGATTTGGTTTGAGCCCAACTTGTTTTGATCAGCGCCTAGTACGCATGTGTATTCTTGTTTATAGCTAGCGATCGCGACGGTGCAGAGGTCAGGATTTGGCATTTAAATGGCGTCAGCGCCCACCTCTGGAGAGGCTGAATCACAAAGGAGGAAAAAAGGATGGGAAAAAAAGTAAATATAGAATGCCCAATCATGACATGAAAATTAGATTGAAAATAACATCCGAGCCAATTCAAGTCTGGTTTATATTTAGAGACATTCAAGAATTTGACCAAGTCTGTTTCTATAGAATACTGAAATATCTTCTGAATTTTTGTTTCTATGTATCCTTGATTTCATTGTGGTGATTTTTCCTTAATTTATTTGTATTTGTTCTAAAGTACATGGATTAGCCAGGCGTTGTTAGACTTGATGTTGTATGGCATCCAAGCCAGTTTTGTTCTGTGTTTTTTTCCCTCTCTTCAATATGTGCATGGTGATTTTGTGTCTTGAAGTATTCTACGGATAATATCTTGCTACATTCCTGGTTGTAAGCTCTTCATTAAAGTTGTTCATGCGAAGGTATATAGAGGGCAGCAAACTGAAGTAGGCACGTGAGCAAATACCTGTTGGCTCAGTGTTTACCCAGTTGCCTACTTCACGAACGACTATATACCCACGCATGAACGTCTTTAAGCCAAAAACTGTTTTCATTGTAAATATTCATTGTGCCCTTGACTCAGTACTATATACATGCTTGTTCGAGTACAATTTTGAATGTTCATGTTCATGTATACCTAGATATTCTAGATCTTAAGTAAAATACAGTTAAGAAAATGAGTGTGTTTGAGAGTTATACATGTATTAGCATTAATTAGAATGTAATCATATTTTGTGATTTTGTGTCTTGAAGTATTCTACAGATAATATCTTGCTACATTCCTGGTTGTAAGCTCTTGATTAAAGTTGTTCATGCGAAGGTATATAGAGGGCAGCACACTGAAGTAGGCATGTGAGCGAATACCCGTTGGCTCAGTGTTTGCCCAGTTGCCTACTTCACGAACGACTATATACCCACGCATGAACGTCTTTAAGCCAAAAACTGTTGTCATTGTAAATATCCATTGTGCCCCCGACTCAGTACTATATACATGCTTGTTCGAGTACAATTTTGAATGTTCATGTTCATGTATACCTAGATATTCTAGATCTTAAGTAAAATACAGTTAAGAAAATGAGTGTGTTTGAGAGTTATACATGTATTATCATTGATTAGAATGTAAATGTGTGTTATATGTGATTCCTAGCCGTTTATATTGCACTGATTTGGACATAAGATGTGTATTTATTTTCTTGTCCTTATTTTTAGTGTCTTTTTTATTTAAAGCTGAATTGCTTTGTATTCAACTCAAGATTATGTAACCTGAAATGAAAGAAAATGAAATATATGCAATGTAGGTCTTGACTGTCCAAAGATATTGTCACTAAACGTAGTTGTTACAAATGAAGTTTACTTTTAAAACATTTCCTGTGTTTGTCACATTTTATCGCTCATGAAATGAGTCTCATGCCTTAGTAAATATATCATGCAAAATATATTTGTACATCATTATTTTTAATACTGGAATCGCAAGGAATGGACATATCGAGAGTAGCACTTTAAATGGCGGGATTATATTTTTAATGATAGTGCAATTTTTGTATGCCACACATCTTGTTCTTCAAAGTAATGAAACTTTCAATCAATTCATTATCTGACGTAAGTACAAAGAATAAATCAATATAAATGTCATATTTCATATTTTTGTATAAGAACAGTTCCAATTCTCTATTGTATGTTCGGATTAAGATTAAAAGGCTATTGAAATGGTGCCAGGTAAAAATGTCAGGAATTAAAAAAAATAATATCAATGTGTTTGCAATTTTTTCCTCTGACATTTTTACAACAACTTTGAAATTGCCTGAGATATATATTTCGAAATTTGTGATGATCATGTTTTATATAATTTATCATTTCCTAAGGTGATGCGCAAATGAAATAGGCATATCTTGAAATTCTAATATACATTGTGTTTTTGACTCGTGTTTTGGCTCCTGAAGTTGAAAAGCATGGTGTAATTGTATCAAAATGTGTGAATTTGAAGTGTTTCCATATGCGTCAATCACTAATATGCTGAATAGAATTATTACAATATTTTTAGGCACCGGTATTAGGACCTTAGATTGATAAATCAAGAATTTAAAGCAAATTAGGTGTTGAAAACAATCTTGCAACAGATTGGATTAAATTGTATAAATTAAATTTATCTATATAGAAGGATCATGAAATGAAAGTACGAAATAGACAGAGTAGACGTATTTTCACTCCATAAAGTGCTCTATAAAGACAATAAATACTGTAAACATCAACTCTTTAGATATGATACTCGCGTAGATATCACTTTGCGGAATTCAATTTTGCTAAAATACAATAGTCGGACTTGTATTACATATATATTATTTCTAGTGAACCGGTACTATTTGTAGAAATAATGCAGTACTAAAATCAAAGCATAATAAATTGTCCTTTCATCTGTAATTCTCAAGCAGTGTTGTTAAATGTGTTTGATTTGTCTCTCGATCTCACGCCTCTGTTACCAGTTTCCTTTTTTATTCTTTCTTTTAATCCTTCCCCTTGACGGATCCACCAATCTTCCTCACATTGAATGTTATACTTCTTTATTTTCATGACCCCTCTCGTTCTCTCTCTCTCTCTCTCTTTCTGTCATTATCTGTATAGTATGTCTTTCGTTAATTACTTTCTTACATGCAGCCTTTCCCTCTCTTCCCCTAGCCCCAAGCCTTTTCTGTCCCACTTTCTCTTTCTCTCGATCTCTATCTCTCTTATTTTTCTCCCCCCCCCCTTTTTTTTTCTTCTTCTCCATAGTTCAAAAACACAACAATTAAGGTGTGGCTTATATTCATGTTAATGACTTTCAATACACACCATCATGTACACCGACAAAAACCTCAGACGACAGCTAGTCTAGTGAGTTTATCACCTTTATATGCCCCAAGCCTATTTTAACTTTAATAATTTGTTTCTGATGAAATCCATGACCAAACGGTGCAGCGCGCTTGTCGTCGTATGGCTGACCCTTGCTATTTATGATGACGTTCCAACCACTTTACCCTGAGTGAGCTGTTCAGATGATGAATCTCTAGTTCCGTCATGCAGCCAATCGAACTTTTTCCCGCACTTTTCGTTGACCCTCATCATGACCTTGGGACTGGGTAATGATCTTTTCCATCCACTGTTACCTTCTAGCTGAGCCCATAAGACGAAATGTGTCAAGGGTGACTTTCGCTCCAATTTGATACTTGAGAACATTATTTGATTCATGAACATTCCATGATATCCTCAGCCAGGGGCGGATCCAGCCGGCGGCTATAGGCCGGGGCCCAATTCGTGAGAAAATATTGTGCGGCGCAAAAGCAGGGGCGGGGCGGGGAGGGTAAAATACCATTTGTTTTCTTCTTCACATAACAGGGGTGGGGGCCGGCCCGTCTTTTTGTCTTTTTTGTTAAAGATTAAATTGTCGTAATCATCTTCTGTTAATCCTTTTTTTTTTTTGCGAGGGGTGGGGCCCGGGCCCCCATGCCCCACCGTCACCATGGATCCGCTACTGTCCTCTGCATATACTCCTCCAACACCTCATTTCGAAAGACCGAAAGCGTGGATTGATTTGCTGCTCCAAACTGTCAATAAATAGTCGGGGAATCCCCAAGATTTCGCTGATTCCATAAACCATCCGCTTTTATGTTCAACATATTGCATAGGTGAACTCAGCGAACAACCCGGAACTCGTTCCCTGGAAATTTAAACGTCACTCGCTCAGCCAGCGCAGCACATCAATTAACACTTGTAATTTACCACTGCATGCACACCAATCAATGCGGCCTGCATGGATACCTGTTTCGCAATTCTACATGTACAGTTAGATATACTCATGGGCTAAAAATACCGCGGCATGACAAGTGTTCAAACCTGACTGTGATCGGCGGGAAGTACAATATATTATTCACGGTCAGTAGTCAGTAGATCTATTTAGTAAAAGCTGTACATTTAGCTAGTGTATGCTAATTATCAATGTCTAACTTCGGGAAGCTCCAACACCGGCGCCGGTGTTGGAGCTTCCCGGAGTTAATCAATTGTTGTTGTTGTTGTTTTAGTTTTAAGGGCGTGTGTCATTCAATTATGAATATTTACGCCGATGTCATACTCTCTATATGCTTTGCTGGAGTGTCTACGTTGATACGTGTCAATTAACATGTGTCAACTGTCTTACTCTTATAGTTATAATCATGATAATACTAATGATTTAAAGGTACATAGACCTATGACTATGTCCCTTTTGCAGCCAACCTCAAATTCTGTAGAACTTTGCAGGAATTATGAATATGTCATGTATGTCCTATCTGTGAAATTTAAACGTTAGCAGTGTCCTCATATTCAAATTATGCAAGGAAACTCGTTTACTTGCTAGACTTCACTGTCAGACACTATTGAGTGACTGACTGGCTTTTTCTTCTTTGGTAATAACATACATGAAAAGAGTTGTAAAGGGTATACATGAGCATTTGTCTACATCAATAACCCACTTCTTGTGATGGCCAAGATTAAACTGATTGAATCTTTGCGCAGCATAAAACGTATGACCATTCGGTACAATTGTCTGAAAATCAAGACTATTACTTTTGGGCTCTATAGCCCTAAAGTCGATTTGGCAACTAATAGTCGTTATTTTCCCACTTCAAGACATTTTCAAGCCCCACCTTTTTTAGGGAAGTTCTAAATTAGTATTATCTTTCAAATGCAGTTGGAATTTAACTTTTTCATTTTTTTGGCCTGTAAATGGGACATAGTACCTTTATTTAATAGAAGTGCATTTAATCAAATATTGATTTGAAACTAGTAGTATACAGTACGGTAAAAGAATAAATACCCCCCCCCCCCCCCCATTTCACAATTGTAGAGCACTACAATTTAGCATTAAACTGGGGGGTGGGGGAGGGGGGGTGGTTCTATACCTGATATTAACTGTTTTAATAAAAGCAGAAAAGTAAGAGAAACAACAAGTGAACATTTGAGCTGCAATATACTCTCTTTTACTTGTAAATATTGTGATTTCCTCCCTGAATTAGTGAATTTCATTGAACAATTGTTGTACTTTCCTTTTTGCCATTTAACAGTCGTAGCATCCAATAATAAAGCAAGACGATTTCCCGGCACGTATTATTTTTGCATTTACTATACTATGTATTGTTGAAAAAGTAGACTTTAAAAGTTAGGATTAGAGAAATGCTTCGATTTTAAATACTAATAGCAACAATATAAATATACATGTATTGATAACAATATTATACTGATAACAATGATGATAATGATGATTTGAACTGGAAGCCCGACTACTGAGAACAGCATTCTTCCAGAATCTCTGTATAATAATAATGATAATGATAATAATTATAGTAATATACTACTACTATTATAATGATAATAATAACGATTATAATAATAATAATAAAGATAATGATAATAATAATACTGCAATAATAACAATGATAATGATAATAATGATAACATCAACGATATGCCATGTTTATAATAGATCTGGCTACAAGCTACCAATATTAACCATGCATATTAAACTTTGTTCAATAAGTCTGTTCACCCAGTCTGGAATGTTCTTGATCAATAGGAACTTGTTTAATTATATCATGATAAAATTCAACAGGTTTGTATTTAGCAACTCTTACTGATCAAATTGCTGCAGTAGTGCCTGTTTTTTTTACAAAGCCTTTTGTCAACAACCTTGTCCAAAAAATAAAGTTTAATCAGGAATCCCACACAACAGCGCCATTGTACTTCATTTTATCACTGACTGAGAAAGCTCTTGCATTTGTTTTTGTTGTTTTTTTCAGTTTCGAGACTCGATCAGATTCTAAACTTGGAGGAAAGTTGTGATATTTATTTCTGTGGTACATCATTTTGAAGAACAACCGGAGATATGTCGGGGGAAGAGAGAGCAGAACAAATTCAGCGAGAATTATTCAAAAACATCAGCGCTGAAATAACAGACCGGGAACTCGACGACATCAAGCGTAAGATTTTTCTTTTGAGAGTGTAAATATACAGGGCCGGTCAGACCTCACCAAAAAAAGGAACGATTACAAGATTTTTTTAAATAGGTATACCCTACTATGATGTGTGTACATCTGAATAAGGTCATGAATATGTAAAACCACTGGCTATGGGAACCAGATAATTCAGTGGGTTAAATATAGAATTGTTATCATTATCGTCATTGCCTTTGGTTATGTCTGACAGCCCTTTAATAGTGTTTGTATAAGGACAACTATATACTCCCTGCAGACTCTGCTCCCAGGACAACTACACTCAGGACGACACCCCCACGACAATTACCCCCCCCCCCCCCCTCACACACTCTCTAGTACCACCCTGTAACAGTTACCCCAGGAAAACTACCCCCAGGACAGATGCATGTACTACCCCCCCCCCCCCCCCCCCTCCACCCAACTATCCCTTGGAAAATCACATCCCTTGGCAAAACCCTTTACCCTCAGAAAGCTATGTAGAGATGGTTATAGGTTTGGGTGAGGGTTTCAGGGGGGGGGGGGGGTTATTGTCCAAGTGACAGGCATATTGTTCCAGGGGATAGTTGTCAGGGGATTGGAAAGTTGCGCAGCGATTATTGTCCTTTCTGATAAGTAATTGTTCAGGGGTAGTTTCTGTAGTTTTAATGGGGATAGTCAGTGCTGGTTGTCCTCGTGATAACAGTTCAGTTATTTGTGTGTGCATGTGTGTTCGTAAGATGCTTATAAAGTAGTAAGCCATTATTAAATACTTTTTGGTTAGTTGGTCGATTGGTCTTACCTGACTGCTAAGAAAGTTATGTATGACTATGTTTATGAGTAAGCACAGGTTAAAAATTACTTTAAAAATTTCGGGGGCTACTTTTCAAGCTTGCTTGCATGAAAATAACACTCTTTAATTTGTTTTGCATTGAACTCTATGCAAAATTTGGGGGCTCTTTTCAGACTTTGGGGGCTCTTTTGGGCATTTCGGAGGCTAATTCGCCCCGAGCCCTCGTGTATTTTTTTCTCTGAGTAAGCAACCAGGGTACCAATGAATTTATGTCAGAGGGACTTGGTAATGAGGATTAATGCCTTATAGCTACCGTATACCAAAGAGCACTGGAGCATGGACTTGGTTTCAAATGCGGGACCTCCCCGTTATGTATCCACTGCTCTACCACTGAGCCATCATGCCTCCATATCAACTATGGTCAGAGTTTTACAGAGCCCTTCTTGGTTATTTGCCCATACTTCACAAATGAGGTGCATTACAGAGCTCCCCCCCCCCCCCCCCCCCCCCACTCCGGGGTCAGAGGGACTGCATTAGTGTTCCGTTAATCTTCAGTAAAGGGGTACTTTTTTGCCCCAAAAGTCTGGACAAAGTCTGGTCCATATTGACTTTTACATTAGAGATATGGGGGTGCTTTCAAAGGTAGGGAACAAGCATATGCATGCTTAGAATAACACTTAGTTTAGGGGGGGGGCAGAGCTCTCATGTTTTTATAGTCGTGTCTATAGGTTTGTATCAGGTTTGAACATGTATGCTCTGTATGAATTGGCAGTTTAATACTCCATGATTTTCTAAGTGAATATTTTGTCATGCAGTCTTCTTGGAAGATTCAATTTTAACTCTGATTCAGATTATGCATGGACCTACATTTTGAGATTAATTTTCCTGTTTGCTTTGCATAATCTCTTCTCTTATAGAGGAACTGAAACAGAAGGCTTTCGGTGGATTCAAAGCAGGAGAGATTCAAAGGGAGCTTAAAACAACCGATGATGTTTTAGAAAAATTAAAGAGAAAAGGCAAGATTAAAGTAAGTATAACATAACTTCTTTTAATTTTCACCTTCTTTTTTGCCATTGCAGGGTTCACAGCTTACTAAAACTTTGGTTTGTCTGAGATCAACCATTGGTTACCAACTATTTGAATCGCCTCCTACGCATAGTGGCATCTCTATGCGGGATGGAATTTGCTTTGCCCAGTAATATTCTCGCACGTTTCGTCGCTGTTTTCTCGAAGTGACGGTAGTGAAAAAAATTGCATTCACTTTGCGTGACGATTTTCCTCACTACCGTCACTTCGTGAAAACAAGGACGGTTTGCAAGTCATCAATATAAACTAGTTCAAAACGTCTGCACGACCTATGTCGAACTTTGTAAACAGGTCTATTTAAATCAAATACACAATTATATTTGGAGATTTGGAGGCCTATTGACACGGCCGGTATCATTTCATTATTTGTTTTTCTTTGCTTCCTTGTTACCTTACCTAAATTATTGTAATATAGCCTGGGGTCATACTTTTCAAATACATATTAATAGAATATGTCTTTTACAAAAATGGCAATGAAAATTATCACTTACTCACCTTACCTTTCTCACTGTGGACCATTATTGTCCTCATTATTAAAAGTTTTTAATATTATGGACTTAAACAAATTGAATATAGCCTTGTTAATATTTTCTTATAAACAAAATCTTCTGTTGATGTCTTGAGGAGAAATGAATGAAACTGAAACTGAAACCTCTATCATATTTCCCCTCATTGCTAGAATTCAAGAATATTGAAATGCCTTTGCTTTTATGTACATTTTATTTGTGCTTTATTTAGCTAATAACAGGCAATTAGACATAATATGTATGAATTTACTCTCTAAACAATATCAGTGAACTTGACATAGCCACCCCCTTCCCAGAAGAAAAATAAAGTAACAAATTTACCTCATTATTGTAGTTTTTGCAGTAAGACATTCTTTTTCTCATTCTTATTTCATTAATATCTCTTATTTGCATCATATAGATTGGTGAATATGGAATATTGCGGAAGCTCGCGGATGCCATTGATTCACAGCCGCTTCGGGATTATGTAACTCAAGCCGAGAATTCTTTAATTGCAATACGTAAGTTGAACCAGTTTGATACAGTCAGTATCTTTAAAAGGCAAAGTCCATCCTGATAAACCATGTAATGGCCCTGTCACACCTTGATGATTTAGCCAGCGTATGCCGACGTATCAACATTTCTCTAAATCTCTGGCATATGCTGAACTACCAATGTTTTCTTCAATTTTGGGCCTATACATAGCGTATAAATAATGAGTTGGACATATATATATATATATATATATATAACGTAATAGTAACTTATTTGTATCGTATATAGAACGGTAAAGGAGTTCTAAACATTTGACCTACATTTCTAAATATCTGGATAAGTAGTATTTATTTTAGTGATCTCTTGAATAGTCATCAGGTGTGATCATTTTGTGTTAAACTTTTCTCTGTTTCTATGACTGTCAGAGTGGCCTGTAAAGTGTCCATAGCTCAAGTATGATATTAACAGCTGCAGGAAAGGTGTGATATCGGTTGTGTTGTTAAATTTCTCTTTTTCTGTGTCTTTCAGGCTGGCCTGTAAAGCATCCAGAACTTGATTCCCCTATGGACAACCATGGCGGGTACCCCCCGCAACAGCCTTTCCCCCATCCACCCCCATATGACCCTCGTAGCTACCAACACAGTTCGATGGGACCTCCTCAGCATCCTGTGCATCATGCTGCACCCCACCAACAGTACCCTAACTACCCAGACAGTCTGATGAGACCGCCCACTCAGCCTGCGCCTCGTGCTTCACCAAGCCACCAGATCCCCTACCAACAGGGTGGTATAGCGCCCTCCCACATGGCCCAACCTACAAACCCTCAGTACTCACACCAAGGTGGTTGGACGGGAGCTCCTCAGCAGCCAGCTCCCCAATCATACTCACCCTCAGTTGGTTAGTAGGATTGGTATTACGATGTATGCTACAACGACAATTGCTCAGCGATCACTATCCTACACAAACCAAACTTCAAACCTGACCAAACACTATACCTAACCCTAAGCTTAAACTCATTTGCACCTTTAACCCTAAACCTGCATCTTTGAGGAATTAAAGCCTAGAGCAATTGTAGCCAATGTCCATGTTTCATTGGATAAGATACCTATTTTGATTTTTAAATAGTTTACATTTTCAAATGTTTCGATGCAATTTAACTACCCCTATCAAAGAGATACTGTCATAGAATCTCTTTTGTCCTATGCATTAGGGACGGTAGGGGTCAGAGGATGATAACAAATTGATATACACAGAGTAAACACTGCTCGTGAGGTCAGAAAGAGAGCTACACATATCTTCCGAAATCTTATTCCAGTGCTGTTTTTGGGGTTTTTTCTGGCTGTTAAACTTATGAAGTGTGCAAGAGGTTTTCAATTTAAAATCAATTTTTGTTCATTGTTTTAAGAAATTGTTTTAAAGAACATTCAAGAAAACATAAAATATGGTTATAAGGTTAAAATGTACATTAACATGTTGTAAATAGATATTTACGAAAACAGAGTAAGTTAAACAGCAATTATTGTTATTGAATTCAATTGGATAGATTTTTACAAGATTGATAGTACAGTTGATGCCAGTAGTTTAATATATTTTCACATCAACATAGGAAAATTGAAAAATGTTTCATAACAATGAAGCAAGTTCATTTATAACAATTGAAAACAGAATGGCAATTCAGAAGTCACACACAACAACAAAACAAGTGCTCCTAATAAAATTCTTATCAAATCTATTATTATGATTTTTTTTCCTTTGATATAGCTGATGGGCAGTCAAGAGCAGGTTCAGCTACATCCGGACAATATGCAGATGGGAACATCCCGTTTGACTGTCGCACTGAATACGAGCCCGGGCGTGGCTTTGTGCTCTTTATCAACAACTTTTTCATTGGAAAATCAGATCACCGGAGGGGTAAGATGTTACTTTGAGTCCTGGGGGTGTTTCACAAAGATCCCAAGTAGAACTTAACTCTAAGGTGGACTTAAATCTTATGGAGAGCCATTTGTAGCCTTAAATTAAAATATATTCAAAATCAAAATTCAAGTAGTTTAGACTTTTTACATCATCCACATCAAGAACATGAAATCTCCTTGATAATAGAAAATATGAATGATTTAAATCAATATTTTATGCCTTTTAAAATAACTTTTACAAAATATTGTCAAAGATGCTAACGACTTTCCATAATTGTTAAGTCCAACTTTAATTAGAGATAAGTTCAACTTAGGATCTTTGTGAAACACCCCCTTGGAATGTTTACTAGCGGCTACAGATACTTGGCTGGGCCTGAACCCCCAAAACAAACAAACAAACAAAAAACGTTAGGACGTTTTCAGATCATTGCCTAATTCTTATTGCCTTAACTCCTCAATATAATTTCTATGTAATTCAAGTATGAGTATTGATATCTGTCATTGTAATGTACTATCATAATTGAATCTGATAACATTACAAAGCCTGATCACGCCCTGTAATGATTATACTCTATTATATTTTGTCACATGTGTTTTCTGGAAGACAAATAAACTTGATACTTGATACTTGATTACAATGATATGACAATATTGAATGATTCAGGGTTTTAAAATGGCGGTAAGATTTAATGACCCATCTTTGTATGAAATTATGGTATTGAACAATTTTGTTTCTTTAAAGATGACAGAGAATGACGCATCTGTGTTAATATGACAATATGGAATGAATTGGGGTTTCAAAAAGGTGACAAAGAATTTTTGTTTTGCCCCTCTCCAGGTGCTGAGGCTGATGAGAAAAACGTCCGTCATCTGTTTGAAAATGTCCTCAAGGGATTTCACCTTCAGTACGAGCAAGATGTACCCCTGAGAGAGCTTAAGGAGTACTTGAAAGCCCTGAAGAATACACTTTCGACGGGTCACTACAAGAGCTTCATTTTTATTCTCGGTTCTCATGGAGAACCAAAGGATGGAGCTGACAGGCGCATGAAGGTAACCCATAATATTTCATAGTTTCATTATTGAGTTCACAATGAATAATAATTATAATATTCAGCTTTTATATAGCGCTTAATACATCTATGGTGTCTCTAAAGCGCTTTACAGATTTACTATTGCCCCGGTTATTGGATTCAATACTTGCCCGCACAATCTCCACTCCCTGGGGAGCATTTCAGCCAGGCGTTACTTGGCGCTCAAAAACTGTTTGACCAACAATGATGGTCACATCCTACATGGCCGGTACCCATTTAACAGCTGGGTGGAGAGTAGCAAGTGCAGGTTAATATCTTGCCAAAGGATATTAGTGCAGGTTAATATCTTGCCAAAGGATATTAGTGCCGTGTTGGGATTCGAACCCTCGACCTTTGTATCTCCAGTCAAGCGCCTTATACCACTCGGCCACAAGACTCTCAGCTTTTCCTTCTCATTTAGGCACCACTTATTCTTCCAAATAGTTTTTAATTAAAATTGTTTATTAAATGAACTGATGTTCCAGTATGCCTTAAAGTACACTTATTTGATTATTTACTGTTGAAGAATCGTAATGATTACTAACGTACTAAAGCTTTTCATTTTGCACTCATCAGAGTATATGTAAATCACAAAATTAAAGCGTTTGTAATTCTGTATTCATGGCTATTCTTTGATCTTGTAATATGATAGGGGAAATTGGGTTGTCCCGACACTTTAATACTAAACATAACAATTCCTTGTTTGCCTTTGGATCTAACAGAAAATGTTCATCAAATAAATATAATTTAATGAATATCTTTTCTTTATATTATTGTCCAACATAAGTATAAGAAGATTTATGAAATATAGCTTGTAAACTTCTTCCACTACCGTTTTTAAATCAACTGTTCGGATACACAACCTGTCCGACATACAACGTCTGGGTATATTAATCATTTCTTTGTTTATTGTTTTGCAGGATGCAGTACTCATGGCTGATGGTGATTGGATGTTGGTTGAGGAAATTGTCAGCAATTTCCATGGAGACCAGATACCAGCAATGAAAAGTAATTGATATTAAAAAAAAATAAACAATGAAACAATTAACTGGAGAGATGCATCAATTATACTTGTTCAGATATTTTATATGAACGTTAAAGATACTATGTCCCTTTTGCAGCCAACCTCAAATTCTGAAGAACTTTGCAGGAATTATGAATATGTCATGTATATCCTATCTGTGAAATTTAAACGTTAGCAGTGTCCTTATATTCAAATTATGCGAGGAAACCTGTTTTCTTGCTAGACTTCACTGTCAGACACTATTGTCAGTATTGAGTGACTGATTGGCTTTTTCTTCTTCTTTGGTAATAACATACATAAAATGAGCTGTAAAGGATTTGTCTACTTCAATAACCCACTTCTTGTAATGGCCAAAATTAAACTGATTGAATCTTTGCGCAGCATAAAACGTACGACCATGTGGTACAATGGTCTCAAAATCAAGACTAATACTTATTGGCTCTATGGCTCTATAGTCGATTTGACAACTAATAGTCATTATTTTCCCACTTAAAGACATTTTCAAGCCCCATTTTTTTAAGGGGAGTTCTAAATTAGTATTATCTTTCAAATGCCATTGGAATTTAACCTTTTCATTTTTTTGGCCTGCAAAAGGGACATAGTACCTTTAAGTGTAATACGCTTAACATTTCTGTATTATATAACACACCTCAGTGGATATGTCCAAATCCTTTTTGCGCACAGTTGCCAATCATGCACACATAAAAAAAGTGCACCGTAATTGAACAAGCCTTAACCCTATCAGCATCGACTTCACTACGTAACAAGACAAAAATAGTGCTCAGGAATCAGTTGCATGGTTAGGCAAGGCACTTATCTTAAATGGTCGTTCAGATGTGGATAGGTGTGCACAACAAAGGTCCTATGTGTATTCACCGAGCTTTGTGTCATATGATATGTCGCTGTCCGAGGTACTTCCTTCTTCTATCTCTCAAAACTCAAATCAAGTATGTTTTCGTCCTTATCGATATTTCCAGGGGATACGTCGGCTATGTATGGGTACGACACTCAATAAACCAATATTCATATTAACTTCCATATCTGTATGAATAATGTGTATAATAATATTTTGTGTCCTTTTTTTCAACCTTGTACATAATTACATAGGAATCATCGATAAATGAGATATCTCAAACAAAAATAATATATTATACAAAAGTCACTTGAAGTGACCATTGACTTTACATGTAAGTTGCATTCTTGCATTACTATGCAGTATAAATGATCACAGAGAAATTCATCTGTTAATGAAATCCACGAGTTGCTACTAAGTCTCCAAAAATTGAAAATGTGCATTTTTCTATTAAGATCATACCTCTCTTTCTGTCTACCTACCATGCAGACAAGCCAAAGGTCTTCATTATCCAATCCTGTCGTGGGAAAGAGTTGCAGAGAAGTGTATCTTTGTCTGATAGCCCTGCGGAAATGTCTAATCCAGGGATGATGAACTATCCCCAGCCAGCCGTCACGACCCGCCCCGTCAACTCTGACATTCTTATTGCGTATGCAACCTCTGAAGGTATGATTTTGTTATTTGTCTGTTGAGATCGAGTCAGAAGGGCGTGTGTGAGTTCATGACATTCTGACTCTAAACAGACTAGGGGGGTGTTTCACAAAGATTTGAAGTCAAACTTAACTCTAAGTTGGATTTGATTATTATGGAGAGCCATTTGTAGCCTTATTTTGAAATGTATTCAAAAGCAAAAATTGAAGTATTTTAGACTTTTCATAAATTCCACATCAAGAACATGAAATCTCCCATGATAATAGAAAATATGAATGATTTGAATCAAAATTGTAAGCCTTTTAAAATAACTTTTTCAAAATATTTTCAAGGATGCTAATGGCTTCCATAATTATTAAGTCCAACTAGAGATAAGTTAAACTTAGGGTCTTTGTGAAACACCCCCTAGGTGTAGTATATAACTCTTCCCAATTTAAAAATTGCATGAAATGTTGATTCAAATCATTCATACTTTCTATCATCAAGGAGATTTCATGTTCTGGATGTGGAATTTATAAAAAGTCTAAAATACTTGAATTTCTGCTTTTGAATATATTTCATTTTAAGACTCCAATGGCTGTCCATAATTTTTAAGTCCAACTTAGAGTTAAGTTCTACTTAGGATCTTTGTGAAACACCCCCCTGGTCTTGAGTGACTCCATGGCAACAATTTTAACACCAGTATAGATCAAAGGAGAAGTCCACCCTAACATTTAGTTTGTTTTGGTAAAAGCAAAAAAATGAGAAAAACAAATTAGTGAAAGTTTGAGCAGTATTTCCTTAAAAATTAAAAAAATAGGAAAGTTATGAATTTTGGAATTGGCCATCATTGAAACACAAAATTAGAAATACTGTGAAGTATTTTGCGAGCTCTTCTCCAATTTGCTCCCTACAGAAAATTTCATGAACTTTCATTTTCTTAGTTATTGATGATGGAATCGATTGTATTCATAGAAGAGTTGTATAAAAACAATTACTTTAAAGATGTGTTCTGGTCGTCCAATTGCATTGTGAAAGAAAAGGTGTAGAATAGATCAGAAAAATTTGATCATGTAGCATGTAAGTATTGGTGTGTACTGCAAAATTCTGGAGTCATCAAAATCATGATAAACTTGGCCCAGTTGTGATAAAGTAACAAGCACTGTACACAGACAGATGTATATGGGACTACACAAATGGTGTCGGGGCTACTAACCTTGATTTCCTAATCTTTCTATGCTCAAATACTCAGCCAGTATACATTTTCTACCAAGATTGTTTGGCAAATTTATTTATTTTTTATTATTATTTATTTTGACATTTATTTGTAATCTTGAACATTCAGTGTAAGTTTCGTTTGATTCTGTAAGAATTCATTTTCTTTTTTTACCAGAACTCTCCTTTATCTTTAAATGTGAATGTTTGATTGAAAATCAAGAGAAAATACATTTTTTTTTTTTTTGTTTAGTAATGGGCGAACGGGAGAGGACATCGCAAGATACGTCACAGAGTTGCCAATTTGTATTTGATTGACCGCACCTTCAAAAATTCATAACTTTCTTATTTTTAACTGGTTTTCCTCAAACTTTCACTGACATGTTTTTCTCATGTTCCTGCTTATATTAAAACTAATTTAATATCAGGGTGGAAGAAAGAAAAACAATTATTTACCATGCATTTGTATGCATGTACATTTATTGTAGTATGTCGACATCAAATCATTGTTGGTCTGAAATAATGCCCAGTTAACGGCGGGTTAACTAGCCCACTGTGAATGTGTTTAAGGCCAGACTGAGGCACAAACTTTCAAATCCAGTATAAATGCATTACCGGTAGTTGTGTTCTCCTTGTACATCTTTAGGAGTTAGGATTGATCTAGATTGTTTGTAAGTCCTCCAGTTGATCGCAACCTCACCAACCCTGATCTCTTTATTACAGAGTTGCAATCAATATCAAGTCGTGATCAATTTGAATCAATCTCCACTCTTTATAAGACGGAATTCCATTCTATAATGTGTCTACCGTATTCTTAATAGCAGAATTGTAAAAATAAAAATCATTATTCTCTTGTCAGGAATGAAGGCGTGGCGCAATGAGGAAGAAGGATCCTGGTTCGTGAAAGACCTTTGTGATGTCATCACGGAGTATTACGACAAAGAACACATTCTAGATATCCTTGTACGTGTCAACAGCCTGATGGTGTGGCGAGAAGCAACTCAAGACCGTGGAAAACAGATGCCGTGCTTTGTGTGTACATTCACCCGGCGGTTCAAGCTTGCATATGCTAAAAAGTAAGGTGATACTGCTATGGATAAAAAGGTTTGAATCTGAGGTAAAGGAGCAAGTCTGAGGTACCTTGAGGTAATTTGATCCACTTGCATAAAAGGTGTACCATCTCCCTTTAGTCTGATAGGATATTGGTAAAATTTCATATTGGTCCTAATGTCCATCGGTGCTATCTTCAATTTGTACTAATGTCTAACGGTACCATCTCCAATTGGTCAAACAGTCCATCGGTATCATCTTACATTGGTCCTAATGCCCATCGATTCCATCTTGCATTGGTCAGACACTCCATTGGTACCATCTTCCATTGGTGTCTGACAGTTCATTGATACCATCTTCCACTGGTCCTAATGCCCATCGGTTCCGTCTCCCACTGGTCAGAGTCCATTTGTACTATCCCAATTGATCAGGCAGTCCATTGTTACCATCTCCCAAAGGTCCGATAGGCCATTGGTACCATCTACCATTTGAAACAGTCCATTGTTACCATTACCCATGTCAGACAGTCCATTGGTACCATCTCGCATAGGTCATACAGTCCATTGGTACCATTTCCCATGTCAGACAGTCCATTGGTACCATCTCACATGGTTCATACAGTCCATTGGTACCATTTCCCATTGATCAGACTGTCCATTTGTAACATCTCCCAGTGGTCCAACAGTCCAGTGGTACCATTACCCATGTCAGACAGTCCATTGGTACCATCTCGCATAGGTCATACAGTCCATTGGTACCATTTCCCATGTCAGACAGTCCATTGGTACCATCTCACATTGTTCATACAGTCCATTGGTACCATTTCCCATTGATCAGACTGTCCATTTGTAACATCTCCCAGTGGTCCAACAATCCAGTGGTACCATTACCCATGTCAGACAGTCCATTGGTACCATCTCGCATAGGTCATACAGTCCATTGGTACCATTTCCCATTGATCAAACTGTCCATTTGAAACATCTCCCAATGGTCCAACAGTCCAGTGGTACCATTACCCATGTCAGACAGTCCATTGGTACCATCTCCCAATGATAAACAGTCCATTGGTACCATCTCCCAATGATAAAACAGTCCATTTGTAACATCTCCCAATAGTCCAACAGTCCAGTGGTACCATTACCCTGTCAGACAGTCCATTGGTACCATCTCCCGCAATGATAAAACAGTCCATTGGTACCATCTCCCAATGATGAAACAGTCCATTTGTAACATCTCCCAATAGTCCCAACGGTCCAGTGGTACCATTACCCATGTCAGACAGTCCATTGGTACCATCTCCCGCAATGATAAAACAGTCCATTGGTACCATCTCCCAATGATAAAACAGTCCATTTGTAACATCTCCCAATGGTCCAACGGTCCAGTGGTACCATTACCCATGTCAGACAGTACATTGGTACCATCTCCTGCAATGATAAAACAGTCCATTGGTACCATCTCCCAATGATGAAACAGTCCATTGGGACCATCTCCCATTGATCAGACTGTGTCCATTTGTAACATCTCCCAATGGTCCAACAGTCCAGTGGTACCATTACCCATGTCAGACAGTCCATTTGTACCATCTCGCATAGCTCATACAGTCCATTGGTACCATTTCCCATGTCAGACAGTCCATTGGTACCATCTCACATGGTTCATATACAGTCCATTGGTACCATTTCCCATTGATCAGACTGTCCATTTGTAACATCTCCCAGTGGCCCAACAGTCCAGTGGTACCATTACCCATGTCAGACAGTCCATTGGTACCATCTCGCATAGGTCATACAGTCCATTGGTACCATTTCCCATTGATCAAACTGTCCATTTGTAACATCTCCCAATGGTCCAACAGTCCAGTGGTACCATTACCTATGTCAGACAGTCCATTGGTACCATCTCCCAATGATAAACAGTCCATTGGTACCATCTCACATAGGTCATACAGTCCATTGGTACCATTTCCCATGTCAGACAGTCCATTGGTACCATCTCCCAATGATAAACAGTCCATTGGTACCATCTCCCAATGATAAACAGTCCATTGGTACCATCTCCCAATGATAAAACAGTCCATTTGTAACATCTCCCAATGGTCCAACAGTCCAGTGGTATCATTACCCATGTCAGACAGTACATTGGTACCATTTTCCATTGATCAGACAGTCCATTCGTAACATCTCCCAATGGTCTGACAGTCCATTGGTATCATTTTCCATTGATCAGACAATCATTTGTAAAATCTCCCAATGATCCAACAGTCCATTGTTACCATCTCACGTTGGCCATCCAGCCATATTTGCACAAATCCAATTTGTCTAATTCAAGCCTGTATTGTACAGACTTCATTGAAATAATGCCTGCAAATCTTGCCTGGCATACATTGTAGCTACGGTTATTGTATCTATGTTTGTTTTTGTGGTTTTTATGTAAAATCAAATGCTGTGAACCTATTATAAGCAAGTGCATGTAATTATCTCAAGGTGCCTTTCAGTGCTTTTGTCCAAATACAGTTTTGGTCTCTCAAGAATATTGTTTGTATTCCATGATTTATATTTGATTTCAGAATTGTGAGCGTCAAGTAACGCCCGGCTGGAATGCTCCCCAGGGAGTGGAGATTGTGCACACAGTGTGTGCGGGCAAGCACTGAATCCAATGACCAGGGTAATATTATATTTGTAAAGCGCTTAGAGACATTTGTATTAAGCGCTATATAAAAATTAAATATTATTATTATTATTAAATTAATATTTTATATACCGGTATGTGATATAGTCTTTGGGTTCAATGTGGAAAAAAATGAAATTTCTTCTAAACATTTTTCATGAGAGGCTGCAACTGTCTGTGTTCTTGCAAAGCATCTACATTTAAGCCAGATTTAAACCTCTGATAAGTGCAAAGATTTAGTGCACTGATTTAACATTTTTTTGCTAGCAGAATACAGCCCGATAATTATGTAAATATGTAAAAGAAAAGAAATGGTCATGATCGCATTTACTCCCTTAAGATTCATTTCATGCCTAAACTAGTACATGTATGTTATATGATTAGAGTAGCTTTTAGAGTGTAGTATGTAAGGGACGGAAAGGGATGCACTTGCGCCGTCATAAATTAGTTGACTGATTCAAGCCTGTTTTTATTTATTTACATTCAAGAATTTAGAACACTGAAATATCTTATGAAATAATTCTTCTATGTATCCTTGATTTTATTGTGGCCTTCTTTCCCTTATTTGTATTGATTCTGGAGTATATGGATTAGCCAGGCGTTGTTAAATTTGATGTAGGTATGGCATCCAAGATTTTAGTTTTTTTTCCTCTTCAATTTGTGGTGATTTTGTGTCTTGAAGTATTCTACAGATAATATCTTGCTCCATTCCTAGTTGTGAGCTCTCTTGATTCAGCCAAAAACTGTTATCATTGTAAATATTCATTGTGCCCCCCCCCCCCTGCTTCAGTACTACACGCTGTAATAATCTAGTACAATTTTGAATGTACATGTTAATGTATTGTGGAGATATTCTAGATTTGAAGTAAAATACAGTAAAGAAATTAGTGTGTTTGAGGAGTAATACATGTTCAATATATTAGCATTTATTTATTGTAATTGTGTATTATATGTGATTCCTAGCATTTTTTTGCACTGATTTGGACATAAGATGTGTAGTTATCTTCTTGCCCTTATTTTTAACGCTTTTTTTTGTTGCAGCTAAATTGCATTGTATTCAACTCAAATTATGACTACGGTATGTTACCTGAAATGAAAAAAAATGAAATACTCGACTGTCCAACGATATTGTCACTAAACGTACTTGTTAAAAAAATGAAGTTTACTTTTATAACTTTCCTGTGTTTGTCACATGTTATCGCTCATATAATGAGATTCATGCATTAGTAAATATATTGCATGCAAAATGTTTTTGTACATCATTATTTTTTAATACTGGAATGGGATTATTTCAGATTATTTTTCATTTTACTATATTTAATTTTAATTTGTAATGATAATCCAATTTTTTAAACTGTCCATCTTGTTCTTCAAAGTAATGAAAATTTCAATCCATTCATTATCTGACAAAAGTACAAAGAATCAATATAGATGTTATATATTTGGAATTTTTGTATGGATCAAATCAGTTTATTGGAGAAAAAAAAATATTCTGGAGAGTAAGCAGCTTGAAATTCCATTGCACTTTATTATATAATGAACATTAATTAAAGACTGAAAAATGAAAAAGATGATTTATATATCAACGGAAAGCTAATAAGCCATAGATTACAATGATATTTTTATTTTATTTATTTCTAATCCAATATCAATTATATGTTATTTATGTGTCTATAATAGGAGTATTAACAACTCTCTGAAAACTCAAAATCTAAAGCTTTGAAAACCAGAAGTTGTCGACCTAAATACTAGTTATCTCCTTGATGACATCATCTTATGTTGAGTACTAATACGCATATTCACAATTATATTGCATTAATTAAGTACGATTCATCGCCTCGGCTACAAGTATATAGACTTATGTTATGTAGTCACCATAACTGCGGCTAATTTGATTCCTGTTGACACGTAATTCGGAGGGTGCGCGGAAAATGAGTTTTTAATTTTCTTTTGTGCAATACTGAAAAGGAAAACATTTTGTACTACTTCATACATGTATTTGTATTCAATGTTCATTCAGCTTTCCATTGATATAAAGTTGTACATGTATTTTCATCAGAAAGGGTCTGTAACCTAAATATCATTCGTTTGGATCCACAAAGTTAAAATAATGCTCTTGTGGCTACAAACGGACTATTTTCTACACATCATTTGGCAAAAAATATCAGTCTGTCAGCAGTTGATCAAGTGTACACTACGGTGATGTATTTTAATTTCAGTTACCTCAATCTTTACAACATCTTTTTATTTTGATCAAATATGATCATAAAGATTTAGATAAGGGAATGAGATCGCAGCTACATATACTTTCGAAAATCAACTCAAGATTTGTTCCAATACTCTATTGCATGTTCTGTAGAAAAGTGTTCGGATTACGTAATACATCATTAATTGCCATGTTCGCACATTCCAATAGGCTATTGAAATTGATTTTGTCGAAAATAGTTGCGATCATGTTTTAACTTTTATATAATTTATCATTTTAGAAGGTGATGCGCAAATGAAATGGGCGTAATTTTATATTTTTAAACTATTTAATTTATGTGCTTGAGATATGTGTGCGATATGAAATCATAATGAAATGTGTGAGTTTGAAATGTTTCCATATGCAGCAATGTTGAATAGAACTATGACAATTATCTAGGTACATGTACCTGTATTTAAGACCTTTGCATTGATAATTCAAGAATCCAAAGCAAATTAGGTATAAATTTCTAACAATCTTGCAACAAATGTAATTAAATTGTATATATTCACCTATTAATGGTATAAAAGTATGAAGTAGACAAAGTAGACGTCTTTTTACTCTATAAAGACAATAAAACAGTACAAGAATTTGAACATCAGAATTCTTTAGATATTATACTCTTGTAGATTTCTTCGGTGGAATTCAATTTTGATAAAAACCGATAGTTGGATTTGTATTACATATTTATGTACTTCTAGTAAGCGTACTATTTGTAGAAATAATGCAGTACTCAAATCATGGCATAATAAATTGTCCTTCAATTCTCAAGCAGTGTTGTTAAATGTGTGTGATTTTACATGATAAGGTCTCTCACACCTCCGCTACCGTTTTTATTCTTTTAGTACATCCTTCCGCTTTACAAATCCACCAATCTTCCTCACTTTGAATTTTATTACTCTTTATCTTCTTTTTATGATCTCTCTTTTTTTCTCATTTCCCCTTCCATGATCTCTTTCTCTCTCTCTCTCTCTCTTTCTCTTTCTCTTTCTCTCTCGGCTGAAATGTTGGAGTAGTTATTTGCAATGCACAGTACGGACAGACTATAGAGAATTTAAAAGAATGTACACTCTGCTAAATTAAGGCTTCGGGGAATGGCAGCTAGCTCGAAAATTCATTTCAAAGAAAACAAATAGAGTGTTTCCCTAAATCCATTTCTTAATAAATTGGTGTCGGTAACATATTCTTCTTTCATATATTGGTTTGTGATAAAGGATTTATCATTGTATACTTCTGAAATAATTAGACTTCTGAACAGTACGTGGCATCAACATTCATTTTGACAAGAACGTAGAGCAAAGTTTTAAGGGCCTATCAAACTAGCTCCATACTTTTCATTAACATTTGGTAATATTTGTCTCGGTTCAATTCCAGCGGGGGGTTTTTTTTTGGGGGGGGGGGCGAAAAGAAGAGGAGCGGAAGAGAGGGAAAGGCTTCATGTAAGAAAGTAATGAACAAAAGACATAAATACAGATAATGATGAAGAGAAAGAGGGAGGGACAGAGGTAGAGAGATGAGAGAGATAAGAGAAAAATTTGATAGAAAGAGAAAGATGAGAGAGAGAGGGAAGGAAGAGGAACAATAAGAGTTGGAGAGAAAGCGGGAGGAAGGAGGGAGGAAATGAAGGGGAGAGCTAATTATCACTAGCATGTCCCGCTGACCCCCAAATATAAAGAAAGAAATAAAAAATAGATATGAATGCTCCATACAGACCAAAGATTTTTTTTTTTAAAGAGTCGCCCAGTCCTTCCTGACCATCCTACTTTTACATCCTACCCCCCCCCCCCCTGCCCCGAAAAAAGGGGGCAATATTTAAATGTTATTTAATATGAAACAATAAAGAAATATCTGTGGTTAAACTAGATAGGATTTTTGGTTATTGGCAATCCGGGAGACGGGAAAAACAACATCATAAAGCATATCAAATGACAAGTATAGTGTATATGACCACACTAGTAGTTAATGGGAATTGAGTGAGATCATTTCTTAAAATTATGCTGTTTCCATGGGTGCTAAACATATTCAAAGTCGAAAAATGTGGATTTCCGTCTTAATATTTGAGTAAAAATCAATTCTAAAATGTGTTCTATATACCAGATTATACAAATTACAAAATCGAGATAAACATGGTCAACTCTCCAAACTAATACAAACATTGCATGAGAGGAACAGTTCAGTGAACTTTCGGGCAAAGTCTTATTAGAATTAAGAAAGTTATTGTTTTTTAAAGTTAACCTCAGTGAAACTCAAATTGGCAAATTGGTAAATTGGCAAAACCTTGCGAGGTCCTCCCTGATTTGCTCTGTACAGAAATATCATAAACTTCCATTTCCTTTGTAATTATTTATGACATAATAAAACTGTTTCATACAGGGGTTATATAGAAACATATATTTACCATAATTATAAATATGGTGCATGTAAATTTTCTTTTTGAGAAATAGATTGGTTTCATATAAAGGGGTTGTATATAGAAACATATTTACCATAATTATATTTAGGGTGCATGTAAATTCTCTTTATGAGAAAAATATTGGTTTCTTATAGGGGTTGTATATAGAAACATATTTACCATAATTATATATAGGGTGCATGTAAATTTTCTTTAGGAGAATAATGATTTTTTTTTTGGGGGGGGGGGGATTAGGCCTACAGATTGAGTAAGTTGGAGGGATCGAGCTCGCAAGATAAGTCACACCAACTTAATATCAGGGTGGACTTCCCCCTTAATGTGTTTAAGGAGCATTCATATAACAGACTCTCGGCTTTTAATTCATTTGCCCTGTAGATTCAGTTCAAATCCCACCGCTGCCACCAACTTTAATCACAATAATCTTACAGTTAATTCACCAGCCGCAACATCGAAAGAGTGGCTGGGGCGAGCGTTTAGTAAGCGACAATATAGGCCTACATTCCACCGAAGGGAAGCTCAGTGGTGCTTGAAGCTTATAACATTATTTCTTACTTTCAGAAAGTTTCCGCTTAGCAGCATAGTACGATGATATGGTTGCACCAACAGAGCTGGCTGTTACGCAAAGAGCTCCAATGACCTTCAAAAGATTTGGGGTAACGTTGAAGAACGCAAAGTCCAGGACAAAGGTGACAAAGACTCCCGTGGTCGAAATGACGGCGACAACCGCAGCGTTTTCCGTCTGGAATGCGAGAGTGCAGGTCATGATCTGAAGATAGCCGATGATGCAGATAGCTAGGACCAAGAGCCGATCGTATCCACAACCAGGGATGGACCACTCGTTGAGGGCGCTCATCAGTGAGGCACATACCAAGACGCCGATGCAGCCGTACGAAAAAGTAATAAGTTGCGCGTGAACCTTGAGGCGGCCGAGCATTCGGAGTGACAAAAATGTAAGAGTCACAAACAAAGCGGCAGAAAAAGCTGAGAGTAATCCAAATATATTGTTTTCACCGCTGCCGCTGCCAAGGAGACCCCCAAAGATAGGTGCTGGCTGGACAACAAGTAAAACACCGACCACACTGATACAACATGATACGGTGATTGGGATGGAACAAGTCTCCTTTAAACAGAGACACGCGAAGATGCAGGTGATGAAAGTTGAGCTCTGTAGGATACACTTGACAGTGGATATGTCCAGTTGTTGGAGGCTGTTGGAAGCGCAGATGGCGCATCCAGTGCCGAACATTCCCCTGACGATTACGAATCCCCAAGCTTTCAGAGGCAAGCAATATGACACCTTGTGGCGTATGAGGTTGGGTCCTGTGAAGAGGACAAGGGTGAATGAGCGGTAAAGTACAATTTGATTCGGGGAAACCCTGCCAGATAAGAGCTTGACAGTCAATGAAGAAAAGGAAGTGAGGATCGCGAATGATAGTGCCCAGCAGATCCCCCTTCGTTGGACCACCACTTTACCTATTCTGGTCCATATGCCTGTCTTCGGCTGTCCGTCATAATACTCCTCAGATGGTGTATCACTACAAAGAGTATCCCGGTCGTTTTCTTTCTGCTCTTTAAACCGAGTTAGGCCTGCATGTGGCCTGTTTCTTACACCATCTTTAAGACGATGGCCGTTCGACATCAAATCATTTAGAACGACTTCATCAAGCATTGCTCTCTCATGGCGCTCCATGCTGTATCGACAAGTCTCAGTCGAGTACCTTTGCTCAAATCGAAAACAAATGTAACTTGCTAAATGTTTATGCATGCAATACAACCAGTCTTGCCTTTTTACCAGCTCCCAATACTTTATATCGAAGCTGTATTGGGGGGGGGGGGGGTCATGTTTTCACTGCTGACTTCATGAAGATCACAGAGGAAATTCATTGAATGTTTCCTCAGGAAGCAAGTTGTCATTGATACCATTGTGTTCGACCAAACTTGGAGCGTCGATCTTATCTGATAAGCAATTTGAGGCTGGACCAGGAAATCTCCAATAACATTTAACCTTTTAATGACAAAATCGATAAATCCTTCATTCGGTCCTTTATTACCCAAAGTGCTCGGGCACGATAGTTTAGTTATTTTCTATGACATACACGCATCAAAACTTCGGATATTGATTATCATTATGAAGGCCATCAATGATAGAGTTATTTTACACGTGTAAAGGGGTTCAAGAAGAAGGGGGTGAATCAAATTTTACTGTTTATTTAATTGGGTACTCTGATCAGGGGAGAAAAGAGAAGGGGGGAAATGGAAGAAGGATACAGCAAGAGAAGAGACAGAAGGATAAATTGGATAGAATAACCAATAACGTCCTTGATGGTGATACTCTGTTAGTATGTGCAGCCCTACAGTTCAGAAAGATTGAGAAAAGGGGGTATGCAGAAATACATGGAAACCAAAAAAGGAGGAATTTCGAAAGAGCAAAAGAGAACAGTTTCAGAAAATAAATGGAATGCGAGGAAAAAATTATGCAAACAGATACAATAAATAATCATAATGATAGTAATAAACAAATAAATAATGTATTTTTATATGTTTTTTAGTGTTTTTGGAATTACATAATTTGTACCAAATCGTTAGGGTATATATATATTAAAGAGTTTTAATAAGTGAACATTTGATAAAGTGGTATGGACTAGGGACAATTATGTAATTCAGAATGGTATGGAACTTGACAGTAAAAGAATCCGCAGCTAGTACATGTATTTCAGGCGCGGATCTAGGATTTCTTAGGGGTGGGGGCCCAAATTAGGAATCAATTTGAAATTTAGTGTAATGATATTTGAAAATCGTGCCGGACAATATTTCGCTCAGTGGGGGGGGGGGGGGGGTAGTGAGCACTAACTTATTTGTTAAGCCCTCGAAAAATGGCAACCCCCCCCCCCCCCCTTGAGCGCCAGGGGGGCAGGGCCCATCTCCAAAAAAGGGTAATGAGGGGGATGAGCTTAATTTTATAACTTAATTTGTGACACTGGCAAGGTCACGAATTGGCGTTGGGTCCAGGGGACGAAGCCTCCGAAAGCTCAGGGGGTTTTGGGCAATAAATAACGATCAGATGAGCATATTTTTATACCTTTTTTGTGACACTGGCAGGTCACGAATTGGTGTTGGGTCCAGGGGGCGGAGCCCTAAGAAGCTCAGGGTTTTTTTTACATTAAATTATCGTCAGATGAGCATATTTTATACCTTATTTGTCACACTGGTAGGTCACGAATTGGCGTGGGGTCCAGGGGGCGGAGCCCCAACAATCTCATGGGTTTTGGGCAAAAAATTACAGTTAGATGAGCATATTTTGATACCTTTTTTGTGACACTGGTAGGACACAAATTGGTGTTGGGTCCAGGGGGCGGAGCCCCCAGAAGCTTGGGGGTTTTGTACATTAAATTGTCGTAAGATGAGCATATTTTTATACCTTTTTTTGTGACACTCGCAGGACACAAATTGGTGTTGGGTCCTTGGGGCGGAGCTCTCAAAAGCTCAGAGGTTTATACAACAGTTTATCGTCATATGAGCATAATTTTATACCTTATTTGTGACACTTGCAGGTCACAAATTGGCGTGGGGTCCAGGGGGCGGCCCCCGGAAGATCAGTGGTTTTGAGCAGTAAATTACGGTCAGATAAGCATATTTTGATACCTTATTTGTTACACAGCCAGGACACAAATTGGCGTGAGGTCCAGGGCGCCGAGATCCCAGAAGCTCAGGGGTTTTAATCATTAAATTACCGTCAGATTAGCATCCAGCCGTCCGCCGTAGGGCCCTAGGTGGGGTCCAGGGGGCAGAGCCACCGGAAGCTCATGGGTTTTGGGCAATGAATTACTGTCAGGTGAGCATATTTTGATACCTTATTTTGTGACACTGGCAGGACACAAATTGGTGTTGGGTCCAAGGGGCGGAGCCCTCAGAAGCTCAGAGGTCTATACATCAATATATCGTCAGATGAGCATAATTTTATACCTTATTTGTGACACTGGCAGGTCACGAATTGGCATTGGGTCCAGGGCGCCGAGACCCCAGAAGGTCAGGGGTTTTAGGCATTTAACTACGGTCAGATGAGCATATTTTGATACCTTTGATATCTTTCCCCTTTTGTTTTTCCTTTTTTTTTTCCTTCTTTTTTTTTTGCCGGGGGGGGGGGGGGGCGATACGAAAACAAAATGAGTCTGTCGCTTGTAAACAAAATAAGACGCCATTGTATATTCAGCTGCACATACCGCGGTATGTTCGGCGTTTCAAGAGGGAACAAATGCCGTCCTTAATATCATTCCGGTTTTTTTTTTCAATTTGAAAGTCTGGTTTCTTTAATTGTTTATTAACCCCTTTCCTGTGTGTTTACAAGCAAAAAAGTTATCAAGATCGAAAGTTATCAAAATCGAAATCCCCTTTTGAATGGTTTGACATTTTTATACACTAAAATCATTATAATTTTACAAATGCTAGCTTTGCAATTATGTTCATTCTTTATGGGATGTCGTCTGCTTGGGTAATATTGGTCCATTTGTTGACGTCATTAAAACATCGTTATTTTTCCGGCGAATCTGTTGTATATCCCAGCTTCTATCAAGGTGGTTGTATTTGTATTTTTATAAATCACCCGATATGCAGTTGACCTAAAAAAATGTCCATCTTTTAGCTTACCAGTTTCTAGTGATAAATTAGTTGACATATTTGTGATTTTCTTTGAATTTCACCTTTAAAAGAATTTTTTTCAAAATCGGACCTAAAGTTACAAGGTCACGTGACCTTTTGTCTTTGCATGTCAGCCCGAAATCGCTCATTTTCGTGAGTTGTGTACAAAACATAAGGAAATGTCATTTTTCCTAAAAAAAAATAGATAAAACATTGGTTATTGGGTCTTGTTTAAAGTTAAGGTAGTTTTTTTATGAGTCAAAATAGTTGAATTATATAGTGAGAAATGAAATAAAACATCAAAAACAATAAAATACATAAGATAAAAAACAATGAAATACATAAGAAATTATCAAAACAAGAGATAACATAAGGAATAAGCTGGCTCTTCCCAAAAAAAATTGTCGTATTATTATTCCAAATGGTCTAATGAATATATGTAGTGAAAAGAAATGCTTAAATATGAATAATATATGATTTATGGGTAAAAAATGTGCAAAAAAAAATCATAAAAATGAAAAGAAAATAGAAACAGCCCCTGTAGATCCACCAGCGTGATATAGTCTAGCTCAGAGGGGGCCCTTCTGGGGCAGGGCAGGGGCGCGCAGTGTTTCTCAAATACGCCCAAAGTGCCCCTTTTACTCTGACAAGTACCATTTTTTTCTTTGCAATAAGTGTCCATTTTCAATTCTCATAAGTGCCTTTTTAAATCTCTAGTAAGCGCCCCTTTTCAGGTACGACAAGCGCCCTCTTTCACTTTTGATAAATGCCCTGTTCAAATCTGAGAGGTGCCCTTTTACTTTTACAAGTGCCCCTTCCTCTTTTATTAACTACACCCTTTTTTAACTCGGATAAGCGCAACTTATATGTTAACATGTGCCCCTTATCCTAATGATAAGTGCCCTCATTTAGAAAAAAAAAGGCCCGCTCCCTTTCTCATAAATGTCCCTTTTCATCTCTGGTAAATGAACCTTTTTAGGTACGAGAAGTTAATCCTTTTCACTTCAGATAAGTGCCCCCCCCCCCTCACCTCCGATGAATGCCCCAATTAAAATCTGATCGGTGCACCTTTTCTTTCAACTAATGCACATTTTCCTTTATCATAGTTGCCCCTTTTTCATTTTCATAAGTGCTCCTTTCATAGCTTGTCAGTACCACTTTTGAGATGCGATAAGTTTCCCTTTCCACCTCTGATAATTCCCCTTTAACAATGATACGTGCCCCTTTTCCTTTCACATAAGGGACCTATACGCATTTCATAAATGCTCCCTTTCACCTCTTATAAATGCCCTTTTCAAATTCTGATTGGTGCCCCTTTTCCGTCGACAAATGCCCATTTCCCATTCTCATACGTGCCTTTCTTCATCCCTGAAGAGTGCCTCTTTTTGTAGGTGTAAGAAGTGCCCCATTTTTACCTCTGATAATTACCCTTTGTGCTTTGACACGTGCTCCTTTTCTTTTCTAATAAGTGTTTTGTCCCTTTCGTTTAAAGCGTCCCCTTTTCCTCTCATCATTAAACGCGCCCCTAATTTCAAGCGACTAAAAGCAATTATCGCTCGCTCCCATTTATAGCTGATATAATTGTGTTACTTAACAAAGGTCTTGTCAGTCTTCCGGTATGAGAATTTGCTTATAACCCCATCAGAATTTTTTCCACTTTATAAGATGTAATTTTGCGCACTGCGACCTCACAAATCTGAAATATTTTCGTCGTTCGCTTCGTTCTCTCACAAATGTATTCATCACACCCAAATGTAAGGTATGATACAAATTGTATATTTTCGCTTTAAGATTTCCCGTTGTAGGTGCCCTTTTTTTGCAGAAAGTGCCCTTTTTTGTTGGTGCCCCCCCTACTTTTGAAGTCGCTCCGCTGCCCCTGATCTAGCTCTTGTAAATGTAATTGGTGGCCAATTCGCTGAGCTGCATTGAGCTATACATAGCGCTAGCTAGCTGTGCTGACGAGTCCAAAATCAATGCACGCACCCAGCTAGAAGGCGATTTCGCAATAATTCTTCAATTCATCGGTATTTTTCATCGGTATACTTTTATAGAGTCACTAGGCCTAATAAAAAAGATGTTGTATTACCCTTTGAGACCGGCCCTTAAATCTTAAAATCTACGGTCGGCTTTTTATTAAAGTTTTTTTTTTTTTAATATGTATCAAAGCACTAAAAACTGCAAAATATCAGCCCAAAGATCCCAAATAAAAATAATCGACCGACCGACCCAGGTGCTGGCACCTAGAAGACAATACGACATCTTTTTTTTATTTAGGCCCTATGAAAAGGGTACTAGATACAGTCTAATGAAAACTTGAAAAGCGACGCATTTGACTGCACTCAGTCAAACCGCCAACGTGACGCCAGATCGATCGGTTCTTGGCATTTCGAGATGATGTACATATTTGTTTTGTCAGCTGTCGGTCTGGCATATGCCCATACTGCCCTTTTAATATGCTTTTTTTTTTAACGAGTCCGTTTATTCTCCCAAAAGGCTTGAAAGGCACCTTTTTGTAACACATGATCTACTTGGTTATCGCCCAATTGACCAATTTCACACTGCCCAGGGGGTTGTCCTAGAACCCTTTGTGATGTAGTTGAATGAAGGATACTTCATATTAAATTTTGTCATTTTATCAACACGCTATGAAAAGGGTCATAGAACTGCTGACCACAATTTCTACACCCCAATGCCCCGGATCAAGGGATGGTCAATCTTCACGAGGCACCAATGAAAAAAACAAGAGGCTCCCAAGGGCGATGGGGCGCATTCTTTTTATTCGAAATTCTCAAAACTTTGTGAAGTGTGATTTATAAAAAGCAGAACACTAGGTTATACATGACATAATCACTATCAAGTTCAGTTAGCAAAACCAACCTCCGTGTATTTCGTAGATCGGAAAGTTTTTTTCAACAGGTTAAGAATTTCTTATTTTCTGAGAGGTCCGGGTGTTCGATTGTATATTTTGAATATCATCTTCAGGTGTCTTTCCTTCGTCGGCTTTCGTTCGTATTCATGAAATTATCGCGTTTAAGTAAATTCTAGTTAACATATTGAGGAAATTTTTACCAACATGTGGAACCTATTTTCGAAGAAGAATTTCACCGTCTACGTGAAAACGGGTGACCGTCTGGGCATGGGCACCGACGATACAATCTCGGTCGTCCTTCAAGATGAGAACGGACTTCGGTCCGGCAAGTGCCAGCTCGACAATCTCCTGAGCAACGACTTCGAGTCCGGCCGGCTAGATAGCTTCCAGATTGCGATTGAGGATGGAGATTTTGGGGACCCTGTTTATCTGGAGCTCCATCGGGACAAGTTTGGTTTCCACGATGACGAGTGGTACTGTGAATTCGTCAGGGTGCTGAGCGAGAAGACGAATCAGGTCCACATGTTCCCGATTCATAGATGGGTTCGTGCTGGATGCCCGATTAGGGTGAAGGAGGACGACGCGGTGCTCCCTCAGGACGACGAAAACGTGATCCAACGACAGGAAGAGCTCCAGAGGAAGCGAGACATGTATGTTCCCGCTTTCAAAGAGGCAACGGGAATGATCATGGTAAGCGTTTTCTCTCTTCCCTTCAAGTTATATTCTTGTATATGGGGAGTAGGGAGGGGAAGTCGAAAAGTCTCCGTCAGACAAATGAGGTCGAGGTGATATCACAACCACAACCACAGCCACAACAAATCCTTGCACCCCCTCGTCTTTTTATGAAACCCAAGTGGTAAACACAACCCTACACTAAAGTATGCTCCCTTTACACATTTTAGCACGTGAAAAAAATATGATGATCTTATCCATACTTTCTGAGTTGTGCACCTTATAAGAAATTCCGGATCCGCCCATGTTTAAGGTGCTCTAAATCTAAAATTTGAAACGGGGCTAAAGAATTGTTTATGGCATACACTTTATGTGTATGCATGCACATGCATGATTCATTTTGGAATGGGTCGCGGACGAGTTGTGCCGCCCTGCTTGTTCCATAGGTAATGAACAGTGGGACGAGGGGCATCCCTTGTTTGTGAGGGGGAGGGGGGGGGGGTAACAACCCGTTTAATTTTGTAGTCAAAATTACCTTTGTTGTCTGTAAATTGTAACAGTCAAATATATTTACTTTTCTGACAAACTAAACACAAGTAAACTAATGACCGCATCGGTTTTTGCTTTGAAATTTTCTGCAAAGCTATCTCTGACTCGCATTTCAATCGATCAAAATGCGATCCCCCTGGTAAACGTTGCTTCATGAACGTTCAAAATTGATGAGGAAACTAATTCGAACCAGATAAAGAGAAAGAGAGAGAGAGAGAGAGAGAGAGAGAAATAAAGAGAGAAAAATATCATGCAAAATGGCATTGAATTCAGCTTCTGCAAATATAACAATACCTGTCCACTGGCCGAATTCTCTTTGCTTCTTGTCTTTACATTCCCTTCGTTAAGATTGGATGTCCTCCATTTTTGTTGACTCTTTTAGAAGTCACATCTGATTTTCCTTTTCTAAACTTACCACTGCCATACTTATCCTGCAATTTTTTTCGGGCAGATGACGAAATGTAATCAATTTCATTTCCATTGAAGCAGAAGCAGAGGTCAAGGTGTATCTTTTATATGCATACTTTGACCCAGAGTGCAAAGCTATTACTAAAGATGCAACGAGCGCCATATCTTCTGTTTCACGCCGTTTTTAGGTCTTTGTTCGGACTAACTATCTCCACTATCCTAGATGCTACAGATTTCTTCAGAACAATTACCCACGGAAATTTACCCCTGCGGGACAATTACCTCCCCCCCCCCCCCCCCCCCGAGGACAATTCTCCGGTTCTAGGACACCTACCCCCTGGACATCCACCCCGGATAACCACTTTAGAATAACCAAACTCTAGGACAACTACCCCAAGGACTACCTCAAGTATATGCAGTCCTACAATATTCAGTGATCGTTGTCGTGGTTGAAATCGAGTCTAAAGTTATGAAATTGTAAATAATAAACTCTTTATGTTGTATAGCTCCCTGGCGATGGAAATTACTTCGATCACCGTTACAGCTATTTCCTCATATGTTTCACAAATTATTCAGAAAAACCGAACAAATGATAAGAATTTGCAGACTTTCAGCTACATCACAGTATAGTAAATAAATATCAAATTTGAGGATTTATGACGATTTTCCGAGAAACCATTCAATTAAACAGGCCATAACATTCCACAGGGACTGAATTTTAGAAAAAAAACAAAATGTGGTGACTTCAGTACAGTTGTGGCTACCGTGAGGGTAAATAACAAATTAATTTAATAAGTGAAACTAATGAGAATTTTGCATTTTTGTAGGGGAGTTATATACATTGAGGTGCATTTTCACCACGCAGAATAACAGTCAATGGGCGATCAGCGGGCCATGTCACACATGGCAGAAAAGACAATATTCTAATTAATAATTTAACATATTTCCCACATGCCTATAACAATGAAACTACAAAGAATTGTAGTTAAAGGTATGCTTGAAAGATATGTGAAATAAAAATTTAAAAATATTGTTCAGTTTGTTTAAAATAAATTTACGAAAATTGCTATTTCTACCAACTGACTGCTGTTGTGTGTGTGTGTGTATGTGCATGGGGCAGACTGTGTGCACAGGCAGTGTGATCACCCTATTAATAGCCAAGATGCCTCAAGGGAATTATTAATCATCTTTTTTTATTTTGTAATATAGTATAAATGCATTCCTAACGCAAATGCTTTCATTCAGGGCAAATACGTTTTTCTCCACCAGACCGTAGCTAGGAGGCCTTGATGAAACCATTGGGTCATGAAAACACACAATGGCTCCCATAAAAATCCTCAGATTTTATGGTGTGACTTTGTGAACACATTCCTCTCTTAAATTTACAATATGAGAACAAACCTGACCTGCCTTTGTAAACCCAAAACAAGTACTGAGCGGCTCCTGTGTAGACTCTACAAAACTCTATACCGGCAATACAAAAAAGGTTTGGGGTTATCATGTAGTAATTAAAGCTCTACAGGCAGTCAACTCATGCATGACCCTGACGATCGGTCTCACTTCATATGGGAAGAGATTAGCATTTGGCAGCCCTTCCAGTTGGCTGTGCTTCCAACTGCACTGTTACCCATAAAGTTGGAATAATATTGTGACACTTTGATTTATTCTTGACAAATAAAGTTCTTATCTTTTGATTGTTTTTGTATTTTTACCAGATTGTGGAAATAAACTTGAATTGAATTGAATTGAATATCCTGCCAATTTTTCGGGCAGATTAAGGAATATAGTCAATTGATTTCCATTAGAGCAGAAGCAGAGGTCAAGGTATATCTTTTATATGCATACTGTGACCCAGAATGCAAAGCTATTTCTAAAGATGCAACGCGTGAGAAAACGAGCCCATGGCTGATTTTTGAAGAAAAAAAACATTTGTTGTGATGGTAGGGGAGCTTGCAAGATACGTCACAGATTTGCCAATTTGTGTTTGATTGATCGCACCTTCAACAAAAATCATAACTTTCTTATTTTTAATCGGTTTTAGCTCAAACTTTCACTGACCTTTTCAAAACTGATATTATATCATGACTGTATAACATGATAAACTGATACATACAGTAGAATATGAAATTATGAGATACCCGAATCAAATATAAACATTCTTTGTAAAGTTATAAAGCAACCTTGTAATATATAGAATCGGGCGCGTACGCAGGACTTTTGTCGAAAGGGGGGGGGGGGTTAAAATTTGAAAATCGCGCCGAAAATTTCGCAACGACTCAGCTAGCCGCTGAATTACCGGGGGGGGGGGAGGTACGTAAGAGCACATTTTTGGTTTTTCTCCAGAAACTTGAAAATTTGGCCGATCGATATTTCGTTTCGTTATTAAAAAAAAAAAGTGAAGGGGGGGATCCTCCAGAACACACACAAACAAAAAATGTGAGGGGGGGGGGGGTTCGACCCCCAAACGTTTTTCCCAAACGAATTAAAATAAATTTCCAGGGTTTTAGTTTTCTTTCAATCTCATCTTTTCATTCGTATCAATCTTCTTAGCTATTGCTATTGCGGCACATATTTTTCTTTTACCCGACGATCAATGTTCATGTCTGCTATTTGAATACAACATCAGCCTTTGAAATCAGGTCTTAAGAAGGTGGGGAGTAGGGGGAGTAGGTGAGTGTCCTTGAGGCTTGAGGGTTCGATGTTCATCCAAAAGACTAATCCTTTATTAAATAACAGGATATCTTAATTCCGCCCTGTATACATGATAAATGTAGTCAATACGAGAGACCCAGATGAATTTGAACCCGCATACCAATATCATAAAATACTGACAAATACGAATACAGACATACAATAATCCTTCCATGCTATTTGATCTGCCATTGAATATACTGTACCATCAAGCCCAAATAGAGGCCTTGTGAACTTACGAGCGATACCGGGTCAAAAGATGCCCACTTTGAACGGCCTGAAGAAATTATTATTAATATAAGATATTTCTATATCGTCAATTGCATAATGCCTCTAAGCGGTTAGAAGAAATATAGGTGATAAGTCAAGGAAACAGAATTAGCATTTATTACAAATTGCATCACATCAAAGTTCGAAAGTTCGAAAGTTCGACCTAAGTCGAAAATTTGTTGTACCCAACTCGGTAGGCCTAATATTCTTGTCCGACTATGATCAAATTCACCCATAAAATGACCAATTTTTATTTGCCCAAAATTATTATGATTCTTTCTAAATGTGAAGGTTCTTTGTTATCTACTAAACTTGTTTTCCTCCAAAACTGCCATCGTTCCCTACCAGTGGCGTACGCAGGATTTTTTCAAGGGGAGGGTTTTCAAATCGGGCCCAAAATTTCGCAACGACTCAGCCAGCCGCTGAATAAGCGGGGGGGGGGATAAGAGGACACTTTTCATTTTTTTGGGGGGGGGTCACCTATTGGCAATTTTTTATTATTATTATTATTTTTATTTTTTTTATTTTTTATTTTTTAAATCAAAAGGGGAGGGTTTTCTAAAATATACAAAAAAAACATACAAATAAAAAAAAACTCGAGGGGGGGGGGTCGTTTAACCCCAAAACCACCCCCCTGCGTATGCGCCTGTTCCATACAGTGAACAATGACAGAGCCCTTAAAAACAGCCTTCCTTAGCATGTTTAGAAAGCAAATTCAGATTCACTAATAAGCCTTTACTTGCGCTTTAGTTGGTAAATAAAGGTCCTGTAGACAATTGCATAGGCCTAACAAGCAATAATCAAATCAAGCTCAGCTCATGTATTGTTCTTGTAAGAATTTCGGGAAATCCAAAGACATATTATTCTACTGAGGACAATACAAGGAAAAAAGAAATCTTACAAGGTACTTCTCTCCTTGTCAGAACTTAACCCACTTTTTAAACAAGTACGTACCTGAACACCCTCAATCGAGTCTTCTGTTAGTACAGTTTTAAAAGAAGATTTCCACTCATCATGATGATAATGATTGTAAGAAGAAGGAGGAGATGTCTCGTCGGTGTAATTAGGGTATTAATGGCCATAATATTATATCTAGATCATCCAGAATACTGTAGCCAGAATGATTGAGCAATCTCGGCGGACAGAGCACATATTATCAACCATCCTCCTTCGTCTCGACTGGTTACCTGTCCAAAAACGAATAGACTTCAATGTCCTACTTCTTACATATAGATACTCCACGGGAAAACCCCTTCATATCTATGTGAGATACTTCATCCATATGTTCCTGTCCGCACTCTTTGATCTCAGCAACAAAGTCTTCTACAAGTCCCACAACCCCCCCCCCCCCCTCAATATTCGTAACGCGCCGACGGTCGATTCTTCAAATCACTTCTGAAGACATGTATGTTCTTCCAATAGTCTGTTAATTGTGTGCTAGTTTATGTCCAATAATGTATTTCCTTACTACAATAGAATCGTAATTATTCAACTATTATAATTGTGTTCATAAGTTTATACCATCTGAATGTTTCATCATTGTATATGATATGTATTTCTGTTAATTCATGCATATAATCTTTAGATTAAGCATGGAATATATTGCATAATTAATAGTTGTAAGGCACATAGAGAATTTATTATTATGCGCTGTATAAAAATGACTTTATTTATTATTATTTAGATTAAAAGGCAGGCACATGTGACGTCATAGTATAGCTTGTCATAGGATATTTCGGAGTAATTTTAGCGTTTTTCTTTGCATTTATTATGTAATTGAATCTCGACCGAATAGATCATACATATATACTGTTACATGCATTCACTTCACAAAGCTTTCAATTTGAACATCAATATAATGACCCAGATTTGTGTAGGGTAGGTCCAGTATATTCACTTTCAAAATCAGTTTTACAAGAATCCCATTGTATCATATTGTAAACCAACAAGCGGAATAAGATAATATATGCTCATAGGACAGCTTACTCAGGAAGTCCAATCAATATTTATATTTTTGTGTCTCTGATTAGTCTAGTACCTTTTGAAAAAAATGCTCAGTGCACAAAATCTCTGGGTCCTTCCCTAATTCTCCTCCTTTTGCTTTCTGTTATATGGGCTTTTTCTTCTGGTTGGAATATGTTGATTTTGGTATCGCTGGAAAGCTTATTGAATCATATGTGAATAGAAAACACTTTTTACTAGAATGCTAAAATTGTGTTCAAAAGGACAGAAGTGAACATATATTTACATACCGAAAATACATGTTTAGAAAAAAAGTATCATACAGGCAAAGAACACTAATGTACCAAATGAATTTGATATAATAAGAAAGCTAATAAAAAAAAACTCTAGTAAAAAAATTCTAACCTTCTGAAATTTGAGATATCTTCTTAACACAGAACAAAGTGCACACGAGCAAACGGACAAAGAGTTGATCAACGCATTTCTTTAAGGTGAAGTGCTCAAGTTTAATTAATTTAAATTTTATGATCAGAATTCATTTAAGATGAGGTTTTTTTTAATAAGAACAAATTAAATTCGCTCAAAATATTTTGTCTTTCTCTTTTTGTATTTCAGATGGCCAGTCTTCCTAAGGACGAAATGTTCTCCTTCAGTGACCAGGTAATAAGAGACAAGATTGATTGTAATAATAATAATTATAACGATAAATAATAATTATTATAACAAGAAGAATGGTAATGATATAATTCATAAAGCGCACAAACTATGCGAATCATTGCGTTTCAAGAGCCCCTGACGTGCTTCAAAATTATGGACATATAAATGAAAAGATGTGCCTTTAGTATACGGGGATTACCTCAATTCTAACTGAAAGTAATTCCTCAATTTGTTGTTGCGCATGCAAATGCTCGATGTCCCAACGTTATTTTATGTTTCTTTTACAAGATGGGTTTACAACTTAAAGAGAAGGTTGAGTTCTGTGGAGAGGTGAAAATTATTTGTGAGCGTTATTGTTGTATTAGTTTAATGAGATAAAAATCATCGGACATGCAGCTAAAAGCTGAAATTGTTCAATTTACAAAGTAAAAAGTACATGGCATAACATTGCATTGATAACACATTTTAATATATAGAACACTTAACAAAATATTGTGTATATTTAAATACAATTTACGAGTTTTATTGATGATATTAAATTACCATTCGTTTTACATAAAAGAGAGATTTGAAAATTAACAATGGACAGGTTTATTGCAACAGTGATACGCAGGTGGGATAATATTTAGATGTTTATACTGATAAAGTACGATAAAAGATAAGATATTAAAGCTAAGTTTCAATATTGGTTAAACAAGGTGATTTTCCCAAACTCAACGAAATTGGCAAATTAATCTTACATCAGAAAGTATAAACTGAAGAAATCTTGATTGCATTAAGTATAGTGATGATAAAGATTGTTATTATGCAAGTGAGGAAGAACGTTAGAGAAAAAATGTTCCTTGAAAAGCATGGCTATTCTGTAACTGCTTTAAAATGAGGACGAGATTTTTATGCCAGATGTTTGTGTAGTCCCATGAACATCTTTATGTGTGCAGTGCTTGTAACCTTTACCAAGACTGGGTCAAATTTCTTATAATTTTGATGATTCCAGACCCTTGCAGTACACACCAATACTTATGCTATATGATCTACTTTTTTCGGATCGATTCCACACAGTTTCTTTCACAATGCAATTGCACGACCACAACTCAACTTTATTTTTAATGTCACAATTCAAAGAGAGTTTCCAATTCTGGTAATGTTGAAAAAACGATTAGTTTGTCTTCTATTTCCATGTCAGTAACAATATCACAATAATGCAATTGCTCTTAAAATGCCCTGATTCATATTCCAAATAAATATTTCAAATTATTTTTGAATATACATCAAAACTTTAGACCAGATATTGATTCCAAATATTTGCGTTGCCCATATATCCATATATATCCGTAGAACAGTCCCATGCATTGCTTTATGTGTACTGCGAATTATACAAAAACCTGTACGAACATTCCTAAAACCTTGACTAGGTACTTATGAAGTAACTAAGTAAACTTATAGTAGTATGTAGTCAGTGGACACGTTGGCATAGTGAAATATATTTCTTGATTTCAAAAAATAATTATTGCGATAAGGCCATGGGAAATATGTTTCAAAGGCAGACACCTAATTTTTTTTCGTTTTAAAGTGGGATTTTTGGGGTGGTTGTTGTTCCGTATGTTGTTGGCCCATATACCATTATTTTCTCCGTTAAATCCTTTCATATTTTGTAAGTTCACACTTTTCTTTTATGAAACCTAATGTAGGTAACGATTTTCGCCTAAAGTACAATTTCGAATGCTAAAATTAACACCTCGCTAGTGAATAAGGTTAGTTTTCACATACTTCCTTGTAATGAGGTCAATAAAACAAGCATTGGTGTTAATGGTTATTAGATTATTGAAGTATGATGATGTGCCCTTCGATGGGGCAATATTTACGATTTAATCAAGAAAATTGATCTTGAGAACTGTGATTGATTGTTAAGTTGCCCCAGATGCATAATTTGTTATCCATATCTATCATCAATGGGTTCAACAAATCATATGTTTGGATATTTTATTCAGTAGAATACACGATTTTTCACGCATTTCCGATTGGGTTTCGATAAATAGCTTCAGGGCTCCCAACACCTCCTCAGGAGCCCCGAAAATGATGTAATATTTGTTTAATTAACAAGTACCTTGAGTATAACAATGTATGTAGAAAGAAAATATATCATATAACTAAAGTCTGATGCTCTTAAATCACTTATATTACATTTGGGCCCTTAAAATCCGGTTATGGGTACCTGAGACATAATTTGATAATATAGCACCGATGCCCACAATGTATCTATACATTTTGATACCGAAATAGAGATTTCATGTGATACCCCAGAAAATATTTTAAAGCTGTAATTTCTACCCTTTAGAGTTTGCTGGTCCTTTAGGGCCCTTTTGGAGCAACTTAAGGGCTCCTGTTGTCTTCTGTGGGTCTTATACCTATACCATATTTCACTGTATTGTTCATGGTGGGTTTTCTACACCAAACGAACATTTTTAGCCAAAACATGTGCATAAAAGTTCCAGTGAGCCCCTAAGACATAAATACTTTGGGCACTTATTTTAAAAAAATCAGTCGGCGGCACCGTTTTTTAGCATCAAATTTTCCGAATTTCGGAATCAACAACTGTTAAAGCCGTCTGTGTACCTAACTAATTAGTAATAGGGTAAAAAGACATAAACACTCGTCTGTTTTCTTGGACACGAACTCCGTCATACGCCGGAGTTGGCATTACTAAGAAATTGCTATTTTTGTGTACATATTTATCGCATGCGACAGCAGCGAAATTTGGTGTCCGACTGAGAACCAATAGTGAAAGACGCAGAATGAAAGCTTTCTGTCAAATTTGGAATATATGATGATGGCTTTTTCTTGATTACGGACTTTTTGAAGCAGCTGAAGGGCGCGCCCATTAGTAACGCCGTCCCTTCTTGATGATTTATAATACCCGTTACCGGTGAAATGTGTCATCAACTGCTCATCAACATCAACAAGTAATATAATAATAATAATAATAATAATAATAATAATAATAATAATACAATATAATTATAATGATAATAATACAAAATAATTATAATAATTATACAAATAATTATCATAATAATAATACATCATAATGATAATAATAATAATAATGGAAAGTGCTTAGAATTATATATATAACGCATAATATTTCGTAGAATTCTGTATGCATTTTACATTCTTTTCTAAACAAAAATACATTAACATACATTGTTTCAGGACACACAATACGTACGTGTGATATATTTAGGAATTAACGCCTTTTTTTCTTTCGTTTCTTTTCTCTTTTTTGTTGACTCTCCTCACCATTATCTCACTGCAATCACAGTTTGATCTCAAGGCATTGAAGATGAGACTTAAGCTTGAGCATAAACTGATAGGATTCACAACAGAGAGATGGGAGTCCTTAGAAGATCTGGGGAATGTTTACAAACCCCCGCACTTCCCGATACCAAGTGTAAGTGTTATTGAAAGAGAGGATTTGCTTGTTGGAGTTGTGCTAATAGTATATATTTTGTTTAAAGCCCCGGTCACAAATGCCGTTACGAACTGCTACGAACGCCGTACGAACGATTTTCAGACAAAGGATTTTCGGGAAGACAATGGAAAAACAGGGAGATTCGTACTAAGTTATCGTTCGTACGAACCTTTGTGACCGTAGCATAACATAACCAGCATACTTCAAAGCCATTTTACATTTCAATTTCCATTTCCGACTATTTTCAGGGTACCTTGCGCAGCACCCCCATATGGGAACGTTTGCTTGGATTTGTCTCATAAAAGAGGCTGACCACAAACTAACTCCCACACAGTGTTGGGTGCAGGGGTCACGGGCCACTGGCTTCATCGGGCAGGTAGTGCCATTATGTGAATGGGTAAATTCCATCAACAATATACAACCAATCAAAACAAGTTTCATACAGGAAGCAAGCTAACGCTTAGTATATTCATTAGCCGCTCACCCAAAGCCGCCTGACCATGGAACGAGTGAGGGCTTGCGAGAGCAGCCGAACCCGCTAGTTTGCTCTTCTCCAACGCACAAGAGACGACATTTTGCTGGATTAATGTTTTTTTCCGACAAAAGTACAGAGAAAGTACCATATATTTTGTGTATATTATACTTTTTGAAAGGATACCTGAGTGAGTTCCGGGCAACCCAATGCTGGAAAGAAACGGACTTTTGAGAAAACTTCACTTTTCATGCAAAAATGCTTATTTGTTCTATGGACGCAAGTCAGATTGAGCAGATGATACAACGTTTCCATATGCCCGACACCAAAATATGGGACACGTGCCTTATACCCCCTTCACATACACGGATTTTCCTTACGAGTCCTTACGGATCGGCAACTCGTAGTCAATCGCAAGCATCCGTAAATAACTAGGGTAACCGCAAAAAGCTCGTCACAACGCGGAACAACTCGCAGACACTCGTAAGGATCCGTGAAAGGAGAGGCAATTTTTTTTGACGTGTCAAAAATCTCCTTACGATTGTCCACGGATTTATTTGTCCGTAAATAACTCGTAAATAGGTCGTAACAATCCGTAAGTATCGTAAACCGCTCCTATCAACACTTTATCATCCGTAAACTGCTCGCAAGAATCCGTAATGACTCGTAAAAACTTCTTTAACGATTTGTTTCGGTTGGTTTACGATTTGTTTACGGATTATTTACGGATTACTCACAGACTATTTACGGATTATAACGAGTGCTTACGTGTTGTTTACGATTTCATTCGGGTCGTCTTACAATGGCTTTACGGATTGTTACGAGTTATTGCGAGCACATTACGTGTATTTACGAGTACTTTACAAATAGATACGTGGGTCATTCAATGTCAAATCACCCGAAAAATCTGAAAATCCTAACCCGACCATTTTTTATTTTGATGAAACTTAGTGTACTTGTTGAGTGTGATCTCACAGCACCAAATCCAAAATTTTAGGTCAATCGGGTGAGGGGTTTGGGAGATACGGCCCACCAAATTTTGAGATTTTTTCAAAAATGGGGGTGGCGGGCCTACCTTTGAACCCTTGTATCTCGGGACTTAATGGGTCAATCTTCACAAAATTTGTATTGTTTTAAAGGGTATTCAATAAGGATTCCAATTCTGCCGCCATTTTGAAGATTCGTACATGTTGGGGTACTTTGACCTCTTGACCTCAGATTTGACCTTGAAATTGACCTTGTGGATCGGATCACGTAACCTTGACAACATTTTTCATGAAATGTAATCTCTGACATGTTCACTAAAACATATTAAAGTTTCAGAGATATAATATTTTTTGTTTTGGAGTAATAAGGATTGAAAGTATCCATGCTCACAGATATTCACAATAAACCCTATTATACTGTATACAATACATGCAATATGCACAGTACAACATACATCTTCCACATGTTTTTTTGTTTTAGTCACATCCATCCTAAATGTCAGCAGTACTTGAATAGAAATAAAATGACAAGTTCATATAGGCCTAAAGGGTTAACAGGATGTATGGCTTTAGACCTCTGAGTCGGTTCTAGGATAATTACCCCCTGGAAAATTCACCCCCGGAAAACTACCCTCTAAGGACAATTACCCCAGAGGTCAATTACCCCCCCCCCCCCCCCCCCATTCGTTAAAGTGGAAGTCCAACCTGATAATAAGGTGGTTTTAATCAAAGCAGATTTATTTTTGGGGGTACATTATTCTTGAGGGGCAATTTTCCCTGGGGGGGGGGTAATTGTCCTAGGGGGAAATTGTCCGGGTGTTGATTGTCCTCGGGGGGGGGGGGGGCCAGATTGTCCTAGGAGGTAATTTTCTTGGGGGGTAATAATCCTCTGGGTGTGATAGTCCTTGGGGGGTAATTGTCCTCAGGGGGGAATTTCCTGAGGTTTAATTGTGGTGGGCCGTATCTCCCAAACCCCTCACCCGATTGACCTAAAATTTTGGATTTGGTGCTGTGAGATCACACTCAACAAGTACACTAAGTTTCATCAAAATAAAAAATGGTCGGGTTAAAACCATTGGGTGATTTGACATGGAATGACCCACGTATACTTTAAGTAGTCTTACGTATCGTTTACGTTTTTGGGAAAAGGTATAAAAGCTGCAAATTTGAGCATTTCATTTTCAGTTGTTATTTTTTGGTTAAAAATCGTAAGGATCGACTCATAAATACTCGTAACTAACTCGTAACTATTCGTAACAACACGTTAACAGGTCGTTACTAACACGTAAGTTGCCCATAGTTATCTGTGACAACTCGTAACAAATCGTGGAATTCTGCCGTAAGTATATCGTAGTAACTCGTAATAATCCGTAACAAACCGTAAATAGCTCGTAATAACTCGTAACAACTCTTAAATCGGTCGTAAAAGTGGCCAAATCGTAAAGATCCATGATAGATTCACTCCATACACATAAATCAAATTGACAATGTCCCCTTATTTTCCTTTTCACGTATTTGTTGATAGATATGCATGATAACACACTTTTTAATCTAATTTATTGGGGTTTTTTTTTATAATGAAAGGTAATGGAAAACTGGAAGTCTGATAAGGAGTTTGGTAACCAGAGACTAACAGGATGCAACCCAGCTATGATCCGACTTTGCACCAAGATACCACCCAAGTAAGACGGCATTTATTCTTTAACGACAATTTATTTAACATTTCAGTCTCATCTCTTTTAACTGCTTTCTTCTCGTTTTCCAATGTTTATGAAAAACACGAATAAGCAGTGTATGCCAGTGATTTTGTTAAACCTAGACCAGCCATCCTAGCGCTGCATTAGAATATTTGAATATTTGCGTTAAATTGTCGTGGAGATCAAAATTAAATCGTCCGGATTCTGGACTAACCGGTATGTCGCAATAACTATTGACAAGTTTCGACCGGGGTAGTCATTCGTCTACGGTAGGCCTCCCGATTTCTCGCGATGTCATTTATTTTAAGTAAACATAGCTTTGCACTTGTAATTTTTGAATTAAATCTCATTATTTGATAAATTATCGCACCAGATTTTGAGTACGTGCGTTAAATTAATTCATAAACCATCTCATCTAGGGCGGTAGATTTCGCCCTATGTTCGTGATAATTACTTGATACAATTCAACTTTAAATTCAAGTATAATATTTTACTAACACCTGTTAATTTATTCAAATGGAAAATAAAAGAAGACAATTTGTGTTATTACTGTAAAAAAAAAAAACAGTGTTCACTTATCTTTAGGGCATATGGCGTGGTTTTCAATTCAGTGCAAAAATCACGGAAGCCTTTAAAGAATATAACGATAACATTTTGATTTTAGAAAATAAAATAAAAACTTTGTTTTACTGTTAACCATTCACCTTGACCTCATGTTTGTATTGTACTGAACATTGAGTCAAGGTGGAATATTAAATTATTGTCATTGTCAAGACTTCTGTAAAGGTGTTTTGCATAATCTTTTATAGGATCGGTTTCAAATGACTTTCTCTTCTTTTTTTTTACATAATTCCCATTTAGTGAAATATATTAGTAATGCAATAAAAGAAGTATTACTCTTACAATACTCTCATATTTTGAATAATTATGACTCGCCATACATAAAGTCATGATTTAATCAGAAAATAGTTTCATTTCCCCAAATCTGTGTCTCGTGCATTTCATCGTTTGACATTTTCTGAATTAAAATTACTTTAAATTCATTATCTGCGCATTTAAATTCGTGTTTTCGTCATTCAAATTAAAGATTTATTCAAGCTATTCGTCAATTGTTCAATCAATTAAGCATGACATGATCATGTGATCATGTATTCCTAACAAGCTCTCTCTTTATGGATTTGAGGATTCCACCATATTACAGGTATCATATATCACGCGAGTATAACCTCTATATCATCAGCGTTTTTTATTCTTCATTTGGAGTAAATCTTTTCTGAAAAGTGAGAGAACATTATGCGAAGTGAGGGTCCGGGTTCACCCCGCTTGCTTTAATAGCTGTACTAAGACCCACAACATGATGCCCATGTTAACATCAAACCAAACAAACCCTTATGCGATATCTATTTTTGGTAAACACAATCACACACCCACACACCCACACACCCACACACCCACACACCCACACACACACAAAATATGTTCAAAACCCTTCAGTTGACCAGGATAACACCATACTGATCGTAGGCCATTTTGATATATACGAAGAGGAGAACAAATTAGCGTGTATCAGTTCTTTTTCCTCCTCCCAGTTTCGCCGTGGACGAGAAGGATGTCGAACCTCTTCTCGAAGGCCTTACTGTGTCGGAAGCCATCAAGAAGAAGCGTCTTTTCATCATCGACCTCAAGGTCCTAAAAGACTTGCCTTGTACAGATGGGCGAAAGGTAATCATCAACAGAAACAAAATTCTAGGCCACGAACTTTTCAAAGTATGCTTAAATGGGGGCATTTGATGTATATGTAGAAAAAACAGGATCAAGATCCCATGCAACGCTTCGAAATGTAAAAGAAGAACAAGAAAAATATAGTTGAGATTCGACCTTTATGTCTAGACGTTGCTTAATGCATTTCATAATGGTTGTATTGTCCATCTGAGAGTGATTATAGACGTTATTTATATGGATAATAAATATAGAGCTGTCCGGGTTTGTTAATATAATGCTTCAGAACAAACCGACCAAGCTGTTTATTTCTTTATTTAGGGTTTGTTTCTACTGTTTATTCTATTTTCATTGCCAACCCTCGAAAACGAATTTATTATTAAGAGTAAGAGCACTCTATCCTTTATGTGGTCAGGCGGGGGCCCACCCCCCCCCCCCCCCCCGTGGATCCGCTTCTTCATATACGAGCAGGTATGGTACGAGAAGTGAATGTTTTATACATTTAATTCAACGATTCTTATCTCATATCGAATGGGGATTGGTTTATTCGAAGCAAGGCATATTTCTTGAGACAAAGAGAGAGAGAGATAGAGAGAGAGAGAACATTTTCAATGATATTTGAACCCTTACTTGCTTCCATCAGATCACTGCACCCATTGCGCTTTTCTTCGTCAACAAAGACAAATATTTGATGCCGGTCGCTATTCAGTTGTATCAAGACCAAGATCCAAACAATCCGGTAAATATTGATAGTGATAATGATGATGATGATGATGATAATGATCGGATGATGATGATGATGACGATGATGATGATGATGATGATGATGATGACGATTGTGGTGGTGGTGGTGATGATGAAGATGATGGTGACGATGATGAGAAAGGCGGTGATGATGTGATGGTGGTGGCAATGATGGTGACGATGAAGATGATGTTGATAGCAGTGGTGGTGATGATGATAATGATCGGATGATGATGATGATGACGATGATGATGATGATGATGATGATGGTAGTGATGGTGGTAAGGACATGGATGGTGATAATGATGATGATGTCGATCATGAAAATAGTGATGATGGTGATGTTGTGATGGTGATGGCGATGGTGGTGGCGGTAATGATGGCGAAGATGATGAATGGGATGATGGTAAGGCTGATAAAGAAGGTAAGGATGATGATGGTACTGAATGACGGAGGACTGTGTCATCGATTGGTGCGGTCTCTGACAAACCGTGGGTAAAATGCATGAAAGGGGAAGTCCACAGCGATATTATCCTGGTTGTAATAAAAGTAGGAAAATGAGAGAATCATTCATTGAAAGTTGCATAAAACCAGTCAAAATAAAAAAAAGTTTTGGAAATTGAATGTGCGTTCAATCAAACACAAACTCTCAACTCTGTGACGTATCTTGCGAGCTCCCCATCTAATTTGCCTTGTACTAAAAAAACTTCAAACATTTATATTTTCCCTTAACCCTTTGACTAATTGATTCTGTCATTCGCAAATGGCTTAGTTCAGGAACAACCTGGTTCCCGTATGCAAAGGGTTAAAAAGAATTTCAGTCATACACTTATCCAAAATAATATTGCAAATCTGTTTTGTATATTGATTAAACCCCTGTATGACACACAAATCTATTCCGTCATCAATAACTAAGAAAATGAGAGTTTATGTAATTTTCTGTACAGAGCACTTTGGAGAGGGGCCCACAAAGTGTTGCCAATTTCTATATCTCCTATTTTTTTAAATCAGATATTGCTCGAACTTTCACTGGTGTAATTATCTCATTTGTCCTGCTTTTGTTAAAACCAAGATAACATCATTGTGGACTTTCCCTTTAATGCGTCCCCCACCCCCTTAAAAAAAATGAGGACGGATCGACACCTTTGTTCATTCCTTGAATTTTGCTTTATTGCAGGTGTTCTACCCGACTGATCCTGAGTACACGTGGCTCTTGGCCAAGTGTTACTTCAACTTGGGCGAGGCTGCCGTACACGAGTCGGGCACCCATCTTGGATTCACGCATCTCATTGGTGAAATCATCGTCATAGCAGCGCATCGTTCTCTGTCTCCATCTCATCCCATCTTCCGTCTTCTTGCTCCTCACTTCTTGCGCCTCCTCCCCATCAACTAGTAAGGTTCTTTTATATGTTGAGCATTGCAGTATATTGTTAATGATATTAATGATAATGATAATAAGAAAAATATTAACAACAATATAATCATAATACTATTGATGATGATAATATTATCAATAAAATAAGAATGATAAGGATAACGATAATAGGAATAATACTCATAATAATAATAATAATAATAGAAGTAGTAGCTGTCTGTCGAGAAGCGACAATGACCGCCTTCGCTTTCATGAAGGCTGCTTGCAAAGGTGGGCAAGTACCGGTAGCTCTTGCAAGTTACTAACGGCACTGATCTCTAGGGGAACTGATGGCAAGTTTCACACCGGCGAGGACAAGCCAGGACGGGTGTGAACCACTAAAACCTGCAGTAACTGGTCGGAGGATGTCGAGAGTTCCATATCGTCAATCGACCTCACTGCTGTCACGGTGGCATGGTTTTCTGTTAGGGTTTGCTCCATTAGCCTTAGATTACAAAGTGAAACTGAACCACAAGGCAGTGGTTACAAGCGCGTAGCCAGGATTTGATTTTAGGGGGGCGGTAGTGAGCACGCAAAGCGTGCGAATCACTTAAAGAGCGCGCGAAGCGCGTTCCCTAGGGGTGGGTGCAGGGAGGGGAGTTTCCTTTGAAAGAAGACGATTCGTTGTACCTTTCTCGACTCATAATCCTTGTCTGAATTCAGTCCCCCCCCCCCCCTCCTGCGCAAATCGCGGAAGCTTTGACGTATTATTAGACAAAGAAAACGATTCGTTGTACTCTTAATCCTTATCTGTATTCAGTCCCCCTCCCGCGCGAAGCGCGGAGGCTTTGACATTTCATTAATTTATTAGAGAAAGAAGGCGATTCGATGTACCATTCTCGACTCTTAATTCTTATCTGAATTCAGTTTCCTCCTCTCCCGCGCAAAGCGCGGAGACTTTTAAGTTTCATTACATTATAAGAGAAAGCTAGACGACTCAAAGTACCATTCTCGACTCTTAATCCTTGTCTGAATTCCGCCCCCCCCCCCCAGCCTATAATCTAGGCGGAGTGCCGAACTACGAACCGTGAGCCGGTTCGTAGTCTCGCCGTATCAGACGTTCTGCTTAGGGTTAGTCTAGCAGCAAAGAAAAAGCTCGGCACTCCGCCTAGATTATAGGCTACCCCCCCCCCCCCTCTCGCGCTAAACTTTGACGTTTCATTAAATTATTAGAGAAGAAGACGATTGGTTGTACATTTCTCGACTTTTAATCCTTGTCTGAATTCAGTCCCCTCCCCCCTCCTCCTGCGCGAAGCTTTAACGTATTATAAGACAAAGAAGAAGATTCGTTGTACCTTTCCCGACTCTTAATCCATATCTGTATTCAGTATCCCCCCCCCCCCCTTTTCGCGCGAAGCGCGGAAGCTTTGACGTTTCATTAAATTATTAGAGAAAGAAGACGATTCGTTTCTCTCTTCTTTTTTTTTTTGGCCGGCGTTTTGGGTGGGGCGACCGCCCCCACCGCCCCCCCCCCCCCTGGCTACGCGCCTGAGTGGTTACAACTATGTATGGCAATAACAATTTACTTTTATTTGTCGGGTAAATGTAATTGCAACTAAAATTACTATTAGTTTAATCTATATCGCTCGTAAACGATTTGCCATTTACAGCTGAATCGACTCGTGTAAGGTGTTTCACAAAGAGTAAGATCGACTTTAAGTTGGACTTTACTATGGCAGGCCATTCGTGCCACTGGTTGCTGGCACTATTGGTCTCTCAATTATGATCTTTAGATAATATTTTTTACTACAATGATGAACTATCAAAAAAGCTAAATTCTGTAGATTTGTGACCACGATTTTTACATCCCTTGAGAGACCAATGCCAGTGCATGGGAGAGCAAACAGTGGTAAGAATGGCCTGCCACAGTTAAGTCCAACTTAAAGTCGATCTTAGTCTTTATGAAACACTCTCTTGGTTTATAAAGCACTGTTTTGGTCGATAAATATTATTGTTTTCTATTTATGATGAAATAAAATGTTATTGATGAGGTATGAATTTTAGTATTTTTATTAATAATTTTTGATTTACACTCATATAGCTCCATTTAGTCTCATTTGACAACGCCCCCTATCGTCAGAGTCAGCAGCTTAACATGTTAGCCTATGGAATTTTACCCACAAAATCATTAAAAACTCATTTTTTTTTTTTTTAAACGAAAGGCACATCCACCCCGACGTACGTTATCACTAGCTCTTTCATTGGAACCCTCATGTCCCATTGACTTTTGAAAGTTCACCCACCGTAATTTGATCAAAATAGGTTGCAAGCTCGCCATAGCCTATATAACACATGTGACACAAGTCGAACTATGGACTCAGTTTGCCAAACGATTGTAAGATTATAGGTCAAGCACAAGGATAAGAAGCATGAATTATCATAGATCACTTCTGCTTGGTTCATTATGTCCATTTCATCCAACCCCCCTACCGTAATTTTTTCCATTTAGTAAAAGCAAACATTTTGCCGAGGTAAGCAAAAACATGAATATTCATGATCACCATGGACTATTCGATTATTTACAGAGGGGTGCAATTGTGCACCACATCAAACTCCCCTACTTTAAGTAAAGTATTTCATTGTATTATGTAGTTGGGTAGGTTTATTTTAATAACTGTTTAATTATCAGATATCAATGATAGTTTAAAGATATGGAAATTTTCTTGAATTTTATATTTAGCAAAGCAATCTCACATACAAATTCATTACCAAGTGTCGTCTAATCCGCCGATTGTCGTCTGCTATATACGTCCAGCAAGCGAAAATGAGACAACCGGAGCAATATGATGAACTCCCCAAGGCACGTTTCTACCATATTTCATATACAAAATCATTTATTTTACAGCAGAGGTATGACTCCTTTGCTTGGACAGGGTGGCTTCATCGACTTAAATATGACAATTGGCGCCATTGGTATGGCAGATATCATCAAACGCCTCTTCTCCACATGGCGATTGGACATAGAGGGCTCCCTTCCGACTGACCTTCTTGTAAGGGGCGTCTCTGACCCTGAAGTGCTACCGAACTACCATTACCGTGATGACGCCTTGCTCCTTCGCGAAGCAATATCCGACTACGTCAAGGAAGTTGTGGACCACCATTACGGTACAGTAACCACAATCGCAAAGACTTCTTAGAAATCAAGTCAAGGGCGATTTCAATAATTTACATCTAATATTAATCATGAACGGATTATGCCATTGTATTGCTCCCATAAAAAAAGGCCATCGAAATTGCCTTATAGGTTGAATTTTCAAAAGAAGTTGCGATCGTACTAGTACCCTCTTAATTCAGAGGAGACGAAATTCACTCGACATCAAGAACGATCTATATAACGCAGTCTAGCTTTGAATGACTGTTTCACTTTCTCCAGATCTGGGCTCCATCTTATAAAGAGTTCACATCAATCGCAACTTTGTACATAATAGACAAGAGAATGCAAACGAGTTTTTAACCAATTTCGTCCAGGCACCGAGCGGCGGCCGCCAGGGCACCGCTTGTTTTTAGGGCATCACTCGGTCACCGCTGAAGTTTTAGCGCGGAGTTAAAATTCGGGCGGCGCCTGCTCATTTTCACTCGCCGCCAAAATACGCTCGGTGCCCGGGCGGTCGCCGACCGGGCACCGACCTAATCGACCGGCCGTTCACCGTCGAGCGATTTAGGTCAAAAATCGAAGCCGCTAGGTCAAAGGCTATCAAGCGGTCGCCGCTGGAATTTAGGCCCAGCGGTCATCGCCAAGTCGCCGTCAGGTCGCCGCTTGGAAATCAGTCGGTCACTGGGCAGCGAGTTCAAAATCGGTCGGCAGCCTTTGACCTAAATCGGTCAACGGCGAACGCTCGACTAGGTCGTCGTCCAGGCGGGCGGCGACCGCGCAGGCACTGAGCGTATTTTGGCCTACGAGACACCAGCTCCGCCGATCACTGGGCGATCACCGGCCGACCACCGGCCGGCGTCCGGGCAATTTCTTTAAAATCAGCCGATGGCCTGCGGGAGAGCGCCCGGGGATCGGCGGGTCATCAGCCGGTCACTGCCGGGACGCCGCGCGGAGAAGCCTCTCGATTTCTCCCAGTTTTTTACCTAAAATCGACCAGTGACCGACGGAAAATCGACAGGGCATCGCTGGTGCTCTACAGCCTGCTCGACTTCTCCATAAATCGTTGGGCGATGCCTAAATTCCAGCGGCGACCGAGCAGGCTACATATCGGTCGGTCGCCACTCTGAGTTGTGACCATCACTTTAGAGTTGATAATTGTGAATATAAAGTCATTAATGAGATCATGACTTGTGATCATATTTAAAAATGATTTACTCTTGTAAAGTTAGTGTTGCTTCTATTCAGATTAAGTTTAAATTATTAAAATGACTTAGGCCTACTCGGTGATTATTGAGTAGTGTGTTATTCGACGTTTGTTCAATGGATTTATTAATTCTTTATGTACTGTATATACCTTGTAACCATGTGAAAAAGAATTTCCATTTACTTCGACAATAAAACGAATCAAATCAAATCAAATCAATGGCAAAAACAGTCAAATTGGCTTACGGAGATCACTACAGATATCCATTATCTCCCGGGTGGGGAGAGACAATTGAATGTAATGTCAAAAAGTGTTAGTGCCGCGGAGGACCCGAACCGTTTATTATGTAATTCACACTCCAGTGACAAATCTACTAGACCACGGAACCTCTAAAATATCTTAATCGCCGCAGGATAGTAAACTCAGTTGCAGCTGGTGATAATTTGTTCATGTACCGTATACAATTTTACGTCAGCATAATAAATAAGATATCATAAAGTAATGTGTGTCTTAAGATTATGAGTTCTAACAATAAACAAAGCAGATTTAAAATGAGACCGTATCGCTGAATTATTAATTTCTCATGCGTGTTTGTTTACTTCCAGATCTTCCCGGGAAGATAGCTGCCGACCATGAATTGCAGGAATGGATCCGGTTCATGGGGACCAAGCCCAAATTTGAGGGAGAGGTCATAGGTCACATTAAGGTACTCCATACTCTCTAAGTGGCAGGGTTGAAAATCCACTCTTTTAACGATTAATATTGGGCCTACTTTATATCTTCATTTTAAGAGCGCCGCGTCGCATTTCTCTGTGTAGCCGCTCCAGCTCGGAGCTGCGGCTCATACAATTTAGGCTTAATAATAAACATGGGGATAGAAAATAGAATTTCACTTTAAAAGCAGCAAAGAGGAAGGAGACAAATTAAGGATCGGTGTTATCCTGAGACCTTGGAAACATTGATTTTTTTTTTTAAAGCGGAAGTCGGTAGCAACGTTACAATTTCCAAGTACAAATAAAAATATTTTCAAATGTACACGTTCAATAGCAGTTAATTATAACTTATGAATATAATTTTGTTAGGTTCCGTATTAGAACTCATTGATATTGTTAAATGAGTATTGAAGAATAACCGTGCGCTACAACAGACGGATCCAGTTTCCAAAAATGTGAAAATAGCGCATTTTAAAGGCAAGTGGGGCTAGTGACTCTCAGATATAATGTCATGGAAAGGATAAATAATAAGTTTTAAAGGCATGATATTATTTTGCTGCGAGTACTTTAGATTTACATATACCGCCATCTGCTACTTAAAATGTCCCGATGACAGCCATGCCCCGCAATAAAAACTGATGACGCGTGCGTGATGATGCTTGGGTACAGGAACCGCAAATAGCTCTATGTATGCCTTCATCAAAAGATGGCGCTATTGAAAATACATGAAAGCAGTGGTAGCGTACGTTATTGGTAAAATACCAGTTTACATTGCACATTTAAAATAGATTAGAGACGATATTTCATGAATATTATTGTAAGAAACACGATCCCATCACCACATCAACCAAATGGTCATTTCAATACCCTATTGTACATCCCGATGAAATCATGTTCAGATTACGTAATACTTCATAGTCATTTCGATAGGTGACACACAAGGCTATTCATATTGCCTTATGTTGAGTTTCCGAAATTAGTTGATATCGTGTTGATACGGGTAACCCTAGTAACACTAGCTATGGTTTGATTTGAAACATGCGAATGACATTCAGAGTTTCATCAAAATATTGTTTAGACCTGTTTTTGACAAATAAAAAAAAAATACAAAATACAAAATGCCAAGTGTTTTATATACACTGTCGCTCATAAAGGTGGAATATTTTTTTAAATTCCAATTTATGGAATTATTTCAAAAATAATTTAAAAATAACAGATCTAGATAATAGTATACATTCTCAGATTTTATTGAATAATAATTTGCCAATGTGTGTTTTGCGTGACTGCTAAAGCATGTGTATGCCACTATGCTTATCAACTAGGGGACCTATGCCCTTAAGTCATAAATGACAGTAATGAGGATTAATGCCCCACAAAAAGACACTAACATAGCACATCGACACGGTTTTGATCCTGGGGCCTCACAGTTACGAGGCCATTGTTTTGTCACTGAACCATGACTGTACGCAGCGGGGGCTAGGGTAGGGGGCAGTTTCCATAAATTAAAAAAAAAACAGAAAATGCAATAAATTTTCAATAATTTATTGCATTTAACCCCGGTGCCTAACATAAAAAAAAATTGTGTGCCCACGCCTTGAGCCATAATGCATGGCCGTCAAGAGGATTTCTTTATGTTGGGGACCGGGGTAAAATGCAATAAATTATTGAAAATTTATTGCATTTTCTGTTTTTTTTAAATTTATGGAAACTGCCCCCCTACCCTAGCCCCCGCTGCGTACAGTCATGGTTCAGTGACAAAACAATGGCCTCGTAACTGTGAGGCCCCAGGATCAAAACCGTGTCGATGTGCTATATTAGTGCCCTTCTGTGGGGCATTAATCCTCATTACTGTCATTTATGACTTGAGAGCGTAGGTCCCCTAGTTAATAAGCATAGTAGCATACACATGCTTTAGCAGTTCCGCAAAACACACGTTGGCAAGTTACTATTCAATAAAATCTGAGAATGTATACTATTATTTATATCTATTATTTTTAAATAATTTTTAAAATAATTCCATGAATTGGGGTAAAACTAAAATATTCCACCTTTATGAGCGACAGTGTACTATTAGAAACGTTTTTATCTATAGACCTATCGCATACCATTGTCCATTGATTGATCAATAAATTCGCTGACACCCAGTTCTCTCTCTCTCTCTCTCTCTCTCCCTCTCTCTCTCCTAGGGACTTCCTAATGATGGCCATTTTAAAACCGCAGAGGAGATCACCACCGTTGTGACGGATTGTATCTTTATCTTCAGCGCGGGGCATGCTGCTGTTAACTTCGGCCAGTATAATAACTATGGTTTTCCCCCGGCCTACCCCGGCTGGATGAATGGATCACCACCCCAAGATAAGGTATAGTAAGAGATGGAACAACGATCGAGAGCGCAGATTGAGTCCATTGGGAAATTTATCTCCCGAGATATAGGGTGCGTTTAATCGACACTTTTTCACCCTAGAATCACGGTTTCTAAAGACGTTTAGTTTAAAACGCAATGCGTTCAAGCGATTTTTTCGTAGGTCGTAAAAATAAACGTGTTTGAAAACACAAACATGAAACGCTGAAAAAGATGCGTTTTGTATCATGATTCTGCAGAATCACGGTCGCTAAAATTCGATTGAACGGACGGAGTTCTCAATCATGATTGTATGACGGAGCCTGTTCCAGTTTGGGCAAAAACTGCGCACCTGCTTTTCATGCAATTTGCGTTAACTATACCATGCTCTTTATCGTGGCCTGTTCCGTTATGTTATACCTTGTTTCTTCCTTCTATTCTTATGTTATTCTTTGTTTTTTCCTTCTATAACCTTCTCTTATGTTATTTTTTATTTTTTATAATTCTATCACTTTCTCTTTTGTGATTCTTTGTTTCTTCCTTCTATTCTCATGTTAATCTTTGTTCTTTTCCTTCTCTCAGCCTTTCTTATGTAATTCTTTGTTTTTATAATTCTATCACTTTCTCTTTTGTTATTCTTTGTTTCTTCTTTCTATTCTTATGTTAATCTTTGTTTTTTCCCTTCACTTACATTCTCTTATGTTATTCCTTGTTTTAATCATTCTATCACTTTCTCTTTCTGTCTTTCCTTATGTTATTCTTTGTTTCTTCCTTTTATTCTTATGCTTTGTTTTTTTCCTTCTATCAACTTATCTTATGTTATTCTTTGTTTTTATAATTCTATCACTTTCTCTTTCTGCCTTTCCTTATGTTATCTTTGTTTCTTCCTTCTATAACTTTCTCTTTTTGTCTTTCATTATGTTATTCTTTGTTTTTATAATTATTCTATCACTTTCTATTTTGTTATTCTTTGTTTCTTCCTTCTAGTCTTATGTTATTCTTTGTTTTTTACTTCTATCACCTTTTCTTATGTAATTCTTTGTTTTAAGCATTCTATCACTTTCTCTTTCTGCCTTTCCCTATGTCATTCTTTGTTTCTTCCTTATATCATCTTCTCTTACGTTATTATTTGTTTTAATAACTCTATCACTTTCTCTTTCTGTCTTTCCTCATGTTATTTTTTGTTTCTTCCTTCCATCACCTTCTCATTCTTTGTTTTATTATTGCGATCTATGCTCAAAACAGCAGTCGACAGTCGGCCGTAAACAATTCCAAAAACGCGCGCCGAAGTTGACCTATACTTCCTGGGTCAAACTGCGAGTGTGATGCAAAGTGGCTGGGCTCGAAATGAGCTAGAATCAGCGTTGATGAAAAATCGCTTGAACGCTAACCGCAGTGACCTTGTTTTTTGTAACGGCGTTTTGATTTGTGACTCATGTTTGTGATTCTAGCTTCGAAAATTCGATTGAACGCACCCCTAGACACATTAAAATGATAAATGCGGCTAATTTGCGGCTATTAAACGAGATCGACGCGAAGTTATTTTGTATTGTTTAACAAAAGCTATAGATTGGCGGATGGAATCCTTTTAAATTTACCCCATAAAATTTGCAACTCTGAACCTTAAATTACGTAACTTAACCTTCATCCGATCAGACTCACGCATTTTTGGACTTGGGTTTTATTACATGAGTATATTTTTTTGGTGGGGGTGCCAAACTAAGAGTATGGCACTTGGATTTCCATCATTATTATGATTATGATTATCACCATTACTTTTATTATGATGATGATTCTTATTATGATGACGTTTGTTATTATTATTTTTTATCATAACATAGTTATTATAATTATTATTGTAATTCTGTATTTTTTTTCAATTATTTATATCATTATTACTTTAAGTATTATCATTATTTATCACCATTATGATTATTATTTTTATTATCGTTAATGATTATCATTGTTATGACTGTTATCATTATCAAATTACATTATTATTGTTATTAATTCCATCATTTTTTTGCTGTTGTTATTGCTTTGATTGTTACACAACCACTTTTGAATATTAATATTCTTTATTTCTCAAGACTCCTCTCACGGAAGCAGACATCATCCAGAATCTACCCAACAAGGATCAGACCTTGGACATCATGGTATTCACGAAGATCCTCAGCACCCGAAACAGCAAGCCTCTGGGAGACTTTGAGGTGCAGTACATGCATGGTGCTACCTATCAAAAGGCCTTGAAGAAGTAGGTTTGAGTTTTAAGCATATATAATGACAATGATGATTATAAAGATTATGGTGATGACGATAAAGATAATAATGGTAATAATATTAATAATGATAATAATAATGATAATTATAATGTACTGATAAATACTCAGCAAGAGAGGCAGCAAGACTCCTGAAAACTTTCAGGTGAAGTACATCCATGGTCGTGCCTTTCAAAAGGCCTGAAAGAAGTAAGTTCAGAGCTTTCTGTAATTTAAAGATTTGGTGAAAGATGAGACGCTCTATTCAGCTCGGCTGCGCCTCGTTGGATAGAGCGTCTCTTATCCTTTACCTCGTGCAAAATCGTGTACCATTGCACTCATTGGCATTCACGATATATACAGTGCGTCCCAGAAAAAACGAAACTGAGAAGTATCGATGTTCTATCATAACTTAATCACAACTATAATTAATGAATTATATCTATTTGGAAAGCTTAGAGTCTCTTCTTTCATGTGATGCTACTCAGATAATGCATATTTCACGCATGAGTGATTAAAAGCAATTTGAAGGAAGGAAACCAAAAAGACATTTGGCGGGCGGTATCTGAATTTCGAAGAAAAATTCACCTAGAAAGTTGAGTTTCTGCCCTTTCATATGACACCTCAATCAAGAAAAATGAGCGAGGAATGACACAGTTCTGTTTGTTTAAAGGAGTGCTTGCATTTCCATAATTTGATTAAACGAATTCGTTTTCACTGGCTGCCTGCCGTATCAAGAAACGAAATTAACAAAAGAGTTAACTCCGTTTCGTTGACAATCAGCCGTAGACGAGAGTCTTCATGCATGGCTGATTGTCAACGAAACGGAGTTAAGTCTTTTGTCAAATCTGCTTTTTGCTACGACAGGTATTATACGCACTGTATAATATTTTGCGTCGAGGTGCCGGCATACAGAACTTTAAATCGCTTCTAGTTCAAATTTGTTATAATTTTGAAAAATGTCTCCTCCTTTTTTATTCCTGTTCGTTTCAATTAAGGGGAATAAATGTCATCGGGGGGGGGGGGGTGGGAGTACTTGTTCTCGGGAGGTGGTTGTACCTGGGGGTAATTGTTTTCGGGGGAGGGGGTAATTGTCCTCAGGGGGGGGGGTAGTTGTTCTCGGGTGGATAATTGTCCTCGGAGGTAATTTTCCGGGGGGGTAATTGTCCTTGGGGTTTATTATCCTCGGGGTGAATTCTCTGGGAGTTAATTTTTCGTGGGGGAATTGTCCTCGCGGGGTAGTTTTCCGGGGGTAATTTTCTGGGGGGGGGGGGGGGTTATTGCCCAGGGAATAATTGTCCTAGAACCGTCACAGAGTTGCCAATTCTTGTTTCATTGATTACAACTTAAAAAATGTAAAGCTTTCCTATTTTTAAACAGATTTGGCTAAAACTTTCACTCATCAGTTACTCTCATTGTTCTGATCTTATCAAAAACAAACTAATTATCATCAGGGTGGCCTTTTCCATTGAGTCAGAAGAGTATATCCATTAAATATTACATGTATATTCCTATTCTCCCCACCCCCTCTCTCTTTCTTTCTTTCTCTCTCTCTCTCTCTCTCTTTCTCATTCTCTCCCCTAGATTCCGAGCTGAACTCAAACGCATTGGAGACATAATCGACAAACGGAATGAGACAAGAGAAGAGAAGTATATTTGGCTTCATCCACGCGAAGTGCCCAACTCTATCTCAATCTAGCTCCTAAACGTCAAAAGAGAAAATGCATCGAATGGCAATTGACTTTGACTAAAATAGAATAAAGTTCATTGTTGATAACCATGTTGTTAGTCGATCTTTTAATGGTTATGGATTAATCTTTTGAAGATACAAAATACAGACTTCGTGAAACACAAGTTTGCGATTTTCTGCTTGCATAAATGTTAGATGAACTGCGTGTTTTGCATATATATGATAAGAAAATTCTAACTTTTGAACATTTGGGTTTTCAAGTCATAACCTTGAATTAGAACAAACTTTGTTTTCCTTGATTCAACATGTATGTACTCATTCTTTATATTCTGTGTCATGGTCATGTTTTTATATCTAGTACGTTAAGAATTTTTGTTTTGACGGGGATTTGCATGTATGTACTCATTATTCTTTATATTTTGTGTTATGGTCTTGTTTTTATATCTAGTATGCCAACAAAACTATTTCCACGGGGATTAGCATGTATGTATTCATTCTTTTATATTCTGTGTCATTGTTATATTTGTATATTTAGTATGCTAAGAATTTTTGTTTCCACGGGGAATGTAAGTTAATCGTGTACTACTTTTGGTTTCTGGAATGGTTTTTGTTATGCCAGTTTGCATGCTATATCCTTCTAGTTGAGGTTGGATCAATTCAGCTATTTTCTCTGTACGACTCGACATGTAAAATATTCATTGTATGTTTTTGTTTATAGGGACGTGTAGGGTTGATAGTACCAGTAGCATTTATGTTAGATGAATGTCTGTTTGATCATTGATCATTTTAATACACATTATTGCTCAGTGCCCTTTTCTGCAATGTTTATGTTTTAATTGGTGTATTTTCATTCACAAAATATGTTGTGATATGTTGATCATGCATATTCCCTTGTGTTTACGTGCATTTTGTATCTCCTTGCTTTTATGTGTTCACCTTTCTGCAGTAATCATGATACATGTAATTTAACTACAGGACTGTTATGCACTACTCGTGTAAAACTCTGTAAAACAACATTGTCATGCTAACAACGCTGAGTAGGGCCATCCCTCCGTCTTCCTTTTATAAGAGTGTCTTTATGATTGTAAATGTATATTTGTTGATGTTTTTTGTTAATCGACGGAAAATAAATACAATACAATAGTTTAACTACAGGACAGTATATAAATATAAAGGGGCCCAGGAGTTCCCTGTGCCAGAATTTAAACTCTTGAAAGAAATCAAAACCAAGCTGTCCGTTTAACAGAGAACTATAGAAAAGAAGAGATTAGAAGCATAAAGTTGAACAAAGTTTATTAACTGAAATACAATAACAGCTGATGCCAACGGCATTCAAATGCAAGTATAGGGTAAATATGGTTGACGCAAAGATAATGAATCATTGGCGAAATTACAACAACATATACCAATATCTGAGCTTATAGTATAACATTGTCATAACAGGTTGAGTACTCAATTAAATGCTGCGAATTATAGCAGAGTAAACATTAACGATCAAGTATTGCCGGTTTCAATGATTTACTGTTCCTTCATTCCGGAGAAATTAATGTCTCGTACAGGGGCGGCCGAGCGACTTCCAAAATGTGGGGGGGGGGGCACCAAGAAAAAAGGGCACTTTCTGGAGAAAAAAAGGGCACCTACAAAGGGAAATCTCAAAACGGAAATATACAATTTAGAGTCGGAACCGGTACACTGAATCGTCTTCTTTCTCTAATAATTTAATGAAGTGTCAAAGCTTCCGGGCTTCGCGCGGGAGGGGGAAAACTGAATTTAGACAAAAACACGATACAACGAATCGTCTTCTTTCTCTAATAATTAAATGAAACGTCATAGCTTCCACGCTTCGCGCGGGAGGGGCGAGACAAGAATTAATTATCGAGAACGGTACAACGAATCGTCTTCTTTCTCTAATAATTAAATGAAACGTCATAGCTTCCGCGCTTCGCGCGGGAGGTGAAAAACTGAAAAATAACGTAGTTCCTGGCCCCGGGTTTATAGGGTTAAATTTGTAGACATTTGGACATTGGCATTTTTATATTTGTCGTTAATAATATTGGTGGCTCGTTTTGTCGATAATCGGCGGCCTCTACATCCTCCCCCCCCCCCCCCCAATTAAAAAGATCTAGCGACGTCCCTGATAACAACAAAGTTTATACACTCGAGATAATTTTTGCAAGTACTACCAGTGGCGTAATGAGCAAAAACGTTTGGGGGGGCTGACAAAAAAAAAAAATCCGCAGCACCCTACACGAACCTGCATGCAGGCCCCGCTGAACGTTTCGCAAAGTGTGGTCGAGTGTATAAACTGTGTCGTTATCAGGGGCGTCGCTAGATCTTTGTCAGTGGGGGAATGGGGAGGGGATAGAGGCCACCGATTACAGACAAAACGAGCAACCAATTACCGACAAATTTGCCAATGTCCAAAGGTTTATAAATTTAACCCTATAAACCCGGTGCCAGTAACTAAGTTATTTTTCAGTCTCCCCCCTCCCGCGCGAAGCGCGGAAACTTTGACATTTCATTAAATTATTAGAGAAAGAAGACGATCCGTTGTACCGTCCTCGACTCTTAATTCTTGTTTGGATCCAGTTCCCCCCCCCCCCCAACTCCTCCAGCGGGAAGCGCGGCAGTTTGGACGTTTCAATACAAAATAACTCTTAATGATTGTCTGAATTCATTTTAGACCATCTCGCGCGAAGCGCGGGAGCTTTCACGTTTCATTAAATTATTAGAGAAAGAAGACGATTCGTTGTATCGTGTTCTTGTCTGAATTCAGTTCCCCCCCCCCCCCCTCCCGCCCGAAGCCCGGAAACTTTGACATTTCATTAAATTATAAGAGAAAGAAGACGATTCATTGTACCGGTTCCGACTCTTAATCCTTGTCTGAATTCAGTCCCCCCCCCCCCCCCCCCCTCCCGCGCAAAGCGCGGAAGCATTGACATTTCATTAAATTATTAGAGAAAGAAGACGATTCGTTGTATCGTGTTTTTGTCTAAATTCAGTTTTCCCCCTCCCGCGCGAAGCCCGGAAGCTTTGACACTTCATTAAATTATTAGAGAAAGAAGACGATTCAGTGTACCGGTTCCGACTCTAAATCCTTGTCTGAATTCATTTTCGCCCATGTCGCGCGAAGCGCGGAAACTCTGACGTTTTATTAAAAAATTACTCTTAATCCTTGGCTGATTTCATATTCGCCCATCCCGCGCGAAGCGCGGAAGCTTTCACGTTTCATTAAATAATCAGAGAAAGAAGACGATTTGTTGTATCGTGTTCTTGTCTGAATTCAGTTTCCACCCCCCTCCCGCGCGAAGCGCGGAAGCTTTGACACTTCATTAAAGAAGGAAGACGATTCGTTGTACCGTTCTCGACTCTTAATCCTAGTCTGAATTCATTTTCGCCCTTATCGCGCGAAGCACGGAAACTCTGACGTTTTATTAAACTATTACTCTTAATCCTTGTCTGAATTCATATTCGCCCATCCCGCGCAAAGCGCGGAAGCTTTCACCTTTCATTAAAAAATCAGAGAAAGAAGACGATTCGTTGTATCGTGTTCTTGTCTGAATTCAGTTTCCCCCCTCCCGCGCTAAGCGCGGAAGCTTTGACATTTCATTAAATTATTAGAGAAAGAAGACGATTCGTTGTATCGTGTTTTTGTCTAAATTCAGTTCCCCCTCCCGCGCGAAGCCCGGAAGCTTTGACATTTCATTAAATTATGAGAGAAAGAAGACGATTCATTGTACCGGTTCCGACTCTTAATCCTTGTCTGAATTCAGTTCCCCCCCTAACCCTAACCCTAACCCTAACCCTCCCGCGCAAAGCGCGGAAGCTTTGACACTTCATTAAATTATTAAAGAAGGAAGACGATTCGTTGTACCGTTCTCGACTCTTAATCCTAGTCTGAATTCAGTTCCCCCCCCCCCGAAGCGTGGAAGCTTTGCCGTTTCATTAAATTATTAGAGAAAGAAGACGATTCGCTGTACCGTTCACTATACTCTTAATCTTGTCTGAATTCAATTTCCCCACTGGGCCCCTTAAAGGGACTATGTCCCATTTGCAGGCCAAAAAAATGAAAAAGTTAAATTCCAACTGCATTTGAAAGATAATACTAATTTAGAACTTCCCTAAAAAAGGTGGGGCTTGAAAATGTCTTCAAGTGGGAAAATAACGACCATTAGTTGTCAAATCGACTTTAGGGCTATAGAGCCCAAAAGTAATAGTCTTGATTTTCAGACAATTGTACCGAATGGTCATACGTTTTATGCTGCGCAAAGATTGAATCAGTTTAATCTTGGCCATCACAAGAAGTGGGTTATTGATGTAGACAAATGCTCATGTACCCTTTACAACTCTTTTCATGTATGTTATTACCAAATAAGAAAAAAAAGCCAGTCAGTCACTCAATACTGTCTGACATTGAAGTCTACCAAGTATACGGTTTTCCTTGCATAATTTGAATATGAGGACACTGCTAACGTTTAAATTTCACAGATAGGACATACATGACATATTCATAATTCCTGCAAAGTTCTACAGCATTTGAGGTTGGCTGCAAAAGGGACATAGTACCTTTAACGGTACATGTGCAGTGTTACAGTTGCTTCTGGAAAGGATTTTTTTTACTATTGTTACTGTTAGGGCCACGGCCCCTTAGTGACTATAAAAAAACATATGCTCTTAATTCCTGGCCATTTGGGAATGTGTCAGTTTGCAACTCAAATGGAGAAACGAGCATTTTGTTGAAAATCATGTGATATCACGAACATTTATACATCACTTGTATATGGAATTGAAAATAAGTCATGGTTCAATTTTATTTGGGGGGGGGCTGGCGCCCCCCCCCCCCCCTAGCTCCCCCACCAGTACGCCAGTGAGTACTACTGGTAAAGTACCGGACCACCGTCTTTGTGCATTGTGCGACATCAAAGCATAATTTTTACAACGTCTCACGACGTGACAGATCACTTTTTTCTAACTTCTAACCAATAAGAAGGCCATTTTTTCCATGAAGTGCCCGGTGGACATTAATGCGCCAAATGTGGTTCTCAAATTGCAAAAAAAACCTACTCTTGGAAGGGGTAGGTGAAAGCAATTTTACGTCATATTACTCCAGGAAGTGCCTGAAAATGCGTCTAATTTGATTCAAGTTCAAGTTCATTTTATTTCCATATCTCGTATAAAAATACATTTAACAATACATTATACATATAAGCAAATATATAAATATAAATATAAATAATATAAAGAATATGGAGGAGCCAGCAGAGGCCATTGGCCTTTCAAAGGCTGGGCTCCAGTGTCCTCAGATAATAATAAAAAGTACAGAGAAAAGAAACAATGGGTAGTAAATAAATAAACAAATGAGTACAGGCTAATTAAATTAAACATACGATAGGAATTCCTTCAAATTCTAACATTCTAAAATTTCAAATACTTCTTACTCTGGGAGGGGGCCAGAACCCCTTCCCAGACCCACCCCCTGCTTGGTCGCTCCGCTCCCTCACCGTTAAAGCCTCGTTCTGTCGCTTCATCGTTTTACATATATTTCACTCCATGCCATTTTGTGCCCCCCCCCCCGTAAGAAATTCCTGGATCCGCCACTGACGCCCATACCCCTTGAGCTTCGGGGGCTTCGCCCCTTGAACCACGCCGGGGCTTTGCCCCTAGACCACACTTTGAGAAATGTTCAGCGGGGCCTGTTAGAGTGGGGTGATTCGGATTTTTTTTTTGTCAGCCCCCTCTAAACGTTTTTGCTCATTACGCCACTGCCTCAACTTATAGTCTACGTATATTCATTGATATCGACCCTGTGACCTTTAACACCTACTGTAGCAAATAAACTTAATAGACCGAACGAAACTTTACTGCATTTCTTCCTAAACCTTCAATTTCATCACTAGTTTTAATCCTACTGCTCCTAATGAAATAACCGAAATAATAAAAAAAAATCTAAAATTAAGTAAATCACAGGGTCACGATAGAATTATTGCTTTCCTTCTTAACACATCATAAACTTTATCGCTTCTCCTTTAATTCAAATTTGTAATTTATCAATTAATACCAAGAAATGTCTCGAATCCTTGGAAATTGCTAAGGTATATCCTGTTTTTGTAAAAGACAATCCTCAAGAAATAGGTAATTAAAGGTCTATTTCTGTTTTCCCAGCATATCCAAAATCATAGAAAAGATTATTTACAATAGGCTTTATAAGTTTTTAAATACTTTTCATTTCCTAAATCTAAATCAATATAGTTTCAACAAAGGACATTCCATCGACCAAGCTTTAGTACAATTATATGATAAAATAACGAATATGTAATAGGAGTATTTATGGACTTATCAAAGGCCTTTGATACGCTTGACCACCAAATTTTACTGAAAAAATTACTGTTATGGAATTCGTGGAGTTACACTGTCATGGTTTGATATATATTTATCTATTACAGAAAACAATATGTAATGTATAATGGTGTTTTTTTCAAATTTCCTGCGTACCAAATGTGGAGTTCCACAAGGTTCATTACTAGGCCTTTGCTTTTTTTAATAATATATTAATGATTTAACCAATACAACACCTTTATTATCATTTGTACTATTTGCTGATGACACGAACATCTGCTGTTTACATCATAATTTGAACACTTTAGTAAATACACTTAATATTTAGTTTCCAAAATGATCTCTATGGTTTCTATGCAATAAGTTATTCCTCAATATAGATTTTTGTAAATTCATGTATTTCAAGCACGCAAATCTTCATGTCATTGACTTTCCTTACAACATAATTATAGATAATGTTCCTCTCGAAGGAAAGAGAACAGCAACATTTGTTGGTGTCATTATCGATGAAAATCTATCTTGGAATGAACATATACGTCATATAACTACTTCTATTTCAAGGAATGTTGGTTTATTATATAAAAATGAAGATATTAATGCCATGTTATACGCTTGTTATGCTTTATAATTCATTGATATTACCGTATATAACATATTATAATTTAGTATGGGCCACCAGGGCCAAGACCAAAATCAACTCTATTTATTTATTGCAAAAGAAAGCCCTTCGCATACCGGTATGTACTGGTTCACTATATTTATCTCACACAAATCCAATATTCTACAAACTGAAAACCCTAACCGTATTCGACATAAATTCGCTACAAAGTTTACTGATCATGTTTAAGTATTTACATAATATGCTCCCTCTTTCATTTCAAAACTTTTACACTATAAATAAAGCCATTTACTCCTATCCTACCCGTAATTCCTCAAATTTTCATCTGGTCAACCCGAAATTACTTATTGCTCACAGATCCATAATAAATGTGTTAAAGGTAATACAAAGTTTTGGCATAGGGTCATGAATTTGGTTCAAATGAACATATCGGAAGCATATGTGATCCTACAATATTCAGTGATCATTGTCGCGGTTGAAATCGAGTCTTAAGTTATGAAATTGTAAATAATAAACTTGTTATGTTGTATAGCTCCCTCCCAAGGTCAAGATATTAATTGAGCTATAAAACAATGTTTCTTGGCTAAAATCGACCGACTGGCTATTCCCGTTTGGAAATTATATATCACAACTACATTTTCTGTGATTTTCATGGTCGCAGCTACCATAGTACGGCCATAGGCGCTATTTGAAATTCATCAAAATTTGCCGGGAGCACCGGTAAATTCTTATATTCCATTTTTCTCGAATGCAGAAGTGTTTTAGGGGCTAAATTTTCTAGTGCTTATAATACATCCACAGGGGCATCCAAACATATCAAAATTGTAAAGAATCACTCTCCAACTAATTTTGTATTACCTTTAATCTATTTCATGAGTTTTATCTGGGGCTGTTGTATTATCAAGCAATCTGCTTACAATGACAGTCCTTCTTCCGCAAATAATTTCGATTGTTTGAGGTAATTTAGTATTCATGACAGATTGTAATTTCGTTTTTGAAATTAAACAATTGTTATATATATATATATATATATATATATATATATTTGTTAATTTATGATTCAATGTCAGAAATATACTTATTGTACTGTATATTATTATTGTTATTCGAAAGCTTGTACTAACATAAATGCAGAAGAAAATCAAATAAAATCAAATTAAATCACATACGTCACAGCCAACTTAATATCAGGGTAGACTAATTCCCCTTAATGAGGAGCATTTATATAACGCACTCTCGGCTTTTAATTAATTTGTACTGTAGTTTCAGTTCAAATCCCACCGCTGCCACCAAACGCAAAGATGAACAAAACTTTAATCACAATAATCTTACAGTTACTTCAGTTTGGCTGTGCTCTAGCCGCAACATCGAAAGAGTGGCTGGGGAAAGCGTTCAATAGTAAGTGACAACATTCCTCCAAAGGGCAGCTAACACAGTGGTGCTTGAAGCTTAACACTATTTTTTACTTTCAGACAGTTTCCGCTTAGCAGCATAGTACGACGATATGGTTGCACCAACAGAGCTGGCTGTTACGCAAAGAGCTCCAATGACCTTCAAAAGATTTGGGGTAACGTCGAAGAACGCAAAGTCCAGGACAAAAGTGACAAAGACTCCCGTGGTCGAAATGACGGCGACCACCGCAGCGTTTTCCATCTGGAGTGCGAGAGTGAAGGTCACGATCTGAAGATAGCCGATGATGCAGATAACTAGGACCAAGAGACGATCATATCCACAACGCGGGATGGACCACTCGTCGAGGGCGCTCATCAGTGAGGCACATCCCAAGAAGCTGACGCAGCCGTACGAAAAAGTAAGAAGTTGCACGTGAACCTTGAGGCGGCCGAGCAGTCGGAGTAAGAGAAATGAAAGAGACCAAAGCAAAGCAGTAGAAAAAGCAGAGAGTAATCCAAATAAATTGTTTTCACCGCTGCCGCTGCCAAGGAGACCCCCAAAGATAGGTGCTGGCTGAACAACAAGTAAAACACCGACCACACTGATACAACATGATACGGTGATTGGGATGGAACAAGTCTCCTTTAAGCAGAGACACGCGAAGATGCAGGTGATGAAAGTTGAGCTCTGTATGATGCACGTGACAGTGGAGATGTCAAGTTGTTGGAGGCTGTTGGAAGCGCAGATGGCGTAAGAAGTGCCGACCATTCCCCTGACGATTATAAGTCCCCAAGCTTTCAGAGGCAAGCAACATGACACCTTGTGGCGTATGAGGTTGGGTCCTGTAAAGAGGACAAGGGTGAATGAGCGGTAAAGTACAATTTGATTCGGGGAAACCCTGCCAGATAAGAGCTTGATAGTCAATGAAACAAAGGAAGTGAGGATCGCGAATGATAGCGCCCAGCAAATTCCCCTCCGCTGGACCACTACCTTACCGACTCTGGTCCACATGCCTGTCTTCGGTTGTCCGTCATAGTACTCCCCCGATGGTGTATCACTACTCAGAGTGTCCCGGTCGTTTTCTTTCTGATCTTCAAACCGAGTTAGGCCTGCATGTGGCCTGATTCTTACACCATCTTTAAGATGACGGCCGTTCAACATCAAATCATTTAGAACGACTTCATCAAGCATTGCTCTCTCATGGCGCTCCATACTGTATCGACAGGTCTTAGTAGAGTACCTTTGCTTACATCGAACTTGCTACATGCATGCATGCAATAAAACCAGTCTTGCCTGTTTACCAGCTCCCAATACTTTATATCGAAGCTGTACTTTGGGGGGTCATGTTTTCACCGACTTCTTGACAATCACAGAGGAAATTCATTTAATGTTTCCTCGGGAAGCAAGAGGTCATTGATACCATTGTGTTCGACCAAAATTGGAGTGTCGATCTTATCTGATAAGCAATTTGCAGCAGGACCAGGAAATCTTCAATGACAATTAACCTTTTAATTATAGAATTGGTATCCTGTATTACCCGATGTGTTCAAAATAGTTAAGTTATTTGTTATGAATACACACATCAAGACTTTCGATATTGCTTTTTAATCATTATGAAGGCCATCAATAATAGAGCTTTTTTACACATGTAAAGTGTAAAAAGAAGAAAGAACAAAAAATGAAATTTTACTGGAACTTTGCCATTGTTTATTGAATTGGGTACTCCGATAAGGAGAGAAAAGAGAAGGAGAAAATGGAAGAAAGATACAGCAAGAGAAGAGACGGAAGGATGAATTGGATAGAATAACCATTAATGCCCATGGTGATACTCTGTCAGTATGTGCAAAAGAGAACATTTTCAAAAAATAAATGGAATGTGAGGGAAAAAAGTATGCAAAAAGATACAATAAATAATCATAATGATAGTAATAAACAAATTAAATAATATATCATTATATGCTTTTGTGCGTGTTTGGAATCACACAATTTCTACCAAATCGTTAGGGTCACTTATTAACTTGTAGGCCCTAATCTTGAATATTCAATGAAGTTTTATTTAATTCAATGAAAATCTATTTTCTGTTATCGCTAAATCATAAGGATGAGTCCCATTAATAACAAGCTTATACCTATATACATGTAACCTCCACCTATAATGATTAATAAATTTCTGATAGCCCTTTGCGACCATCATTCCACAGTTTGTGGTTCGGTTCAATTACTTTGGATTCAGAACCCCGAAAAAATGTGAGATACATGAGTAGCAAGGACTAGACTTTCTGCACACACTGCATCCGTTTTTAGTTTTATGGCTATGCATTTGATGCCAGGAATTTTTAAAAGGAAAATAAGCTATACAATCCTGAAGCCGGCAACACGTTGAAGGATTCAAAATCACTGTTTTTCAATCAAAATTGGCAATTTTGTAAACTACTTAACACTCTCTCTCATATATATTGTTTTTAGAGACACAATATTTCATTTTAACAATGTAGCAATTAAAGAAAAATACTGTGTTTGCCAATATGAAGAATGATATGTGATCAATTTAGCCATATTAAGCCATAAAAATAAATTCTGCCCTGAAAGCCAAGGACTTAAACCACAAATAGAACACAAGAAAACAAAATCATCTGTTTGATATGAGGGGCCCTCTTACATTGCCGTTTATTCACATAATGATCATTTAGTTTATTATTTACATTATGACACATACAGCTATACATTCTCATATACATTTACACATAGATATCTACATCTGGTTTTATATGTACAAGGCAACTGTCTTCTTTACAATAATAGTGTCAGTTTTCATATCAGGCATCATTACAGCATGCTGGCTACATTTGATAAAATTTCACCAAAAAGAATTTTCTTACAAACATCCCAAGTTAAATGCACTTGGTTAGATAATCCAATATTAATGCACAAAGTTGCTGGTATAAAAAATTGTCAAGAAAGGATATTGCAGCTTTCATAAATTTCCTGCATATCACACCATAAGAAGAGATGCTTCAAAAAAATGAGTATATGAGACATTTTAAGCAAAACTGTCATATTTCAGGCATGAGCAAATATATTAAAATAAAACAACAGAAGCTGAACGGCATTTATAAAAATGTGAATACGTCCGCGATTCCCTACATTCTTATTCTAGATCTATACAAACCGTCCTCATAACATGCCCATATGTGTCGAAATGCATTATTACACATGGAATACCATATATTTGCACTTGGTCATGTTTTACATGATATGCTAATACAAACCTCACTATTTTCCATCATCACCTTGAAAAAGATTTATTGTAACTATGTACATATTTACAATCCAGCATAAATTTAACAACAATTTGTACAACAGATGCATAAACCTATCCACTCACATGTATATCTCAGTTTTCTAAATACATGTACCAGCTGCGGTTTCTTTTACTGTCAATTTCCATACCATTCTGAGTTACATAATTGCCCCTAGTCCATACCACTTTATCAAAATGTACACTCATTAAAACTCTTTATTTTAAAAATACATTCCGATTATATAAATGATAGCAAAATATAGCATGGACATCTTGGCGAGGTGTCAAATACTTGTAGAATGTCAAAATAAAGAGATGGAATTCTTCCTTTAAACTAAAATAATATAAAGACAAACTGTACAATATTGGACTAGGTACATACATATATAAAAAAGGCAAGGATTCCTGGTTAAACAAAGATGAATGCGACTCCATCTCCGATATGCCTCCACTATTATAGTCTACGTCTATTCATTGATAATGACCCTGTGACCTTTAACATCTGACCTCATGAACCACAACTCTTGTCATTTCATCTTTTCATGCTCATACATACTCGAGCATTTTTTCCCCTTCACATTTAGTTCAATTTTTGTTAATCTATTAATTTAATATCAGACTTTTCTGGTGATTTAAACACATTAATGAACCAGTGACCTTTGACCTCTTACACCCAAATTTTAATCAGTTCATCCTTGCTCATACATACAAGTTTGATTGAAATCCATTCAATGGTTTCTGAGTTATTGTGTAAACAAAAAGTGTGACGGACGGACAACCCTATAACATAATGCCTCTGGTGGCGGAGGCACAAAAATGTAAAAGTATAATGGAAAACTGGATTGAATATTCCACATTTTATCTTTAAAGAGTCTTCTACTGTTATCTGTGTCCTTAAACAAATAAACTTTTCTTTAACATATTTCTAGATACTATACTTCTGAATGTGTGGTTACTCTATAAAAAAAATTGGTTGTTCTTGATGCTTTTTTCACTTTAAAGATGGCTTAGACAAAATTAAAACAATGAATGAATCTTTTGCCGATTAATAACTAATATGAACCAAGGCAAAATATCTTTCCATTACACCATCTCTTATAAAATGTATATTTCTGGTGCATGATGGGAGAGAGTGGTGTGTTTCATCGAGCCTAAACATTGATCACATCGAACAAACAACGATGAAAACATCGAAAAATCAATTTTAGATGATTAATCGACCCATGGGCTGTATCAAAGTCTGTAATCATTTACATGTATATAGAAACGCAAAACTCATTGGCAAGGCCTTTGATTTGGAATCAGGCATTTCTTAGAAGGCAGCTTCATATGTATTTTGCATAGCAGGCCTGACTATACATATAGCAGCTGACAAGGTTTTCTATATTATCACAGTGGTACAAGGCCATGTAGGCCTACATTTGTTCAGAATGCTCTATATACTTCTAACGGGTTAAAGGCCCCATTGCACTACTTATAGCTACTTGCGCCCTCTATATAGCAAACAATGCCTAATCGGTGACCGCTGGTCCCTCATGGTCCCCTTTTTCTTATGTTAATTGAGAGCTGATTTGATGAGATAACCAATCTGTCAGCGACCATGCAGGGAGGTGTCATCCCTCCTGGCCAAACTAGTGCAGACAGGTTTTAAAGTGAATCACTGGGACAATACAGTTGTTCTCAATTGAACAGGACATCTTCATCTTCAAAATACATTGTGTACATGTACATATATGATGTATGTATGGTATACGGTCATATGCTAGAATGAAAAACTTCAATTATAAATGAGACATACTTCACTCTTCGATGTTTAAGACAAGCGTCATCGTTGTAATATTTAAAGCAAAACAGCCCAAGCGATAAGGGCACACTCTGTAACCCCCAAACGCTTGCTTAATCAAATCACCACTGGGTTTCACAGACCGTCACAAAACTGGTATAAAAATTGATATAAAAATTATTGAACTATAAAAAATTTGCGATACAATAACCAAAATATATGAATTTGTAACATGCATCAGCTCTGTTTAGTTCATAAGCAAGATACATGTACAATGGAACCATTATTGCAAATATTTTTTCTTTTCTTCTGCCATTGCAAAGAAAATTTTTATCTCTGTGAATGAACGTAAGGTTATTAACTGAAATCATCCACTGTTGCCCCACATGGAATCAAACGCAGGCACTTCCCTTTGGCCGTTATGGAAGAAAACTTTCATTTGTATCAAATTCACATCAATAATCAACAAGAATCAAACGAGTAGATGAACATGCCTATGCACAGGAAGTTTCCCAGGGCTGCAGCTACAGTTAGACATTGAACAGCACATATTGGCCCATAGTCTAACTAAATTTTAATCCGATGCTGGGCTTCAGATTTTGTTCAAAATTGAGTTTAACAGTTTGTCTGAGGTCTACAATTTCCATTGTTAAATGTGATCATAAACCCAAGATCTGGAGCCCGTTTCACAAAGCCTTTTTTCAATGACAAAAATCAGTGACAAATCTGCTGATAACCAATCAGAAGCAAGGATTTCAGTAGCTTATAACAAAAACTGTCATTTGTCACTGATGACAAGTTTTGTGAAACGCGCCCCAGGTATAATAGAATTGGTGGAATAAGGATGACTATGTGCCACAGCCCAATAACTTTTTTTCAAGACTATACCAAGAATATCAAGGAATAACTGACAACATAGATTCTTAGCCCCCCCGCCCAATCCCTCCCCCTCCCCCAAAGTTTTTCCAAGTAAAATACAACTACCATCTAAAATAGATATATATATGTATATATAAATTATCCCGTGGCTGTCTCTACCTATGCAATACATTGCCATGTTATAGTCTATGTCAAAACAAGAAAGACACATCTAAACTTCCATTTCTTTAAAATGTACAGATTTCACACACATCTCAAGCTGCATATTGTAGAATGTGCCAACAACCAAATAAGATTGGCCTTCGGTCTGTGCATCAACCTTGATAGTAACCTAGGACATCACTACACGTACAATGAATGCAGTTCAAAAGAATGATGAAAATGTCAACCCCCAAAAGTGTCACGATAAAATTGAAAAGAATATATAAATAATTTAAGAAATAACCCAGATATTAGTTTCATGAATTCATAACAGGAGCCCAAAGTGTTTTTTTTTTTTAAATAAAAAGAATCAACTTTACTTCCCCTCAAAAGGACAAAAGAGAATGCTCCGGCTTCTCTATTGTGGGCAAACATTTCATTTTTTGTTGAAGCACCATTCCAAACAGAGGGACGAAACATACTGTCTGCTGGCAGCCAATAGGGCGTTAACTATTTGTAAAAAGTGTTAGCGCCCTTCTGGCTTTCAGCAGACGATATATGAGTTGGTCAATCGCTTTTGTAGCAGAGTAAAATGCCGCTTGGGGTTGGCAATGAAGTTACACGTTCGCATCAAAGATAGGTCCGTAAATTTTGTCAATAAACTATGCCCAATGTGGTTTAAGGCTTATAGGGTAATGCATTGATTGTAAAATGGTATTTTGGATAGATAAGCGAAGTCCTTCAAAGGTATTTTTCTTCTCTGCACATGATATTTGAAATCACTAAAAGCTTTGCACATGGCAAGAGTGCTCCTTTCATTGGTTAGGAAATATACCAGTACCTAGCACCAAACCATTATGGTAGACCGGTTGACGTCCAGCTCAGCAGTGAACTGCATATAGATGTTCCTCCCAGATCTGCATGGGACTTGGCCACAACACTGCGTCATCGGTTGATTGCACTGCACTGGCAATCAATGAGGATTCTGGCACGATGTCCGGATGACTTTGCTCTCAATCCTGGCTAGACAGCCTTCGATGGCTGATTCAAGCCATACTCTTCATGGAGACCTTCATGCTGCTAAGGCTTCTTCAGAACTCCACATCCTGGTGACTGAAGTGATCTTCTTGGTGACGCTTCTCGGCTCTTGCTTTCCTCTTATCCTCAATCTGCTGTAGCGCTATAGCTGTATCGATTAGCAAGGAATCGAACAGAGCATCTGCTAGCTGCATCTTGACGGACAGTTCATCATTGTCATAGTCTATCCATTCTGGCTCCTCCTCTTTGAGTTCATCGATTAAAATCTCGTCAACATGATCTTTCTTCTTGCTCAGTTTGCTGCCAGCCACAGCACTGTCTTGTTTTTGTTTGGTAATGAGGCCAGAAAGAGCCAGTACACGGCCCTCCACGGCTGACGCCATTTCCGTTTCATCACTCGGAGGCTGCTGGAAGAAGTATTGACGGGGTTTACGCTTGGGTTTCATCCAAGGAGATTGGACGGTTGGTTCCTGCTCTTGGCAGATGGCTTGGTAGACTTCACCAGACAGAGTGAATATTAAGTTCTTGTATGCTTTCTTACTTGTGCTTTCGATGTCTGATCCTTTGGTATCAGAACCCATAATGGTTGATGGTGGCACCACATTAGCAACAGGTTCCTCATTTTGCACCTTATCATGGAAGACTTTAACGGATTGGCTGGCAAGGTCTGTCACGTCACTGATATTATGAGGCACGGCAAAGAATGGTTCCTCCACTATCTTTTTCAAGTCTAACTTTGCGTTTCTCTGTTTGGCAGCTGCCTTTGCTTCTTGGGCAGCTTTGGCAGCTTGGGCAGCTATTCCTGCTGGAGTCTCTGCTTTCTTGGGTGACACTACCCTCTCTGGTACCTTAATGATGCTCTGACTTTTCTTCATGGAGCCAAAATCATCATCAAACCATTCCTGGTCACCAAACAGGTCTGCCTCAAGAATGTCTTTGTCTAGGAGCTGGAGCTGCTCTAATTTCTCATTCAGGGCCTCCGGGCTCACGCTTCCAGATTCACCAAAGATGGGTGAACCTGGTCTCGCCACAGGAACGTTATCGCTACCAGAGCTGGACTCAATGTGTACCCTATTAATAAAGATGTCATCATCGAGTGCAGTCATGTTGTCAACTTTCCTCTCAGGACTCTTGTCTGGAGTGTATGGAGTCTCTGGACGAAACTCTGGAGACAATGAATGTTCTGGTGTCTTGATTTCCTGTGATGCTGACTTCTTCACTCTCTCGTTTGCAAGTTCAATCTTTGCGTTCTTCCGGTCTCTCAACCGCAATACTTCACTGATGGCTTCATTTATAAGTGATTTGGCGACAGAGTCTGCTTTCTTCTCGGCACTCTTTTGGGGCACCTTCTCAGGAATTTCTTCTTCTGATTTTTCAACAAGCACTTCCGAAGATTCACTATCACTCCTAGATGATTCAGCAGAAACAATTAATTTCAATAAACTGTCTTTTGATTTCTCTTCTTCTTCATCCTGTTTCTGCTTCCTGGCTAATTCTAACACAGCATCAAATGTGTCCTTCACAATAACCTCAGTCAAATGATCTGTGCTTGTGTCCACGAGACGATTTTCAGCTTCATCCTGCTTACCCTCTTGCTCATCCTCATGAGGCAGTTCTTCAATGTCTGGAAACTCATCCTCTGGTGCTCCTCTGGGAGTCACAAGTGCAGCATCTCCCTTCCCTAGACCAGGTTCATCTACTGAGAATGACTCTACCGCTTCAGCTGCATGGCTGATCAACTTCTCCAAGGCATCATCATCAATGCCAGCTTCAGACAGCTCATCTTCTGTGGCCTCTTCGAGAATGTCCTCAGATTTAATGGATGTGAGTTGAGATAGTGACCTATCACTCTCCTTGTCCTCCTCTACTTTGTTCTCTGTAGATCTCTGCTCTTGAGCTATGTCATTACTGACACTCTTGGTTTTAACAAGGTCACTTTCAGAAACTGTCCTCACAGATGATTGGCTGGAAATATCTTCCTCGATGGAAGACTGCTCCGAGGCCTCCTCGTTCAACGACTCCTGAGATGGCTTGTAGTCCTCGGGGAGATGTGCAATCTTATCTTCAGGGGCAAAGATGCCATAGTTTGGTTTGCAGGTGAAGTAAGCAATGCCTTTGAGGGTGCCATCGTTGGTGCCTTCTGGCTCATCAAGCTCTACCCCTATCCAGTTTCCACTGGCGAATTTGGTCGGGCCCTTGAAAAGCAAAGTGCCAGGTTCTTTGCCACCGATTAGAACACGGTCCCCAATCTGGAAGTCAGGAAGAACCTCCTGTAATAAATAAAACAAAAAGAGAATACAAATGCATATAATTGAATGATTGAATAAAATTCAAGAGGTGATTGTGAAATGCTTTTCTCATTACATTCAATTTAATTTATCCATTTATCAAGATGTGTTTACTTATTTAGTATTTACTTTGAAACCCATAATCTTGCTAAATTGCTCTATACAATCAGGTACTCTTCACTTTTACTTTAGAGCAGTAAAGATAACTGTCCTTGACATATGAACTGCTTAGAGGGCATTTACATTCGAAATAACAAATGAAGATGCACGTACCATCAGTATTATCTTTCATTAAGACTAAAACACATACCTTAATTTTTGGCTCTGGTGTAGCATCTCCAATTAAGTCCTGGGCAAGTTTGTCATCAAAGACATCTTCTTCCTCCTCCTTCTCCTCTGCCTTTTGAGGAATCACTGTGACTTCTGGGGGGTCAAAGTCAAGACTAGGTTCATCATGAACAGGAGATCTGTCCTTCAAATCAAATACAAGGTGCCCCGAAGATCGACTTGGACTGCTCTTTGCAAGAGACACCTCGCTCACTTCGCTCAAGTGTTCACTGATATCCTCGTCCGTGTCAGATTTTGAGTCTGAGCGCTTCAAAGTGGGTGAGGATTCCAAGAAATCCTCGCTGTAGCCAGCTTCTGATTTGACACTGGGTGATCGTGAAGAGCGTGAATGGACTGAACTTGGTATTGACCCGATGCTCCTCTGTGAAGAGTCATCAGGGACTGGGGTCACAGCAGCCTTCCCACCTGCAGGAGATTGCGATGCTGGAGGAGAACTTGGCGCATGTCTTGGAGACTCAACGAGACTGTCCCCAAGAGACAGTTCATGATCAGATTCTGGCAAGTTTGAGATAATGACAGCAGACTTTGATTCTTCAAACGAGTCCTGGGTTTGTATGCTCGCTGCAGAGATGATCTCCTCTGGAACCGACGAGGATATGGACACATCGTCATCGACATCGGCTCCAGGTGATGGAGTTGGTTTGTAAGCCAAAGCTGGGCTTACACTTGTAGTAGCCTTTGGAGTGTCCTCTTCTGCATCCCGACCATCCCCTGATCTCCTTCCATTGATCATGGGAACACTAGGAGTTCTTTCCGCATCCTTTTCTTCCTCCTCGCGATGATGTTGCTGTAGTTTTTCCTTGATCTTTCGATGATCCTCAGAGTCAAACTTCTCAGAATCCTGAGCACTCTCCTTGTCTGAATAATCACTCCTAATACTGATGTCTTCTGCAATACTACTGCTGGCTGATGCACTGTGGTCCCTTGAGAGGCTGTAAGGTGACTTGGGACTGACTCCACCTGGTAGATAAATTGAGACATGTAAATTCAGTGAGTCCTAAAGGTAGGTATGAATAAATTATGATGACTATAGGCTAGACAAATCTACAAGTTCCCATATAAAGTATAATGAAAGCCAAATACAAAGACCTTTCAAGAGAAAAGAGTAGATTTAATAGGCACATTGTTCTTGTGTATAGAGTCCCTTTAGTATAGTTTCCAATGAAAATTACTGTCTACAGTGGAAAATTGGGCATTAAAGAAATGTGGTCTTTAAACAGGGGGCCACTAAAGCAGATTATTTTCTGTAGTAGGTAGTAACACAATAAACATTGGCATTACGGTAACATTGGTTTCTTCACTGGGCAGCAGGTAAAGTGTAAGTCATGATTGAGTAATCTTGTTGAAATGACAAGATGAAAAAATAAGGGAATTTCCATGTACCATGTGCATGTGTCGAAACAACTGCAGAACTGCTCATACATTGCACAAATGGTCATGAAAGAAAGTACAGTCAAACCTGCTTTAGTGACCACCTGTATAGAAAGACCACATTTTTTGTTTCCCTTGAAAATGGTTTCTCATTGAAACATGTACTAAAGGAACCTATACATGAAGACCACCTGCCCATAAAGACCACTTTTCTTGTCTCCCTTGGGTGGTCTTTATAGACAGGTTTCACTGTATTTCGTGTTTACCTTCACTGTGATGTGTGCTGGGTGAGGATGTAGCGCTGAATGACGAATAGGACACGCTACCACCAAGAACACTCGGTACCCTCTCCTCTCCAGCAGGCACTCCACCCTCCAGACTGGATCTACTTGATCGTCCGCTCTCCGACACGCTCGGTCTCGACGCCGCACTTCTTGCCTCATAGAGGGCGCCCTCTTGGCTGCTGTCCGAGGCCGTCCTCTGACGCAAGGCGCGGGCGTGGCGGAGGGAGTCGGCACCGGCCTTGGGTTGTTTGATCTGAGGTTTGGCTGAGGGTGTGGAAAGAAGATGGCTACTTCCTTGTAGCTTCTGCTTCTTGGATTCCTGCTCCAGCTCGGCCTTGGTGGTCTCTACGAACCTGTCGTAGGTCTGTGGGAGACGGAAGGCATGATTACAAGGCAACTGCAAAGTTTATGCTTTCCCAGGGAAGGCTGTTAACTAAGTTCCACAGTAAATACGGACTATAATAATAATTATCTATTAACATCGCCTCCCTACAAGATTACCATCTCTTCAGTGACTGCATAATGTTGATACAATCAAACCTGTCTAAGGGGTCACCTCTGTATAAAGGCCACCTGTCTATTGCTTCCCTACCGGTGTTGAAGAACCTGTCTAGAAAGGTCATCTACAGTGGTCACTTTTTGTGTTTGCCTCAGGTGGTCTTGATAGACAGGTTTGAATGTAGGTCAAATAGACTTCTGCCAAAACACACCAATGGAAGGGCATAATTTGAGGTACCTATGACGATTCAAATTCTTTTCACGGGTCTAAAGATCATATGTTGTTGAGCAGACCACCAATAACAATAAGCTTGGAATATCCCTTTAGGACATTCTTAAAGTATATACACTCAAACCTGCTTTAGTGACCACCTGTCTACAAGGACCACATTTTTTGTTTCCCTTGAAAAATTGTTTCTCATTGAAACATGTACTAAAGGAAACTGTCTACAAAGGCCACTTTTTGTGTTTCCGCTATGCACAGGTTTGACTGAATTCTGGACGGGAAGCTTGACTCACCTCAAGTTGCTTCTTCAAGCTGGCTTCTTGGGCCTTCAGCTTCTCTCGGTTCAGCCTCTTCTGTTGCTTCCTTAGTCGATCCGCCTCCATCTTTCTCCTCTTAAGGGCGTCCTTCAGAGCTCGCACACGACCTTCGATGTCACTCTGGTCAGAGGCCGTTTCTGTTCACATGAAATTAAGTTTAGTCCAGTGAGAATGAAAATGGATACACTTAAAAAAGCTTGTTTTAATTGGATCATTCAGGTTATGAAACATTCTCGTACTCAAGTATACAATGTTTAAACAAATCTGACTCCCCAGTATCTTCCAAAGAGAAGGTACTATGGCACATCAGTAACATACTCATTACAATATGTAATAAACATTATAATATAAACAATACATTAAACAACTTATGAATTAGAGAACCTAATCCCCAATGTAAACAGAAGTGATGGTCAGAAACTATGACGAAATGTTCATGCACTTTGCATTTAACTGTGACTAAGCAGGCTTAGAAATTCAACAAAAGAAAAAAGTGTGGCATGACCGAAACAACTGCTCTAATAATTAGCAAGTTGTTGAAGAGCTCTATATACCTGACATAGTCTGAGAGAAAGATTTCTCTGACTCTGAGCCACTGTCTGAAGGATGTCTGTTCCTGGCACGTGGTAGGAAGGGACCCCTACTGGACGATGATGGCAGTGTGCTCGCATTTCTCATAGACTTGGGCGTTGACGAACTGAGGGCCGTCAGACCCTGGCCCCCCGGTGAGGTGGATACCCCCCCGATGGGAGGCACCGGGCCGCCTTGGTGGCTGCTGTGTTTGGAAGGGGTGAGGGTGCGGTCTGCGGTAGAGTCGAAGGAGTCATTGGTGTATTCATGCAGGCCAGACGCTTCCTTGATAGTATCGTCACTGGACAGTTCAGCTCCTGCGTGGGGACTCTCAGAAATGCTGGGAAGAGAAATAACAAGGGAGAAGATGATGGTTTGTCAGTATAGAAACCTAGAATACACCTGATGGTGGCTTGCACTTATAGCGAAGAAGAAGAAGAAATAGAAAGATAGCCATTCTCCACACTGTCATGGATTATTCAATTTAAGAACTAATTCAACAAAATTACAAGTAGAAACCCACTGATCATGAAGATGATAAAGATCTTACACTGATATCACGTTCTAGTTCAGCAGTAAATCACTTGGGGTACATTGTTCTCCAAAACCCTAAAGAATAATGATTTTAACGACACATATACCAAAACAGTTCTACAAAATTAGCGTTGATTACACAGAGTATTAAAGAGCATTTAGTGCAAAATACATACAAACTTATGAATACTGTACTTTTTGAGGTCAGGATTACGTTGTAATGTGTTTAAACATATACACCATTTGTAGATCAAAACATAAAAGTAAATTCTGTTCATTCCTTCCCACGTAATTTAGGTTTGGAATGTGTTTAATGAACAACAATATTTATGGTCATTGGAGATTAGATCAGACCAGTTATCAGATCTAGACAGGAAGCGATCACAGCCCAGGCTTAATCCTGTATTAATACCAAGGTCATCCACTAATCTCTTTAACAGCATGGAGATCTACGTGTCACGACACAAGTCGGCACGTTATTGAGGATATGTAATAAATGCCATACACAGTATATGTTCAGTCCAGGGAAAAGTTTATCGTCTATGATAATGTTTTCGTATCTAGATTTTAAAAATGTAAAAAGCCAGCTTACAATAGAAACATTAAGTAAAGCCTCGTTCGGATATGATGGAGCAAAAACAGCACAGTTTTTTAAACGTAAAGTGTAATGCGTTTCACATTTCCTATCTTAAAACACAGAGCATAGTGAATACGCTGGGACCTCTTTGAGCGCAATTGCCATTCAATTACAAGTATGAATAACTGAAGCAGTTATAAACAGCGTAATATCAGAACAGGCTTTCACCCATTAGCAACTAGAGATTTTGTAAAAATAGCCTATCACTCACTGGAAGATGCTGCAATATTGCTCTCGATTTGACATTTTTCTGAACAATGTGAAACATGCGCTATTTTTCTATGAAGAATCCTACTGTAGTCATCGCAAGGATTCTCGCACGTATAACATTATAACGGTAGACCCTAGAACGGATATATTAGCGCGTTGAAAACGGACGAAAACAGGCGGTTTCGGGCAGTTCTGTGAGTAAAAGGAGGAGTGGTTTAGTTGCTATTTGGTTAAGGTAGCTTTGTCATCACAGTGCAAACATCCATACCTTTTGGACTGTGTCTTCTCTGAGCCAATCTCCTCTGCGATGCTACTAGTGTTCAACTCTTCCATGATGGACGCATCGCTGCTGCTCCCTAGCCTCCTATCGTAGGTAGTGGTAGGGGTGGTCTTAGTGCCGGTTTGTTGAGATTCAGACGCGGTCCTACTGGCATCGGTCTTACCGCTGGTGCTCGTCGGCAGGGAGTAGTCCTCCGATTCATCATCCCCATCACCCTGTGAATGTCAATTCAAAGAAGTTAAAGCAAATAAATCACCTTAAAAAAAATATAAAACAATTTGTGAATGTGTATATCAACCTCAAAAACTTCACCGGCATTCTAATGGAGAACGAATAAGGAGTATGAAGAAAATAAAGAGTAATATACAACAGCGCACACAGCACCCAAGGTCGAATAGGCCCTATTTTATGCGAACATATACGGGTGCGTCAAGTAGTTAATCGAGAATATTTGAATTTACAAAATCTCTATTCCTTCTTCTCTTCTCTTCTCTTCTCTTCTCTTGTCTTCTCTTCTCCACTCCACTCTCTATCTCACTCTTTCTATGATTTGTTTGTTGTTCCTGCATATACATGTACACGTTTACAGGGCTTTTTAAAGGGCTTTGAATCATAATTTATTAACCCAAACCCAAATTTTGATAAACATCCTGAATGGGTGAAGTAGATGAGTAGCATCAAGTCTCACCGTGGTGTCTCGGGCAGGTGACTGAGACGCGGGAGCAGAAGGGGTGGCAGCGGTGGGCTTTATCTTGCGTTTGGCTCCATCCCACAGGTGAAGAACCTCGTGCTCCATGGAGGCTACATGCTTCTCCTCCTCATCCAGACGCTGCTTCCAGGCTAGAAGCTCCTCAGCGTTCTGACGCCTTTTCTTCAGCTTCGTCTCGCGCTTCATCAGGAACCTAGAGGTTCAAAGGGCATGCAGAATTAGCTAGAATACCACATGTTACAAGCAAAAGGGATGTAGGGATGAAGTTAAGCCTATGGCAAACTTTACGATCCTCCTGATTTTCAAAGAAATAGCAATGATATTGAAATTTAAACAAACATCGTCTTCTAGTTGAAGACGTTGAAGAGAGTCTGTAATTGGTCAGAATGTTTGTATCAAATGCTGTCGCAAAATTCTTCCAAAATCAGATAGAAGTGAGGTAGAACAAACAAATGAAAAATAAGGGCTGTAGATAATCAAAAAAATAACAAGCACTGCTTCATCAAGAAAATAATCTATAACAAATTTGGAGCCGGAAGGGGGTTAATTCTATGTTAAAGTGTATGAGTTAACATCTTTCTAACTTCGAACAGACGATTTGTAGAAATTACAAGAGAACAACAAACAGAGTTTACAGGTTAAAAGTTTAATTAGATGGATTTACGATGGTCTTAATTAAATGATTCCATAATTTCTAATCAAACTCTAGAGGCACTTACTTCATGCTGAGGGGCTGTTGCAGCATCTTGAGCTTCTGCAGGACCCTGGCTTGTTTCTCCATGGCCGAGGCGTCCATGGTCGAATCCCTGGCTCCTGCTTCTCCACCCGGAGGCGAGAGGAGCATGGAGTCGGAGCCCGACATGGAGGCCTCGTCTCCCTCCTCGCTGGGAGTCGGGAGGATGGAGGAGACGTTGGGCGAGGCCGGTGGAAGGTCCTTCATTTGGTCCTTGTAGCGGGCGGCGGCGCGACGCATCCTGGCGATCTCCTGCTGCTGGTGAAGCAGGCGCTGTCTCTCAAGGCTTGCCTGCCTCTGGGAAGCTAGCATCTGTTTGATTTCACTCTGAGCATGGAAAAATATATGAGAAAAAAATACAATTTATTTTTAATAGCTACCGGTAAGTATTCTGATGATTTTCAATAATTTATTTTTCCAAGAGTGCTACATCCCTAATTCATCCACTGAAAATTGGGATGATTCATACGCAAACACTACAACAATGCATCAAGCAATTACAATTTTCCTTTTTTTATCAAAGATAGCATTAGGTGTTGTTTTCAAATGAAAAATCATTAAAGAATAAGGAAATTAGTCAAAGCTACACACTTCTCTCCCAGACAAGTGTCTTCGTGCCACATTTATTTGTAGGATAGGTAGCTTGTGTGTGAGCCCCCTTTGCTTTACCAATACACATACGTCTACAAGACTTCCCTTTCCGAGAAAGGGCATTGTGGTGCTACAAGAGCATCAAAGTGATACCGACCTGCTCCATTTGAAGCTTAGATAACAAAGCTCTCTGCCTCTTCCTAAGACTGGTGACACCATCTTGGTCGTCTTTCTCCTTCAGTCTTCGTTTCTGATGCTCTAACCACTCAAGCTCAGCGTTGGTCTTATCAACCAGCACCTGTCAACATGAAACAAGAATATCATGAACCGTACAATCTTTTCACTGTCAAATCCGCTTATTGTCCCCAAGTACTTTCAATTTTCATTTACATAGTAATAATAATAATCATAGTAGGTTCTTGTATAGCGCTCATGTCTGTTAGACTCTACACTGCCGTAGTTCACAAATATTACCCCAGCTTTAGTGCTGTGACTTGAACTGCAACCATGTGATCCACAGCCCTGGCTAATTCACTGGGGAACACTCTTTATGTTCAAACAGATTAGTTGTTTGAAATAGTTCTTAAGAATAATTTATTGATGAATAATTCAAAATATCCTATGTGTTTTTAAATCATATTGTCAGAAGAGCCGTGAGTATGAAATATTCTAGGTACAATATCCTGAAAGATTTCTGCTATGTACCTTCTCTCTCAGCTTCAGTAAGGTGACCTGCTGTTGGGACCTTGCCTCTTCCTCCTTGAGCTGTTTCTGGAGCACCTCGATGGTCACAGCACTGAACGATCCTTCCTTGTCTGACAGCACTGAATCCGAAGAGTCGGGTCTATCCTTCAAAGTGTGCTTCGCTGCAGTGCGAGAGTCTTTCTTAACATCAGGTTTAACCGGTGAAGGAGACACCACGCTCGGGATTGAGCTCCGAGAAGAGGATTCTGAATCATCGAAGGAAAGAGAATACTGATCCAACTCCGATTTTGAGTTGCGCACATCCTCTGATATGCTATCCGTCCTGGTTGAGCTTGCAACCTTAGCCCCCGATTCCGTTCTAATGGACGAACTGGCAGCACTTTTACTGAAGTCCCTATCAGCGACGATGTCACTGGCCGTTGCTATTGAATCAGTTTGGTCAGGATGTCCTAGGGACAAGTCACTGGCAGTCTTGATGCTCTTGGAGGAGTTGGACTGTCGAGAGAATGAGCTGTCTTGAGCCGTGAGGACTCGTTGAGAGGATGACGCTGTGTAAGCAGAAGATGGCGTATGAGTTGATGACGTGTTGGTGAAGTCCTCGGAGTAGTGGGCGGAGGGTGTCTTGGTGTCCGTACTTCGGCTGGGTGTCATAGAGCTCGGCCTGGAATTACCTGCTGCAACACTTCTGCAAAAAAGGGAAATACATACCAATGTAAATGGGTATGAAATCTTCACATTACAACACTTGTAAATGAATTCTTAAAAATATTGTAACACAATTATCATCATGATAATTATAATCATCAGCAGCTTTATCGGAGGCACGATAGCTCAGTCGGTAGAGCAGTGCTCTTGTAATCCGGTAACCCGGGTTCAAAACCAAGTCGATGCACTAGTGCCCTTTGGTAAGGCATGAATCCTCATTACCAGGTCCCTTGGAGAGGACCTAAATCCATTGGTCTTCTGGTTGCTTACTAACAAGCATTTATTGCTTTCTTACCTGTCAGGTAAAATAACCACTACTATCTATCTATCTATCTATCATCATCATCATCATCATCATCATCATCATCATCATCATCATCATCATCATCATCATCATCATCATCATCATCATCATCATCATCATCATCATCATCATCATCATCATCATCACATCATCATCATCATCATCATCATCATCATCATCATCATCATCATCATCATCATCATCATCATCATCATCATCATCATCATCATCATCATCAATCATCATCATCATCATCATCATCATCCCCTTTACCATCATCATCATCATCAACATTACCATTACCATCCTCCTTCTCCTCCTCCTTATCATTGTTATTGTATGGAGATGTATCACATAGGCGCTCTTACCTTGTGACTGGTGGAGGTGGCTGTACCGAGGCCCTCATCTCGTGCAGCATATCCTTCTGGTAGAGTCTCTGCTGCTCCAGGGCTGCTGTCACTGCGGCAGAAGCTGCTGCCTTAGCACTCTCTGCAGCAACCTGGCCTGCATCCACTGCTGGTGGGGGTGATGGCTTACTAACAGATACCTTGTGAGCCTGTCAACCAAGAATACAGAAATCAAATAAATTGAAGGAATGAACGCATCAAGTAAATTCAATCATACTTATTTATGATCAAGAGAAAAGTTACAATGATGTTCTTTGTGTCTGATCGGAGATGTCAGTCACTTTTCGTCAATTAACCTCAATAAAGTCACATACCATGTAGATTCCCCTAACTTCCATACAACAATAAAAACTAACTATAAAAAAGAGAATATAAAGCCTGAAAAGAATAAGAGACATGGTCTGAAACCAAGCAAAAGTATGAAAACTTTTACCCCTCTGTCTGATATCAGAAATAAACTTGGTGGCATGGTGATAAACCATCTCACATCATTCTGCATCTCACTGATATTCACTACAATTCAACCGAAGGCATCTACAATACTATGCAACCATACAGATGGTGGTGGTTATTGTCATTTTTACCTCTGCCAGCTGCTTGGCTGCCTCTGCCGTTATTCTTGCAGCATCAGCCTGGGTCATGAGCAGCTTCTGGGCCGAGTCCCTGGTCTCCGCTGCGGCATCCTTCCTAGCCTTCACCCGCCCCTGTTCAACCTCAAGAGCAGTCTCCGCTGCCTTCTGCTTGACCTCCTCCAGCTGCCTGTTGGCCTCTTCCACCTCCTGCCTGGCCTTGAACGACAGCAGCTGCAGGTCCTTCTCGTGATCCCGCTGCCGGTTCTGCAGGATCTTGGCGAGGGAAGTGCTTTCCTCGTGGGCCAGGGACACCGCCCTGGTGCGTTCCACCTCGGAGAGTTGCCGCACAGACTCCTCCAGGGTTTCCAAGAGATTGAGCTCGGCAGCCATCTTGAGTTGGAGCGCACTGGGTGAGTAGAACTTGGGTCCTGGCTGGAGAATCGTTGATGTGAGCGTTGAGGTCTGTGAAGAAAAAAAATTGGAAGTTCAACAATTTGATTATTGCTCTTTGCCTTGGAACTTTTTATTCCTATAAATATAGATGCCCAAAAACCCAATTCAAATGGACAAATCCCCCAATATGAATATTTTTTAAGACGAATGAATGAAGGGTTATTCCTCATTTGTATAGAAATCAAGAATCATACTGAAAATTTGTTCCCTCTCTAATTCCCATTTTTAATGTTTGATTTTGGCTGTCCATTTATTCTTGGTAATACTCTTATGTTTGGAAGACAGTGGCTCTCAAGTGCCTGTATTTATCCTTAAAATCTTCATCATATATTCCATGCAATTTTGTGTAGGTTACCTATAATTATCTGCATTCCAAAACCCTCTGCTAATCACATTACAGATATATCATGAGCCATCTCTCATAGAGAGCAGAATTACTGTAATGGTGAGTATCCAGCTTCATTTTTTGACACTGCAAGATGTTTAGCCGGACAACTCACCGTGCTTCTGCTAACGTCGGTTGACCTCCCAGACATCTCACTCCCTGGATGACTAATGGGTTTGAAGTGGCTTAGCACCTCCCTTCTCACTGGCGACTTAGCATTCCTATGCATTGAACCTTGGCTTAGTAGAGGAGTTGTAGGCGAGTCTACGGGTGTTCTGACGGATGGTGAGTGACCTTGTGATGTCCTTGAGCCTGGTGACATCCCACTCCTGACGCCATCACTGTGCACAGACTCTCCGTTGGATGTGGATTTCTGTAAGAAGAAATGCCACGCAATATTGATACATTACCAGCTACTTCACAAGGTTACAAACCAACAGGTTACAGTTCTTCATCATTGGCAACTTTAATGGTTATAGCTAAAGATGACTAACGTCAAGTAGCCTCAGTATGAAGTACATTTATTGCTTTATTGAGAATTATCGAGCCAGAGTATTCTTAAGAGGTGTCGTGGTCGAGTGGATAAGTCATCAGACTGTATATCACAAGGTCCGCGATTTAAGTCCTGTCGCAGCACTAATGTCCTTTAAAAAGACAAAGATCTACATCTGCCACACTCAACCCAGGTGATGTAAATGGGTACCTGGCAGGAATTAATGTAATGGCAGCCGTGCTAAAGCCAGGGTAATAATCAGGAGCGCCAAATCTAACAGATATGGACACTTTACAAGAACCCACTATTATTATTATTATTATACGAGGGCCCTGGGCATCAAGGTTGAACGAGTCAACTTATCAACATCATATCTAAATTGAATAACTTCATCTTGGGTTTAAGTAAATGATAAACCAGATCTTGGTACTGTAAAAATAGGACGGTGCACTGAAAAACAAGGTAATGCAATGGCGACTTTAAAGCCTGTCTGCACTAGTTTGGCCAGGAGGGATTAGACCTCCCAGCATGGTCACTGACAGGCAGTTATCTCATCAAATCAGTTCTTAGTTAACATAAGAAAAAGGGGACCATGGGGGTCTAATGGTCACCAATTAGGCATTATTTTCTATATAGAGGGCGCAAGTAGCTATACGTAGTGCAGTGAGGTTTTAATGGTTATAGCTGAAGATGACAAATTTACGTCAAGTAGCTTTGGTATGAAGTATATTTATTGCTTTATTGAGAATTATCCAGCCAGAGTAATCTTTATATGAGGGCCCTGGACATCAATGTTAAACTAAACAACTTATCATCATCAAATCTAAATTGAATAACTTCATCTTGGGTATAACTAACTGATATACCAGTTCTTGGTGCTGTGCGACTTTAAATAATAGGAAGGTGGACTGAAAAACAAAGTTATGCAATGGAAACTTTAAGTTGTTTAAAGATTACTAATTCAAGTTGCTTTATTATCCCATTGACAACTGAATTCTTTCAGTCCTCTGGAATAGATAAAAGGAACTAGTGTTTCCTGCTGGCAAACAGTTTTAAGAAAGACCTACCTTTAAATCCTCAATGAGTGACCTAATCTCATCAACCGGTGACTTGTGGTCGCTGACTGGAGATCTAGCATCACTGGGCGGAGAATGGCTCCCTCTACTGCTCGACGAGCGCGATTTGATAGACGAAGGAGAACTTCTGGAGCTGGGAGGAGTCTGGGTGCCAGCGTCCCGTAATGTTGTGGGTCGGGGACTGGGCGTTCTTGATCTCTTTTTCTCAGAGACGTTCAGACTAAAGCAAAAACAAGGATTCACAAGTCAGACTCAAGGTGTGGTATTCTCGAAAGCAGACTAACTTTAGTCCATGGTTAAATCCACGGACTAAGTATGGAATGCCAAGTGTCCATATGAATATATTTTTTAATAATTTGATATGTCCCTAAATTACTATGATAACATATTTATATCACCGTTATATTGTTGTTTATTAATTATGTTATTACATTTTATTTCAATTTAGTGACAGATTTAAATTATTCAAAAACATAATCATATGGACACTTGGCATTCCATACCTAGTCAGTGGATTAAACCATGGACTATAATTAGTCCTTTGAGAATAAGACCCAATGATTCTTCCTCCTACCAGGGTCATAGCAGAATTCATATTTAGAACAAATCAACTCATATGAAAAAGATGGTTTGAGCATACGTTTGAATGAAAAGATGACCTTGTTAAACATCTCCATGTGTCGTGTGTCGTGTCTGAACGAGGTTCAATCCTACATTTACTTGAAATTTCGATTCTCACCTGTGTGCACTGTCTGCAAAGGAATAGGAGGTGTCCCTTGGTGAGGGCAATGATATTGACCTGCCGGTTGGCGGTCTGCTTGTAATGGTATCCTACAAGAGAAAACAAATCAAACATAACTTCTTAGCGGAGAACAATCATTTCAATATATGCTTTTGCGTTGCTGTGGAATAAACCCCCTCCTGAACATTCATAATATCTCTTTTATCATTATCTGTAAGATCCTATTTTAATGTCGTTGTTCAGACAAGCTTTGGATTCATATTTTGTCTGATGTTTTCTTACATACTCCATCTCCCTTTCACTGTGGAGCAAGAAACTACTCTACTAGATGGAGACAGAGATGTTTCAAGTGCTAATATCATTATTATTATTTTTTGAATGAGTGACATCCGTGAGAGCTTGATTATAATCTAAACCTTTGGAAAGAACAATCCCACTGAGCTGTACTGTTGATTCCAATGATGTAAATTTAAATTTAATAATTTAGCCATTCTTTCCTTTTTGAGGGGGGGGGGGGGGGTAAAATAGGTGAGGACTATAAGCAGGTGGCCTTTATGGACAGGTTTGACATCTAAAAAGACAAGGCACTGCACTAGGTGAATAAGGGACACCTATAAACAGGTGGCCTTTATAGACAGGTTTGACATCTAAAAAGACAAGGCACTGCACTAGGTGAATAAGGGACAACTATAAACAGGTGGCCTTTATAGACAGGTTTGACATCTAAAAAGACAAGGCACTGCACTAGGTAAAATAAGTGACAACTATAAACAGGTGGCCTTTATGGAAAGGTTTGACATCTAAAAAGACAAGGCACTGCACTAGGTGAATAAGGGACAACTATAAACAGGTGGCCTTTAAGGACAGGTTTGACATCTAAAAAGAGAAGGCACTGTACTAGGTTTTAATAAATACCTTGCCCGATGACCTGGATCTGGGGGTGACGAGCTGAGAGATACTGTCAGCCGAAGCAGAGCTGGGGATGGGGCTACGTCCAACCCTGCTGAAGTCTGGACTGTCCAGCGGAATCGAGTGGACGTTGGATGATGCTGGACTCCCTCCAGTGAAGTCCTCCGAGTAGGACTGCGGCAAGCCTGGAGATGTGTCTCGCTTGATGGACGGCCGCGTTCTCTGTCTTGTCATAAGGTCTGGAAGGGGAGAGCGGACACAGGTTTTAACTCAGAGTTAACGATAATGTCTACAATACCTGTGACAAGATACTCAGTTATCTACAACATCTTAATGCGGCAAAAAAAGTCATTCAAAGTTATATACAACTGCATAGAACAAGAGGGAGCATTTTTCAATACTGAAATATTACAATGAATATTGTACAGAGGGACAAAAATATATCTCTCATATCAAATTTGTTTGTCAAAGCAAAACAATAATACAGCTTACAGTCGTTGATACCTGCATTCTAAATGACAGGGAAAACATTTAATACAACAATACATGATTTTGTTTACTTAATTTAAATGAATGTTTTGTGTTACATGTAATCATTTGTCCAATATCCTTACAAATGTATAAAGTTTACAAAGTAGACAGGACTTATCATATTACGTACATACTTATCAGTGTTTTGTTACTTGTATAATTCATTAGTTCTATTGTAATACTGTATGGTTTATATATGTCATTTTAATTTGTTGATATTTGAAAGGAAAAATACATAAAAATAAAATAAAATAAAAACCTACCTCTCTGTGCTTCCTGATACCGTTTCATGTAGATATCAATCACACTTAGTCCATCTCTTTCTGGTCCCTGGGGGGAGGGGCCAAAGTTTATATTGGTCTGTCTGCTGTCATGGAGATGCTGAGGTCGGGCACGGGTCGGCAAGCTTTTGAACTGCAGGATAAATCATTTCAAAAGAGATATGATTTGATTTGATTTTGATTTGATTTGACTTACCAAGTATAAAAACATAGATAACAACATACATGATAACATGAGAAAATAACATTGGATGGGTCGCCCTGCTCAGCTGTGCCAGTGCAGCACAGTTGTTCTACCGAGTTTTAGATTAAAACTAACAAGTATTATATTATCTACCGATGATAGATGATACCTATGAACAATTCTGCCTTTCCTCAAAATTGTCTCATAAGTTAACTTTTTGATTGATAATCTAATCAAATATCGATGTAGAACAGAACTCAGATAGCCATGGTTTCCCATATGTTATATAATGGAAATGATATTTTGTTCCATTTTTATATATTTCTTCTTCAGTGTGGTATTCTTAAAGCTAATTATTTACTGTAATTCTTTTGCATTTCCCTCCATTTTATAATTAACAATTCTGTCATCCTAGTGATTGAACATACATTTTGCATTGTCTCCCATTTTCAAACATACACTTTGCACATCTAATCCTAACCGACTTTTGAGCCCTGTTTCATAAAACTTGTTATCAATAACAAGTTACAATAAATGATATAAGCTACTGAAATCCTCGCATTTGATTGGCTGAGAGCAAATTTTTTACAGAATTTTAGGATTTGTTATTGATTACAAGTTTTATGTAACAGGGTCCTGTACTGCGGCACGGGTGCACGCATGCACACACAAACACACACACACACACACACAAACACAAACGCGGTCAATCCACCCACTTGAATCCACCACAGGCTTGCAAACAAGGATTGTGCGTGTCACCACAGCCAAAACAATCACTGGCTCGAGGCCAATCCCTCTTATGTTCGTGTTTACAAACCACCTGTTTTTACCCCCTTCCCTCTAAAATTGAAGTGAGTCATGCAACTGCAAGAGGGCACATCGTGATTTCATTTGACATATGCCACATTGTAAAGGGAGGGTTCGGGGGTGTTAGGTAGCCACTGAAATTGACCTTGGAAAAGTATTGTTTCTTTCCCATACACAAAACTCTGCACATGCACGAGGCTTCTTCTTTTCTTTTCTTTTCTTTTTTACCTATCCTCCGTACAGATGTGCTCCATTAAAGAGAGGCAGGGTATATGTCCTGATTCGATTTGACTGTGTTTCATTGTTAATACCACTTCTACTACATGTATATTACTACTTCTTTACTACTACTCTACTAATACTGCTGCCGCTACTACTACACAACTACTGCTACTACTAATGCTGCTGCTACTACTACTACTACAACTACTATTACTCCTGCTGCTACTACTACTACATGTATCACTATTTACTACTACTACTACTGCTACTACTACTTCTACTACTTCTACTACTACTACTTCTCCTACTTCCACTCCTACTCCTACTACTACTAATCCTACTACTACTACTTCTTTACTACTACTCTACTAATACTGCTGCCGCTACTACTACACAACTACAACTACTGCTACTACTAATGCTGCTGCTACTACTACTACTACAACTACTATTACTATTACTCCTGCTGCTACTACTACTACATGTATCACTATTTACTACTACTACTACTGCTACTAATACTACTACTTCTACTACTTCTACTACTACTACTTCTCCTACTTCCACTCCTACTCCTACTACTACTAATCCTACTACTACTACTACTACTACTACTACTACTACTACTACTACTACTACTCTAATACTGCTGCTACTACTGATACTACTACTACTACCGCTACTACTACTACTACTACATGTACATGGCTTACCTTTGGGGTATATTCCTGGTCCACTTCTGCTTCACTAGATTCAGCAGTCAAGGGACCTTCACTCAGTGACTCTCCATCGGATTGAAGCACATTGTTGGGAAGGGACAGCCCCGTTGACAAGCGTATCTAAGCGGTGGGAAAGAGAAATGTAAAGAAACTTAGATGTTTTGTACTATAGTCAGGGATGCCAGTTAAAATTGATCAGAGAGCCTGAAAATCACCTAGAATGAGTAATTTTGTACACAAAACAAGCCTGAACTATGGCCTGAAAACTGGCATCCCTGTAGAGTGACAGTCTCTCTCTCTGTCAATATCTCTTCGTGGAGAATATTGTACTCATAAGCTGACATCTAGTTGCAGCATAAAATTTAATTGATAACGTGCAATAATTCAATTGTAACTACCACATAGTCATTCATCTATTTATGTACCACACACTTTGTTTATAATAATAATAACACATGCGATTTATATAGCGCCATTATCAATTCTAATTAAATGCTCAAGGCGCTTCAAAATATTAGGGAACACATTACATCAAGACAAAGGAATCCTGTACATTTACATAAGAAAATAGACAATACAAAAATGAAAGCATGAATGAATGTCTGTCTTCAAAACTCAAAATTAATTAAAGTTTATAGCTAACTTCACAGTATAAGTGTATTATTTTTACTACTGTTTGATTGTTATGTATCACTTTGTGTTATTACTTGCATTTGCAATCCAACCTTTCGGTTGCAACGAATTAATGAATATATAAAAATACCTGTGGAATGGGGACCCCATCTCTCGTGCCACGGATGCGGTCCTTCAGCGTGCTCCCAGAGGGCAGTTCCCAGTCGAGTTTCTGCCTGACCTGATGGCCCCTGTACGCTGCCTGGATGGTGGTGGCAGCACTGCTCTTGGACGTCTTGTCTCGAGACTCCAGGGCCTGCTCAAACAGGTCCCTTACACCTGAAAGTCCAGAAAACAAAAATAACAATGGTAACAATTCTGTTCCCCTCATCTCCTGCATGAAAGGTTTACCAATTGAAAACCGATCAAAATTAATTTTTTTTAAATTTTTTTTTAGGGTTTTAGGGAAAACACAATATTTTGGGTCTGCTGCCATGAACATACAAACTTATGTGGGATATCTATAATCAGTGTTCACTAAAATGTAGACACGTGTATTACAAAGAAAACAAAACATTTTGGTTTTCCCTGCGCTCAATGTTGAAAACTTCTGCAGGATTATCCCTGCAAACATTCTGCATACTTCCTCATTTCTCAATGGCTATATATTTCAAATTTTGTATGCAAGATTCATATTGTTAATGCAACAAGACTTTGGAGGGACTGGTAAAAAGACAATTTTTGTTACTGTTGTTGTTGATTTCATGTGTGCTTTATCATCATTGTTTGTTTTTAAAGAATCGGGAAGAGACAATTCTATTTCTCATATAACCTGCACGTACCTGGTAGCTCCCCTGTAAAGACATTGAAATCCTGGTTGGCCCCTGCCACTTTTTGATGCCTGGTGAGTGTGTCCAACGGAGAGGTCGGGTCTGGCATGCTGAACCTTACACCTGCTGTCTTGGTGGCCGATTGTGATAAGCTACTGCCGGCGGGTACAGGAGGTACCCTTGGCCTGGCTGATGGGGGTGATAAGCTACTGTGGGGCAGGGCGGCCACACCCGGTATAGGGTATGCCCATCTCTCACCCGACGATGGTGATCTCAACGCTGTTTGGGAGAAATGAGAAATTAGAGAAAATTCACATAAGATCAGAATGTACATAATAAACTTATGCTATGCAATTTCTATCTAAACGTTATAACTAATGCTGTCTAATTCTTACATATATATCATACTCACTGATTTTGGTACAAACCCGATTTTTTTGCTCGCCAGATCTGAATTTTTTGAACAACCAATCACAACACAAATGTACCATAGGCATATACCAGTTCAATAGTAATACATAGTATGATGCAACAAGTGATAAGTATTTTTTATTTCTTGTTTAAATTTGTTCTTGAAAAATGGCAAATTTTCAAAAAATTAAAACACAAAACAGCTGAATACAATGACAAATAAGCAATTGAAAGGCAAAATTGTTCCCATTCTTGATTTTTTTTTCTTTTTTTTTTTCCCTCGCAATCCGCGGGTAGAACACTTTGGACATCATTTGAATTATAATATCTACAATCATCTTCTTGAAGTTACATCCTGAGAACATCAACACTTGATATAAGCAAGGCCAACAAAATAAAAAAACAAATAATTCAAAGTATTGTGGATTGTATGCGAATATTGTGAAAGCTAACCTTGGTGAGAATGGCCTGGTGCCAGGGCATTGGCAGCTAGGTTGGAGAGGTCCCCGGTGAGTTGTCTGACCTCATTCTCCAGCCTGCCTTGAAGTGCCGCAGCAGTCGCCTTGAGAGCTGCTATCCTCTCTGCTTTGCTGCGAGGCTTCCCAGGGCTCTGGGCTGGCCTGGGCCTAGCAGTAGGAGATGATCCTGCCGGGGCTGCTGCAAAACAATAACAAAGTCAAGAATACATTATAATTTTTTTTATTTAATTCATGCTTATTTTCCTCAAGTGATTGAAAAATACATTCAGAGGCAGATATCATAACCACAGAGAAAAAGGTATGGTACAAAAGACTTAACGCCAAATTTAGTCACTGAATTACTCCCTGTACATCAATAAGTAGATTAAACCAATATGGCAAATGTTGTAGGAAACATAGAAACAAAGAGATTGAACAGAAATCTCTGCCCTCAATACACTACATAGCATTAAACCTCAGTGTATTTTTCAGCATGTACATGTATGGTTACTTTTTAAGTTTACACAGTTTGCGTGTAGACTAAGTACAACAGACCATCAGATCCATTGGATCTTCTAACTCTAATTTAGAACTCTAACTCATACCAAGAGAGGCTAAGTCTACAGAGTTTGGACAATTTGGTTTCAGTTAGTGACAACATGGCGTGTATTCTTTTTTTTTAGTGCTTGCCAAAAAAGCTGAATTTACGATATTGAACCAAACTCCAAACTCTCTGATTCAATGGCTCTGGTCTACATACCAGGTTGCTGGTCTCTGTTAGCATTCTGATTGAGTTGATTTTTAATGACAGGCGGTGACTCCTCCTCCTTCACTGGTTCCAGGACGATGTCCCGTCCAATGTCATGCTGCTGCTGGTGTTCCTGGAAGCCAGGTGCGCCGGCCTGCTGGTCTTGAGGGGTGGAGGACGACAGGTCAGTCTGGGGGCTGGAGCGAAGTGAGCTGTCGCTGCTGGACGTACTCCAGAAGGCACGGTTCTCCTTGTCGGAACCTGTCGTGTCAATCTAAAAAGACAGGAGATGACATAAATGGAGATAATTGAACAGCAGCTGCATCCACAGTGTGATTATCTATTGTAAAGCAGACATGTCACATACGTGAGAGCTTCATGGCACACAAACACACACACAAAAGAATTCCATCACTATTTGTTTGCACTTTGTGAAAGTTTCATGCCCAAAAAATTGCTGTATTTCCACTGTTCTAAATCTACAGTCATATCCACTACCTGATATAATACAGCAACAGTACCTTCGTCACTTAAATTCGACATAATCCAAAACCAATTATCAACACATCTTTTAACCATAAGTCCTATTTTGTGATAGCATGCACTTCCCTGTGAAACTATGATAATGATATCAAGGATGTTACGGTCACATTCCAAACATGATGCTGCTTTTAAAGTTTTAATTTACCTTTCTATGGTTCTCCTGGTAAGGGCTGTTCCTTTGCAGAGTGGCAGGTCTTGATAACCGCTGTTGCTGCTGCTGCTGCAGTGCGCCTTGACCCTTGCTGAATGTCTCATCAAGTAGTCCGACTTCATTATCCACAGGAATCCTTTCACCAACCCCTACACCCTTCTGACCCGTTGTCTTGGCACTGTCCCGCTGTCTCTTGTACAAGTCTTCCAGCTTTTCCTTTTTCTTCTCTGCTTGTAATAACCTCTGTCTTTTATCTTCTTGCATCCTTCTTCTTCTGTCCAAACGCTGCTTAGCCATGTACTTTTGCACCTCTTCTGCTTCATAGTGCCGCATCTTTTGCGCTGGAGCAGTACTCCCTTCTCTGGTTTTGGACCGGTTGATCTTCTTTTTCCTGGACATTCTCGGTACATTGTTATTGTTTTTGCTAGACTTTGACTCTGCTGGGTGAGGGGACGAGTCTCCCCCATCATCTGAATCATCTAAATGCAAGTCATTCAAGACTTCATGGGCTTCGTCGGGTAAGTGCCCTACGATGGGAGCCTGGCCTTCTGGTGACTGGCGACCGTTTTCATTGTCAGATTCAATGGGATGCTCTGACAATCTGTCTACCTCATCCTCTGTGCGGTTCCCAGCAGTATCCGATGGAGCTTCAGAGTTTTGCACATGTTCTGAAGTGGACTCTTTTGTCTGCACTGAATCAGAAGTCTGTTTAGGAACCTTTGGTGGAGGACCTAGCACCTTGATAACTGTTTTCTGTCCTTCCCGCCACGCCCTTGCACCCACACCAGGCGCTGGTTCTGGTTTCTTTGGCTTAGCATTTGGAAGAGGAGTTTTACGGACTTTACGAACTGGCTTCTGAACATTCCTATGCATCTGATTATCTTCTGTCTGTCTATGTAACGGTTGTAAAGGCTTTGATGTTGCACTTTTGCCACTATTTCTTGTCTGATTGGAAACAAGGAGTTGTCCTTCATTTTTCATATTTGGTCTGCTTGTTTTTCTTTTCAGCTGATCTTCTGTAACTATCCTACCGTCTGATATTTGGAAGCGTGCCTCTGCCTGGTTGAAACCTCTATACACAGGTGCAGCCGGCGCAGAGGCAACTTTGCGGACAGGCACTTTTGGAGCTGGATGAAGACCTAACAGGAAATCAGTTTCATTCTCAGAGTTAATGCGAACAGGATCCGCTTCTTGATGTCTCTTTCTCTGGGTTTCTAGAGCAGGGTCCCTTAACGTTGATGCTGACAGCTGCTGCTGTTGCACACGTTCTCTTAACCTGTCCATGTGGTTCAGTGTTGACTCATCCCTGCTCCTTTGGCTGGAAGATATCATCCGAAGCAACAACCTGTTTTCTGGGGTGTTAGCCACAGAGGGCGCTGTTTTGTCCTGACTCAATTTCATAACGGGGTTACCCCCAAAAAGCCTGTCGTAGGCAGGGATGTAGTCTTTGCTCACTCTCAAACCCGGTGACACTTCAACTGTAGAGGCCTGGCGGACAAGACTAGGTCCCCGGATATCGTTCAAGACTCTGATCTCTGAGCTGCTGCCGATGGACAGGTTTGCAGAACCATTTCCAAGGATGTCTCTGCTAGACGACTCCCTTGGTAGGTCTGTTGCTGAACTGCCTCTTTGAGGATTCATAGCTTTGCTGACTGTAGTGTCTCTGAGAGTTGTGATTGCACTGTCAGTTATGTTGCTGGTATGTTGGAAACTTGATCTCTGGGAGTGTATTGTGCTTGGTGTTAAATCTGGAGTAACGGGGTCCAAATCTGTCTGCTGTAGGTCCTCTGTAGAAAGTAAAACCAAATTTAGCATTACTGAATACAATCTCATCCATTCTGTACTATTTTGAACAACCATTAATTGGAAACATGAACCAGTTCTAGCATCAAATTGAAAGAGATAACTAGGTTATTGATATTGCATATTCAATATGAAATATTCATAATTTACTTGATTTTGCACATTTGCAGTTATCTATTCAAAGAAAGGAAAAAAGAAATTTAAGCTAATTACCAATAGCAAAGTTTGACTTACCTTGAATGGTGACCTTCTTTCTAGGCTTTTTATATGGATGATTTCTTGTCTTTTGGACCTGCAAAGGGGATTTTGGAAGAGGAGAAAATTAACTAGCACATCTCTTAGCTATACAGCAAAGACAAAAAATGCTTGAGGTCAGAGTCATCTATACAGAGTTTGGCCGACTTGGTTTTAGTTGGTCACAACATGGCATGTATTCTCTTTTGTGCTTGCCCAACAAAGCAGCAATCACCATATTTTGCCCAACTCGATCTGGGTTGGCCCAACTCTCCTTATTAATGGCACTGCTGAGGTTAGTCAGCGGCCCACTGTACTGATTCCAGCAGTTTGTCAGACCCTGCAATTGATTCTCATAATATTGCTACCATAAACATGAAGAAGGTGTATTTTGATTAATGAATGTAGTTATTTTCAAAAAGCGCAATTGCAAGATTATCAGCTGTCAAATTATTTACAGTCAACCTCGCATAAGTCGATCTTGAAGAAGCTGAGTGATATGCTTCAACTTGGGCAATCTGCCCCATAAAATATAAATGCAATTACAGTCAAACCTGCTTTAGTGACCTATAAAGACCACCTATCTACAAAGGCCACTTTTTGTGTTTTCCTTGGGCAGTCGCTATAGACAGGTTCGACTGTATCAGGTATTTGCGGGGGGGGGGGGGGGGGGGGGGGACAAAACAAATTCTTGGTAAAAGATCAACTAACCTTTGAGCCAGGACTTGATCTGATTTCCATGGACGGAACAGAATCTACAGGTAGACGAGCACCAGCTGGATGCCTTGGCTCTAGGAGGCTTCCAGGGGTATCTTCATGGTGCTCAAAACGTGCTTCAGCTCGGTATAACTGTTTCAAGTTAAAGAGAGCATTTACTTAACAGATATGCTGATTCTATACTTTGTACTAAGAATGCATTGACATTAAATTTGTATGAAGGATGTATTGAAGGATGATTCTTTCCTTCGGGCAAAGGGACATGACCTTTCTATCAGCTGATCTCAATATCTAACTCACTTACATTAAAAGACCACACTAGCCACAACAACAAAGAAACAATAAAGAAAGACAGTCCTTCCAAGTTTCTTGCTGTGAAAATCATGCTTGTTAAGAATGTACACAACAGTTTTATGTTGCAAAAGAGTTTTGTTTTACAGTTTATGCATACAAGAATATAATATGTCTGAGAGTCAAATTGAAAACAAAATGAGACAAGAGGGAATTATACGTACAGCTGACTTTGCTTCTGTGATATTGTCCCATGCTGTAGCCAATTCTGAAGGAAAGAAAATAAAAAGGACAATTCACTTTAACTAACCAAATAATAGCCTGTGGATTCTTATCAGGAAGTAAGACAGAATGTCATACTTGATAACGGTTTTATGGATTTGAAAACTGAATATGGCACGTGAGATGCAACTAAAAACACTTTAAAACATGGGCTCGACTCTACAAATCAAAGAAAACCCATAGCACATTGCCCCTTCAGAAAAGCGTGCAACAGAAATGAATATTCAGTGGCAATATACTGTGTAACTTTCCTTTTATATATATATATATATATATATATATATAGTCATCTGAAGTGAAAAAACCCATGACTTAATGACCCATATCAATCAAACCTGCCAGAGGTTTCAAAACCAATATTTCAAAACAGCACAATAAATCAACTCTTATTGGAGGTTAAAGGTAATACAAAGTTTTGGGAAATTTTGAAAATTGGGTGGATAGTGAATCTTTACAATTTTGATATATTTGGATGCCCCTGTGGATGTATTATAAGCACTCAAAAAAATTAGCCCCTAAAACACTTCTGTTTTCGAGAAAAATTGAATATAAAAATTTACCGGTGCTCCCGGTAAATTTTGATAAATTTCCAATAGCGCCTATGGCCATACAATGGTAGCTGCGACCATGAAAATCTCAGAATATGTAGTTGGGATACATAATTTCCAAACGGGAATAGCTAATCGGTCGATTTTAGTCAAGAAACATTGTTTCATAGCTAAATTAATATCTTGACCTTGAGAGGGAGCTATACAACATAAAGAGTTTATTATTTATAATTTCATAACTTTAGACTCGATTTCAACCGCGACAACGATCAATGTATATTGTAGGAACGCATATGCTTCCAATATGTTAATTTGAACCAAATTCATGACCCCATACCAAAACTTTGTAATACCTTTAAGACCCTATTAGCGGCAGTTCAACAGTTTCGAACGTAAAGCAATTTTCCTGGAAAAGAGGGAGATCTGTCTAATTAGAAGACTGGGACAATTTAATGGAGACATCAAACAAGTTCATATATCATATATCATATATGCTAAGTGTTTAGCAAATGTCTGACAATGGTTAACAATGTATCTAGTCTACCTGGTATTAAACTAGATAGTATTGAAAGCTGTAAGAAGATTAGAGGCCAACAGTTACAAATTGGACCAAAAAATTACATTTTATTTTTAATAGAATGGTCGTTAACAGGAATTTTTAATATATTCTTATTTTGTATTTGTTTTGCACATCAGTTTCTGTATATTTACATTACAATGTCACACCATAATTGTTCTTGAGTAGACAGCAAAGGTGGCACTTGCATTTCAATCAAATAAATATATGTACTGGACTACTGGGAATATGCCTGTTCTTGTCACAGAAATATATAATACTTGACAATGATTGTATATTATAGTTTCAAGAAAGAGGAACAAAACAGATGGCATCCAGGGCATTGTTTCATGAAACTGTCCAAGGTACAAGTTCAGGGTGATGAAAAATTAATCTTCTGTTATGAATTTAGGGTTAGGGTGAAGGAAAACTTTTTATTCCTTAAAAGCTAACATAGGGGATAACACACTTTGCTGACAATTGATAAACTTTACCTGCAAGTGGCTTTTCATCATCATCAAGTTGATAGGGATGTCTCTGAACTACAGTTGGCTCAGTTACGCGCCTTGCTCTTATTGTTGTACTGGCCATTATAAAGCACCAAACTACACTGTCTCACCTATTTTGTTGTCTGAAAAGAAAAATGGAATAAGGAGTTATTTGCCTAGAATCCAAGTGTCATGAATCAGAGAAAAAAGAGCCCTTCTCAACCTTGTGCATATTCAGCAATTTCGAGCAAACGGCTCTCAATATCATGAATATACATATTAGCTGCGCCGCTACCACCCATGCACTTTCTCTTCGCCATGTTCAAATGACGATACAACATGGATGAATCGTCGGGACCAAAAATGGGTGTTTTTCTAACTAAACATTAAAGTATTGTTATTTCGCTATTTGTCGACAAAGGGTAATGATCTTGGTATTATTCTAGATGTATTTTTCATGCTCTTTCGAATGGTACTATTTTAAAGGAGATTCAATGAATTCTATTTTTTTGTTCACTCACCTAGAGTAAAGGAGCCCGTTTTCGGCCACTTAAGACAAAATCCTATTTTTAGGACTCTTTACTTCCTATTTATTATCATTTCTTGTTCAAATCATGAAGCAAATATTATTATTATTTAAACAAAAAAAGAATCCCAGAAAAAAATCACGAATTGCCATGACAATATTCATTTCAATTTTCACTGTTTTGGAGCCCGTTATCGGCCGAGCGTTTCAGTTTACGGCCGCATGTACAAAGTCAATAGGAAGCGCTCGCGCGCGCCGTGCGTTTCCGCGCTGATGTACAGCACAAGCGGGCGGAGCAGGTATCCCACGCCGGAGCTCCCTGGTGCTCGCCTGGCCGAAGACAGGCACAGCGGTGATCGGAAGTTGGAATCTGAATTAGACAGAGATTTCGTGTGTGCGTCGCGGTGTGCGGCTGCATTGATTTAATACATGCGATGACATACTTTTGAGCTTGCGACCAGCACAAAATCGGGCTTTAAATCTGAAAAATACTTGAAATAAAGCTCATTTTATGGTACCCATATTTCTTACAGACACGCGTAAGATACTCGATTTTTCAGATTTGGGTAGCGGAAACCGGCGATTACATCGCTAAAATGTGATATTTTAGGATATATTTTCCATTGCAAATGTGGTTCTTCAGTGACACTGGCATAGTATGGTATGTGTGGGATATGTGTTATGCTATTATGCGATGTATTTTAGAGTGATTTTACCTTGCATCCAACCAATCGGCCGAAAACTGGAGCTGGCCGATTACGGGCTCCTTTACTCTACAAAAAGTCAAAACATTTGATTTTGTCTTGACTTGAGCAGTTGAGGGGCAAAAAACTCTCTCCCATACTCTACATGTAGGTGCCCAACATCCTAAAACTGTAGCTGTAAGGGCCAAGGCCCAATAACTTTATACAGCCAGGCTATGCTGCACGCAAGCAATGGAACTACGGCAAGTATAGCTAGCTGACCGACTGTGAGGCTACATCATGTAGTCGCTGCCTATGTACAGAGCCAGAGGCCAACGGAGAGTGAGTCAGTGAGCTACCCACGCACTTTCAAAACAACACAATATGAGTTCGTTTAATTACATAAGTTCTACGTTAAACATAAAAATTATATGCTAGTTTATTTGTAGTTGTAGTCTAGAACATCCCATGTAACAGAAATTCAACATTGAATTAGAGAAAAGGTGTAACATGACAACTTATTTTTACATTCGAACGTACGTATTTAAAATATACGGAAATACTCACCCAAACGCCATCTTGGTATTACTGGGGCTAATAATGCATTGTGGGATACATCCTCTACGCTGATTCCGCATAAGCACAATACAAAGTCAAGAGATTTTGTACCTCAGCGAACAAGGAAGGCGGAGCTGTCTGTGTGTTTGTACTTGCGATGATATCATCTCCACATAGGTGGGGAAATCCTTGACCCAATTTGTCAACGGCAAAATATGCAGGTACGGGGTTATTTGGGTGAAGCCTCCACTAGCTACTAGCCTAGCCGCTCCGACGCGACCAAAACAATGCAAACGTGCGTACTGATCGAGTCGACGCAGATAATATGCAGACGTTTGTCGCACAGACACAACAACAGTGTTGATCTCTTTCACATTCATTATTCTGTAATTTAAGTAATTTGCAGGTCCCTTTTTAGGTTGAGCGTCATAACGTACGTCTTTGTCTTGCCCTTGGCCATATTTTGGTGAGTGTGGAATTGGAATAATAATAGAATGGAGTTGTGTATGGTTGAAACTCTGTCTTTACTCTTGAACTTTGGAGTTGGGTCAAGTTGGGGGGGGGGGCATAGTTATAGAGACAGAGCCTTGGCATTGTTTTCTAATTAACACATATAACAAGGGATAACATGAATAAGACTAAAACATGCAAGCAATGAAAGATTGATAGCAGAAAAAAGAGGCTTGCTGAAATTTGGTTTTTAATAGGGGTCTAGATCTAGACTCTAATCAAAACATGATCAGGATGAATACCTGCATGGCCCTTGTAAACGGCCATTGCAGCAATCGAGCGATGGATGAACTTGATTTAATTTAATTTAATTTTAGTTAAGGAACTTTACATAACTATCTTGCTCTAAGGAGACACGAACGAACGATCTAACATCTACAAATGGTCTTGTCCAATTTAGCTGACACTTTGTGACAATTACCCCGCAGCTATGCAAAAGATCGCGTCATCCGCTTTCATTTCACAAAAGGTTGTGTAATAATATGCGACCACTTGCGACTGGACGCAATGATTCAAAGTAAGCCAATTACATCTGGTTTCACCAAATCCCTCTAGAACGAAGAGAGCAACAAAAGACAAAATATGTTTAAAAACTCCTCTAAACAGACGTTGTTTCTGTCTACTCCTCCCAATTTGCTCTAACACTTAGAATGATTATGAAAATACAAATAAAACAAATCAAAATGTTTTTGTTTTTACTTTGTTTCTTTCATGGACCTGAGTCTTTGTACTTTTTATTTTAACTCTGCTTTTTACAGATGCTGATCTTTCAAGTTTCAACCAGTGGTACATCGATCTTGGATGCATTAGAATCATCTTTAGCTGCCGGCTGTTAAACGAATCATTTATGCTTGTGGAGACTTTGTAGAAATTTCGGGAAACATGGGAAGCGGAGCAAGAACAATGTTTGCAAACAAAAGCCACTTTGGTAGATCAAACTGGATGCCAACATGGATTCCTTTCCTATCTTGGAAGTTTAGTGCAAGGTATATTTTGATGTTGCTTCTGATAATGGGTGGTATGCCACAGCAGCAGCCGTACCGAGGCAGGACATCTGGGCAGGTGTTGGAGATGATGGGCGCTGCCGCGGCCATCACGTGGTCCTGGAAACCTTGGTGTGTCTGGGAGTGCTGCGATGAGCCATGGATCAATGTCAATAATATATCCTCAGGTAAAGATATCGGGGTGGATAGTAATAATAATAAATCTACATTTATAAAGCGCTTTATCAGGGCTGTCAACTTTAGGGAACCTGCTTGTTATGGAGGGAGATTTTTTTTTAATAATTATTTTTTTAACTCAACAAGGATGAGGAAAAAGTGGTATGTAACTTTGCCAAAGTTGACCCCCTGTTACAATACAACAAACGATAGCAACATATAAGTTGCTATGTCGGACTAAACAGTCGGCTAAACTAATATTCTACAACAGAAAATGGTATGTATAATTTCCTCCAGCTCAGAACATGCTTATAAATGGCATGCTTTACATGTACATGTACAATACATCATCATTGCCTTTGTCTTCCTGGTGATGCTACAGCATGTCTGACATAGCAACTTTTATATTGTTATTGCATTATGTCTTGTAACAGATTGGCAAAGTTACATACATGTACCACTTTCTCAAGTTAGCTCATTGATGACTGACAGATGATGTCACAAGGGGAATGAGATCTACAGGATTTTTAGGGTGGAGCTTAGCAAGTTTGAAGAAAGAAATATTTAAAAATCTATGAAACACATTCAGAAATGTACATAATATGAGATGTATGTAGGACTACACACCAACAGGAATAAACTTGCATTTGGATAGCAGGGGCCCTTTAGTTTAATGCAATTTTGCGTATTTACATACTTTTGTGAGCTGTATCAATATCCTACTCTGAATTCCTTTTTGTTTCATTTTGTCTCACAGGTCTTGATAACGTTCTAAATGAAAATCTTTTCGGACAGCATATAGTTAAAGAAACTGTTTCAGCCGCTCTTCAGGGCCACTTGTTAAATCCCAATCCTCCTAAACCCCTAGTTCTGTCCTTTCATGGCCGGACCGGGACAGGCAAAAACTTTGTGAGCCGTATGATAGCGGAGAGCATCTATAAGGAAGGATTGTCAAGTAAATATGTCCATCTCAAGATTGCAGATAGAGATTTCAGACATACGACAAAGTTTGCAGAATACAAGGTGAAAATTTAGTTAATCTTTAGTTTGCTTTCTTCATCTCTCTCCATGAATGTTATTCATGTAAAAATATTTTTATATTCAAGAGGTATTATTTTTACAAGTGATCCACATCATTGATGGAATATCATTATGAAAAGTAATACAAATCCCGAGTTAGAGATGTGATATACCAGTAAGTGATTGCCTTCTTCGTCTCTCCATCTCCATACAATTCAGCCCTCTGGCTGGGATTCATATTTTGAATAAATATTCCTTTATTATGGTCGCTCGTTTGCTACACATGCAATTTTACACAAAACAATAGACATCAAATTATTATTATTATTATTATTTTAGATTTTTTAAACTGAAACATACATGTACCTTTAGTGAATGACCAAATTACTTTTTCATTCATTTTACTATTGCTTTATTTAGAAGAATATCATTGTAGTCATGTTATAAACAAGATTGTTCTTGATACATGTACATGCTATCAAATATTTCATATGACTTGAAATAGCAAATACAACTTTGGATTCAATTCTGATGTAATGTTCTCATTTGTGCGTGCTTTACTGTTTGCAATGTACAGAGAGCTTTCCTCTAGTGTAATGACTTTTGTGGTTCCAAAACATTACGCTAGACATTACACAATCATTTCAAGGGTTCAGTGACAAAAAGACGTAACTCCATATTTGCCAAAATGAGTATTTGAAAAATGTGGGCTTTCCAGGAAACACACAATCTTAACTCCACCCAACACCCCATTGAAGTCGATGGCTAGTGAAACTTAAACTAATCCACTTTTTCTCAAAATGGAGTTACGTCATTGTGTCACTGACTCCGCGATTTATAGTTACCGGTATTACATAATCAAGTAGATCAGAGTTACTTTAAGACAGATCATTCTACAATATTCCTCAACATTGCATTTTCCCAGGAATCACTCCACAACGAGGTGTTTAACAGTGCCAAGAACTGCCCTCGTCAGCTCTTCATATTTGATGAGGTAGAGAACATGCCCCTGGTCTGCTCGACACCATTCGTCCTTTCTTAGAGTACAGGTCACATTTAGAGGGTGTCCAGTTCAACAAAGCTATCTTCATATTTTTAAGGTAAGGCCTTTACCGCTTGATAATAATAATAATAATAATAGGCACTTATTAATTATATGGCCCTGTCTATTTTGAGGCACACTATTTAATTATTACCCCAGCTTAATTTAGCCTAGCTGCCATAACAGTGCTCTAGCATTTCAAGGAATTAATTCCTGCCAGGAACCCATTTACCTCACCTGGGTCAAGTGTGGCAAATGTAGATGAATGCCTTGCCAAAGGAAATTAGTGCCGTGTCGGGAATTCAATCAACCACGTCCTTTGAATTTGGATGGATGGTTACATCTTTTTTTCTACTTTCCCAGACGGAGCATTGAAACAGAAAAGAGCAATTTGTCTTTAATAGTCTTTCTAAATGTATGTTGTGCGTTACATCAAAATTGGTTTTCGTTTAATCTTTTGATGCAGCAATACAGCCGCAAGAGAAATATCTGAATATGCCTTGTCTCACATGCAAGCTGGTGGAACGAGAGAAGAGATTACCCTGCAGAGCCTGGAGCCTCTCATTGAACAAAGCTCATTCAGTTCAGCAGGTAATGTAACGTTGATTTAAAAAAAATCCCTTTGTTGCACAATTGCTGAAAAATTATTTTGAATTGTTGAAGGTACCATTCAACTTTTGAAAACTTATTTTTCAAAACTCATGTTTTTAAACTATCCATGAGGTGAAAAGAAGCTAGATTGAATATGGTTGGTGGCATTGATATACAATCTAGTTCATATCGAATCTACATTTGAGGCATTTCATGTGTTGTTGCCCCTCCCAACCCAGGTCACGTGAATCAAGTAGCGCATATGTTGATCTATAGCTATTTCCAATATATATGACCTATCTGAATATGTATAATCCATATTGAATAAAGCACTTGGTAAGGATGACCCAACATATGCACCTACATGTACAACAACTCTTCTGGGCTTTATTTCGTCAAACCTATTGGGTTAGGTCAAGATTGGGCAGGGCTCGACACCAACAGGCATGGGCCCCAAAAATCTGAGTCCAGACTCCCCAAAATTCAAAAGATTTACATAGGGCTCAGGCATACAGAATCAACAAATCCCAATCCGGACCCCTTCCTGAAAAGTTAGTGTAGAGCGCTGGATTATAGGTTTAGGGAACCAACTACCTTTAAATGTCAAAAACTGTCAGACTGTTAACCAATTCAAAACTTATTCAAAATTGCTTTTGATGATTAACTTACTCTGTTCACATTGATATATATATTGGTGTATATTGATGTATATTTCATATGTATTGTAATTTGTAGGTTTATTTGGATTTTCTTTTTGTTTTGTTTAATATGTAATTGTTTATCATTGTATTTTGTTTGTTATAGTGTTTAATAGAGACCTCGGTGGTAAGCACTTTATAAGCATCGTTGTTATTTATTCTTTATTATTGTTAGGGTAAGGGCTACGTATTCTGTTTGGTCCATGGTTGCTGTAAAGAATTAGGTCGGTGTAGAAAATTGATGCAGAACAATCGTAGGAGGACCAAGTGTCGGACGGTTACAAAATACTTTTATTTTCTGAATTTGTCTTTAGGAGGTGGATTTCAGAGTGCCCGTCTGATAGACAAGTATCTCATCAGTCATTTCATCCCTTTTCTTCCGTTGGAAACGAGCCACGTCAGAAACTGTATCATTTCCGAGCTGCTTAGCCACCACGCCCGTTCTGACGCATCTACATCTACCAGAGACATTGCGGATGAAGTCATCAGAGAACTTCAGTTCTGGCCCAAGGGATCGGGACTTTTTGCCACCAAAGGCTGTAAAAGTGTGGCAGAGAAACTTAATCTTGCTCTGTTTAGAGCCCACAGGAGGAAAGAAGCAGTGAAGCAAGATCTTTCAAAGAACGAACTCTGATATTGAGATATACTGTAATTTAAAGAGGCTGTAGCATGACGAGACTATGTCTTTCCTGTGGCCTGACTCGTGGGCCGATCAGATATAATACGACTACGGACGACGCGACCGCAGTAGGCCTACGTATTCACATGCGTGCAACATATGCAAAACCGAAGCGTGAGTTGTCCAAATGAAGTCGTAGATGGCGTTAACCAGTATATGCCATGCTACAGCCCCTTTAAGAACTTGTTATAGTCAGATGCTGCTTGTAAGTATCGGCTTGCATGGTGATGTAGATATACAGTAGGCTTGCGGGTGCACCATGTGAGGGAGAGAGAGAGAGGATTGAGGGGTCCTGAAAAGGATTCTCGGTAATTTTTCTTGAGGGTGTGTAGTCCTGAAAAGGACTGTTGGTATAGTCTTGAAAAAGACTGTTGGTTATCTTTCTTAGCTTATAGTTCTAAGGAGAACTATAGCGCTTGGAGAGGACAATTGGCGGGAGTGGCTCGACGTTTCGAACAGGTTGACTATCCCTCGTCAGGAGTGTAATAGTCATTATGATTACAAAGTGGCAATGCTTAGACTTTAATTTGACAAATTTAAAGAGTATAGAAAGAGAATGGATTAAAATGTAGAATACACAGAGTCCTAATATAGACATAGAAGATGATGCATGGGCAGCATTTAATGAAGTTATGAGGAGAAAGATTCTAAATCAATGTATAGAAGCTTCCAAAGTCATTTCTATTTTATAATTGTTACATGTGTAAGTGTGTCAATATTTTGTGTTGTTTATGTTCTGTTGTGGTTCAGTTGTGCCTAAGTTTTCTTGAAACTTCATTTATGATTTGGATCTGAATGTGCATGTTGCATTCATCTTGTGCAGTATTATGAATGTACATGTACAGAGTATGTGTATGAGTTGAAGAATTTCTTTTTCTGTCAGTTTTGTTGCCGTTTGTGGTTGAGAAAGGAAATAATAATACATGTATACAGATATACGCTGTGCCTGTACATACATATTGGCAACTTTGAGAGATTTCGACTCTTCAAGCGTTAACATGTATGTGAATCTTCTTATAGTGCATATAGCCCATAAAGTATTTTATATACGTTTTGTTGCATTTCTTGTACCATATATATATATATATAAAGAAATCCATGTAGTTTATTACATGCTTGGAGATTTTGTTTAGTATTTATGTGTAGACTGAATTGAAAACATATTTTGCCCTTGTGTGACGGAGCTCAAGTGGAGGTGAAACCAGGGACCCGTTTCACAAAGCCTTTTTTTCAATGAAAAATGACCAAAAAAATCGGTGACAAATCTGCTGATGATCAATCAGAAGCAAGGTTTTCAGTAGCTTGTAACAAAAACTGTCATTTGTCACTGATGACAATTTTTGTGAAATGGGGGCCCAGATTGAATTTACTTTCAGTTTTGATATGCATTTGAAAAGACATTCTACAGGTGACACACATTACTTATGAAACGATGCCCTGAGCGACATTTGCTTGTTCAGTTCTTGCCTGTTGGGCCATTATTTCAGGGTTAGCAATATATTCACTGGCCCTAAACATTGAAACGATTCTAATTATAATCATTTTCTCGTAATGATTTTGATAACAGGGCTTATAGATTAGACATTGTAATTTGATACAAAGTTATCTGAAATTTGACAATGATTAAGGAAGGTCTCCTGAAAACTCTTTGCAATAATCCTGAAACCATGTTAAGGTCGAATTTACCAATTTTCCTTTTAAATGTATTGCCTATGGAGTTTTAAGTATTATTTTCTATGTGATCGAGTTCGGTCATTATGTTAATCGTACAATTTTTCTTGACACTTTGTTATGGGTTAATTGATCAGATTTTGGTTTGGTAAAGAATTGTATCACTTTTGACAGACCATAATTGGTATAACATTTACAATGAAAACTAAAAGCTTTTGAAATAACAGGAAGATTTGATACACATTGCAAGTGTATGAACCTATGATGATCAGTGCCAACAATTCAGAATGGTTGTATAGTATTGTATAGTATTGCAAAAGGGGATGTACAGTATATAACACCAATAAATAAAGATAACAAAAATGTAATTATTCCTTGTACAGGTTATATATTTATTACATAGAATTAATGACAAGTTTTTTGCAGTGTTCTTAACACAGAATGTTCCATTTTAGAACCAGGTTATTATTTTGAGGTCTAAATTGGATCAAAGTATTGCAAAACACTCTACATGACTGTACAAGTAATCCAGGCACTCATTTTATTTCTAATTCACTGAAATACCATTCTAACTCTTTAAGGATAGTGAAAGTAGAAAGTGACATGTAAAATATTACATACCGGTATACAGTTGCATACTGTAGTTGAGAATCATTATAAAAAGAGAGCTTTGAGCTCTGCTCTAAATAATCGACAAAATAAATGCTTATTTCATGATTTCATTTTTTTAATACAAACAAATTATCATTTTCTTGAATGATGAGGTATAGCTACGATTATAATTAAACATAAAACAGGGCCCCGTTTCATAAAAATTCTTGTCTACAATAAATGCTGAATTTCTATGACAAATTTGCTCTCATCCAATCAGATGCAATGACTTCATTAGCTAACAATTGTCTCATCTTATTATTGATAACAAGTTTTATGAAACAAGGCCAAGATCTATTTCATGGATCATGTATGCAGGTGCAAACATTGTGCACTATCATATATTAGTTTTAAAAGATAGACTTTTAGGCTCAGCATCATAGAAGACTATTGAAACAGATTAACTTTTCAAACCACTATGCAAGACTCCAAATCATGAGAGATATCTCTTACATCACCGGTTCTAAACTTTATACACAATATAAGTTTTATAGTGAAAAAGCGATAAAGGGTGAGAGAGAGAGAGAGAGAAAGAGAAGGAACAGGAAACTGAATGAAATGGAGAGAGGGAGAGAGAGGTTTCACCTGAATATTGCAATGTTTGACTTCTTGCAAGGTCAAAGTTCATAAAAGTCTGTGACTTTTTATTCATTCATTGCATTTCCAAATATTCATACAAACTACTCTGCCATCAACTGTCTCTTCTGATTGAGTTTCGCTCTTGGAACGTTGAAATATCCCACTTCTTGCAAAGGATATTACACAAAACTCCATGAGGTCATTTTGGTACTCTCATAATTTCCAAGCATCCATATGAGCTTGCACTCCAAACATATCTTGGTACAATTTTGCCACGTTCCTCTTTTATGGGGCTTGAACCACTTTAAAAAGTGCTCAACACAATTGGTCCCGTCTTGTTTGTATTGTCACATGTCCACAAGACCTGGCCTCTGTCATCAACTTTCTTTTCCCTGTGGTGCAACGTGAATGTTGTAACGCTCCAGTTCTTGGGCAGACAGCGTAGAGGGCGCCCCACTCATGAGGTCATTGCCGTCCACTGTTTTAGGAAACGCGATGACGTCTCTGATAGAGGGTTCACCACAAAGCAGCGATATATACCTATCAAAACCTGGGAAGGAAAAAATTAAAGGCATTATTGAAGCGTTATTGTAGAGGCGTTGTGGTCTAGTGGATACGTCACCCGACTAATGTCCTTTGGCAAGACATTAATCTACATTTGCCATACTCCACCCAGGTGAGGTAAATGGGTACCCAGTAGGAAGAAATTCCTTTTCATGGTAGCTCGGTTTAAAGCCAGGGTAATGATATGATTGCATGCAGGGCCCTCAGGGGGAACAGTATGAATACTGATGAGGCTACCATTGGTAAACAAGACATATTATTATTACTGTATTATTTATCTACAGTGAGTTAACCATACGATCAATTTCAGTCATTAAAAAGACCCTGAAAATTCCTGTCATGGGGCTTGCATTTCTTTCATAACTACACAGGAAAACGGTTCAGTAGAGTAAAAAGAAGAAGAAGTAAAACTTGATATTTTGATTATTTGACCATAGAGGGCAGCACAGGCCCATGGGTTCCCCAGAAAATTATTTGTACAATGGGTCAAGAACTGGAAAGTCTGATAGAAATTATAGTTTTGGAACCAATAAACAATAAGTAACAGATTATGATGGTGCCTGCATAGATCTCAAAATCTCTCCGGAAGGGGAATGAATATGTCATCAGTAATGATAACAAGAACAATTTAATTTTTATAGCGCCTTTTCAAGAGGATACAAGGCGCTGTCCCTTGGTCTTATCAACAAATTAAGAAGAACGAGAGAGGTATTATTTTAAGATGTTTTTTTAAGAAATCAAGAGAAGTAATGTTTCTTAGAAATGCAGGGAGTTTATTCCTTAGGCGTCACCCAATGGATGGAACAAATTTGAAGCCAGATTTTTTTCAGAATTTGGAGAATGAGATTAAAAGATGAAGCTGATGTTCTCTGCTGCCGAAAGAGTGAAGAGATTTAATACCGAGAAAGTGTGGTTGGCACAGATTTAACAGTTTGAATAAGTATCTGGTTTCAAACCTGTCAGTAACTGGAAGCCAGTGTAAAACAATGGGGTAGCACCGGACTATTTTGGTTTTTGACAGATCAGTCGAGCACACTTAATCTGGCAACATTGGAGTCTGGCTAATTGGAATGGTTCCACAGAGGATAGAGAGTTTCCTACCTATTGCTATTCCTCCATGCGGTGGACATCCCGACTCCAAGGCTTCTAGGAGATGTGACAAACTGCTGGAATCCTCCTAAGAAATGATAATGGATCAAATGCAGAGTGGTGGTTACAGCCTTACAAAAATTCCATTTAAAAAATTCTTTTCTGATCTCTTGACTTTTTGAAAATCTTCATATACATTACCATCCTCTTCCACCCCATCATCTCCACTATCATTATCATAATAACTATAACTATATCAAGTCCTAAAGAGCACCTGCAAACAGAAAAGTATTCTTCGTGCTGATTATCACAATCATCATCATCGCCATTATCATCATCATCACCACCATTACCATCATCATCACATCATCATCATCATCATCACATCATCATCATCATCATCATCACCATCATCATCACATCATCATCATCATCATCATCATCATCATCATCATCATCATCATCATCATCATCACCACCATAATCAATTCATCATCATCATCATCACCACCATAATCAATTCATCATCATCATCGCATCATCATCATCACCATCATCATCACATCATCATCATCATCATCATCATCGTCATCGTCATCACCACCACCACCACCACCACCACCACCACCACCACCACCACCACCACCATCATTGATACCGTATCATCGTCACCACCAACACCACCACCACTACCACCACCATTCTCCTTCTCCTCCTCCTCCTCCTCATCATCCCTAACCTTGAGAACGTCTTCTAAGATGTATCTCTGCAGGTCAGCTCTGTGGATGCGGATTGAACCACCGGCAATCTCGATACCATTCAGAACTAGGTCATAATGTTGACCTCTGACCTGTGACATGGAAACAAATGTAATCACAATATCAGTATCCATAGCAAACAATACGGCACTGTACAATCTCTCACATTTTCTTAATCATAGATATATGTAAAATTTGTCAAAACAACTGATTTTAATACTTTGTAAAAGCAATATTGACAAATAAGCAATGTAAGTTTCACCATGGGACAAAAAAGCAATGCCACTTTAACAATGGGACAATTAAGCAATGCCACTTTAACCATGGGACAAATAAGCAATGTCACTATAATACACCCCGGGACAAATAAACCATGTCACTTTAATACACCATGGGACAAATAAGTAATATCACTTTTACAATGAGACAAATAAGTAATGGTACTTTTACAATGGAACAAATAAGCAATGCCACTTTTACCACAGAACAAATAAAGCAATGACACTTTTACTTATAAATAATAAATGAATAATACAGATTCCTTATTAACCTTGAGAGGGGATGAGTAGACAAGTTCTTCTTCTCCTTTCATCGGAGCTGTGAAAGGATGGTGAGCTGATTCAATGTCCCCTTGACTCGTCGACTCCTCGTCCTTGGGTAAGAAAAGTGGAAAGTCCTCCACCCATAAGAAGTTAATGACGATGGATCTCGTACAGAAACACCTGGTAATAAAAGTGATGCAGAAACGGAGAAGATAGTTAAGAATTTGTGTATGGTTAGATTTGTATAAAATCAATCTTCCAAACCTTCACAAGGCGTTCTATATGTCAGTGGAGTCGGGAGAAAAAAATTAGGAATAACATAAAACGGGTCCCGATCTGGACCCAACTGTATGCCTACACCAATCCTGAACTTAAAACCCAATCAAGTAAGAGCTACTGTACATGGATCTGAGCAATACAGAAAATAAAGGTTCAAGATTCTCACCATTCTCCTCCAGACGTTTAGCAGCTTGTAACCTTACATGTCCAAGTATTTGATTCTGTAGGAAAGAGAATTTAAAAAAATTCAAATAACATGTTATATGACAAATTTCATATCATTCATTCCTGGAAAATTTCTACAATCTCATGTTATTCTAGAAATGTACTCTGGTGAAAAATCGCTCCACAATCAACATTTGAAAGTAACCAAATTATCAATTCTGGACCCAACTTTATACCTAGACCCATATTATCTATTTGGTCCCAATAGATAAACTAATTTACCAAATATATCAATTAGTAGGCGGTTTCCCTGTAAATTTGTTATCCCCATGTATTAGTCAAAACATATTCTTTCACATGATTGGTAATAAGAGCTTCCATTTCATTTTTTGAGAGGAGGGCGTTTCCAAAACTGGTCTTTACCTTTAAACTTACCTTATAGAGTACCAAAGTGCTAATGTCATATTTGCTCATGGTCTAGGTTGCTAGTCCCAAACAAAAGAGCCTGCGCATGAGGTTTGCTAGATCATTCAAGCAACAGGCTGCAGTAGGGAGAATGCAGTATGACTTCGGAACTTTATACTATGCCAAAATAAAACCCTCAGCAAAATTTGCTACAGCATGTGTCAGATCACCGGATATTTCCTATGAAAAGTGATACGATTGTTTTAGATCCTGCTGACATTATCTCTTCTCTTCACACAACTTACAATGTCTTTCTCTCCTGCAGCAATGAAAAACAGGTCACCAGTCTCTGCACCTAGACTCTTTACCAGCCTTTCTTTAACATCATCCTCTATGTACTTGGCAATGGGAGACTTCCAAGAGGCTGGGGATGCCTCTAATCGTACACCTATCACACCACCCTTCTCCATTCCTAGCTGGGTAGCTTTCTTCTTGCCTTCTGCTTCTAAGTGATCGATGTGCTTCCTCTTTAGATGATTCTGTCACAAAAAAACAGGAAAAGTCATCAAAAGTGAAATTATTTCAATAGGGAATCTATCCACACACAAAAAAGTAATTATCTTCATAAAGGTTTGTCATTGTTGTTCTTATGATAGTTATTAATTTAAGTAAGGCAAATAGTCAGGATTTAACCCTTTTTGCCACAAATATTCACTCTAATGCTATAAAACAAAACCTGTGAAGCTAAACTCACTTTTTTCACGCCAGAATTAAACAAGACAAATGTGATATATGCCTCAAACTTTGCTCAAACTTTCACTGACTTGTTCCTCTCACTTTTCTGCTTCTATTAAAACCAACTTAATATACGGGTGAACCTCTCCTTCAAGCGAGGCGACTTTAAGACAGAATACTTACTGAATACCATTGCATGAGCATAAGCGCCACTATGATTATGCACAGCTTATGAGGATTGGGTATGACAACCATATGTCTGCCCAATCAAGACTTCCAAAATAGTTGGCTTCAGTCTGCTTGGGATCTATTTTAAACTCAATGTAAATAATTGGAAAAGTATTTTCCACACTTGACCCAGGTGAGGTGAATTAATGGGTTCCTAGGTGGATTAGTCCTTGAAATGCACTGTGCGCTGGTAACGGCTGCCGGAGCTAAAGCTAGGGTAATAATTTCCAAAGCTCTTTGGAAGCGCATAGGGACGTACAATATGATATGTGCTATACAAGAACTGAATATTATTCATATTATTAAAATGCTCATACTTCTGTCATAGGTATTGAACTGAAAACCATCTCTGATTTTCCTGTGTTCTACTGTAAGATAAACTTACTGCAGCTCCTTTACAGTTGATCAGCTTCACTCTGAAAGATGGTGAGCTTGAATCAAACATGGCTACTCCACTCCCCTGAAGAATATCAGTTACGTCTTGAATCTTGAAAGAGAAAGTTAATGCATAATCAGCTTTTACATACTCTACTCTTGAAGCCAATGTGATCGTATAAACATAATTATGTAGTAGCAGGGTGCATACAAATCTGTTTTAATAATAATACATAAGGTTTCTAAGGCACCGAATCCACTTGACAATCAAATGCTCAAGGCGCAGCTTGTGCAAAAGATGAAATACATATATTAAAAAACCGATAGGAAAGGTACAGACATGAACGGTAACGGTAATCAGTTATAAGCTAAATTAAACATATATTTCTTAAGATTGTTTTTTAACACTTCACCAGAACTGCTATTTTCAACCCATTGAGGGAGAGTATTCCATAATGAAGGCCCAGCATGAACGAAGATTCGCCCCCCCCCCCCCCCCCACTTTGTTTTAACCCTAGGAATAATAAGTAAGCCAGAGTTTTGAGAACGTAGCTGCTTGATCAAGCCGATGTTGTACTGCGGAGCAGAGCCATGTATACATGTACATGAAGTTTCCTCTTTGAAGCTCCACTGCACTACTTATAGCTACTTGCGCCCTTATACAGCCAACAATGCCCAAGCGATACCCGTTGATCCCCCATGATGCCCTTTTTTTTATGTTAATTGAGAGCTGATTTGATGAGTGACCACCTCCCAGTGACCTTGCAGGAGGTCTAATCCCGCCTTCCCATACTAGTGCAGAGGGGCTTTAAATTTAAATGGAAATTAGGCACTGATGCCCTCCAATTTAGTGCAAATCATAACAAAACAGTTGAGAAATGAAATATACTAGCACAATGATATAAAATAGGGTATTTGTTAGCGAGTATTCTATTGTCTACTAAAGTGTCATGTGACACTCAACAATTGCAATTGTCAGACATCATCAAGTCTCAGATGTGGTAGGTAATGTAAGGGAAAAACTAGCTTGGACTTAATTGACCTGTTACAAAAAACAAACAAAACACAACTTAAATTATCAAGAAGTACAGGATATAATGAATGAAAATGTCTTAGGGTAGCAGAGCCTCTATAGCAACAAAACTCTGCTGTTGTTTTCGCTTTGGCGCATGTATCTGATGAATTCTAATAATCATGTCAGACATCATTGAAAACATCCTTATCACTTTAGGAACAAATAATAAAAATTTAAAAAATTAAAAATAAAAACATTTCAGTTTCACAACGTCAGTTATTGCCCATGTATGTCACCTACCTTCATATCAAACCTTGTATCTGGCTTGTCAACCCCATACTGCAACAGAAATAAAAAATAAAAATAAACTCTTTGGTAAAACATAATATAAAATACATGAAGTAGAACAAATAAAAAAAATGGCTACCTCTCTCTAAATGCCACCTGTAGTGACCACTTTTAGAGAAAATGTGTGTCAAGACCCCATTTAAAATGTCACCATACTTCTGTCACTGTTCATGTTTTTTCTTTTTAAAGTGACATATAACACTTGCCCCCCCCCCCACAAAACAATAATTTCTATGCCATTATGTAACAAATCTATATAAATTCTTTATTGTTTACATTTGATGAATGGTTAAAGGTAAAGACCAGTATTGGAAACGCCCAAATTTCAAAAAATGAAATGGAAGCTCTCATTACCAATCATGTGAAAGAATATGTTTTGACTAATACATGATGATAAAAAAATTGCCGGGAAACCGCCTACTAAATCATATATTTGGTAAATTTGTTTCTCTCATGGTCTGTGAGAGATATAGGGTAGTCCCATATACATCTTTCTGTGTATAGTGCTTGTAACTTCACGAAGAATGGGCCAAATTTCTTATCATTTTGATGATTCCAGAACATTGCAGATGCTAGATGCTAGATGATCAACCTTTTCTGATCGATTCCACAACGTTTCTTTCGCAATGCAATCGCATGACCATAACTGGTTTTTACCTTTAATAGGAAACACACAATGTGGAAACATCTCATTTTAGCTAATATATAATAAATTCTTCGATTTGTATCAAAGGATATATCATATTTTTAATTCTTTATTCATTTCTAGAATTATGAATCAAGAATAGATTGGAGCTTTAAGTATCTAGGAAACCCAACCTGAAGCTTTTTGTCTAGTACCTAATCATCAGATTAAAATGCTAGAATGAGCAGAAAATTAAATGTGATATTTTTACCTGGTTCATCGCGTCTTGGTACGTCATTCTTGGAAATGGAAGAGTAGGAGCTGGTTTGGAGTCCGGCCAAGAGAATAAAATCATTTCCTCAATCAGGTGATAAATCCCTTCTTTAGATATGAAAGACATCTCAAGGTCTACCTAATAAATACAATTTTTCACAAATAATAATGGATACAAAAAAGTGAACAGTCAATGCATTACTTCCCTTTGTCAGGAAAGGTTCAGTTATGTTGGTGGTTTAATAGATAAAATGTTCACTGGCAACCATTCAGACACAAGCAATGAATTTTTTTATTTTTTTTAATGAGTCATCCAATATTAACTGGATTTCATTCTTTAAACCATCATCTCAGACTTGCATACCGGTACTGCTTAGAAATCCAAACTTTCAGAACCTTCATAGATGATACTTAAAATGTTCAACTGAAAAAGAATAAGAGAGTTTTTTTGTGTTGGAATGATAAAAACATATTCCTTACCTGCGTAAACTCCGGTTGCCTGTCAGGTCTGCTGCCCTCATCTCTATAGCAACGGGCAATTTGGAAGTATCTATCAATACCGCCAACCATCAGCAGTTGTTTGAACTTAAGACATAAAACAGTTAGGTATTTAACTTTTATTTATTTCAAAGTTTTAAGTTACAGGGCTAGTATAACTGACAAATTCATTTATAGCATCTTGAACAAATTTATCAAAGATCATAGTATGTATTTTGTTGCATTTAGCTAAAGCTTTTAGAAGGCACCCAATGTGTGTTACAATGTGATTTTCATCTGGTTATAACATTTTCATATCGCTGATGCAAATGAGGAACTACATGTATAAGAAAAGCAGTCTGATATCTGTCCCCTAAAATATTCAAGATCAGAAGTTACAATCATTGCAGGAACAAAGCATACCGGTATATACAATCATGGTAGGAATAGAGTGTATTTACGTAGTCCCTTCTATTTTGCTAAAATGGAATGCTGCATGGGCAGCGTTTCATGAAACCTTCACGAGTACAACTTTGCAGACAACCAATTGAACTGTGTGTGTCAAACTTAACAAACGTTTCAATGGGATGTCGGTGAAGTTGTACTTGTGACGGTTTAGTGAACCATGCCCTGGTATAGAAATATAAGTTGGCAGGCATTTTCTCTGTAATTGTATCCAAAGCTACAACACTGAAGCAGGTCATCCCCCAATCCCACTAAACTGCTTGTACTAATTAGTTTAATGATATAGGATGGTATTCTTGAAAGCAGACTAACTTTAGTCCATGGTTTAATCCAACTAAGTATGGAATGCCAAGTGACCATATGAATATATTTTTTAATAATTTGTTATGTCCCTAAATTACCATGATAACATAATTATATCATAGTTATATTGTTGTTTATTAATTATGAAATTACATTTTATTTTAAATTAGTGACAGATTAAATTATTCAAAAACATATTCATATGGACACTTGGCATTGCATACTGAGTCGGTGGATTAAACCAGGGACTAAAGTTAGTCCGCTTTCGAGAATACCACCCTGAGTTTTCAAGACGAACCTGTTGAGGACTTTGTGGTAGCGAGTAAAACTTTCCAGCCTGCTTGCAAGGTACAGGGAACTCCTGGGCACCCCCGGGAGTCTTCCTGAACAACGTAGGGGTTTCAACTTCAACAAATCCTAGAATAAAATGACGTAAAAATATACATGTAGGACTCATTAATCTTATCAGTTATGCCTCATACGCATGCCTCTTCTTGCACTCATTCTCTTTCTCTTTCTCATTCTCATTCTCATTCTCATTCTCATTCTCATTCTCATTCTCCTTCTCCTTCTCCTTCTCCTTCTCTTTCTCCTTCTCTTTCTCTCTCTCTCTTCTTTCTCTCTCCTCATCTCTCTCCCTCATTGTCTTTTCCTCTGCCGTCCAATCCACGTCATGGTTTTGACTCCCCATCTCTCCCCCTTCTAAATCTACAAGTAACTGCCTCTGTATCCGGCTGTCTTTTTCTCACTATTTCTTTCTTTCTATCTCTCTCCCCTTACACTAAGACACAAATTTGTAAGACAACAAGAATATGTGTTATTATTTTTCAATTCATACATATTTACAATGGATTTATGACATCTGCACAATCTCCACTCCCTGGGGAGCATTCCAGCCAGGCGTTACTTGATGCTCAAAAACTTATTGACCAACAATGACGGTCGCATCCTACCGGGTACCCATTTAACACCTGGGTGGAGAGCAGCAAGTGCAGGTGAATATCTTGCCATGTAAGATTCATTCCTTGAAAGCACAGAGCGCTACGGTTGCCGGAGCCAAAGCCGGCGTAACAATATCTGAAGTCATTTGGAAGCGCATAGAGACGTTGTTATCATGATGTGATATGCGCTATAGAAGATTGGGTTATCACATTTTTTATTCTTACCATGTTTTCTTCCAAAGGAATTCTCTCATCTTCATGACGACATCTGATCTGAGTCGTAGATTTCTCTGCATCCTCTTGCTCCTCAGATCAATGTATCGGAACTGCATTCTCACTGCTTCTGATACCTAAACATGAAAATTCTTGCTTTTATCAAACTTGATGAAAATACCACTTCATTTCATTTCATGTCATTTTTATGTTTTCATTTCCAACAAAATACGATACATAATAACAAATACAATGTAAAATGTATACAAAACATAATTACATTTGTAATAAACAAATCTTAACAGTAATTTATACATTTGAGGAAGACAGAAATTGAATTATAAATTTTACCGTATTTATATTTTGAGGAAATGGTGAGGTCCACTGAAAAGCAGAGTTTGTAATTTGTGGACCCCCTCAGATAATGGTGAGTGTGAAAAGAGTATAGAATACATAACCAATCAAAGGAGAACTTGATATCAATGGAAAGCTGAATTAATGTAGAAAACAAATATGAAAGGAATAAGAATATTTCCCTTTCAGTAGTGCACAAAAGCAAATTAAAATGTTCTGCACCCCTCCAAATTTAGACAAGTCGACAGGGGTCAAATTTGCTGCAGTTACGGTGACCACATAACATGTGGACCCAATCTGCTTGCCTCTATACCTAAGGCAATGAGCCGTGCTAAATTAAGCCATTGTGAAAATCCCTAAATAGGCCTTCTCCATATAAGATGATGTAATCAAGTCAATATATTTTTTAGGCTGACAACTTCTCCTACCTCTATACCTAAGACAATGAGTCGTGTTTAATTGATGCGAAGCCATTGTGAAAATCACTAAATAGGCCTTCTTCATATAAGATACTGTCATCCAGTCAATAGCTAGTTTTTAGGTTGACAACTTCCGATTATTATTTCAAAGCTTTAAATAACAAGTTTTCAGAGAGCGGTTACACCTCTGACAGACACTAGAATAGCATAGTTGATATTAATGTAATCTATGGCTTATAAGCTTTCCGTCGATTTCACTTCCAACAGGGCCTTTAAAAAACAAACATATTTCAAAGTCTACTACTCCCTTCAGCATGCAAACATAAAATGCTTTATTTCATTGACACGCATTCCCTGCATGTTTCATTCTCCCATAACCAGAGTCTTATTGAAGGTTTGAATTTCACAAAGGTATGAATTAGATTAATCAAAATCATCTACTTCTAATTGCTCATAGACTCAAGCAATTTGATCTTGATTTTTCTTCGCTATAAACTATAACCTTCTGATTTCAACCCTAATAATAGGAAAAATCACCAAAGATAATACTCCTTTACTAATTCTTGATGATCATTACATAGTACTTCTTTGATACATACTTTGCTGAAGTCGCCAAGTTGGACTGGAAGCTGCTCTTTACATGGGTTCAAAAGCTCAACCGAGTCTGCTACAACCTCAATGTCACCTGTCCCCATCTCCTGTTAATAAGCAAGACGTTTCAAATATTTCCATCAAAGTGAGAGATAAGATGCATGGAATAAAATGTTGTATACTAACAATTATGGATGAGCATAGTGGAATATAAATAGTGAAAGTGCTTGATAGATATTAGCTACTGTAAACGTGGTAATAATCGCGGCCGGTGCTTTAATTTTCACAGATTTTGCGCTACAGTCGGTGTCCGCGAATATTAACATCCGCGAATATATATGCATGACTTTTTATGCATGTTCTGAACGGGCTGAATTGCGTGCAACGCCAATTTAAGAACCCGCCAATATGTTTTGGGATATCGCTCAGTGCGAAAAACTAATCACACAAAAATAACATCGTTTACAGTAGTTCATCATCAGGTTTATGCTATCGTACAATGTGTGCACCATCTTCACCCTGTGGTGACTAATCCTATCATATATGCTGTCCATGAGATCAATACAATAGCCAGAAGGACATTATCTATTTTTAAAAAGTTGAAAGAATCTGAACTGATTGAAAGACATCATAGATTCATTTAATAATCGTACCCATGCACTCCATCTGACCCTCTGACCCCTAATCATGGAGAGTAGAGATTTTGACCTGTCAATAATGATCACCTCTCTACAAAGACAATCAACCTTTCAAGGGTTCTTCAGATATGAAGTGGTTAACCACTGCAAAAAACTTTGTATTTTTGTTTATATGTAAATGTATGGCAATTGCACACAACAAAGGTCCTACACGTATTAACTGTGCTCTGTGTTATAAGATGCAGAAATGTTAAATGTATTACACTTTACGTCATTACAGCAGAGATAAGGCCACGATTTTGTCTTGTCATATCTGAATGAATCCTTAGCTGTCACTTACATGTACAGTGCCTCACTCTAGGAGAAAATATACAAAGATTTGAAGCAAAAAACACCTGGAAAGGCCACTAGTCAGTGGTCACTACTCAATTCCAATATTTACATGTTACCTTGTTCTTAAGACCGTCTGGTCTGAGCTGGACATGACCTTTGACCTGTATGACGGATTCCTGGTAAGCAGCCGTCAATGTGTCCACAAGTTCCTTCCCTCCTAGCTGTGATTTACAAGAAAATGAAGTAAATAAAAATTTATGCAACAATGAATTGCAACATCGTACAAAGTTTAGAAAAATTGTGTTTTTGTACTAAAAGTACGCCATCTACGTCTGCTTTTGGACAACTGCACATGAACGAATGGACTTGATTAACTGGGTCAGTGTGCTAGCATTCGCGAAACAGACTGAAGTTCTCCTCACGCTTCGGTTTCCCGTATGTTGCGGTCGCGTCGGCCGTAGTTGTTTTATACCTGATTGGCCCCGGGTAGGGCCACAGGAAAGAGACATAGTCTCGTCATGACACACTCCGTTTAATAGTAAAGTCACTGCCAAATGTAAATTACAGGACTGGAGAAAATCGGATTTGCTGAAGAACAAAATTAAAACAAAACACAAATATCTTCTTACCTCTTCTTTGGGGATAACAATCTGAACGGTTCCAAAGGAGTCTCTCAGTGTGAACATGAAATCAAAACGACGATGCTGGAGCCATCCACATAAGGTCACTTTCTCTCCAACATGATCGCACCTCAGCTCACTGCAGTTATGACTGCGTTCAGTCAGAGACGTGTTACCTGCCGGTGGGAAGCACAGAGTGATTGAGCTCAGGCAAGCTTCTAAAGATCTCTAGAAAACTAAAAGGGAGCTCTCGTAAAAACAAGCTAAATATATAAAAACTTGCTTAGAAAAATTTGAATTTTGATAAAGTATTAATCCTCATTACCAAGTCCCTCTGAGAAGGAAAAGGAAGAAGAGTTATAGATTTATTTAATAAAGAAGATGAAAATTGATAATGATTAAAAAGAGAACCCCCCCCCCCTCCACGCACACACACACTCACATACACAACAGAAGTTTGGGTTTTGCAGACAATGATTGGTGATCATAAGTTTTATTCTTTATTGACTAAAACATATGGCGCTGCATGTCAAACTAGTAGTGAGACCTATTTTTTTTATCTACCGGTACTCTGAAGTTTTGTTTCAATTTTGTAAATTTAGTTGTTTGATTATTATTTGTTGTTGTTCCTCTTCCTCTTCTTCTAATAGGCCTACATGAAGATCTAGGCACTACTGTTCTTCTTCTTTTTCCTTCTTTATTATTTTTCTTCTCTTTCTTCTTCCTCTTACACTTGTTTCTCATTTTTTAAAGTTCTTTTCCTTCTTGTTCTTCTCCTTCTTTTGTTTCCATCTCCATCTCAAACTTATTCTTCTTTCTAGCTTCCTCCTCTTCTTCTTCCTCTTTCAATCCCGTCTTTGACTTTGCCAAATTAGTCCTTCACGACACTACTAGATCTTCACGTCATCGTCACATTATAAAAATAGTTTGGGTGGATCAAGGAGTATTTCTTGCATGTTGCACTCCCAATCATTTTCTTAGTCCACAAAAGTGTCTTGTTGTAACCTGATAGTGATACACTGAATAAGTTAATTCAAATAATGATCCTGACAATGAAAATGGATATTTTAACCAACATATAATTACATGTTTGGGACTGGTAGTGGTAGTGGTAGTGGTACATGTAAATCGTTTGATAACACACGATAATTGTACATATAATTTCATATTAACTAGATATCCTACAGGATTAACTAACTTACCACTAGTTGACGATAATCTTACATTACAGTACGTTTTAGTAACTGCAGCAAGGGGACGCCGTTTCAGTAAGGAACGAAGCATTTTGTCGAGAGGGATACTTTTTCACAGTCAGACTCAAGATCGCGATCGGCAGCCCATGTGTTACGCAATGTTAAATTACGTCGTCTGCTACAGTGCTGCTAGCTATGGGCACCCAATGAAGGCTTAATATTGTAACAAATCAGGGTTTTAGTATTGGACGAAGGTTAAGCATTTTCTGTTGTACGAGCATGCGCTATAGCAATATGGAGCATCGTTGATTTAGCAATTACCAAACAGGCGGTGCGCTCGGGTGCAATTAACTCACGATTTCGTTTTGATTTGACCTTGCTTTCCTATTGAATAAACACGTTGTTTACGTGAAACCGCTGGGAAAGTGTCGCAGCAAAACTGCCATAACTTTGGCATATGACAATGAATCTTAAAGATCTTTACATTTTTGAAAAGAGGAATAATCATTTAAACTATACATTACATTTTTTTTTGTAATAACGAAGAAAAAATGGGGGCAAAAGGACAAGAAACTTTGTATGAAAAAAAAAAAAAAAGAGTCCGAAATAATGCCTAAAATTACACATTTTTAATATTTGGACGATAACGATATTCGAATATGTTATTGAATAACTATTAAAGAAAATTTCTGTGAAATATCAATTTCATAAACCAATTCGGCCGGATGTGTCTGGTAATGATCCAACATAATGCATTTTCATACCTTCAATGCGAGCACCGATCTTCCGAGTCGTCCCCACATTACATCGCGGGTGATGACGTCATGCTCAATAGCACAGTCCCACACACTCTAGTTTGTGTTGGCGTTGATCGGTAAAAACGGCTTTCAACATGATTTCGTGGCATAGATTGTAATTGTTGCAATGTTTGAATTAACCCCCAAATTTCTCCAACATTAATAACAAATGTATATTACGGAAATAAAGCTAAATTACACTGATTATCTTAGCTTTACTGTAAATAAGACGGAATAACGTGGCGTCAAACATGTACATTGCCCGTACATTGTCGTGAATATCGTCTGCACCAGCAGTGCACCGCGAGCCCATATATGCCTAGCTATAGCCTGTGTCCATCGTAGGAGCAGGAGGTGTACTCCACCAATACTACTTTAAAATAATAGTAGTTGTATAAGTAGTAGCAGTCGTAGATGTAATAATAATGATAGTAATAATAATATTAATAACAATCATAATAATAATCAAATATTATTTGTAGGGGAATAGCAGGGTATTTCCCGGCAGAAGGGGGGGGGGGGGGGGGGGGGGGGGTTATGCGTAATTCGATCGCCACTCTTCATCCAATTTAAAATAAATGAAGATCCCCCCCACCCCCAATAGCAAACCCCTGGGTAATATATAAAAATAATAGATATACTTCATGATTATAATGATGCTGCTGCTTAGATTAATAATGGTAATAATGATAATTAAAAAGTAATAGTACTTATAACAGGGAAGTGTTTTACCCTGCTTATAATAATGATTGTTATTATTATTATTATTCATTATAATGGTTATAATAATACTTCGGGTAGGAAGAAGTCAAGGAAAAATATCCCAATCAATGAGTGACCATGCAAGAAATATATAGGTAGCTAGATACCTAGCTGTAGGCCACCATTTATTGCAATAGCATTAACCCTTTATTGCTTGCTTTTTTTTTTTAATGTTAAGTTGACTCAAGCGATGATTGTCTAACATCACTTTGTGATTTAATTTTTTTTTGTTTTGTTAATGAATTAACCCAAGTCTTTGTTTTGTGAAATAAATTCTGGAACCAACTGAGAAGAAACCCGGAGCCTTTGTCGACACATCCACGCCATTATAAACACTCACTTTAAATTCTGGCACAAAAATCCATATACCACATGCACACTTGCATTTACCTTTCTCACAATGATCCATGTACCACCTTCATGTAAATCACTCTCCGATTATATATAGATATCTCTGAATATCATTTCATCATTTACTGTAAAACATTAACCACTCGACCAATGAATAACACAAAACAGCAATTTCATTTTATAAACAATTCTCAATCTGCATATTATAATTGCCACTTCACTTCAGATACAATAGGCAAGATACTTCCATTATGTAACTTGCATACAAAACAGGAATGCTTTTTTTTTTTTCTTCAATGCAATAACACTGTATATTTGTGTGTTAAATGTACTTGTATACTTAACTTAACATGTATACAAAAACGAAAGACTCAAATAAATACTTATATCCATGTCTCACATACTTTTCATTGTACATCTAATACTTCTTCAATAAATATAAAGCTTTGTATAAATAATAAAACAATCTGTTTTGAAAGCCATTACTTTACGTTTACTGTCATCTTTGGTTCAATCATGCACCAATAACACGCAATTGTTCAAATGTGTACATGAATGAACATTATTGGAAACAAGTGAAATGTGAAAATCTACATGGAGTTCATAACTTGCATAATAATGATGAAGATGCACGTATGACATGGACTAACCAAGTCGAAAATAGGCACAAAATATGCAGGTAATGTTGCAATGATACATGTAATGTTGTACTATGCAACATCAAATGTAATTAAAAAAGTATGCATATAAATTTGAATATGTAAGGAAACAGGTCTATTGCCAATTATCTGAACTTTTCACTTATTCACAACTTCTAAAACAAATACTTTAAATTGTGTAAGCATTGAAAGCACTATTCTCTGGAACACCAGGAATTAATGTACTAAGTACAAGTTAACCCTATCGTGTGTACCATATTGTAACCAGAGTGCTAGTTTTACACTACTTTCGGGCTTCCTGACTCCTTCACTATGAAATCACCATCCAAACTGAAGAACACTGGTAGCCAATGCTGACATCTATAAGGGAGCGCCATTCTGCAATAAAATAGAAAAACAATTAATGAATTGAAATTCAATTGTATTACAGCAAATAAAGAAAAAAAAGAGAAATTTAACATGATTAATATTTCACATTCATATGGTTATATATTAACTCTAACATTAGACAGCATAACTTACATACACTACTCTATAACAGACATTACCAAAGTATTATATGATCAAGAGCCAGATTATGGAAAGAACTTCAAAAAATACCTCAAATGGATCTCACAGCTCAGTTAGGCATGATATTCATAAATGATAATTGGGTCAAATTTGGTCTACATGCATGATAATAACCTTCAAGACATTGTGTTTTTCAGCAGTGGCGTAATGAGCCAAAAAAAATGGGAGGGGGAATAACGGAGCTAAAGTTTTGGATATGGTGCATGATTTTTTTTTTAAACAAAAAAAAGAGCAAGCGAGAAAAAAAAATCTACATTTTCTAATTTTTAAATAAATAATTCTGTCACAGAATTTTTGGTAGATAATTTGATTTTTCTTTGTCTAATTCTAAAAAGGAAAAAGAGGCAGATATTAGAAGAATTTAAATGCAAATTGTAATGTTGAAAAATACAATGAGGATTTAACCAAAAAATACCCTTTTCATGAAAAATTGGGGGTGTTTCAGTGTACAATGAGGTCAAGTTCAGCAAAAGCAAAGTATTAAGATCTGGAAATCATTGTTTCCACATTCATCAGAGTGAACAAAAAATTACTTTAGGAATATTAAGATCTAAAGCTCCTGATGAGTACTTCTTAAATGTTAAATAAAACAAGACTCTCATTTATCTTGATAATTAGACACTGGATTGAAAAAGACTAGTGTCACCAGGCACTGTGAGAGAAATTTAAAAACAAATGGTACATGTTGTTTCTCATGATTTGACATCACCAAGGAACATTGCCTTTAATGACTTCATGGTGATGAAAAAAATGCCAACTCTACTTAACAGTACATATCTTACCTAGTTGCATGAAGACAAATCTGCTTGGGCACTAGGGTTGGTGAACACTCCACAGAGCCATGGTGGGATGTAGAATCTGTGATCACTCTGAGGGAACGACCAGACAGCTTCAACACTGAATGGAAGAAAGGAAAAATATTGTAAGTGAATAATGAGAGTTAACATGTATGAATATACATAATTACAAGTCTAGTGCTTGACGTGACGTTGTCGGAACGGCAGGAAAATCAGTGCCGTGGCTTGAGACTCCAACCAAATGTGGGAGGGTTGACAGCCATGTCTTACCATGGTAGACTTATAGCAAAAAACAATTTGGTATTCAAGAATTTCCACATGAAAAATACACACACGTTCTTGCATATTTACCTAAGTACGAGGTCACATCACGTCAGCCTGGCCAGGCTCGGCAGCAGCCGCCAGCAGTGTCGGCCGTTCTTCAATGCTCGACCAATGTGTATCATGCATTAGGACATCTGCCAAGTCATGAAGTTGAGAAGGGGAGCTGGAGGTTACTTGAAGGTAAGGCTACATGAAGGTTTCATGGCCCTGCCTACATATTCTATATGAAAGAAGGTGAAGAAATTATTTTTAAAAAATTGTAGAGATTTGAAGGTAAAAGTAACAGGTTAAATACTAGACTCTACAACATTGCCATTGAATTGATAAAGTTTGACTTTAGTTTAGAGTTTAGTAAGTAGGATGAGGTGTCGTGTGTAATACAGCTGCATGCACATGGATTATATGCACTTGAAATTGGGTCGACAATTCATTGGCTCCAAGATTCGTTCATTAATATTGCCGAGACCCGTGAATATGAATCATTGCCATTTATATTACGGTCACTGTAACTCATGAGCTCCGCCGCCGACGGCTTGGCGGCGGAGCTCCCTGGAGTTACGGTCAATGAAGCTAATGCAGCTGCGCTGCAGAGCAGTAGCACTAAGCCACTATCAGTCAGGCATTATGAATGGCACATATGCGTAGCAGATTCGCCACCTTTTTTTTTTTTTTTTACCTATGAATACCTATTTTTCATGGAAAAGGAATATCAAACTTCGATTTATGGAAAAAAATACTTCATTACAATTGAAATGCGCCCTTACCTTTGTTTCTTTAGAGGGTTTTACAAAGTCAAAGATCCACTCGGCTCGGCTGAAATCAAAACAATACCTCTCGATCACTGCATGCAATCAATGCTAATGCGTGTAGACCTCTAGCGCAGCACTACGTGCTAGAGGCAGCAATCGCACACATGAATAGTCTATACACAAATTACAAACGAACGTACACAATAAATACGATGCGGTTGATCGGCAAGTTTGACAGTAGACTCACGGTTTAAATTTTTTAATTTTTCTTTTTAACATCATTAAGTTAAAAAATATATTATATTTTACTACTATTTAGGTCTCATCAATTGTCACTGGTATATCTGTTTTGAGTGGAATCAGATGAGTATTGTACAGTGGTGTTTGAAATGTTGAGAATCAATAGCACAGATTTTAATACACAGCCAGGATAGTAATGCAGCTATGTGTGCTCACGATCAGCTGTCTGCTAGGTTTACGTAATTTCGTGTCAATGCGCATGCGCGAGTCTTTGATCGAGCGGTGACGTCGATTTTCTCGTAAGTTTGCTGCTTCTCGATTTCTGAAAAACACCCCATTCATTTTCCATTGTATCTCCGAAAATAAGTGATGGTCACAGCGAAAATTTCGTCACCAGCACCGTAAAGGTCTCATGAATATGCATATTAAGTTTCATGAATAAATAGCCATATTGCCAGATGTGTCTGATAATAATCTGAGGGTAGTTTTCGGAGACGACTGAACATGAAATGTTTGATGAAATGATAAATAGATCATCACTTAATACAATTTTTCATATATAGTTCGATATGACCATTTTACATCATTCCTGAGAGTCTGAGCGAAATCCGCCGACGAACAAAGAAGATATGAGAGAGAGAAATTTCGGTGAAAAAGTGAGCTTGGCAACGTGAGTGCTTCGATGACCGTTGAATATTCAAAACGATTTCGGTGTTATCAGTGAGATAATTGGCATGCTCCGCACCGCCTAAAATGAGCATAAATTACATATTTTGATCATGTTGGTGCAATTATCATGTTTCTTTTGGGATATTACTTGTATAGTAGTGATCTAATCAGGAATAAGGGGTTATACTGAAGATTATATGTGAAGATTTTATGGGATTAGCAGAAATATTGTGTTGAAGTGTTGTTTTACTAACGAGGACATAATTGTTCTTTTATGCGTTTATGTATAGGGAAATTGATGGGATGTCCAGGGTTGTGCATCTAGGGCTTTAATTCCACTGCACTGTATCCGATACAGGCCAGCCTCACCGAGGCTGGCCTGATAGTTGGCCTGATAGTTGGCCTGATAGTTGGCCTGATAGCTGGCCTGACCCTACCTTTAAGTGAGTCTTACATCTAGTCTACTACCAGTCTTGTACTTGTGCTGAGTTAACCCCTGTATGTTGATTGGATCGCATTAAAGGATTTCTACATACAACTCATGATTGGTTTGATTTCTTGGAGCAGTGAAACCGTAGTTAGACGAATGGACGAGAATCAGTGACAGGTATTGACAAAGCATGATTGACTCAGTGCTCGAGGGATGTTCAATTGATTGATGATGTGCTCAAGACGTTTTTTAGGTGACCGATTGCAGTCGATGGACGAATGATTGTTGAGATACGTGTGAGCAGTAAATAACTCCAGCCATTAAGCTACGGGCATATATTTTGTCCAAACGGACGGAGAGCGCCTGGCCAGACACGGGCATCCTGACAAATACTACGTGTCAAGCCAAGGTGGCAAAATCGTGTCCGTTACACATGGTGTCAGAAGTGGGATAGCTGATGGCGTGGAGTGGTCGAGCTGATGGAGCTAAGGGACGACGGCAGTAGCACTGATGGAGCTGGGGGACCATGGGCAGTAAGTCTGACGGCGTCACAAGTTGGTATAGCTGACGGAGCTGGGGGACGGCAGGCAGTAAGACTGACGGCGTCACAGCTGGTTGAGCTGGGGGACGACGGGCAGTAGGTCTGACGGTGTCACAAGCTGGTAGAGCTGACGGAGCTGGGGGACGACGGGCAGAAGGCCTGACGGCGTCACAAGCTGGTAGAGCTGACGGAGCTGGGGGACGACGAAGGGCAGTAGGTCGGACGGCGTCACAGCTGGTCGAGCTGATAAAGCTTGGGGGCGACGTGCAGTGAGACTGCCGCGTCACTAGCTGGTCGAGCTGAAGGAGCTTGGGGACAACGGGCAGTAAGACTGACGGCGTCACAGCTGGTCGAGCTGATAAAGCTTGGGGGCGACGTGCAGTGAGACTGCCGCGTCACTAGCTGGTCGAGCTGAAGGAGCTTGGGGACAACGGGCAGTAAGACTGACTGCGTCACAGCTGGTCGAGCTGACGGAGCTTGGGGACGACGGGAGGTAGCATTGACGGTGTTGCAACTGGTCGAGCTGACGGAAGTGCGGAACGACAATGGAGAGAAAGAACAATGAGCCCAGGGATGCTGAGAAGGAAAGGAAACGAACTAACTTTTGAACAGTTGAACACTTTTGGAAAAGCCATTTTGAACTGTCAGAAAAGACTTGGATTTTAGTTTTGAATTGTTTTGATAACATGTTATGATTTGTTGTTTTTGCATAAGTTAGAGATAAGTTAGCTTGGGGACCAAGCTTGGGAGGGAAGGGAATCGTGTAACAAATCAGGGTTTTAGTATTGGACGAAGGTTAAGCATTTTCTGTTGTACGAGCATGCGCTATAGCAATATGGAGCATCGTTGATTTAGCAATTACCAAACTGAAGGAAAATGAGCATAAATTACATATTTTGATCATGTTGGTGCAATTATCATGTTTCTTTTGGGATATTACTTGTATAGTAGTGATCTAATCAGGAATAAGGGGTTATACTGAAGATTATATGTGAAGATTTTATGGGATTAGCAGAAATATTGTGTTGAAGTGTTGTTTTACTAACGAGGACATAATTGTTCTTTTATGCGTTTATGTATAGGGAAATTGTTGGGATGTCCAGGGTTGTGCATCTAGGGCTTTAATTCCACTGCACTGTATCCGATACAGGCCAGCCTCACCGAGGCTGGCCTGATAGTTGGCCTGATAGTTGGCCTGATAGTTGGCCTGATAGCTGGCCTGACCCTACCTTTAAGTGAGTCTTACATCTAGTCTACTACCAGTCTTGTACTTGTGCTGAGTTAACCCCTGTATGTTGATTGGATCGCATTAAAGGATTTCTACATACAACTCATGATTGGTTTGATTTCTTGGAGCAGTGAAACCGTAGTTAGACGAATGGACGAGAATCAGTGACAGGTATTGACAAAGCATGATTGACTCAGTGCTCGAGGGATGTTCAATTGATTGATGATGTGCTCAAGACGTTTTTAGGTGACCGATTGCAGTCGATGGACGAATGATTGTTGAGATACGTGTGAGCAGTAAATAACTCCAGCCATTAAGCTACGGGCATATATTTTGTCCAAACGGACGGAGAGCGCCTGGCCAGACACGGCATCCTGACAAATACTACGTGTCAAGCCAAGGTGGCAAAATCGTGTCCGTTACAATATTATAAACTAGTACAAGTAGTAACAGTTCGAATTCTGAGAGCTGAACATGGAAGTATCATAACTGGGGCCATCAAGACTATATGCTGAATAATGGTTAAATATTCCCATGCTAGTTCAGGCAGGGTCATGTAACTGTCTGATTATAACAAGTCATAATTTGGGTCATGTTATGCTCTTCACTTGGATGGTACAACGGTGCTCTAAGAAATCATGAAAATAAAATCGAACTATATAATTCAATGTGTTGTCAGATTGATTCAGAAACCAACAATGAAGGCTATGTCAAAAATCGCAGAAATAATAGTTATGCAAAGTACTATTTTTGTGGCAAAAGGTTAATTTCAAAAGTCTTTTGGATTCTGTGATAGAAGATTTGAGACCTATTATATAAACATTTAAAAAGCACAGGGGGGGGGGTGCACTGTTTTTTGCCCCAAACACCTTTCCTTGTTTAAATACCTTTCCATGGTGACACCCACTGACATAGGCGAAGATCCCGGAGGCGGGAGATATATCCTCCCCCAATATTTGACCAGGGGGGGGGGGGGCTATGTAATCATCCCCATAATGTTATGCATATAATTATTATGTTTATGATAAAATGCTCACTGTAATAGCTTTCATATTGCATAAATCCCAGCTATATGGGTCTATACCCAAACAAAACAAAATATAAGTCATATTCATAGGCCCATTCCCAAATGTTATAATTATTATCTGAGTAAAAAAAGGGGTTTAGTTATTAAACGGGGATGGGGCACTTCTTAGAAAGAAAAAGGGGCACTTGTCAAAATAAAAGAGGTTCCTCTCAGATTGAATAGGGCAATCGTCAGAGGTGAAGGGGCTACTTCTTGTACCTGCATGAAAAGGGGCAATTACTTAAAATTAAAAAGGGAACTTATAAGAATGGGCAGTGGACACTTATTGGAAAGGAAAATGGGAACTTGTCGAAGGAAAGGGGAACTTGTCGAAGGAAAAGGGCATGTATCAAAATAAAAGGCCCACTTATCAGAGGTGACAAGGGAAGGGGCAATTTCCCTATGTAAAAAGGGGTACTTTTCACAAAATTAAAGGGGCACTTTTCCTATGTAAAGGGGGGCACTTTGGGGAAACTTGAAAATGGGGGCACTGTGCCCCCTGCCCCGCCTCTGGTCTGTACCCCCCTATAGGCTAACAACAGATCCCCACCACTGCCCACTGATGGTGCACGTGTTTAACATCATGTCAACATACACCTGCTTGATAATGTCTTTAAAAAAAAGGTTTAACCAATAGGCCAAGTTAGGTATATGAAAGTAGTCCGATCCGATGAAACTATAGGCTCTATAATCACTCGTATAATGAATATTGTTTTCCTGACTAGAGCGTAACAATATCGTCAATTTTCCGGTCTGATAAATCTTATGGTAAATCTAATAAATCTTATGATCTTTTTTGGTAATCTCTCTTTATGAACTAAAACTATAGTAAGTCCATCATGATTATTTTCATATTTTTGTTATCCTTGAACATGGTAACTTGAGAATCATCCTTTATTATGTTTGAATTTTAATTCTAATAATTTAATGAAACGTGAAAGCTTCGGCGCTTCGCAAGGGATGGGCGAAAGGGAATTCAGACAAGGATTGAGAATAATAATTTAATGAAACGTCAAAGCTTATGCACTTCACGCTGGAGGGAGGTAAATATTTCCGACAGGGATGAAGAGTCGAACACTACAACGAATCGTCTTCTTTCTCTAGTGATTAAATGAAACGCCAAAGCTTCCGCGCTTTGCGCGGGAGGGAAGGGGGGGGGAACTGAATTCAGACAAGGATTAAGAGTCGAGAACGGTACAAAGAATAGTCTTCTTTCTATACAAATTAAATGAAACGTCATAGCTTCCGCGCTTTGCGCGGGAGGGGGGAGGGGAGAGGGGAGAGGGAGAGGGTTAGAGGAGGGAACTGAAAAATAACTTAGTTGCTAGCCCCGGGTTAATAGGGTTTATTTTGTAGACATTGGGACATTGGCATTAATATATTTGTCGGTAATTTGGGGCTAGTTTTCTCGATAATCGGTGGCCTCTACACCCCTCCCCCCTTTCACTGAAAAAGGTCTAGCGACGCTCCTGATGACAACACAGTAATGTTTATACACTCGAGAAAGGTACCAGACCACCGTCTTTGTGCATTGTGCAGCAACGAAACGTCTTGTGACGTAACAGATCACTTTTCTCTAACTTCTAACCAATCAGAAGGCCTCGTTTTTTCCAGGATGTGCCGGTGGACATTAAATGCGCCAAATGTGGTTCTCAAATTGCAAAAGATCCCTACTCTTGGAGGGGGTAGGAGAAGGCGATTTTACGTCATATTACTCCAGGAAGTGCCTGAAAATGCGCATAATGTGGTTCTAGAATTGCAAATGCTTCCTACTCATGGAGGTTGTTCTGACCCCCTCCCAGACCCACCCCCGCTTTGTCGCTCCCCTCCCTCGCCTCTGTCGCCTCGCTCTGTCGCCTCGTTCCATCTTTTTCCATATATTTCACCCCATGCGATTTTGTGCCCCTCCCCCCTCCTGGATCCGCCACTGAATATTTTTTCTTCTCATGTACACCTTAAAATGAGGAAATCGCTTCGCTCAGTGGGGGGGGGGGGGGGGGGGGGCAGTGAGCAATAATTTGTTTTTTCTTTTAGTCAGCACCCCCCCCCCCCCCCCCCCCCCCCCCCCCCCCTGTGTACGCGCCTGCTGCAGACCATCACCCCTCCCCGACCCCCTCCGGCTGCTGCAAAATCATGTTTGGTGTCTGCCCTAGCTCCCGAGACCAAAAGCACTTTAACGATGCAAAACTCTATGTCCCCCTCCCCGGCCTTCGGGAGAATGAATAAGTTCATCTCCTGAGGGAAATATATTCCCTATCTGATATGTCCTTTACCCCCAGAATGTTTATCTGACTCCAAATTAGTGCACCTACTTTAATGATAAATTTTCCAACACCCATGTTGCTAATTTTTCGCATCCTCAACCGTAATGAACATCCCCTTATCATTTTGACCGATGTTCTCAAAAGCAGCCAAAATTAAACCAGGAGGCATTCGTTTTTCCAAAGGTTCATAATTCCGAAACACAATTTCCCCATATTAGGGGATTTATATTTCCGAATATGAAATATAAAATAGGGTTCACAATTCCGAACATTATTTTGCTGCCTCATTCCTAAGTTTCTTTTCTCGAAGGTTCATAATTCTGAAAGTGAAACAGGGTTTATAATTGTAAAGGCTCGCAATTCCGAAAAAAGAAAATGAAAGAGAGTTCACATTTCTATTTTATTTTCGTAGATACAGTCCTCCAGAATTATGAACGTCTGAAGTAACGAACTTTGGGAATTATGACATGTAATCGTTAATCTCGCAGGCTGAATGTAGTCCCCTGATTTACAAGTTTGTATGAAACCAAGTGAGGTGGGAGGGGGGGGGGGGGGGGGACAATTCGGTAATTCGGAAATGAAAAAGATTCATTTCACAGGGACAAGTGTTTGCATTTTAATTAGTTGCAGAATTGTGGTGATCTGTACACGATGAATAAGTTGGTATTGAGCAATAAATTATTGGTGATGATAATGATGTCAATAAATTAGATGACTATTTCTGTGAACCTAGGTGGAGGTTCATACCTGGGCCCCGTCTTACAAGGAGGTACGATTGATCCAAATCAATCACAAGTCCTCCAATCAATCGCAAGTTTGCAGTCTCCTATTTCTTTTGTACATAGTCGCGATTGATATCAATCGCAAATAAGTTGTAATTTATATCAACTCTTTGTAAGACGGGGCCCTGGCCTTAAAGTTAGGCGGCTTTTTTGAGAATGGGGCTTTTTGTCATAATGTAATTTTTAAATGTTAATCTTTAGCGCCACCTTGTGGCGGTTGCTTCGTTTACGGTAGCGACGTACCACTCGTATCCTTCGTTTTCTTAGTTAAATAGCTTTAAGGCTTGTTTAGACTGTTGTCCAGTATTCTAAATAGACCGTTTTCGTAATACATCATGGGCGTAAATCCTTACGTAATACTTATTGTTCAGGGGGGATGAATGAATAGATCATCCCCCCTGAACAATAGGTATCAATTGCAGATTTACGCCCATGGAATACATGTTTGTTATTGTTACAAATTATCTTATAGCCTGTTATGAATAATATGTATTTCAAAAGTCAGAATGTGAATTACATAGGACAAGCCATATTTGTCCTACCTAGCAACAATTCGCATTCTGACAATCAAAATACAAATTATTCATAACAGGTGAACTAAAAACAAATTGTAACGAGGCACTAACAATGATTTATGAGTTAAATTTGATTACGTTACGAAAATGGTCTATTTCGTGGTGGCAGCGGTGGGATACGAACCCACGACAGTGACTCCAAAATCTGTTAAAATCTACCCAACGCTCATGTGAGCTACTTCAAATTATGCTCATCAGGATACAATGTAGACACTGACACAATATATTGTATTGTATGTATGTTTAATACTTTATTATGATAAAATCAATCATGAGTGTGAGAAAAAAAGTACAGAGATTATTACCTTCATTAGAACCATACTTGTTGAAAGGTAAACGAAAAAAAAACAAGACTTGTTGTTAAGATAAGGGACAATTACACATCAATGACACAAAAACAAATCAAAAATGTTTCATTATTTTGGTAAACAATATGTATGTCGAAAAACTGTACCGCACCGATTTAGGCGAACGTAAGACCATGATAAGCTAAAAATCAGACGTCTAATTTTCTATCTTTATTTTACAGAAGTATGCTCTGTCAATTAGATACCTTTTAAATTAAATAAAAGATTATAAAACACGTTTTACATATCATTCAATTTTTGGTTACATCAAACCACAGGTGGTTGAACTCAATTCTGTATGGAATTACTAGCAGTTTTTGATCTATCTAACTGGTATAGACTAAACTTCAGAGGGACTGACTTAAAAAAAAAAATCTTTGTATGTGAAACTGAACGGATGATATCAACAATACTCTCTTAATACAAAGACTACTGTAAACAATATATTTTTCTGAATTACTAAAAACGTTAAAGAGACAATACCAAATGTTTAAGAAAACAATAAATAATTTCTCTCATTTTTCAATTTTGTTTCTATCCTAATGCTTATCAAATCGTTGATATGTAATCCAATTCTGGAATAATTTTTTTGTGTGTGTGAAATTGACCTATGAATATCCTGAAAGTTCATCTGTATCAGTGATAGAAATGTTTGGAAAGTTAAATTTTTTATTTCAACAAAAAACTTTATGTCCAAAATATTCAGCTCTTGAGCTACAGCCTGAAGAGTTTGGAACTTTGGAGGTAAAGGTATTTTTATTGAGATCAAAAGTACAACTTTCCAACAAATATATGATCTATTGTTGATATGATAACAAGAGAATTGAAGGAAGATACAGTTTAATCTGTCCTAGTGGCCACCTGTCTATAAAGGCCACCTGACAATAATGGCCATTCATTTGTCTCCCTTGAGAAAGAAATGTGTGACGCAGAACCTGTCTAGAAAGGCCACATGTTTACTGTGATCTCTCTCCATGTTTTCCTTGAATGGCCTTTACAGACAGGTTTGACTGAATTTAGACAAACATATATTTTTCTAAACTCTTGAGATGCTGTTGCATTCCAATCCTCATCAAGTTGTTAAAGGTCCAACGACAGCAAGGTCCATGGTTAAATCCGATTCTTGATAGTTCCGAAGGCCTTCTTAGACATTTTTTGGCATTGAAATATAGACAGTCTCTTTTTTCGGAAACAGAAGGGGCTTCATGTCTCCATCGTCTCCATATCTTCATCATCTGGAGAAGACTTCTTGGGTTTGGTTTTCTTTGATGGCTTCTTACTTGGCTTTGTCTCTACTTCAACTGTTTATGAAAAGAAGAAAAAAACATGATAAAAACAAGGAGAAAAATGAGAAAGGAAAGTACAAACTGACATGGAGAATGCTTACATATTGCAAAGTTGATGACATTTTCATCATCATCGATTATCATCATCATCAAGTGACGGCTGCAGCTGACATTTAAGTTCACCCTACACTACAGCACCACTGACTTTTATCTATTAAACCTCGAATTAAGTAATGTCCTCTATTTCAACGCTTTTAGGGTCGGATGTGCTCGCAAATTATACATGTACATTTGTACATCATTTCGATTGCCAACCTCATAAATGTAATAGTTTTAAATTTCCCATTTCTTAAAAAAAAGTATTTTATACTTTCAAGTGTATTAATCAATTAAAGTTTTCCTCCAGCCAACAAAAGTAATTATTTTATTTTGTTGCCAAAGGGAGTTCAAGAGTAACACCTAACTCGGTTTTCAAAGGTCAGACAACCTCAGAAAGGCACTTTTCATAGATTTACATCTCAAAATGGCCTCTGCTAATGAAGGATCTGTCTGAAAACTAATTTATAAAACAAACTAACCTAACATGACATTAGCCTCCCGATCTGCTATCATTCGGCCTTTCATTAACTTTCGTTTCTTCTTTGAAGACAGGACGACATTAGCTCGTGGATTTTGCCTGCACAAAGAAAGAAAAGAAGACAAGCTTTGAAGGCATTGTTTAACAATGTTAAATCTGAGATGCACAGCCCTAAGTGTCATCAGTGTCTAAGCTTGGTGTAATATTGAAGCCCTAAAAAATTGCGCTTCAAAATGATCAAGAAGTGCCTCAAAAAAGTAAAAATCTTTGAGTGACTGGTTTTCATCTACATGATTTTCCGGCATTTTTTCTCCATTTTTTTTGTAAGTCATACCTTTTTATGCGTTTGTTGGAAAATAAGAAATTCCCACATTACAGTCAGGCGAAATACGCTTATTTAGAAGCCTTTATGTCATGGTCTGCAAAGTGGCTGGGCTCGAGCCCCCCCCCCCCCCCACCCCTCCTTTTTTTTTAAAGTATGTTAAAGAGAAAAAGAAAGAAAGACGGAGAGAAAAATAAGTGACCTGCCAATGTCACAAATAAGGTATAAAAAATGCTCATCTGACCGTAATTAAATGCTTAAAACCCCAGAGCTTACGGGGGCTCCACCCCCGGACCCCACCAAGGGACCTAAGGCGGGCCCCTGGATGCTCATTTGACCGTAATTAAATACCTATAACCCGCGAGCTTCCAGGGGCTCTGCCCCCTGGACCCCACCAAGGGCCCTAAGGCGGGCTCCTGGATGCTCATCTGACCGTAATTAAATACCTAAAACCCCTGAGCTTCCGGAAGCTCTGCCCCTGGACCCCACCAAGGGCCCTAAGGCGGGCCCCTGGATGCTCATCTGACCGTTATTAAATACCTAAAACCCCTGAGCTTCCGGGGGCTCTGCCCCTGGACCCCACCAAGGGCCCTAAGGCGGGCCCCTGGATGCTCATCTGACCGTAATTAAATACCTAAAACCCCTGAGCTTCCGGGCGCTCTGCCCCCTGGACCACACCAAGGGCCCTAAGACGGCCCCTGGATGCTCATCTAACCGTAATTAAATACCTAAAACCCCTGAGCTTCCGGGGGCTCAGCCCCTTGACCCCCTGCCGAGGCTCATGCCCTGGACCCCACGCCAATTTACGCTCTATCTGATCGATAATACTCCACTTTGAAAAACGTTCCGCGGGACCTGCATATAACGTGTAAGACTGGTGGTGATGCAGATTTTTCGTCTGCCCCCCCCCTTCCGAATTTTTTTCTCATTACGTCACTGCCCCTGGAAAGTGAGCCCCCTGGAATGTTTGCCCCCCCAATCCCAAACTGCTTCCGGCGCGCCTGCTGGTTTTACCATACTCGTTTTCCCCAATAGACTGTAGTGTTATGAAAAACTATGTATACAACTCGATACAACTGAGTACACCAATCTGAAAGTATTTTAATTGCTTGATTTCCAAGAAGACCTATTTAAAAAGAATACAAAAATAACTATCACAAAATGCAGGGACAGATCCAGATGGGCAGGTAAGGGTGAGAACAGGGTGGATATGTCCCCAACCTCTGGCCTATTCAAAGGCTTTTGTTGTTCATGTTTATCAGAAATGATGGACAAAGTATTAAACAAATGAAATTGTACCTGAGTCTCTGTCATTTAAATACCAAAATGAACTCACACTGTCACTACTTGGTAATATGTTTTAATTGTACATGTAGCACTGACTCATAGATGCATACATGCCAACATTTGAAAATCAGAAATCTGTACAAATTATGCTATTTTCAAAAAAAAGAGGAACAACCCTAACTCTCCTATTCAATACTACAGACAAATGTGTACAGGAAGAGGAACACCTGCATTAAAATGATAATTATCTTCTCCCAAAAAGAGGAATGTTCCTCTTTAATCTGAACAGTTGGCATGTATGTAGATGGCATCTAAGTGACACTTTGTAACCAGTGGAAAAAGGCGCTATATAAATGGCAACTATTATCATTATCCAAGAACATACATGTAGTACCCCCATTTTAATCCATGGTTCCTCACCTCAAGACCTTATTCATGTCACTGCTTGGTAACTTGCAGATATATATTTTACTTGTAGTACTCACTCATAGATGGCATCTAAAAGACACTTTGTATCCAGTGGGAAAAGGCGCTATACAAATGGCAAGTATCATCCAAGACCGTACATGTACCCCCATTTTAACCTGTTGACTCCTGAATTTCTCTCATTCCCATAGACTTAATACATAAACCACCAGATTCCAGGATTCAATGGGTTAATCAGTGGTTCCTCACCTCAAGACCTTATTCATGTGCTTGGTGATGACGGTCCCCTTGGCTGCTGAGTCCTGTTCCTCTTTCCTGGCATCGAGTTTCCTTCTCATCGGAGGCCTTGAAACACTACGCGAGTTACGTAACCTCTTGACCTTCCCCTTTGTCTTGGTGTGCTTGAAGGGTATTTTCTATACATGGGATAAGAAATGTTCATATAATTATTGTTCAATAAATGATATGATGTCATTGACTATCAGTGGCGGAAGTGGCGGATTTAAAGGGAAATCCAACCCAAATAGACAACTACTCTGAAAGAAAGCAGACATATCAGAGAAGCAAACTGATGAAAGTATCAATTTAATCTGACTAAATATAAGAAAGTAATGATTGTAATTACTATACGTATGGGCACTGCAAAATTGGCTGAAGTGGTAATGTCGATGTGATGTAGTGCCGGACCATCCATCTGTTCTAACATATAAAATGTCTACAATTTTTTTTTTTTTTTTTTTAAATCATGGCTCAGGAGAGTCTATTCTTTTTAGAGGACCTATAGTAATATGCTATCTATACTATATTTTGGGTAGCACCCCAAGGGAGAAGGAACTTACGAGAAAACAAGATATTAGTGATATTTTGGTACACAGCAAAAGGGAGAGTTATCCACGTCACAATCCACAGGCCAAACTACTAATTTGAGATTCGCATAGACTTAGTGATCTCATATTTCAAACATTCATAACTTCCTTACTATTGGTCCGATTCATTTCAAACGTTTGCCATTCTATTTCTGTTATGTTTCTGCTTTTGTACAAATCATCTTATCACAAGGGTTGGATTGCCCTTTAAGGAAGATACAAACGGTGCATGTATCGCTTTAAACTCAATCTGTATCCATAAAGTACCTATGACACACAGACCTTAACACAATGTATGATTAAAATGATGTTAATGAAGATGATGATAATAATAACAATAATAATAATTATATTACAAATAATAATGATAAATGGATAATAAATAGATGAATGGATAATTTTCAAAAATACACAAATAAAGAAATAAATAAACAAATAATCAAAATATTAAGCACATATAGATAAAATAGGAAAATGAAGAAGTCCTCTCTAATTATGTTCTTGCGCTGCCTTTCAATTTAAAACCGAGAAGGTACCCGATTAAAAAAATTGTTATTATAATAATTGTTCATTGTTTGTGTTTTTGCATGTTAGAGATTTTTCTGAGCTGTAGTATGTACCCACTCCCTTTTACAGTATATTGAATCTGAACCAGCATACATCCTCCCCTGTTAAAAGGCTCAGAAAAATAATATAACATTTAAAACAAAGTGTGCACATCGGTTCAGTCACGCGGTTCTTCACTTAACTTCATTCGTTTTTACACTGTACTAAAAGGCCTATTTCATTCACATCTGCACGACACTAGGCACCATTTTTAGGAGACTGCTGGCGGCCATTTTGGACGCCATCTTGGATTTCCAGGTTTTCTGGTGGCCATAACCGATGCATTGCAAGTTGTATGAATGGATTCTTCGACCACTATAACCTAGGTATAGACACCAACATTACATATACAAGATCGATACATCATGATTTATGACTATGTTACGGTATTGGCGGCAGTCTTGAACGCCATTTTGAAAACAACCACTTTCCGACGGTCCGATTTTCTTATACACTGTATTTTTAGTTTGTTGTTTCTGATGCCAAACACTACCGGAAGCCGTTGAAAAAGCTTTTTGTTGGATTGGTGTTTACTTTTACCCCCATAAATTGGCCTGACTACATTGACTATATTGAGAAAATGTGTTTATTCATAAAAATAAGGCAATTCGCGGAATAATGAAAGGTGATCAATTGCCATTTCCTATTTTCAAGCCTAGACATTACATGTAGGACCACATTTGGAGAGCGCCTGTCAGTTAGCAACACATTTTGGGTGTTTCAAATAAAGGCTTGAAATTGAACAAAGTATTGCTCATGTTGACTTTGTGATAACAACATTTGCTTTCTCTCGTGCTTCTTTGGCAGAGCCCGCCTAATCTGCACCTTTGTAATTATAATGCTATTTATTTTAACTAATTTTTGAACTTGTGATAAACTGTCGAATTATATCACATAGATATATTAGCATCCTTGCTATGTATACGTTAGACTAGGAGAACAGATACTCTGCATGTGGAGGGGCTTATAAACGGGAAGGAATTAATCACCTAAATGTCATGTTTGGAATATTCATAAATGGAATATTCGTAATAACGTGAAACGGTCTTTGGTGAGAAAATCTACATTCTCCACACTCGACCAGGGGGCGTGTCACAAAGCTTTTTTTCAATGACAAAAATCAGTGACAAATCTGCTGACAACCAATCAGAAGCAAGAATTTCAGTAGCTAATAAAAAAAAAAAAACCCTAATTTGTCACTGATGACAAGTTCTGTGACACGCCCCCCCCCCCCACAGGTGTAGAATATGTAGGGACCTGGTAGGAAAACTCGTTGAAATGTACCCTGTTAACAATATGGTAAAAGTTGTCGCATAAAAAACCGGGGTAATATAGTCTTCCACGGCTCTTTGAACGGGACTTATGTTAATATGTGCTTTTCAAGAACGGAATATTGATATTATAATCACATTCATTAGCATGACTTCGGTCGAAATATAAGAATGAGTTTTTTTTCATTATTAGTTTGTGTTTGTTTGTTTAACCCTAGGTAATATGGTTACATGTCGTTTTTTCCGAAGGTTCACAATTCAGAAGGTCCGTAATTCTAAAAGTTCGTAATTCCGAAGGCTCGTTACTCCGAAGGTCCGCTATTCCGAAGGTTAGTAATTCCGAAAAATGAAACAAGGCTCGTAATTCCGAAGAAGAAAAAGGGTTCGTAATGCCGAAAATGAAGCAGGGTTTGTAATTCCGAAAATGAAATAGGGTTCGTAATTCCGAAAATGAAATAGGGTTCGTAATTCCGAAAATGAATAAGGTTCGTAATTCCGAAAATGAAACAGGGTTCGTAATTCCTAGAATGAACTAAGGTAGAAAATATCGCTCCCTAGTCAATCTGAAAGTTTTAAAAGACCAAAAATTGCTGACTGCGGGACAAAATAAAAAATCGATTAGTGGCATCCTTATACCAGATTTAAACCGATTTGTAGCTCGTGTTGATTTTGTGATTAGAACATTTGCTCTCCAGTTTCAAGCCTTGTCCCTGCACGAATCAACACAAATCCCCTTAATTAGATTTATCTGTATTTACCTAATCAGTGACTGAACTTTTGATAAGTTAATGAGTCTTTCAACCCAACATAACAATTGAGAACTTCAGACGGAGTAATGGTTCAAATGGGGGTTCGGCCCACCCGTGCACTTTGGTCAGGCTGAATTGTGCACGCATATGGAGAGGCGGCGGCCAGGGAAGAGGAATAAATCACCAAACATTTGAAATTGTCTTTAATTAGTCTTCACCTTTATAGTTGATTATCCATTAGGTACTCTTCTCATCAGAGAATTAAAATCTTCACTGTGAGAGACTTCGGCATGGATCTGACGTGTCTACACTGAACATTTTGAGACCTACGAGATACGGCCATAGCTAATTGGGATACGATATAATTGTTGGTTGTTTTAGCAGACGATTCGTTACTGTTTTTACAACTCTCTGCACGTGTATTTTTTAATGAGCCATCTATTTAGGACTCCTTTGTAGTTCACCATTTTACAAGAGAAAGTCAAAATGCACGTTCTTCAGTATAGCGATATTTGACGACCGACATTACGAGATATTCCATAACATGAATAGGTTGGCCTCGGACTCAACACCAAGATCACGTGAATCTAAAGCATTAGGCAATATTTTGTCCCTGTTTTTGAGTCATTTTTTTTTTAATTCTTGGTTTCATTTTCCGCAGTGATTACGCGTAAATCCTTCTTCACGAAACTGCGTTAACAACAGGAAACGGCGTTGATTTCTGCACGGGATCATGCACATTAATTCATCTGTTAGGATTGTTAATATACGCTTTTGTTTTTAAGTGGTTCTGATTTATAAAAAAAAACGCATGACAAGGAAGAGAGGTGCAAGAAAACGGATTATTAGTCATATATTCAAGGCAGTAACTGCTGTCTATTACCATTAGTTGCTTTTTGTTGTTGTACATAATAAAGCAATATCACATAGATAACAGTACAAAGTGACTGTATACATATCACGGGTTATGTCAAATGTCTAAATATTTTATAGGATTCACTTCAGCCATAATACCAACTTATCAAGGCAAATTTGACTGTGTTTGAGGCTTAACTGAAGAAGGTATATGAGCATAGTCACTGCAAATGACCATTGATATATTACTTTTCGTCATCTATGATCTCGAGAACGTAACCGTCGATCATGGCCTGGAACACAGAAGATATGGAAGGAGACACGATTGCGCTTGAACCAGGTCCTGGAACCGATTCATCACCATCGAACCTTATTTTGTGGAGCATTGTAATCGTATTATGTACCTTGGTCATACTTAGCAGCCGCAGGATTAGGTTCAAACTCAAATACCACGCTTTTGATGGAATGTATTTCCTTTTCGGCATCATTTCTATACCTTTCATGCTCTTCAATGCTTGCGATCCCAAAGCTACCAGGTACGTACTCTCTTTAGACCATGCAGGGGTGTCGCTACATAGGGGGAGGGGGGGGGGGGTGAGGGGTGGGGTGCGAAGGAGGAGATCAGTTTCGTAGCATTTTTGTTGTGGAGGGGGGGGGGCTCTAGTCTTATTGAGCGAACTACACCCACTCAATAACGAGAAGGGTGCTTTTAATTGCTTATCAACGTGCAGTAGCACCATTTAACCAAAATTAATACACAGAATAATTTATTTTGGAAATCTTCGTGTTGTCTGTGTGACACACATTTATTTTTATTACCGCCGTTGTCATGAAGGAAGTATTATGTGGAAGAATCAGGGTACGCGGACATACGGGGTCACATCAATTAAGCGGTTCCTTTTATATTGGCAAATCCAACCTTTGTCCCGCCAAGTACATGTTCTGATTGCACATAATTAATGTTCTTTTGGCTACAGGTATTTCTTCTTCCACTTTCAAGTGTATAACAACAGAAGTATATAGCTAACATGACTAAAGTTTGCATACATGTTTCTTTAACGACAATATATAGAGTGATTTCGTAATTATCCTTGCAAATGCTGGCAACCTAGGTATGCACACGAGCCCTTTACAGTTGGGTAAAATATTAACTATTCGTTTCGGTCCACCTGCAGAAATAGAATGTTTATTATCTTTATTGTTTTGGCCTTGCTCGAGTAAGAAGGAGAGCATGATATAACGGGGTCATCACACTTCTAGAAGAGATGTAAAAATCGAAGCAGAAGGGATACTGGCAGTTGCTTCTTTTTCATTAGAAAACATACCCATTTTAAAGAAGACGTGTAGTCCAGTGGTTTAAACACTTGACATGAAATGCAAAGGTTTGTGGGTTCGATCCCCGACACGGTACTTATGTCCGCTGGCAAAGCATTCATCTACAGTGGCCTATCCATACCCAAGAGAGAAATCGGGACCTGCTAGGTTGACAAAAGCACTTGTGTTAGTAATCGCCATAAGTATAATTATGCCCTTCGCGTGACCATAATTATGGAAAATATACTTCTAAGGAAGTGGAGATGGTGCACATTGTGCGCGAATGAATCTTATGACTGGATTAACAATATATGTATAGCACTATCAGAGACGGTACTTCATATATAAGCGCTCTATATAAGACCAGATTATTTTCAACCATGGAGGCTAATAACTCCATGCTTTCAACGAAAAACTATTCTTACAAATTCGTTGTGTAGGTAATGTGCATCATTGGCAAGATTTAATGTGTTTTGTCTCTAAGCCTTACAATGTTTGAGGTACTTTGCAAAAATTTAGCTCCTCAAAAGATAAAAAAACATGACAAAAGCGTTTTTAATAAGCAGATAAGTCGATATCTCACGAGACGTTAAAAAATGTCTGAACTTTTGCTATACGATCGAGGACGTATACATTGGAATATCATACAAATGGCATGCGGCTTTACAGTTTATACAGGTACAATGTGTCATCATCGACCTTTGGAATAACGAATCTTAAAATTCATGTGCAATTATGTGCAATTATTTGAATTGAGGACGGTACTGTAGATTACATTGATTCACTTTCCGCTGACAAATACTCTTTATTTTTTGCCATCGGTTTTTGATACAGAATGCCGCAATTGTTGGTGCAACGGGTCCAGAGTCCTCTGTTCGGTGTTACCGCCAAGATAATAGGAATGGAACGATATCCTGAAGGTCCATTTGTCATCGTCTGTAATCATCAAAGCTCTCTCGATTGCATAGGTAATATTCCTAACCTAGCTTAAATTACATTTTTTTTTTAATCAGGAGGGAGAGAGAGGGGGGGGGGGGGGGGTGGGGGGGGGGGGTAAATGTTCATGAAAATCGAAGTCCCGATCGGGTTGGATTCTGTGGAGGATAAATATTTTATTGGTCTGGATTTTAAGTACTCAAGATTGAGAAATAAATTGTTTAATAGGCTTTTCGATTTTTATGTGGTAATCCCCCATAAACTAGATAGAAAATACCGCAAATACAACACATTATGATAATTTCCACCTCTGAATATGGCGTCACGGAACTTATAATTATACGCACTCACGCTATATACACCTAGCTTTTCTCTCACTCTTTCTCTCTTTCTCTCTCTCTCTCTCTCTCTATTACTCTATCGCTTGCTCACAAAATAGCAATAATCTGTCAATTAACGATGTATGCGTCTTCTCCATGCAGGTTTAATGGAGCTTTGGCCACCGCGGTGCGTGATTCTCATGAAGAAAATGCTCAAGTACGCAGGGCCGTTTGGCCTGGCTGCCATCTTGGCCGGGTCCATCTTTGTGGACAGGTCCAACAACCGCAGTGCCAAAGACGCCCTCAGCCAGGCCGTAGAGATCATTCAGACAAAAGGCGTATGTTAACTTACTACAGGCATTAAAGATAAACTTGAGTTCTGGTTAAAAAAAAAAAGAATTCTCACAGAATCAAACTAAACTTACACTGAATGTTCAAGAGTACAAATAAATGTCATTTGCCCAACAATTTTGGTAGAAAATGTATACTGGCCGAGTAAAGAGCATAGAAAGATAAGGAAATCAAGGTTAGTAGCCCGACACCATTTGTGTAGTCCCATATGCTTCTTTCTGTGTACAGTGCTTGTTACTTTACCAAGACTGGGTCAAGTTTATAAGGATTTTGATGACTCCAGAACCTTGTAGTACACACCAATACTTACATGCTACATGATCACTTTTTTCTGATCCATTCCACACCTTTTCTTTCACAATGCAATCGCATGACCAGAACTCAACTTTATCTTTAATTTCCAATTTCTCTACAACCCAATGCACCATTGGTTCTATTTTCCATCTCTCCTCTGTAACATCGGTCCTACATCCACTGGTCTTTCCGTAAAGTGATCAACAGATCATAGGACCCCAATTCTATATCTCACTGCTCCTTTGTCAATTGTCACTAGCATTAGATTTTGCTTGAAGATTGGGGATACCGTGGGTACAGATTTAGGTTTTTGGTTTCTTCCTGAAGTATCCATACACTGTTTTCATTGTTTTATCGTATTCGTGGTAAATATCCTTTTTATTTTGTTCTCATAATTATGTCTTTCATATCTTTTTTTTCCTCCAATAGTACCGAGTACTGATATTCCCGGAGGGGACGAGAAAATTGATTAAGGAATCATCGGGGAAGACGGAGATCTCGGAACCCATGCTCCCGTTTAAAAGGGGAGCCTTCAATCTTGCCATTCTAGCACAGGTAACAGGAATAATAATATTTTGTTTTGTTTTAGGGAGCATTTTGTGAAGCAAGGTAGGAGTTAAAATTTTTCCAGTATCAATAAAACTGCGTCTTTAAAAATTCGTACAATGTTATATCTGTGTTGGGTATAATTTTTCTTCTAAAGATTCACCATCTCCTGGTATCGGTGAAGAAATTTGCTCCGAATTACTGGAAGTATCGTAGTTAAGTTTTTCGTTTGGCTGCCCTATGTAAGTACCTGCAGGAAAATACGCTTCTTTATAAAGAGGTCAAACTATTAGTAACCGTATTCAATATATTTCGATTTCAGGTGCCCATCGTTCCAATTGTATTCTCATCGCAGAAACATCTGCTTGATTTCAAGGAACATAAATTCGTTTCAGGTAAATACAACTTTCACTAAAAACATACGATCGCAAAGACTTTCGAAAAATGAACGTTAGACAATATCATTCGCCCTGTCAACCACCTTTTGAAATGTGCAACCATATTACAATAGGGACTTTTAGATTTGCACGACGGAGAACGTGGACTGCCCTTTTAAGGCAATGTGACGTCACTGCCAGTGCCTTAAAAGGGCAGTCCAAGTTCTCCGTTGTGCAAATCTAAAAGTCCGTAATGATGTATTACGACGAACAGGTCTTTTTGGGGACATACAGTAGGGTATAAGAAGAGGTGTTGTGGTCTAGTGGATACGTCACCGGACTGTGGATCGTATGGTTCCTGGTTCGAGTCCCGCCGTTGCACTAATGTCCTTTGGCAAGGCATTAATCTACATTTGCCACTCTCCACCCAGGTGAGGTAAATGGGTACCCGGTAGGAAGAATGCTTGAGCACCTTTACATGGTAGCTCGGCTAAAGCGGGGGTAATAGTATGATTGCAGGGCCCTCAGGGAGAACATTATGTACACTGATGAGGCTACCCTGGGTAAAACAAGATATATTATTATAATGAAATTGCCCTTGAGTTGATTTCTCGAAAGTGTTTGCGATCGTGTTTATACAGAATAAATGGTTAAATGCAGATGTGCTCGATTATGTTTGGACTTATTATTTCATATTGCTCGACTCAAGATGACTAGGTAGTAGGTAGAAACAATTCACATACTTACGATTAAAAAAATTACCAGTAAATCATCACAATCTTTTTGTTAATGGTGGGAGTTTTGTGTTGTGTGAAGAGTTTGATCAAAATAATGCGTCAGTCGCTCAACCTAGACTGTTCATAATTGCTGAATGTTTGCGTGACTATGGACAATGATTGAACGAGAGATAACCATTATAATGCTTGTACTAGTTCGAGAATACTCGTACTGATTTGACAAGTTTTTCCCAATCCAATTCTAGTCTCCGTGACACATTAGTTCCAGCCTTGGTAGACACCCACCTTTTTCTAACTAATCTGTGTAAGTGCTGGATGTGATAAGAAGATTAATGTGTCTTTTTGGAACCCACACAGGTGAATACACGGGGGTCGTCCTATACCGCCTGAATGAACGAGAGAGGGCCGACCCTTAAAAACGCCCTGAAAAAGAAATCGTACTCAAAGGATCAACCGTTTCAACATGCTCGAACAAAGTCATTATACACTAAATTATCATTACGTTGTTCGAAAACAAAGTATTGGCTAATTTCTTGTTTTGTTTAACCCTAGGTGAATATACAGGCTTCGTCCTACCGCCCGTCTCAACGAAGGGGCTGATTTTAGATGACGCCCATGACTTGAGAGACAAAATTCGAACCCAGATGATCGACTGTTTCAATGAGCTTGAACGAACCAAGTGAAGACCGCCATCATGAGGATAATTTAAACAGATAAATAATGGGTTTACACGAAGTCGACATGCAAACAGGCCTACAGATGGCGAGGTGACGAAAATCATAAACAAGGTTGAGGAAGTTTCGAGGTGGTTTCGAGTGAGTTTCGAGGAAGTTTCGAGGAAGTTTCGAGGAAGTTTCGAGGAAGTTTCGAGGAAGTTTCCACGAAGTTTAGACAGGACTTCGGGCACTTGGTCGGCTTGTGGCATGGCTTTTGCCGTCGGGGTATTTCTCCTCTTATACATAATGATGTATCTGCCTTGTAATTCTGTTTATACACCCTCCTTCCATTTTGTCTGATTTTTTTATTTTTATATTTATTATTGCATTTTATTCTGGTATTTTGTATTTTGTATTGTTTTTCATTTTATCGAATCTTGTAAATATGTGATTCTCATGTTTTGTTTTAATGAAATATACAAAGAAAGAAAAAAAAAAAGATTCGGAGGATTTTCGGAGCCTTCAGTCTATAGTTTACTTTCACCATGGACCCACTAAATGGATGTCCTCCACCCCGTCATAGATAAACAAGAGACTGAAGCGACAGGCGTGATGGCAAAGACTTTCGAAAAATCAAACTTGGGCAATGTCAATAGCCTCGTCTGTCCCCTTTAGAAACGTCCATCTATTAAACTATAATGACAATAATTGTGACGTATTACGTAATCCGGACATGTTTCCAGGGGGCGTTTCACAAAACTTGTCATCAGTGACAAATGACAGTTTTTGTTATAAGCTACCGAAATCCTTGCTTCTGATTGGTTATCAGCAGATTTGTCACTGATTTGTGTCATTTGTCATTGAAAAAAGGCTTTGTGAAACGCCCCCTGGCCATATAGGGTATTGTAATGGCACTTAAAGGGATTTCTCGACAGTGTTGGGGGTCGTGTTAACATTTTTCTGGAGATATGTGTCAAAGTATATGGGTATGGAAGATGCACTAACTTTAATAATGCTCTAAACACCACAATCGATAATAAGTCTTCATGAAATCATAAAACTTGCAACATAATCTTGCTCATATCGAGAATGAAGGGGCGAAACGACATTTTGGATATTCATATTGTATACTGAAGATTTTTTTTTTTGACCCTCCGTATTGGTGTAATTTATTGGTGACATACAGATGATACAGTCCTCAAGAGGGCGACATTCATTGATTACAAATATATTCATTTCACCAGCTGGTTAATATAACACTGGAAAGTGACCGGCCAGGATACGTGACGACTGACACCTCTCGACGGTATCGACCAATCACATTTCGGTATCTGTCTAAGCTATCTAATATTGTATATTGTACTTATGACTCAGTCACACCAGCAAGACGATATCAGACCGACAAAAGACCGACAAAAGAATTCCTCTATCCCCTATACTACGGCCACAATCAGTTTTTAGGTCGGTTTGGCGGTGTGACCGATGAGGTATTAGTGCATGTATGTTCATCTTTACATTACAATACCTGATGACAGATGAGTGATGAAGGCAGTTTTTATCTGCACACTTCTTTCACAATCTCGAGGTCAAGTCTTATACATATACAATATTTCAATGCGTATGATTAAAGGTAAAGACCAGTTATGGTCATGCGATTGCATTGTGAAAGAAACGTTGTGGAATCGATCAGAAAAGGTTGATCATCTAGCATCTGCAAGGTTCTGGAATCATCAAAATGATAAGAAATTTGGCCCATTCTTCGTAAAGTTACAAGCACTATACACAGAAAGATGTATACGGGACTACCCTATATCTCTCACAGACCATGAGAGAAACAAATTTACCAAATATATGAATTAGTAGGCGGTTTCCCAGCAAATTTTTTATCATCATGTATTAGTCAAAACTTATTCTTTCACATGATTGGTAATGAGAGCGTCCATTTCATTTTTTGAAATTGGGGCGTTTCCAATACTGGTCTTTACCTTTAAGGTATTATTATGCCCGCATCATTTAAACATGCATGTTACAATACAGGGGCGGATCTAGCTTTTTGCCAAGGGGGGGGGGGGGTTGACCCAGTGGTCAACTCCTAGATCCGCCCCTGTACTATGACGATGAATCTTATTGAAGTATAGGCTATATCAGTGAATTATTGCAACAAGTTTGATGCCAACCATCTTACCGTTTCATAAAGATTTGTTAATATTCAAGTTGTATAAAATAATATGATAAAGATTAATATAATATTATGTATTGTCTAATCAAATCAACATGTCATTTTCGAGTAAATATTTTTAATTCAAATTAATTAATAAATGAATTAGAATAAATTCCAAAGTTTCCTTTTGTATCAAGGCCTTGGATTAAAAAAACACTATAGAAATAAAATTGCATGCAGGACACAAAACATTGATGAGTGTGGACACGGGAAAAGTGAATGATTGGGCATGGTAAATATACGACATCAAAATGACAAGGAGAGAAGATGGGGTATAACAGCAGCCGTGTTCACACGATGGCAATTTTGGTCAGGGTTAAGGTCGTGTTTAGAGCTAGCGTAGTGACCGTCTGAAGTCTGAACGATAGTCGTGTTAGCAGCGCCGACCTTTACATTGACTGGTTTACTCCTGGATTTTTCCGGGAGTAACGCGCTTACACAACTGGAGGGTAGCGTAAGTTGACCGTGTGGATGCTCTTAGGCTGCGTTCATGCTTAAATTTTGAAGGCAGAATGAGCGATCTGAAACGCTCATCGTAAACGCTCATCGTGATCGCAGTTCCACGATGTAGTGTTCATGCTTACTTCTCTGGCTCCCCCAGGCAATTCTCAGTGTGTGGCCTTAATTGGTCTTCCAGCTGGATTCGCAAACCTTCACTGTGCATGCTACGTAGACCCACTAGAGGTCAGTGCGTTGACCCCATTTAAACGCGTTTACAAATTGTAAACGCATCTTTTTGTGAGTTTACGATCGGCGATCGTGATCGCCGTTTTTCGGTGATTCTACAAAAGTGAGCTAAGACGCAACCGTGTTTTAAACTAAACGCGTAACAGATGCCTGATTCTGGCCGTCAAGCATGAACGCGCCCTTACTTGGCACTCGGAGTATATAGAGGGTTGAAAGTGTGACGTCATAAAAAAAAATTGTTTTTGTTTGTTGTTGAATTTCTCAATTTTTTCTTCATTTTCCCAAAGAGCATCAAAAATAATGTCCAAATGTCGAAACCAACTGAATATGTTAAGTATGGGATGAGATATGATCATCTGAATAAATAGATTCCATAAAGGAACTCAGTGTTATATTGCTCTGGTTCATAACATTACGAGCCAGAGCAATATATCTTCCAAGATAAATCAATATTTACAATGGAATTAACATTACTTAAATTAACAATAAAATAAATGTTACTAACATAACTGAACAAAATAACATTACATGAATTACCAAGAAGATGAAACCTCACTAACATTACTAAAGAAATTATCATAACTTTCCTGGGAAAGTTCACATGTTATATTAATATTAGCAACAATTAAAAAAAGACATTATGTGGGCATTGTAATACAAATTCAAACTTATTTTATTGTTATTTTGGGGGAATAGATGAGTTTTTTTTTAATTCTCTTTGAAAATGTCAACGGTGGGCGAGTCCTGGATATGGGCGGGGAGTGTGTTCCAAAGAATGGGGTCACAGACTGAAAAGGCCCTGTCATCATTGCGGATGATAGTTCAATAAGTTTTTGTTGTTGGAAAAGATACGTGACAAACGAGTATTATAATATAAAGAGCCCCTCTGTATATAATATGGTATATGAAGAGAGAGTTAACGAGAAAAACAGATGGGGGCAGATACAGGGAGAGAGAGAGAGAGAGAGAGAGAGAGAGAGAGAGAGATTATGCTGATCCAATACACCATTTGCCATTTCAATGATTAAAAAAGAAATAACACTGCGAGGGTGGTTTATAGGCCTATGAATAATTCGATATCATGGTATAATATTATGTGGGTGTACAGGGTAGGCTGCAATAATATTGGATTGAAAGAGATTTGTAATGTCTGTTTGGTATGAGAAACGACTATAAATATATCTCAGCTAATCAGGGCGTAAATATTCTCCCCAAAAATGAAACGCCGATAACATTACAAAATAACAACAACTCGTCAGCAAAATTAGAGTGCACTCCATCGTCGCATTATCTCGATGTCTAGCTGTCCCCCACACCCCAAAAGACATGTGTAGGACCGGTCTAAGTCGAGAAATGGTACAAAAACAGAATTTCTCCCTGAATGAAGTTCCAAATGTCAAAAGTATAAAAGGCCTTCGTTTCGAGGCCGACCTGTCGACGAGTAGTCATGACATCATGTTTACTTTTCTCCGACTGTGCGACTTGAAAATAATACCCCTGTCGATATCAAGGTTCATATTTACTATATACCTTCAGGCTAAATGAGAAGGAAAATTACATGTTTTACGATCCTATTATAAATCTCATCCCAGTGCAATTTATTTCAAATCTAGCTGTGGTCAGGTGGCAAGCTAGGTGAGCCGTGACCTTTATGCTTATTGGCTCCGGTCAATTCGCGCTCGAGCTCGCAGGCCGTGTCATATGCCAACTCGATCGAGCGATTATGATAATATTTCGCCGTGCCAACATTCATCGCACGCCCCGGTCGCACGCACACCCGCCTTCGGTATAGTGGCACTGTACGTCAAGTTCTATGTCGTAATGCACGGCGCAGCATGCATCAGCTGAGTTTGTAGGGGTGGAAGAAGAAAAACGTGTATGGTGTCCTTTGTTTGTCCTCCTTGGTTTTATGTCTATTTCGAGCGCGCGAACCATTTTTTTCACAGTTGAGTTGTATGCTCCGAGAACACAACATTCAGCTGGTCGTGTTTGTTGGCAAATGTACTTGGACTCTGTAAGCATGGAGCAATGAGTCCACGTTTACAATCATCCATTTTCTCAGCATCTTTGTATAATGATCAGGATACTAACACACGTAGTAGGATATAACAGCTGATACAGGATCGCTGATTTCATGGGTATTTCGATCAACAATTTTCCGGATGACACTGAGCACCGCATACACCAAGGATATCAAGTAATGTGTTATTTCTCATGATTGTTGTATTCTTCAGTTCATTGACTAATCCCGTATTCCCTGTTTACAAGCTTACTTGCTTACTAAGAGTATCCCTCCATGTTTATGTTTATATTATTATCGAAATACAATATGTGTTAATATTATGTTATACTTGTTATTTTTTAAAGATGGACAAATAAATTGAATTGATATTTGAAGCACTGTTCAAAGCAACATTTTGTAAATACTTTTATATCAGAGTTACGTTCACTTTGCTATATACCATTCTACCACAAAACGGGTGATTACTGCATTATGAACGATTATTGGTCAGATATAAGAGACATCAAAATTATCGAATATTATCAGCATGATCAACAATAGGACATTGGCCGCTGGTGCTTTGTTTAATCTTGAGTAACCTTTGAAGCATCTCATTAAGATATATTCAAGCAATCTCAACTCCATTTGAGGTTATTAAAGGTGAAACGGAGCACATCGACCCATGCCCTCGTTAAGAGGGTGTATAAGCGTTCATTTTATCTGCGTTCTGTGTGACGCTGTTGACAATTTTATAATATGTCTTCGTTTTTGTTTAAAGAAATATATTCCAAACTGAATGCAGAGCGTACATCACGCTTCTCTATTCCTTCTCTTTGTTGCAGCGCATAATTTTATAGGGACACATTAATTTTAATTTATATGCGCTATATCATTATTATTTTGATGTCTAATCTTTTCAAGCACCCCTTCCCCTTGCTCTTAATATTATTTATGAGATCATGGTTCTTAGATACTATGGTCAATTGGTGCATCAATTCCTCAGAAATCCAACACGATTTTTGTTTGATACCTGCTCAAGAAAATAACAACTAGCTAGGCCTGATGCTCTCTTTGGTTGCTTGATACGTTGATGTGTATATACGAATAAAATTCGAGCATCTGGTTGAATTTCCCTTCGTTTTTTACAGCTTCCTAGAGAAAAAAAGACTATGAATGGTAAATTTGACTTCCTCTTCTTGATATACTACAGATTCCACTGTGACTTCCGGTCTACGGATGAAAGCAATAACTCTGACCTGGATCTCCTTCAGCTGAACTAACGTTCCAATCCACCCATTCAAGAATCCAACCTGGTACTGTCCAAGACATCGCACCGTTATAAAACCACTGAGCGTAAAGCAACAGAGGAGCTCCGTCTCTGAAATTTTGTAAAGAAACAGTTCCTTTCATCGAGGTCACAACAGCGTTTGATTACCGTGCTATACCATAGACATAACCGAGTTCTTCCTTACACAACGCACACAGCGTGAGTGCGAACTTCCGTAGCAAAACAGGTGCCTAGGGATGGATATATTATAAAGGGGAAAGTGGTCAAAACGTGCGTGACTCTCTAGCAACCTTCAGACCTGAAGCTGGACAGCAAAAGGCACAGTCCACGGCAGTAATGGAGGAACAAATTGTGTATGAAACTACGACCCACTCGTCGCCCGGGTCGACGTTGAAATTGACTGTGTTTCTTGTCGCGGCGTTGGGTATGGTGTATTTGATTTCAAGGAGCAGATGTGGGGCCTTCTACGCAAGGTATATCACCCTCATCGCATCGTATATCGTGTTTGGTTTGCTGTTCGTACCAATCCTCATGCTCAACCCCGGCAGCCCTAAGAATGCTTGGTGAGTCATCAAGTCAGCTGTAATATACTTTGTCTGATTAACAATAACATATCACACGGTCGATCAGACTTTTGACAGATTAACCCAATGGCAATATACATGTAGCTGCCATCACCAATTAAAAATAAATGTACACTTATTGCTATGGCGTATACTTCGTCATCGGACCATGAATTCCATGAGGTCTCTTGAAAATGCCCTCGGCTTGATTTCTCGAAAGTCTTTGCGATCGTATCATATGCATGCTAGCTACACTGCTACATATTAAACACACCCACCAACAACAATACAACGATGTACTACATGACTATGACAAATAGAGTGTAATATTTACAGTAGCAGTGAATTATTGCGTGTTGGCGGCCTACTTATCGGTATATTACTCCATTAGATCATGGAGTTAATAATTAGAATGATAACTCATGTATAATTAACGTGTTACCAAACTAGGGGTACCAGTACCTGTTACACAAGCTTGTCAACACTACGACCTGTAACCTTTTAAAAAGAATCCTACAGCTCTACTGCAAAATGGCCAACATGACTGTATACTAATCAGATAATAGGGACGGCAAGTGTTTTTTTTCATTTGACATGCTAAACAAGGCAAGGAACAGAAGGGAAAAATTATATTTCTATCACTCCATGATATTACACGTACACGTGTAACTATTATAATTACCCGACATACACTTAAGTGTACACGGACATATGAGTATCACTTTCATTGCCGTAAGCAGGGAGGTGAGACTTTAACTCACATGCCCTGCCGTAAGCCTACGGAATCGAACGGGGTATTGTGTCAACAATATAATTATACGTTGTGTACTTTTCGGATTTGGGTAAATATATTCAGGCTTTCTACGCAAACAACTGCATTCAAACACAGACCAGACTGTTTTCCCCTTTAGGGACGTCAGATCCGGGTAATTATTGTGCAAACGATTTGTGCAAACATGCCACATCTCATTTTAGGAATAATCTTACACACATGCATGAATGTTGTAGTTTAGTACATGGAGTAAGAACGTTTTCATGTCCATTATGCATCATGCAGATCAATTGTAAATGTTACGTATAGCGAAAACCACAAACAGTTGCCCAATCAATAATACATCAGAAATGACCCGAAGGTAAGTGCCGTCTTACACAATGACGAAAGGTTACTGTCGGGTCATGAGAAGGCCTATGTAATTTAAATGCATTCTTAAGTTTCTAATCATATGCAAGCATGCTAGGATGCCGAATAATGCTTATACAAAGTCATGTACATAAAATTATTTGATAGATATTGGAACTGTGAACCGAATACATAATCGTAGAATGTGTGGAATCTCTGGAATGAAACAATTACAGCTATCGTTTTCATGTTTTATGCTATTTGCTTTAGGAAGGGAACGTACATACATGTACAAGAACACTTTAGCAACGCCAATTTTATATTGGATTTTTATTTAGAAGTACATGTTTTTCACTTGAATGTGTTCCTACCTTGCTGTTTTTATTTGAACATAATTTCAGACTATAACTTCTAAGTTTTGCTTAATATCCCCAAGGGCATATTCTACATTCGAAAGAGAGGAAGTTTGATGACATTTCCGGCTTTTTGATAGTCATGAACAGACTTCCGAATGGCTTTACGGCAGCCTAAAACATGGGCACTGCCTAGTGCCTACCCTCTGTAACTTGCAATGGAAGACACAATACAATGTACATGCACTACTCCTTATAAACGTTGACCCTATGTCCCTATTCCAGTATTCAGTGATATTTAAATGAAACCTCATGCCGAAGAATAAGTGTAGGTATTCTGAAAAATGAGATGTATTCTTGCCCTTTGATGTGCAATATTCCTTACAAAAATGTGTACGAGAGATATATAAATGGTGGGGAATCTTGTAGATTATTGGGCAAGAATATAATATATTATCAGAATAAGTAAACTTAGTTCTCGGGTGAGGTTTCCGTTAATTATATGAACAATTTACAAAAAGAAACATGCTTGTAGGCTCTGGCATGTGTAGCCAAAGTGTGCTGGCCTATATTTCCCTGGTGTAGCAGAAACGCTTTAAAATTTAAATACAAGTCATTGTACACAATGTGTCCCGTTTGTAAGATATTACAAGGAAATACTAGGAGAGCAAACTCCTTTGATAGATAAAGAGGACAAAGACGTATAGTATGGGTGATAGGTGATGCGACCTTAAAAGTAAGATCGCCTTCTTGTATGCCCATCAACATCAGTCGCATAGGGGTCTTTCATCTGCATTCTACGTTCTTATAATCATTAGTAACGTCAGTTCACATAAGGCCCAGCTTCAATTTCCATCATAATGTTATTTCATGTAGCCTTATTCTCTTTCTAGGCAGGGTGTTAGGCTATTTTTGTTTTAAATTTAAAAAAATAGCGTCCTGCTCTTTTGAAAAATAGGAAGGAGGCCCTTTTTTTCTTCTTCTTCTTCCAAAATGGCCGCTCGGTACATTTTCCCCGACCGTCGGGCCATTTTACAAGATGGCCGCCAGCATTAAAAAAAAAAAATCAGTAATTGATCATTTTAGCAGTATGTTTTTCATGTTTTTATTCATTGAAAAAAAAATGAAAACAAATAAGGTGGCCCCAAAAAGGAAGCAGACGGGGACACTAAACATGATTTTTTTTTGGTTAATGGCCTTAGGTGAATCTATTCGTGAACCCTTTGTCCTTCACCCTTTTATCCTTCAGAAAATTCGATGTTCTTCTATAATTACAAATGATTCTAACAAAATGCGCAATTATAGAATTATATTTCTTAATGGTTTCTTTCAATCATCAGGTGGTTAACAAAATACGGGAACATTTTCCAGCTACCCCTGTGTCGCCTCACCATCAAACGGAAAGGGTGTGCATACCCAGAGGGACCGTTCGTCGTTGTTTGCAACCATCAAAGCTCTCTTGACAGCCCAGGTAAGTCCGTGAAACATTTCTACATTTCAAAACCTGTGACGCAAATTATCTTAAAGGTATAGACTAGTTTTGGAAACGCCCCCTCTCAAAAAAGAAATGGAAACTCTTATTACCAATTTTGTAAAGGAATATTTTTTTACTAATACGTGATGATACACATTTTGCCGGGAAACTACCTACTAATTGATATATTTGGTAAATTATTATATCTATCCGGACTTGATAGATATAGGGTAGTCCCATATACATCTTTCTGTGTACAGTGCTTGTAACTTTACCAATACTGGGCCAACTACTTATCATTTTGATGATTCCAAAACCTTTCAGTACACACCAATATTTATGTTAGATGATCAACCTTTCTGATCGATCCACAACGTTTCTTTCACAGTCTATACATTTAAAGATAATTTTGCCAGCAGTGGTTATTTTTAGAATGTAGTAAAGAGGAACATGTTTGTTATTGAGATTTGGAAATCATTAAGCCTATCTGATTAAGCTTATCTCTTCCCCCCCCCCCCCCCACCGTCTATCTTGCTTGCTGAAAATCACAAACAATGGAAATTACTGAACGCAGAAGTTGGTATTAAATGGGACTACAAACTTTGAAGATTATGGTCCAAGTTTTAAACATTATTTTCCGGTTGAAATTCAAAATATGAAAGCAGTGAGAAAAATAAAATGAGAAAGTTAACAAATTATGAATTACATGTACTATTAGCATATTTATCACAACTCTTTCTCAATGGTCTCGATAAAGAGAGAGAGAGGGGGTGAGAGAGAGAGAGGAGGAATAAAGAGAGAGGGGGAGAGAGAGGGAGAGAGAGAGAGAGGTGAATAAAGAGAGAGAGAGGGGGCTAAAGTAAAGGGGAAAAAAGAACCAAGGATATTGTTATCCTTCAACATGTAATCGAATAATCGATCGGGATTCATGTCTGATTATATTTTCATGTACGCATCAGTTTCAAGTCGAGAATCGCAATGTTAACGTGATTATTTCAACATCTGAATGAAAGCTAGAATGCACTAGCACTACTTTCTTGTTTGAAATACTTATGATCTCAATAAAAAAATCTTTACCTCCGAAATGGTCAGCTGTCAGGATGTGACCCGAATCACCTGACTTGAATGAATTATAGGAAACAACCAGGTATAGAGGTGACACGTCAAGAAGGTCAAGATTCATGTATTGAGGTCAAACTACATCACAGTTTTACTTTTAAAGAGAAGGTCGAGTTCTGGGAAGAGGTGAAAAATAACTTGTGAGCGTTATCTTTGTATTACGCAAGTGTGGAAGAACATCAGATACAAATCGTTCCCTGAAATTGAAAAGCATGGCTCTTCAAATGCCTTCATATTCTAAATATGGTATGTATAACGTCATACAAATCGGGACGGATTTTTATGCCACATGTTCGTGTAGTCCCATATACCGGTACATCTGTTTGTGTACATTGCTTGTAACTTTACTAAGATTGGGAAAAATTTCTTTATCATTTTGATGATTCCAAAACCTTGCAGTACACACCAATACTTATATGCTAGATGATCAACCTTTCTTTCACAATGCAATCGCATGACAAGAACTCAACTTTATCTTTAAACATAATCTACCGCCAATGCAAATGTTCTTTCATGACGATGAATAATACTGAGTGGAATTAAATCTTTTCCGATTTCAGTTATAATGCACGACGATATTTGGCCTGGAAACTGCGTGGTGATTATGAAGAAGGCCATGAAATACACGGGTCCCTTTGGATTGTGTCTGATACTCAGTGGTACCCTATTCGTCGACAGGAAAAGCTCCGCCAGTGCGAAGGACATGTTACGTCACGCCGTGGATGCAATACAAAAGGATAAGGTTGGTGGAAAATCGTAAACATGCATGGACCTCGTGTGTATGAGAAAAGAGAGCACCCCCCCCCCCTAATGTACAAAAGATTATACAGACTCAATTATGACACAATATATGCAGAAGCAACCTCTTAAAAACGGTTGAGAAAAAAAATGTTTCGGGGGGGGGACCCTCTCTGTAAGAGATTATACAGACTCAATTGTGACACAATATATGCAGAAGCAACCTCTTAAAAACTGATGAGAAAAAAAATATTTCGGGGGGGGGGGACCCTCTCTGTACAGCTGATAAATAAAGAAAGACCCCACCATGCAGGCTTCACGCATTAATAGTGTATTTTCATTACCTTTCAAATACATTTACAGTTGTATGTTACTCACTCACTCAACCAATCTCCAATAAACTGATAGAGAAACTATATACTGGGGAAAACTGGGGGAAACTTTCAGCGCACCGTCTCTTTAAAGCAGATAAAAGAGTAGACGTTCCCACCACATCAATACTAGGAATTAAAGGGAATTCTTTGTAATAGAAATATTTACAGACTTTGTAAAGTAACTTTCATATACTATATCACCACTACAGGTTTAGCTCAATCGATGCTGCATTCCCAGACGTTAATAATATGCGATTTGCAAATAAGGGTTTAAAAAATCTCAAATTAGTTGAACAAATATAGTCTATGTATTAGAGTGCCATTTTTTAATTATGCATGGTGAATAAAATATCCTAAAACACAGCTAAAATGAACTAAAGAACCAACCACTTGAATCACATAACAATTTTCTGTACATACATGTATATCAATCTGTTATTATTCTTTTCTCACAGCGTCGTGTTTGGGTGTTTCCAGAGGGAACTCGAAGACTGATGACGGAAAAACAATCGGAAGAACCACTGCTACCTTTCAAGAAAGGTGCTTTCAATTTAGCTGTACTTGCTCAGGTAAGAACAAAAAATCAAAATATGAATAGCTAGAGCATAAAGTCACTTCCGAAAATAATTCCAATACCTCTAGAAATCACGTTCGGATTATTTTTAGAAGGACTGCTTGCTTCACAATGTTCAATTCAGTATGTGATAAACGTTACGTCTCAAATGACATTTCATTATTCTTATATCCTGAGTAAGCATATTCTTAAATAAGTTTTCAGATCGTTTCCATATCTCCAAATAATATTCCAGCTGAGTACTAGTAAAATCTCTAACAATATTACATACATCTAATATAAAACAATTATACTAAAGGAATGATCATTAAAGGGACATGATTCATCAATATGAGGTTAAACTTCGAACTAAATTTGTTTGTAATGAAATGACACGACCAAGTAAATAAGAAAAAAATGCTGCAATTATACAAATAGCAGTTCAAGCAGCATAAGCATAAACAATGAATTTATTATGAGCATCGAAACTTTACTATACATTCTAAGAATCCTAAGAACAAACCGTTTTGTCCCTTCGTTAATCCAAATCACATATATGTAATACGTCTTTCTTAAATTACACAAAGACATCAAGTCTTCAACTGCCGTTGTTTTGATAGACAAAGGTGTGATTCAATAAATGAAAATGTGAGAATATGTCCCCCAAGCTATCACTTTCTCGATTTAGTTGCCCAAACCCTAAGAAAACTATTTTGTTTGCTAAAAAAAAAAAGTTTAAAAACACCAACAAATCATCACGGAAGAAAACCAACATTTGTGAATGTGAACAAAACGAAACTGCAGCGTTCACAGTAATACAAGCACCAACTGTACTTGTGAGGCCCAGCAAGTATTGAATGGAATGATTTCGAAGCATTTGGGTCAAACTTATTAAATTCCACCTTATCTGAACAAAACATCTCTGTACTCTGTAGATATGAAAGTATTATGTTGCATTTATAAAACTATCCATTCATGTTAAAATGTGCATTTCCCACATATGTGTTGCCATTCAATCTGGCTGCTACGTACAAAATCTAAAATATACATCTGTAGATATTGTTGAGGAAAACAATCATGCTACCGGTATTCATTACAGTGGCCTGAACTGCGAGTATAAATTTCCAGGAGTTTCTTTAATAATAAAATATAATGCAATATTTATAAAGCGCATAATGAACAAAAGTTTCTCTATGCGCTTAATGTCTTCAAAAGAATGTTAAACTCATTAATATTGAATACATGTACGTGTATAAACTATAATACTTAGATTACTTTATCCATGATCAGGCTTATTGCTCACTTTTATATTGTTTCATTGCTTTGTCTTCTCTGTATTTATATAATTGTCATGGGTTTTTTTCTTCGGTGGCAGCACCCATAATGTAAGGCTCATGCATGACTTTTACTTTTTTAAGCTGTCTCCTAACTCAAATGTTATTTCGTGATATGTTCAATACAGCTTTGTAAATGTACTCTTCATAAATGAATGGAATAATATCAGCTTTAAGTTAACACTTAAGTTTCGAAGAGCTTTGATCATTTATTTTAAGTGTTATAAAGGGTTGTCTCTTCAGTACATTACAACTGCTTTGTAAGAGAGCCCTGTATCAAACAACAGACAACTTAATGAATAGTAAAATAATGATACAAACCAACAAGCCTTATTATCTAAAAGTCATGACTTTCTTACTAAAAGTAAGTTTATTTCATTTCATTCCCAGGTTCCTATAGTGCCAGTTGTATTGTCATCACAAGCAAAACTCTTTAGCTCCAAAGAATATTTATTCGAACCAGGTTAGTATTATAACAGCAAGAGAGAGAGAGAGTGGTTAAAAACAATGTATTTGGTTAGTATTTGGTAAATCTGTTAAAGGTACTATGTCCCATTTGCAGGCCCCAAAAATGAAAAGGTTAAATTCCAACGGCATTTGAAAGATAACACTTATTTAGAACTTCCCTAAAAAAAGGGGGCTTGAAAATGTCTTTAAGTGGGGAAATAACAACCGTTAGTTGTTGAATCGACTTAAGAGCTATGGAGCCAGTAAGTAATAGTCTTGATTTTTTTAGACCATTGTACAGAATGGCCGTACGTTTTATGCTGCGTAAAGATTCAATCAGTTTAATTTTGGCCATTACAAGAAGTGGATTATTGATGTAGACAAACGCTAATGTACCCTTTAAAGCTCATTTTATGTATGTTATTACCAAAGAAGAAAAAAAGCTAGTCAGTCAGTCACTCAATAGTGTCTGACAGTGAAGTCTAGCAAGTAAACGGTTTTCCTTGCATAATTTGAATATTAGGAGACTGCTAACGTTTAAACTTCACAGAAAGGACATACATGACATATTTATATTTCCTGCAAAGTTCTACATAATTTGATGTTGGCTGCAAAAGGGACATAGTATCTTTAAGGCTAGCTGCCCTTTATGGTTAAAACTGTTCAATAATGATAATTATTACAACGAAAATGAATAGTGGTAGATCTACAAAACTGTTGTAGTGGTAACAATTTACAATAATATTGTTGACATTTGATGATGATCTTGATAATGATGATAATCACATTAACAGCAATAATAATAATAATGATATTTATAAAATACTACTTCTAATAATAATAATAATGATATGTGCTCTTAAAGGTAAAGACCAGTATTGGAAAAGCCCAAATTTCAAAAAATGAAATGGAAGCTCTTATTACAATCATGTGAAAGAATATGTTTTGAATAATACATGATGATAAAAATTTTGCCGGGAAACCGTCTACTAATTGATATATTTGGTAAGTTAGTTTATTGGTGTGTGAGAGATAAAAACGCACGTGTCGCACACGTGTGTGTAGTCCCATATACTTCTTTCTGTGTACAGTGCTTGTAACTTTATGAAGACTGGGCCAAATTTCTTAACATTTTGATGATTCCAGAACCTTGCAGTATATGATCAGCCTTTTCTGATCGATTTCACAATGTTTCTTTCACAATGCAATCGCATGACCATAACTGGTCTTTATCTTTAATTATTTACCACTGACTCAACTGGGAGTGTCATAATTATGAATCACATTCCAAGAGACTTTCACAACTAAATTAATGATGTGCCAAAACAAAGAACAATATTGGCAAAAATAAACCATCCAATGAATGTTTTCAGAAGGTTTAGGGCAAAATATGGGATAACTGATGAAACGTTTAGGGTAAATAATACCGTACATGTATATCACATACTTTTCTTCCATTTTTTGCATTTGATTTGATTAGGTGAGGTAACGTCAACGGTATTGCCTCCTGTTCCTACAACTGGCTTGACGTTAGATGATGTTACGACACTCTCGGAAGAAGTTCGAGCAAAAATGATAGACGTGTTTGTAAATCAGCATGAAAATGGACACGTTGTAACAGGAGGTGACGAATCCAAAAATTGAAAATCAGTATTGCTTCATTAAAAAAAAAAACATGATGCTTGAAATAATGAAGGAATTTGCAGGGTAATGGATTACGAAATACATGTACATGTACGTGCAGATGTATCGTGTTTCTTTACATAATATCTTTTCATATAACAAGACTTTCTGAAGAAGTTCAAGCAAAAATGATGGACGTGTTTTAAAATCAGCGTGAAATGGACACATTATAACGGGTGACGAATCCAAGGCTTGAATTTCAGTATTGTGCCATTGAAGAAAAAACCGATGCTTAAAATAATGAAGGACTTTGCAGGGTACCGGTGATGAATTATGACATGCATATGACATTTACATCATATCATTTTATAGATAACGCATACAATTAATAACAAATTTGTGCACATCAAAAGTCTAGTGCATTAGAGTTACAATGTGCTCCGACTTCACTTGTGGTAATCATGAACAGGGATGGCGCTTTCCATAATTCGCACCGACATCTGCAAGATGCATGCACCCACGTACTACGCACCTGTGTTGGGAGAGGCAACTGTCAAAAAAATGTCATGCCTTGTAGAACATGACCGATGATGGATTTGAACCCGAAACTTTTCCATTGAGAGACTATATTATTAATATGATGATGTATGTCGTGCACATTGCTACGAAGATGTTTACTTATTCTTAGCAATAGAAGTTACTGCGCAGTCGGAGTTATGGCGAGCCGTGTTTAAAGTGCTCCCATCATACATTTCTCTGTTACATGTATGTAAATTTGTTTATTAATGAATTCAATTTTACTTTATGTTGCCTACTCCTGCCGTTCAATTGTGGGGATTTAATGTATGGGGCTATCGTTGGTTTGCAATATTTGTGAAATGTTTAAGCTGAAATAACAACTTCCAACTCCATCAAATTGCTTTCGATGACGATGGCAGTGCTATCCCACATCACATGGATTCCCATTCATTTTTGAGTGTGTGTGCCATATATTTGTACCAGTTATCCAACTGCCTATTATGATCAATAATTTCACGGACCATTTTTTTTCTTCAAATTTATTATGGCAATTGGTATTGGTACCAGGATACATTCATCATATTCTGTATTATAGTTTAAGAGCATTTTACCAAGTACCAACATTAGGCTAAGTACTACGAACAAAATATGAGGAATCATATAAAGTGAGAACGAGTCTACCTGTAAAATTATTACCGGTACATTGATTAAACAGTTGAACAACCAAAGTAGAATTAGACCAAAGAAGGCGACTATTACGGTGCATGGATTACAGGATTTAATAATTGAGGGGGGGGGGTCACATTGTATAGGTCATTTTTGTATTGTAAACAAGTTTGTATTTAAAGAGAGGGTTGAGTTATGGGAAGAGGTGAAAAATAATGTGTGAGTGTTATCATTGTTATTATGCAAGTGTGGAAGAACATCAGATGCAAAATGTTCCCTGAAAAGCATGGCTCTTCCAATGCTTTCATATTCTAAATATGGCATGTAACAATATAAAAATCGCGAAAGATCTTTATGTCACTTGGTGTTGTGTTGCCCCATATCCATCTTTCTGTGTACTATACAGTGCTTGTAACTTTACCAATATACTGGGCCCAATTTCTTATAATTTTGATGAATCCAGAACTTTGCATTACACACCAATACTTATATGCTAGATGATCAACCTTTTCTGATCGATTCCACACCGTTTCTTTCACAATGCAATTGCACGACCAGAACTCAACTTTATCTTTAAGTGCCTCTATACAAATTATTTCATTCACCACAAGGGCGGATGCATACATTTGGTTACATTATTAAAATGGCCCATTGAGCATTTTGTAATGAATTAAACTATGAACCGACTTAAGTATAAGGTTGGCTGAATAACAGTATTCTTATTCATTAGCTTCCATCATATTAAAGAAAAAGGGAAGGTAACATTACATTTTGTGATCTATAAATGTTCAAACAAAATGATCTGTGAAATACAGCTAAACTGGTCTACATGTATGTAAAGGTGCCCGTTTTTTGACCGTTTTTTTCTGACTACCTCGTGAAAGCTTACAAGACTTACAGAAATCCCCCACAGTAGTAAAATGCTACTAAAATTGAATTGTCATGACAGTAATACTTTGTTACCTTTAGATAAATGTATATACATGTGTACCCTAGTTATTGGACTGCCATTATAGTATCGCTATGTTAGTTGACGAATGACGCTTATTGCATTGCAAAAAAATGTATGTAAAGTTGCCGAAATGTTAACAAAAATAAAGATATAATACGTATGTATAGTACTCTATATTGTGTTTTTATTTTTGATATTGGAGTGAGCTGTACTGCAAGAATTTTGTTGCCTTTTATTTTTCTTCCGTTTCTCAGTAGTTTCTCTTTATTTAGGCAGAATGTTATGTTTGTTATTATGTTTCAGGTAGCCATGCTTATAAAGAAGTTGTAAAATAAAAGTACTTTCAATGCAAAGATTGAAAATGACAAGAAATATCAAACCGGTTTATGGTGAGATGGAGGAGACATGGAGAAAATGAGAAACTGAGAAAGAGAGACAGAGAGAGAGAGAGATCAGAGTTGTATTGAGGAATACAGAGAGAGAGAGGGGGTGTGTGAGAGAGAAAGAGGGGGGGGGGGTGAAAGAGAGGTCAGGTGTTCAAGGAACATCAAGGGATGGACATTAACATTATTCTGTAAAATATGTATTTAAAAAAAAAAAATCAATAACATCCATAAGTGACTTGTATGCAGTTCAATTTTCTTAGCTGTATACAATTCTAAAATTAAAACCAACTAGACTTTAATTCGTCACTTAGATGAATTAGGTGATACGTATGCTGATGTGTAACATAATGAAGAACGCATTTTCACGATTTCATATTTCGTTATAAAATACTACTCCGATTATGGTCTATCCCTGAGTCAATTTTCAACTGTGTAGGGCAGAGGGAGACAGAACAAGAAAATAAGAGGGAGGCAAGGCAAGAGAGAGACAAGGGAGAGGGTGAAAGGGTAGAGAGAGACATGCAGAAATAGACCAAGAGAAAGAGAGGGTCAGAACATGAGAGGGGAAGGGAAACAGAGCAAGAGAGAGGAGAGAGAGAGGGATGCAATTGAGCACAATGCCTTCCATATTTCTAGCATAAATAAGCTCTTGTGAATACTGATCATGAAAGTGTTGCCGATAATCAAAAGACAATAATGTTCATGAATACGATGATGACGATATTAGAATGATGACCATGATTAAAAGTGGCACAGCGCACCCTTCAGGTTTTCGATAGAGGATTAAACTGTTTTTATACTAAACAAGCTTAAAACACTTTTGTTATAAATATTACAAAATGTACATAGTAATTTATTCAGCCCTGATTTAGTATAACATATGAGTAAGATATTAATTTTCCATAACCCAACATCTATGATGTTAAATCTAGAAATGATTGTTAGTATGCATGGCAGTGAATGGCCAAACGATAGAAATTGCCTCGAATTTCTTTGGATTAAATTGTTATACATATAAATGAGACAAGCTGAGATGATGCAGAGAGAACGGGGAAGAGTAGGAAAGAGAGAGAAGCAGAGACAGAAGGAGACAGATCAAGAGAGGAAGAGGGAGAGGGAAACAGTGAGAGGGAGAGAGTGAAAGTGTAAGAAAGAAGGAGAGGAAATGCCTCCAGTATTTCTAGCATAAATACCCAGGCTCCTGAATAACGATCATGACCGTGTGCCGAAACTGCCGATGATGATATAATGATAATGTTCATGAATACGATAATGACGATATTGCTGATGATCATTTGATCATGATTAAAAGTGGTATAGCGCTCCCTTCAGGTATTCGATTGAGGATTGTTATATATGATAACTGACATGTCACCTATGATTGAATTTTTGACTATGATAATGTTAAATAGTCTACATAAATCTTGTGGAAACTTGTCTCAGTTACAACATACTCAAAAATCAACAACATCCAAGCATAAATAACGGTGATATCACTCACAAAACACAGAAATGTAGAATCCAGATTTGAGAAAAAGTCATCTCCCATAGGGATTACACGCAAAAAGTAATAGATTAAGTGTAAATAGGGTTGTTTATTACATTATTTGCGATTCTACGTGTTTTAATAATTAAAGGAAATGGTACAGTGAAAGGTCAAAAAGAAAAAAAAAAGTAAAGAAAAAAATAGTTGAAGACGCCTGGACTCGAACCAGGGATCTCAAGGTCAGAAGTCAAATGCGTTACTGATATACCAAAACATATCCCATATCGATTACATGTAAACGGAAAATTGAACTCTCAAATCCCACTTTGCAAGTGAAATATGAACACGATCCCGGCATCTGATCGAAAAATAAAGGGCACATTGGAGATAGCTTAATGTCTCAGCTACAACCTACTCAAAGCTCAATGTAAACAAAGCTAAAACAACGGAGATATTGCTCGCGAAAAACAGGAATGTAGAATCCTCTTTTGAAATAAAGTCATGTCCCATAGAGAATACACGCAAAATGTAAAAATTTGACGTGCCTCCTTTAATCTTAAGAATACGCCATGATGCCTTTGTCAGAATGAAAAATTGTGGAAACTGCATTTGTAGAGAATTGTCTCAGCTAGAACATATCGAAATTGAGAAGAAAATTGAATCTATGTTCACAGAGATACAATCAATTTAAAAAAAAATATGCTAACTTCATAATATGCAAATTAAAATTTTGAGTTCGGAGGCCATTATGATGACGTTATGAGTTAATTGAGGGTCAAATGAGACATGAAAGCATATCTCCGACTCATAATCTATCTAAATATGAAAAAAATTTGGGAGTTTCCATCCATTCTGAAGAGTTATAATGAATTTTGTATAGGCATGTTTTTGCCCATGTATTGTGGATAAAGATAACGCAGATCCGCGCGTGCTGCCAACTTTGACGGACGCTCATTGCGTTATTAAAAGGTGAACAAGTTATCAAAATGCTTGGATAAATGTGCCAAATATGATGACAGAGAAAATTCGGCGATTCTATGTTGCAAAATGCTAGTACGCGCGAAAACGCGCGCGCGCGATTTTTTT